AGGGGGGGTGGGGGGGGGGGGGGGGGGGGAGTACAGCTCCAGCTCCGTGCTCCATGCTCCATGCTCCATGCTGGTGCTGTCCGTCTGACTGTGAATAATAGACTTAGCATTGACGTCTGAGAATCCGCGAGGGCGTTGCCCCTCCTTTCACTTCTTTCAAGCTTGAACCTTCAATCCATCCTCTCGTCATCCAGCTCTCTCCGTCCTCCCTTTCCCCAAACCCTTCACGCCTCGCGGCTGGTCGCATTGATCGTCGTTCGCCTTCTTGCAGACTTTATTCTGCCGCCTGACCTCACCAGGATGACCACGGCCACAACCACCAGTGTCAGCCCTGCGAACGGCATCGTGAGCAACGGAAAAGCCACCAAGCGTCGCAACGGCAAAGCCGCCAAGCTTCGCAACGGCAATGCCTCTCCCGACCTCGCTGAAGAGGAATGCGACGACGCAAGCACAGTCGACAAGACCCCAGCTGCTCTCGTCCAGAAATATCGCCATGTGGCGGCGGTGCATTCTAAAAGCCGCCCGTCATGCTTGAGCCACGACTCCGATGCTGCCCCGAGCTTCATCGGGTTTCGAAATCTCATGGTAATTGTTCTGGGTACGCGAGGAAACCACGTCATTGCAAGGAGAATCCCGTAGCGTACTGACCGTGATCTAGTTGTGGGTAATTTACGACTGATGATTGAAAACTTGAAAAAGGCATGCCACACCGCACCCGCGCCGTTTTCTATGTGCTCATCATTCCTGACCGCTCTCTCAGTATGGCGTTTTAATATGCCTCCGTTGTCATTCCTACAAGAACCAAGATGTCCTCATAGGCGGACTTCTCTATTTCCTTATTCCCTGCCACTTGTTGGTCGCCTACTTGATCGAACTGGCCGCCGCTCGCCATGCTCGAAGGCCCCGGAAACGTCTCGAGCCTGCCTCTCCTGGCCCGTCCGAGCAAGACAAGATCAAGTTTCATTCAACATGGGTCCTGGCGGCCTGGGCTCATGGAATCAACATGACGCTTGCATTTGCCCTCACTACCTTTGTGGTCTACTATTACATCCACCACCCGCTTGTCGGAACCTTGACCGAGATGCATGCCGTCATTGTGTCGCTCAAGACAGCCTCGTACGCGTTCACCAACCGAGATCTTCGCCACGCCTACATGCATCCCGTCAGGGGCGAGCTTATCCCTGAACTCTACTCCAAGTGCCCGTATCCCAATAACATCACTTTTGGAAACCTCGTCTACTTCTGGTGGGCGCCAACGCTAGTCTATCAGCCTGTGTACCCGCGCACCGACAAGATCAGATGGGTCTTTGTCTTTAAGAGGCTGGGCGAAGTATGCTGCCTGAGCGCATTCATCTGGTTCGCCAGCTTCCAGTACGCTGCTCCGGTATTGCAGAATTCGCTCGACAAGATTGCATCGTTAGACTTGCTCATGATTTTAGAGCGGCTGCTCAAACTGTCAACCATTTCTCTGGTGATTTGGCTGGCAGGGTTCTTTGCCCTGTTCCAATCCTTCCTGAACGCACTGGCCGAAGTGCTGCGGTTCGCCGACCGATCGTTTTACGACGACTGGTGGAACAGCGAGAGTCTAGGAGCCTACTGGAGAACGTGGAACAAGCCTGTATACACCTACTTCAAGCGCCATGTCTACGTACCCATGATTGGACGTGGATGGAGCCCGTGGACGGCAAGTTGCACCGTCTTCTTTGTCTCTGCCGTGTTGCACGAGGTTCTTGTTGGTGTTCCTACCCACAACATCATCGGTATGATATTCTCGCCCTACCCAAGGCCTTGATGCTCATTTCTAACTCGTCTTTAGGTGTTGCTTTTTTGGGCATGTTCCTGCAGCTTCCCCTCATCGCCATCACGGCCCCCCTAGAGAAGATGAAATGGGGACATACCGGCAGAGTAATGGGCAATGTAATCTTTTGGGTGTCTTTCACCATTTTCGGTCAGCCATTTGCGGCATTGATGTACTTTTATGCATGGCAGGCCAAGTACGGCAGCGTCAGTAAACAACCGATCCTGACGCTGCAGACATGAGGCAAGAACATTTAGGACGACGTTATGACTTGGGATAGTGTGCACGTTTGGATAATTCATACCCGATACTCTACCCGCTGTGCCTCTCGTGGAGCGCACGCAGTCTTGATCCAGTCTCGGTCTCACAACCAGACCTCGTCAACCATGGTACCCAATCAAGTCGATTCCAAAGCTGTCCCTCCTGTGCATGACACAAAAGCCCCTCAATCAAGGGTTATCCAACAAACGGAATCATCGTCCCAACCCTCCTTCTATACCGTATGTAATCGTCCCCAAAAAACTTGACCAGCCCTCGCTCCTCGACCGCCACCCTGCTACTGAAAAACTTCCACAAGACGTAAGCATATCCCACGAAACAAAGCACGTTCCCCAGGACCAGCTGCGTGCCCAGCCCCCAGAAGAAGAAGCCAAAGTAACTAGGATGCCGCCACAGCCCGTACACGCCCGTGGTGACGAGCGTATGCGAATCCGCCTTCCGCGTCTGCACCGTGTGGTTGAAGCTCTGGCCCGCGGTCAACATGGCCACGCTCCTCACCATCTGCCCTCCCACGACCATCACCAGGCCCGTGAGCATCAGGGCCGTGCTCAGCCCAGAAGGGGCCCAGTGCCGGCTCGGAAACACGGCGTTGGCCAGCACGCATTCCACACAGGCTACCGTGTGGGCGATGGGGTACGCGGGCCAATTTGCCGTGAGCAGGAAGGAGTGGACCGTGGCCTCGGGGGTGTTGGCCGCGGCGGTGGTCCAGAACTCGAGGAAGTGGAACGCGGACAGGGCGCAGAGGAAGAAGGGGATGCGCCAGAGCGGCGAGGACGTCAAGGCCAGGACGAGTGCCGTGGACAGCAGGCCGAGGGACGCGGTGAAGCCGAGGGCGAAGGCGCGCAGGGACATGCCGGCGAGGGACGCGGACTGGCCTGGGGTGAGGTTCTCGACGAGCGGCTGGCTGCGTGTCTGCATGCGAGGTGATGGCGGTTGAGGCGAGAGGGTATGGCGGCCCTCGAAGCTGAGCGTTTCGCTCCATTGGGTGGGCATTTTCGTCCTATTTGTTTCTTTGTCTGCGGCGGGTTGCGTTGTGGTTCATGTCGCCATGGTGTTTTGCAGAGGTTTGGCATGAGAAGGCTAGTTTCTTCGAAAGGGGGGAGGGTAGTTCTGTGCCTAGTAAAGGATGAAAGGGTGAATGAACGAATGCATGGATGGATGGACGAATGCTGGGGTTTGGGGGTGTTAGGATGGGATTGTTTGTGCGAGACAATACGATGGGTTGCGTCGTCACTGGTTGGTAGGCGGACGGACAACTTTAGACCATTGTCGTGGTTGAGTTTCGCTTGACTGGGCGCGAGGACGGGATGTGGGGCTGCTGGACGTCTGGGCAGGTGTTCGAGTTGGACGCAGCTGCGTGAGAATTGGGGGGTTGCGGATCGGGGACATTGGATTCAATGACATGTGGATTGTGACTCGTTTTGCTCTTGTTTTACGGGTTATTGAATCTTTGCGCTATTAGGGATGGTGTTAACCTGAGCTCGCGTCGATGGCAGATGGCGGCACGAGGTGGAGGAGGATGATGGACTTGAGTCCCATGGAGGAGCTGCCAATCGCCATTTGGACGCCTCATCTGCTAATGTCTGCAGTCCTAGATACTTGATGACAAAAAAAAAAAAAAAAAGCGTGACAATGAATGGATGCGGCTGTATCGGTTCGTGTAGCGCAATTTGGCGCGTCGGCACAATGCCGTGGCTCGTAGTCTTTTGGCCCTCAGCTCACCGTCTTCAAAGCAGGCCTTGAACCGAAAAGGAAGATATTATCAGCACGAGAACGTTGATGAATCCCCATGTGCACGGGATCCAGGTATTCATTTCGTAGTACCCGGCTTTGTATACCGCCCCGAGCCTATGGCACATTAGCAATGTTCGTTTGGGCTTGGTGGTGCAGCCTACACAAGCCCGACAATACTTCCAGCAATGACAGCCTCCAGCCCTGCTATCAACAGGTATATGATGGGGACGGCCCAGAGAAATCGCCACGACCCTTTGTTGAACCCGTGACTGAAAAACGCTACCGACACCGCCACGAGATGGAAGAATATGTAGGTGATCAGAGTCCACAGCACGGTGAACTTCCAGGCGTCTGAAATGCGATAGAGTGTGTAGGTGCGATTGGGTGTGTGGTCTTGGAGCGTATGGACGTTGAGCGACGGAAAGGGTGGCGTGCGGTAGTTGCGAGGCGGGTTTCCCAGAAACGACATGTTGAAAGCTTGCGAGGGAGAGTGCGCCGCCGAAGACGACGACGCAGCTACAGCCGTCGATGGGCCGCCGCCATTGCGGTCGGGATGCTCTGTTTCGACAAGCGCATGTCGCGAAGTTTGTCGTTGAGAGGATGAATGAGCAGGGGGGCGCCTGAGCGGCTGGCTGGAGCTGCGGACGGCTCGTTGGACCTTGCCAGTCATTTCAGCCTCGGCAGACCGACTTCCGACTTCGCCACCTGCGGCCGCGGCGTCCGGGCCGTCACAAGTCACCTAGTGCACCCACCACCACCTGGCATCCTCCATCGCACTCGACATCATTCACGCCATCAGCAAGTCCGACTGGCGGCGGCAAACCACATCTCAATGCGTCACCATGCCGGCCGACAGCCTCCTTAACACTGTCCTGCACTATTATCAGGACGTCCACGATGCTGTCAAGACGGACCAAATCATGGGCAGCACAGCTCATCTGCTGAGCCAGCTCTCCAACCCGCTCAATCTCGGTGTCCTCACCTCGCAGCTTCTCACAGCCCCGGCCATCTGGCAGCGAAACGATGGAGCGAAAACCGCAATGCGAGTCATCGGCATCTACCACAACGCAGCTGTTCGTGTACGTGACAACCAGCTCCGCGGCGCCAAACCAGGCGACCCATCTGAGCGTGGAGGTCTGCGATGCGATGAATGGACGCGTGCCGTCGTCAAAGGAGCCGACGAGGGGTCAAGGCGATGGCAACATTTGCTCGTACTGACCGGCGTCCTTGTGGGAATGGAGGGACATGGGCGAAACTCCTTGTCTAGATCGCTGCGCAACGCCTTGGAGCAAGCCGTTGTTACGGCGGCCAACCTCGCTCTCGAGGGAAATGTCCAAGATGGCCCTGCAGCTGCCGTGTCCGTTGTCACGGCTCTGAACCTTGCGCTGCCTGTGCTTTCAGAATCCCACAGAGCTCAGATTGATTGCAACACATTGCTACCGATTGCTGTTTGGGCCATTACCGGAGAAGAAGGCTTTTGCGATGCGCAGTTTCTTCGAGTCGTGAACCAAGACACCACGCGGCAGCCGGGTAACGTCCTCTCATGGCCCGAACGATCATCCTCATGCCAGCTGTTGCAACAGATGGAGAAGCAGCCCTTAATGGCGAACATGGGTCCGCTCTCCAAGCTGGCAGCCTTTGCTGTGCAGCATGCAACCGATACGACGGTGGTCATGCAGGCTCATGATGCGCTGTTGGTGTTTACCGCCAGAGTCCTCGACGCTTGGCAAAAGAACTGCTTTAGCGAGATTGATTCTGCGTCTGAGAGCTCTCGTCTGACTTCCGAGACGGCGCAGACCACCTGGCCACTGCTGTGGCAAGTTCTCAGGAAGCTCATGTTTGGCACCACGGCTGTTCTGCAGGCAATTGTTGCTCGCAGCCTGCTCGACCCGCACATGCTGGTGCCCGGCCTGGCTCCCAACATTGCCTCCAAGTCGTTGCAAATCTTGCGGAACATATTCTTCATCTCGAACAGAAATGGAAACAGCTCGTTCCAAGTGTACACATTTTCCTACATGACTTCTATCGACGTATTAAGTCGAGACGGCCTAGCTACCGAGGCATTCCTTCGAGAGATTCGGCCTGCGGACGCAGTTCTCAACCCCTCGGCGCATCTTCACACAAATCTCGATTTATTCTATCTCAACGTGGCGGAACATATGCCACTCTCCCTCCCCACAGAAGCGTGCGAGCTGCTCATCGTCAAGCCCGCAATCTCATACGTCTCCCAAGAAGGACCCTTAGCAGCATCCATGACTGAAATCTTCGAATCCGCCCACAGTGCCATTCTATCCGTGCTCTCCTGTCCCCAACACAGCGCGCTCACCATCAAGATCACGCCTTTCTACATTGTCAAGGTATTTGACTCTTTCCCTCAGCATATATCGCCCCGCCAGTTCAGAATCGCCTTCAAAACCGCCATGGAGATCGTGTCCCCGCCTTTCCCCATCGCTGCCATGGAACCACACATGTCGGAAACGCTGCTGGATATGCTCCGTACGAAGACCACCACCGCCGGCACGACCTTGCTGCCCGCCACTCCGGATACCGTGTCACGCGCTCTGGAGGAAACAAAGGACGAACCACTATCCGAGCAAAGCGCCCTCGTAATGACGCTGGTGGATTCATTACCGTTCCTGCCTTTGCCACTGGTAGAGGAGTGGCTGGCAATTACCGCTCAAGCCATGAACGAGATTGAGGATCCTAGGCTTCGGCTGCCGGTGAAGAAGAGGTTTTGGAATATCCTCGTGAATGGGGAGATGGATGTGGAAAGATCAACGATTGGGGTGGCGTGGTGGGGGACAAAAGGAGGTAGGGAATTGGTCTTGTTCGGGGGAGCGCCTGAACCACCGTTGATGAGTGGTGCGTTGGGAAAGGATACGACGAGCCGGTTGTAGATGGCATTGGCAGTCAGTTTTCTCTGTACTATACCATTGACGCATACCACAAAGAATTACGGACTTGGACCGGGCCAGGCTCAGTATCTCATGGACGTCTGGCAAGTCACGTACAAAACTCGAATTCAAACGGCGACCCTGCGAGGTGCGAGCGGGTTGGCTTTCATTCATGAAGCGTGTCGGACTCTTGGTCACATGGCACCAGAAGCTGTAGAAGAGCAGCCGATTGTGTGTTTTACGCGTCGACAATGAAGCAGGATGGAGCATTTCACGACAACATCCACACGGCGTGGCGGTGGTTCTTGCGACGGCGGCTGCAGAACCACTGCAGGACCAAAATATGTATGTAAGGAGCGATGCTTCTCGTCTCTCGTCCTGCAGGGCGGTATGCTGTGCGACCATTATATCCATCCCGTCATCCATCTATTTACACAGGGGTGTTTCCCACACTGCGTGCTGGTCGGGCAGCACGGCGTCAATACTGTGGTGCTGGGTGACAATGCATTTGGGGAACGGTCTCGATGCTGCGTCTTGGAACAAACTCCCTACGGACGTGATACTAGAGACGCATCACGCCTTGATTGGGAGCAAGTCAAGCCGTGCTTCACTCACACGTATGGCGAGGCTGTTTCCTGGCTGTTTCCCTGTCCCTCTACATGGAGCAGATGGTTCGTTACGTCTAAACTCGACTGAGTAACCTGACGGATGAAACGTCTCGTAGAATAAAATTTACGGCCCTTACTACAGTGTCCTGTCATGTGAGCTGCTGAAGTGCTTCCTCAGGAACCAGTTTCTGCCCTGACTGCGTATTCCTGGCGCTATGGTGGTTGATTCTTCGTCTCGTCTCGTGAAGGCCGTGAGCGACGCAGTCAGGTGGGTGGAGCGACGACTGTGCTAGGTGACCGATTTCTCTCGTCGCTTCTCGACCTCGATCAGGTACTCTATGTGCTGGCGACGACCTTCTTCGTGCATGCTTCTTCGCACATGGTCGGGTACAGATGGAAGCCTGGGCCGTAACGGAGTGGCCTTCCGTCCTTGGGATATGACTCAACCTGAAGTAGACGGGCATTCATGCTGGCAAGCCGCTCTTCGAGTGCGTGGTACGATGCTTGGGCAAGATCAGCAACAGCGGGACTAGTCTGCCCGCTACCTGTGCCGCCGGCAACGGCAGGTTCTGTCAAATCTAAGCCTCTGGATCGTTTGCGGGATTGGGGCCGCGGTCCGTGCTGCTTGGATCGACCTCCGTCTTGATGAAGCTGCTTCTTGCTCCATGCATGTTGAAAGTGACAAGCTTGCACCGTCTTGTCTGCTGGCCCGTAGCATTCGGTCATACGTGAGAGAGAGTCCGCCGGCTCTCAGACTATTCACAGACGTCCGCCAGGGCCACCTGAGCTTCCGGGCTTGACCCCAACGTCCGACTACAAGTCCACAGTTAGCCATGTCAAGAAGGGGTATAAAGGCTTTTTTTAAGGTGTCGAGAGAAACTGACAGAATCTCCCCCACGAGAATTTGTCGACGAAAAACTCAAACTCCTCGTGGTGAACGGCATTGAACCCGCGGCGGATGTACATGTCGCCAGTACGCTTCCTTGCGTCTCTGCGTAGATCTTGCATGATGCTTCGCTTTGTGCCTGCTTTAAGAAAGAATATGCAATAGGCGTCCATCATTGGACGTCTAGAGACTGTCAAGCTGCCATCAACCATCGTCTAGGTTGCCCAAAAACCGGTGGTCTCCATTCTTGATGCACTCCTCCCACGAACGGCCGGCTCCAGCGTCAGCAGGCGATAATGGAGGAAGCAGTGCCATCTTCTTGTCGCAAAGGGCATTGTTGACCTTCTCTTAGGGTCTTAGGTGGCTTCTTTTCGTAGCGTTGGTTTCCTGGACAGGCTGATTCGAGAAAATGGGAACGCGAAGTGCACCAAGCCCCGAAGCCCTGGGTTTCATTGCCCGGTCTCATTGCCAGCTGACGAGCAATGGACGGTTTGCAGCTGACAGTCTCACCAGCTGCTAGACAGATCTCGCCAGTCGTGGCGGTTTACCACGACATACTCTTCAAGAGGAAACCACCCCATTCCCCCCATTTTCTTTTCTTTTTCTTTTCTTTTTTTTTTTTTTTGGCCTTCTTTGGCATTCAAGCCTGAAGTCGTCGTCAAGGCTATCCGCATGCTTCAATGGCAATCTTTTCGTCCCAAGGCCCAGAGCATTCTGTGGAACATTAAATGTTCTTTTATTTGCAGAAAACAAGCCCAGAAACTCCCGTCGGTTGGGGATTCATCAGTGAGTGCCTCTTCGATTGTCAGTTTGCGGGTGATGGCACCGGTCTCAACTTCGAGCTGGTCTGTTGCCACGCAGTGCACTTTCCCGACGCTCAGTTGTTCCCCCAGTTAGGAGCACCATTGGTTCCATCGTCTGAAGTATGTTGGATGATGAGACACTGGTCTGTCTCTGCAAATACTAATCTCCTTTCAAGTGTAAACCTTATATTTGTGCAATTTGGGCTGTCTGAGCTTTGCTCCACTGCCTGCGCTTCTCGGATGACCAGTACCAATTCCTCGACCATGAGTCTTGTCAGATATTCACGACATCCTCCATCCTCCCACACGAAGCTCTCGATGGGCCAAGATTAGCCTGGGAATATATCATCTTCGTGGTCACGCCACGTCCAATTATCTTGGCGCCGGTTGAGTTTGCCAGAAGTGGTACTGGTGGACAGACATTTTTGCATCATCGCGGCCTCGTCACGCCGCCGCCGAGTGTTCCCCGCCTGTCCGTTATACGTCACTGTTACTTCTTCCAGGTTCAGGAGGATTTCTTGGAACTGTTAACCGTAGCAGCTGCGGCTTATTTTCCCTCGAGTATCTTTCTTCCCAGCAACTTGAAGCCAGAAGTGGGGAGACCCCTCAAACCCCTCTTTGGCAATTGGCAAAGTCGCTTTCATCTTCATTCCAACCAACGCCAATCAAGTGGACCCAAGAGGGAGTTCGCGGCTTTATGGGCGAACGTACCTCGGTAGTGCCTCAACGCTAGATATCTGGTACTAAACTTGCGTGGGCGCATATCTTCACGTTTGTCGGCCATCGGTGTTGCCTGGCTCAACTGGCACATTGGTAAATTGACCCCGGGTGTACTCCGTACCACCATAGTCTTTCGCGTGTGTCGCGTAATAATGGCGTTGCTTCGACACCTCGACTCCGTCAATTTCCAGGGTCCCAGATTTCCTGCGCGGAAACATGAGCATGACTCGGCAACGGTGTCGATGTCTTGCCATTTTGTTGGCTGGCTATTGCGTCAATGGAAATGCACTGTGTGAGAGAAATTGGCAAGGTGGAGGGAGGAGGCCTTTGCTCGGTACAAGAACGGACCTGTTGACTGGTTCCCTCCGAGGCGTCCCCACCGGCCAATCCGCCAACTACCTGGTACTAGGTGACTGGCTAGCGCCTTCCAGCTCCAGCTTTTCTATGATCGAACCAACGAAGAGCCTTGGAACCCTGGCGTCTTCCCTCTCGAATCTATTGCGCGAGTTTGATACTTGCAGCACTCGACGTCTGGAGTGCATTGCCTGGAGTGGTTCCACGGCCGATGATGCTCCTCGCCGTCAGTCCTTACCACGGAGAGGATTTGGTTCCCTCATCACCAAAATCATCGAGTCCGTTCCCTGCATGAAGCAGATGGGTGCAAGTTGCTGCCAGGTCACAGCGTACACGGATGGCCATGCCGGCTTCAACCAGCTTTGTGGGACTGGTCCCTAAATATCGCGGCTTTGCCGCGCACAAGCTGAAGCGCCCTTCAGCTGGACCAGGCCAGGTGTTGCTTGTTTCGGCGCCAACGCTGGCTGTGAGCCGATCTGGGGGGCGTGGCGTAGCAACATGGAGCCATGGAGAGCTGCGCATTCGTCCATTCTGGTGCTCCAGATCGGACTCGACCTGCCGTTGTCACCTGGAGATGTGGATGAGGGAGGAAAGGCGGATATGATGCAAGACGTGGGCGTCCCTCACATGTTGCCGCGTATAAAGTCTAATGAATGCCCGGCAGCTCGCTCTTTTGAAAGGCTAGGAAAGGAATCGCTCATCACCAAGTGCATCCTCCATCCATCATACACATCTCGCAGCATCTTGCCTACACAGACAAGCCTCACTTACACGTCAGCTCAACCATGTCTTACCGTGACAACGACAACGTAGGTTTTCAGCCCCCCAGCTCCATGAAACCGGCATCACTGGAGACTTGTTACCCAAGCTACCCCGCTCCAGTCTCTCTCAAGTTAACGTGGGATATTCACTTAGTCCAGCTACGGCGGCAACGACGACAGCTATGTAAGTTACAGAACAAAGCCAATTGCAGATGAATGTAGGCTTTAGCATCATCGCTAACATTCCGCATACAGGGCTCGTCCAACCGCCGTGACAATGACAGCTACGGCTCTAGAGGCAACACTGATAGCTACGGCTCTGGTAACAACCAGTCTTCCTTTGGCTCCTCGGGCCGCGACAAAGATGACAGTTACGGCTCTTCTGGCCGCGGTGGTCGTGGTGACGATAACAGCTATGGCTCCTCTGGCCGCAGTGGTCGTGATGACGATAACAACTATGGCTCCTCTGGCCGCAGTGGTCGTGATGACAATGATAACTACGGTTCTGGTAACAATCAGTCTTCCTTTGGCTCCTCGGGCCGCGACAAAGATGACAGTTACGGCTCTTCTGGCCGCGGTGGTCGTGATGACGATAACAGCTACGGCTCCTCTGGCCGCAGTGGTCGTGATGACAATGACAGCTACGGCTCTTCTGGCCGCAGCCGTCGCGACAATGACAACAGCTATGGATCATCTGGCCGGACCGGAGGCGACGACTCCTATGGCTCATCCGGCAACAAGTCTTCATCTTATGGCTCCTCTGGGAATGATGGCTATGGCTCCTCTGGTCGTACCGGAGGTAACGACTCATACGGCTCTTCCGGTAACGACAGCTACGGGTCTTCTGGCCGGACTGGAGGCCGCGATACATACGGCTCTTCTGACAACAACGACACCTACGGCTCCAGCCGCCGTGACGATAGCAGCAGCACCGGCAGCAAGGTCGGCCAGTTCCTCGAGAAGGCCAGTGATGTCCTTGGTGGCGGCAGCAAGGGCCGATCCAACGAGGGCCGCGACGACGACTACTAGGCGATTGTGCAAGGGACTTTGGTCAGGGTGGAGCTCTTGTGGTTATGCAGCGACGGAGATTTAATTCGTGACGCTCTCTATTTTTGTCCGGAAAATGAGAGGTTAGGGTTACATCTTGAGTAGATTGGCAAAGATTGTGTCTCGCCCCCTCGGCTCTAAGTGTCACCAGTCATCTGTACCGCCTGGTGCTACATGATTAGCCATAATCCGAGTCAGCTTCCAGTCATGAGCACCAGCTGGTGTCAACAGGACAGCGGGGAGCGGACATGTTGTGAATCCATCGCGCCCGCCCGCTTGGTGACGATTTAATCAACGGCCGAACACATCATGATCATTCAACAAAGTAATATATCATAATCGCAATTCATGATCTCGATAAAATCCTGCCCCTGAAAAGTCGGGGGAAAAAAAAACGCGAGCTCGCGCCGATGCAGACACTGCATTCATGCTCGTTTCACATCAGGTTCCTCCTCCACCAGCGTCTTTTCCACCTTGACAAGAATCGTGCCATCCGTCAAGCGCCCCTTTGAATCTATCAAGTGGATGAACCTATATCCCTGTCCCAGACGATCTAGCCGTACGCACGCCCAGGCCGCAATATCATCTCTCCCCAGCTCGTCATCTCGCACCGTGAAGCGCACGAACGTCAACTCCTCCACGAGCCCTGCAATATCGCTGAATGAGATTTGCTGCCTGCCGAGATCAACATTCGCTCCCCTGTGGGTCTTTGTGCGCGCCTTGTGCCGGACGTCGGAGTCCAGGCTTTCGGACGAGCCTGGGCGGCCGTGGGCCTTGGGGTCGCATGCGTCAACGTGCAGCTCGGTCTTGACGTAGGGATGGAATTTCTTGTCGGATTTGTCGCCTTGGGGGAGGGGGATGGACTGAGCAGCGAGGAAGGTGAGTGACAGATTTAGCGTTTTGTAAGTGATCTTGTTGGGGGTGAGCTTTGACTCGAGGTTGGGACGGTAGCCTTTGTCGGTGTTAGCAGAGACGGGGCGACTTGGAAAAGGGGGGTTCGATATTGTCTGACCTTCGGGTTTGAGGACGTATCCGCATGTCCCTGCAAACATGCCCTCGTTGAGCATCATGCCTTCATCCGTTTGTTGCCAGTTCAGGGCGACGACTTGGGCTCCTGATCCCCAGAACACCGTGGGCATCATGTTTGAAGACGTGATGCGGAATCCAGAAGGGTAGGCCCGCAAGAGATAGTCCCTGTTGTGGTCAAAGAGCGCTTGGGGGTGCTTCTCGCGATGCTCGATGAACTTCTTTTCGGCCAGGGAGAAGATGTGTGTTGGCATGCTGGCCTCGGGCTGTGTCCAGGCCTTGAATGAAACGGCTTGGGTGTAGATGCCAAGCTTGCTCAATTCTTGGATGACTTTGGATGGCTTCTTGGGCGGCGCTGCCTCGGCCGGCGGGCTGTCGTCCTCGCTGCTGTCGGGCTCTGCTGCGGGCGCGTCTGGCGGTGCGTATTTGACCTTGACGAGAATCTTTCGCTTCAAGTGGTCGGGGCTGGGCAGCAGGCCCGGTTTGGCCTCATCCTCGGTGACCAGCATGCCACTCCAGACTTCCTTCATAATGTTGGCCATCACGACTTGCTGCTCGGCGCCGCAATGGACCTCGAGACTGACAATCAGCGGCAGGTCTGATACGGCGAAGGCGCTATCTCGAATGGCATTGCACACATCCCGAAAGGAAACCTCCTTGGTCAGCGTGTAGCCATGAAGCACGCGAGGCTCGACAAGGGCAACCTCTGGCACGGTCCTGGCGCCGCCATGGGAAAATGCACGGGCAGCTGCGCCGGTGCCGTGTCTCCCCGTGTATCTGTGTTCCCGAGCTTTCCCCAAGCTAGTCTTTTCAAGCCTGGACGTCAGGCTCTCCGGTATCTTCTGTCTCAACTTGTCAAATGCACCGCGGTGTTTTGACTTGGCCGGCACGGTCTCGTCGTCGGTTTCTTCATCAGCTAGACTCTCCGCAGGGCTGGAAGACAAATCCGACTCGTCGCCATCCCAGACGTCAACCTCAACGCAGCGACAGCCCCGCAGGAGAACGTTGGTGTAGGCGTCGGTTGTGCTGTCGCTATATAGCTGGTTTCCCGTCAGATATGTGTTGTGGCTAGAACTGATGAAGTAGCTCGAGAGAGGCCAGGACAAGTCGCTTTGGTTCCAGGGCTCTGTTATATTACCATCTGGCGACGTCATGTACTGCAGAAATGCGTTCAGATCGACATCTGACCTGTCCAGCAAGTCGGCGGCTGCTGTGGTCTTGTCGCTATTTTTCTGGACACGTTGGATGAATCGCGTGATCTGACCCCGAGTCCATCTTCCGTCGGCATCAGCGTGGGACTCGAAGATGGCTTTCAGGTAGGATATCACGGTATTGGAGAGGGCCGTGGTGGCTCCTTGGGTTTGACTGGCTCCCCCGCCGGCTTGCTTGAGGGCGTCTGATGGCTGATTGGCCGTCATGCCGGCTCTGTCTCCGGCGGTTAGTTGTCTCGGGGAGACGTGAGTATGTACGTTGTCTCGAAGAGCAGACGGCGAGTGGTGCCGCACCAACAGTTCGTCTTTGTCCCAAGTGGTCAGGCACCCGAGGTAGTTCAGGAACCCGCCAGCGCAGCGCAGATGCAGCAGATGGGGGGAAACAAAGCCATGGGATTCCAGACGTCGCTGTTCAGGGTCAGACGCAGACGGATTTCAAGCAAGCTGGGGGAGCATCTTTATTCTTGAGTGGACCAAGGCTCGAGTCTCAACCACAGCCTTGGGCCGTCCCGTGGGCCGTGGCAGGATCAAGGCGGCGGCGGACGCACAGGCGGAAGCGGAAATGAATGACTGGTCGACCCCTGTCATCTGCTTGGCTCAAGGCTCAGATACACCGCTAGCACCACTTATTAAGCTATTAGGTCCCCAGGCTCAGGTACACCTGAGGTATCGGATACTTACTACTCGCACGTGCGGAAGGTGCGATGTACTCCTCCCGAGTCCCTACAGTGGGCACTTGCCACTTGCCACTGGGTGCCTCCGAGCACCAGCAAGGAAAGTGCTCTTTGATGCACCAGCGGCGTGCAAACTTTGGAGACGGCCTCAGAGTCCAGACATGTAGGCCAGCACCACAATGAAGCTTTCGCCCAACGCCGCCTTTGTTCATGCCTTCTTTGCGGGCAAAACCGTGTGCGACATTTCCCTCCGATGCAGGCAGCTTTTGGACGTTCAAGCCAGGTCGTCAGCAGCACCAACCAGCCTCGCCTCCTCGATCAAATCAGTCCTTTCCACGATAGTCACGGTCGAGCCGCCAATGTTGCGCCCATCCTCTTCTCCTAGTGCTGGTATCCTCCAAAAATGCGCACCACCCCTCCCCAGGGCAAGGAATCCACTCGTCGGGGCCAGGGCTGACCAGATTCCAATCCAGATATTCACGCCCAGTACCTGGTTTGCCCCAGATGCGCCTGATAACCTCGGCAAGGAACCTGGTTTTAGCCTTGCTCAATATCAAGTCCAGATATATCAGGTGTATGGGCTCTCGCGTGAACATGGAGGTCGGTCTTTGTGTGAGTACATGCTTTTCACCCCCAGAGTGCCGATTAACCGCCCAACCGGTTCCAGTCCTCAAACAGGATCCGTCAGGTTCAGAAGAAGTAGCCACAAACCTAGCTTCATGCTACGATCAAGGCCTCATCTCTGCCCCCCCGAATACTCCCTTCAAGGCGAAAGCCTTTTATTCATTCCCCTCTGTTACGTGCAGCGGTCGAATCGAACGGGCGGCGTTTCCTCCTCTGCCTTGTTCGCCGTGTGAGAAGCAGCAGCGTGCAACTAGTAGTCTTTCTGTGTGCAAGCTTTGTACAAATGTCATGAAAAAGGAGGAGGTCTTTTCTTCATGCAACATCTGCGCAACCCTTGTGGGACAAAGGTAACAGGCGAACCTTGCATGGTCCGCTGAAGACGCGTGTTGCCTGCCAGATCCATTAATGATTCGGTGCGTCGACGAAAATACTTGGTCTAAGCTTCAAGTATTAGGCCACGAAAAAAGACAGTAAGTAAATGTCGATCCCAAACGCATGTCATCGTAGCCACGTACCTGGTCACCTCAACACCCAGCAGTCACCTCGAGGAATAAGGGGGGCCGACTCGACGGGCTGCCCAAGGCTGTTGACGTGTTGAGACGGCAAGAAAGTCGAAACATATCTAGTTCAAGATATCGTGACCTTGAGTTGATGTTGGCCAAAAAACCATCTCGCTCCCGGTTCCAGTGTTGGTCGTGGGCTCGTCTTGTTTTGCGTGTCAACATCATCATCATCCATCCCAAGCCGCGTCCGACATGGCGTGATGAGTCAACGACTGGCACTTTCTGGGAACCATCGCGTGCCTGTTTAGCCCTCCAGAATTTATGATGTCTCCGTGGTATCAATCTCACGCATCAAGCTCTCAGGCTTCACGATTTCTCCCAGCTACATGCCGTCATGCCAACTGGCTGCAATTCCCATCATCGCCGCTGCCCTACCACGACCCAACTTTGGCACATGTCGCACAACCGTCCCCATGTGCGTCTGCCTAGTATACATCCTGGACGCTTTTCAAAACACTGGCGCCGTTTTGATCGGGGAGGAATACGCCCGTCAGCACGGGTATCCCGCGTGTTGACGCCGGAACCGGCACCGGCCGCGGCCCCACTCGTAATTCGGCCCCGCGCCGTCGACCCTTGCATGCATGGTGCATGGTGGAACGTCGTCACGGCCGGACACTTCCAGCAGGCACCTCCGGTGGCCGTCAGTCAAATGCGTTCCTGACCACGCCGAAGGCTCGAAGCATCCCTTGACTCCTCAGTGTGTCGAATCTCAAAGTAGGCTGTGAGCCTTCATCTTCGTACTTGTAAACCTCCGTTGCTCGCCGTTTTGAAAGGCAGCTAGAGGCGATTGTCGTCCCTGCCGACCGACGGGACATTCAGTGAAGTGACACGGACTGCCGTTCACTTCCTACGTGGTGTTGTTTGAGTCCTTTCTCGCCGCACCGTCTTCCAAAGGCCCCGTGACTTGAGCTGCTTCCCCGCCCTGCCCAAGGCTCCAGAATACACATCAAGATTTACCCTTCATTGCCGGGTAAGGGCGACGTCTCGCGAGCACGGAGGCGTCGCAGTCGCGCTACTTAGTCTCGAAGCCCTCGTCGAACAACTCACATCCGCCTCCTGCTCCAACGATTCAGCCGCGAATAATTCACGCAGGTGCAACGCGAAAGAGACAGGGATGTCTACTCAGATCCATCACATCACTCCGAGTCGCCATCGTACGGCTGCAAGAGGAAATGTAAATATACGTTTCGACACGAGTCTTTGGTCCGCAGACACGCTGCATTCATCCTTCGTCTCCGCCTTGCCTGTCTTTCCGCCATCGCTCTACAAACTCCTCCAGATCCAAGTGCAGCCTCAGTCCCTTCCCCGTCATAGTGTTGTACACGGACCGTAATTCATCCGACTTCATTTCCCGTATGAGGCTGCAAAACGCCTCCATCATGATGTCCTTTGACCACGGGCAGTGCCTCAGCCCCCGGTAAAACAAGTCCTTCACTTTCGGTCGCAGTTCCTTGTGCGCGTGGCTGAAGCGCAGATATGCTGTCCACAGTCCAATGTTTGTCTTGCAGGTGTCACTCGACAAAGCATGCTCAAACGCCGCTTTCGCAGTGTCCGTGTTCCCACGCGATATTTCATGCTCGATGGAAAAGACTCGAGTTGTCACACAGTCGCGTCCCTTGATGAGCATCTTGTCATGGAGCATTTGGCGAGTCTCGTCAATGACGCGCAAGCTCGAGTCGGCCCACTCTGTGAGCGAGAGAAAGATTGAGTTCCGGGGAAAGAAGTCGAGGAACTTGTATAGCTGTTCGCGGAGGTAGATCCTTCGAAAGGGACTGCATACGGTCAGGCGGGGGTGGCCTGGGAAGGAAGATCAGAGCCAAAACTTACCCTCGTGTTGCATTCAGGTACAACAGTTCCGCGCCGAATTGGAGTATGCGCTCGTGTGAACGGGTGTTTGCATCCCCGCGCGCCTTCCATTCTGCGGACATTGCCTCGACGGTATTCATGGCGGCGGAGATATTGCCCTGGGTGTTTGATGTCGGCTCGACATTCCCTTCATCTGTCAAGTACGACAACAGAGTCAGACCTTCGACAAAGACCGCGGCATCATCGGCTCTCCCTTTGTACAAGCACTGGTGAATATTTGCGACCAACTCTTGTCTTGTCTTGAGAATGACTGCTGGTGAGGTGCTGCCAAGGTCCATCTGGGCCTGGGGCAACGACTTTTCGACAGCAGAGCACATCCGCGCAGTGGCCAGCGTCTTGTTCCCTGCTTTCAACTCTTGCAAGCTTCGCGACTGGTGGAGCTGGAATCCTGAGGCGCCGACGCGTAGCTGAAATGCAAAAGTTAGCAAAAAGGAGTAACCCTTGGCAAAAGGAGCAACCCTTAGAAACGGTTCCAACTTACCGATGGCGCCTCCATTGCCGACACGAGCACTTTTTGCCCGACATCCATGTTTTTGTTGGCAAACTCCGCTAGAGCGTATGCGTTGTAAAGCTCAGCATTGTTCGGGTATTTCTTCAACAATGCCTTTGCAGGTTTTTTAACGGACAAAGGTTCGGTCGCGAAGCTAAATCCAAGATAGTACAGAGCTAGGCTCTCTACGTCTGCCTCGTGAACCAACTGCTTGAGCAGGTTTCTCACAAACGACTCCTCCACCGCAAGATTCGTCAGGGATGAGCCGAAAGACTGGAACCAGTCCGGCCCAGCAAAGAGGAGGCCAGGGGACATCGTTGCATTGAGTACTCTAGAGAATGATGGAGGCTTCCTCCGAACTTCCTCGTGCTCATCTGATACTGTTGCCTGTGGCACATCTGTGCATGTAACGGTAGATCTTGAAGTGAACTGGTCGTCAAAGGCAAGTTCTGCCAGGGGTACGGAGCGAAAGAATGGTGGTAATCCGCAGAATATCAGCAGGGCGTCAATGAGAAGCTTTCCCGGTCCGCTTCTCAACAACTCATCCGGCACCGTGAACAACAAAGGTTCAATATCGGAAATCATGACTACACGAAAAGGATCATCCTCTGTGCCATCATCCAAAGTCCTCGCAGGCAATTTCGCCTTTTGAGCATGGCACACCTCGGAATGCGCCCACGCCTTGTAGGCATCTCTTGTCGAAGTATTCGCCACTGGATTGTCCCTGTGAGGCTCTGGAACGTCCACTCGTCCACCGGTTGCCATGTAGTGTTTCCAGCCCTTAGCATCAACCTCTCCTAGCCGTGGGACTTCGCTCTCCCAGAAGTCTCTAAACGCGTCCATGGCAGTTCCGCGGGTCTCTGAGCCACTTTTGAAGAAGTTAAACTCCAGCAAAGCTTGCCACGCGGCCACGGCTAGTTCCTTGTATCCAGAGTCATGCATCAATCTTGTTATCCGCAAAAATACATATATGGCTTCCTCGTAGTCTTTGTCTTGTGTGTCAGCCCGAGACAGGGCAGCGTGCAACCTGTCCAGTAGCATTTGCTTGACATCCTCGTACTGAAACGTGGCAATGTTTGACGTGGCAAAGTCTGCATGCGCCCTCCACAGCTCAAAGTTGTCCTCTTCGTCCTTTTCGATTTCAGACCACTTCTTTGCAGAAAGCTTGCTCGGCCAGATCTTCGTCCCTTCACGCATAAGACGGACAAGCACAACTTGTCTGTCCTCAGGCACAACGGCATTGGAAAGAGCCGACTGAAGCATGTCAACTTTAACCTCCGAGAAACTGTGTGCCGTGCTAGCTGACGTTCGCTCATCGATAGCCTCACCCGCCCGTTGCAGGTCATCTTGGTGGTCTACCAATTCCATCCAAGCGTCGATGTTTCCGGGGTGGTCCTTGACCTGCCTGTTCAGCTGAATAGATTTCCACCGTAGCGGGTTGTCGTGCTCCAGGTCCACCACCTCATCCTCGGACTCGGAGCTGTCTTGGTCCCATTCAAATGCCGCCTGCGCCTTGGCTTTTCCTTCGATAGATCTGTACGATGGGCCCTCATCTTCTTCCGACTCGGAATCTCGGACACCTTGCTTCCTCTTTTTGGAGCTCCCCACTGACAGAAATGCGTCATCCTCATCATACGCTGACGCCCTGGCCCGTAGTCTGATTGGATCCCGTGTTGGACGAAACGACCTGGACCGCAGTCCGTCCTTGTCTGAAAGTCCTAGACCCTCCCCCGGGAAGCGAAGGCTAAATTGATCCCTTGGGCCGTCGCGATGGATGACTAGTCTGCCGGCGGTACCGAGGACTCTGCCACCCCCGTAGCGGTGGTATGCTGGGACTTTGGCGCGGTCAAGGCCATACTTGGATATGAAACGGTCCCCCTTGGTGTCAACAACGAAAACCGACGAGGCACTTCTTTCAGGCGGAGGCTTTGAATCTTGCCGTGGGCCTTGCCGTGGTTCAAGTAGCCTCTCTCGGCGTCGGCAGTCACGTTCATCTCTCCGGCGAAAGTCGCGGCTATGGCGAGAGCGATGACGCTTATCTCGGTGTGCTTCCCTGGATGAGCTTCTTTCGCCATGTTGCTCTTTGCCGCCATCAGCCTCTATAGCTCTCGCGGAATCCTTGGCTTTGAATGAGGAGAATTTGGGCACGGTGAGCTTTGCGTCGCTCTCGCTGTCTGACATAGCCACCCGCGTCACAGCTTCCGTGCCGACACTTTGCTGAAGAGTTGCGCTTTCGCCATACACACACAGCTGGAGCCCTTATCCAACGTGTCTTCATGGCACCTCGTGAGCGTGTGAATTGGCGAAATAGGTCGAGTGAAGTTCTGGAGGCCCCACTTTATTTAAACCAGCTTGGTCCTTCCACCTCACAGCTCCACCTCCCATCTCCCCATCTTTGGTCTTTGGGCCGGACCTCAACCCTCGGCGCCATGCTAACCTCAAATCTCTTCAATCGGCTTCATCCCACGATTCTCCTGTCGGACGAGACACTACCCGGACCGCTTTGTCAATGCCTCGGCCAGGAACTTTTTGAAATCACAAAATTCTCCTCCTTGGCAGGAGGAAAGGCCCCTCTTGACCACCTCGTGCTTGCTAGTCGCATGCCATGTCCATGGACTACGTCTCAACACGCCCGTCCCCTTGGATATTGATCCCAACTGCCGTCGCAACTCTCGTCGCCTTCTCCTTCGCAATGGGCCTCTTCTCCGGGAACAAGATGCCCGTCGAGGGAAAGGCAAGCCCGCCATCCATCTGCCAATCTGCTTCCGCCACCAATCTGCTAACTGTCATCAGACGGTCCTCATCACAGGCGGATCCGAGGGCCTAGGCCTCGCTGTCGCACAGCAACTCGCCGCCAAAGGAGCCAACATCATCCTCGTGTCTCGAAGCACCGCCAAGCTCCACGAAGCGCTCAAATCCGTCAAAGTACAGGCCTCCTCCTCTACCCCCAACTAACACCACCGCAGGCGTCGGCAAAATCCCCCAGCCAACGATTTCACCACATCTCTGCCGACGTGTCCTCCCCCTCCTACGCAACACCTCTCATCGCCGCCGCCACGGCGTGGAACAACGACGAATCACCCGACATTGTCTGGTGCTGCGCAGGCACGTCCTCGCCCCAACTCTTCACCGAAATGGAAATGGACTCCCTGCGACGCCACATGGACGTGAATTTCTATGGAACCGCTGAAATGTCCCACGCCATCCTGAGAAGCTGGCTGTCTCCTTCCGCTCCCGTCACGCCCGACTCGAAGCATCTCATCTTTACTACGTCGACAATAGCTTTCTACACCGTGCCCGGATATGCACCCTACGCGCCTTCAAAGTGGGCCCTGAGAGGTCTGGCAGATACCCTCTCCCAGGAAGTCATGATGTACCCGCAGAATGTCAAAGTCCACGTCGTGTGCCCCGGGACGATCCTATCTCCGGGATTTGTGCACGAGGACCAGGTAAAGCCGGAAATCACCAAGATCTTGGAAGCGACGGACCCGAGGCAAACGCCCGAAGAAGTCGCTGCAGCCTCAATCAAGGCATTAGAAAATGGCGACTACCTTGTGACGGTGAATTGGTTGGGGAACCTGATGAGGCTGGGCATGCTTGGGGGCTCGTTCCGGAACAACTGGGTTGTAGACACGCTCGGCGCGTGGCTGGTTGCCATTGTATGGATCTTTGTGCAGCCCGACCTGCATGGCAAGATTAGGGCCTATGGCAAGGAACACGGGCATCCTACCATGCGTGACAAACAAGCTAATAGGGCTTGAGGGGAGGTGTAGATGAAGTCGTGCGCCGGGTGGCGGAAAGACGCCGATGCACCTGTATTGAGATACCTTGATATGCTCTATGATTCCGCTTTCAAGCGCCACTCCATTTACCAAATTTGACATATCTCTTGAACATTTCTCGCAATATCGCCCTGCCGCTGCTATCCATGGCGTCGTTGAGAATCTTTCTTCCTTCGGGTGATGTGATGTCGAAGATGGAATTCATGGCTTGCTCAAGCGCATCGCGTACCTCTGCCGACACGCTCGTTTCAAGCTGCAGTTTGACATATCGCACCAGAACAAGGTACATGTGCCGACCCGCAGATCGCTTCGCAGCATCGGTAGCTGGGTCCAGCGAGCTGCGGAGTTGCGAGCGGGAGACTGCTCCGGCGGTGGGCTCGCAAATCAGTGTGATGAGCCGGGCATACAACTGAGCCTTGGCCTCCTGCGTGAAGCTGTCCGCTGTGGTGGCGTCGTGTTGATTCATAATGAGGTTCTGGAGCAAGATTTGCATCGTGCTCAACAGCAGGTGGAAACGCCCTTCGAGTCGAAGACGGTGCTTCTTGATAATCACTTCGACCAGTTTGCAGAGCCAGGGATACGACACCGTGCTCTCGCCGGCACTGCGGCCTGACGCGAGACGGGATACAGTGCTCAGCGTCAGCTCAATGTTCCATTGGCTCATTGACTGCGGTCGTCTCTCCAACAGGCCCCGCAGGATGCGAAAAATGACATTGGCGTGGGATGGTCGCCGTAGCAGCAATGGCGTCAAGTCATTGTGGAACGTGGCGAGATCAAAACCATCCTCGGTCTGAAGCTGGAAATCGGACGACTCTGGTGGTTCGGTCAGAGTGTCGGTTTGGCAATTTAGCGACTCGGACAAACATACCAATAATTTGACTTGTCAGGTGCTCAATGGCAAGCAACTGACCATCCGTGTTGCAGCCTCCTTTGAGCTCGCCCAGTAGTCCTCTCAAGTATGACAATTTCGAAACCCCATCCATGTTGGCAGACACAGATTCGACAAGCTCCTTGAGCACGGCCTCTCGCGTACTGTGAGGCAGACTTGACACGTCGTCAAATGTGGTTGGCGGCGACGCCTCAAGCATATCTGACAAGTAGCCGCGGATGAATATTTGTATCTTCCACGCTCGCAAATCGCCATCTCGCATTGCTTGTCTGCTTCGTTTTTCTAGCTTCCTTATCGAAGGTGACTCGAAGCTATTCTTCTCAGAGAAATCTGTGGCTGCAGCAGCATTCAAGGCAGCCAGAATGCTCATGTCCATGGTGGGATCAGCACGCTCAAGTACTTGTTTTTCCGACACACACAACTTGATGAGTTTTGTAATGCATTTCGATAGAGCTTGTCGTGTCGCAGTCAATAGAGGCGCAGAATCTGTGTTTGAGGGGCTATTCACAGATCGAGCGAGCTCAGTGCCCAGAGATTTGAGCAGAGTCATGTGGAGGGCTGGCAGGTCAAGTTTGTTTTCAGAACTCTCTTCAGCTTGCTTCTCGCAGCTTGACACGAATGGTATTGCTTCGTGGAAGTACTTCGTACTTCGTTCATCAACGTGGCTTGCCATCTGCTTGATGACTAAAGAAGCCATACAAGAAAATCTCTCAATGACCTCCAGGATTGTCTCGGTGCCGTCTTCTTCCGGTACCAGTGAGAGCTGGGACAAGGCAGAAGATGCCTCCACTAAGTCTGAGAATCGCATGCCGTCGTAAAATGTAGGCCGTTTCATAACTTTGCACACCAAGCCTAGTGACAGCTTCCAATCGTTCACGTCATTCTTAGCGGCAGACTTTGAGATCCTCGACTGCCGCTTGGCCAATATCGTCATGAGTTCTTCTCGCTGATTACGATCGAAGCAGTCCGTTGGGACACCCGACAGCGTCTTCATCCACATTTGACCATTTTCGCCTGGCCAGTCACTCTCCGTTTCAGACTCCTCAAACGCTGCAAGCAGGCGATCGACAAGGCCATGTGCAAGCTTCTTGGCATTGATATTGGTTTCGTTCCGCATCAACGCCGTCCAAAAAGAGGTCAACCCGTCTGTGCATGATTTGGGCGATGAAAATGCCACACTGAGCGCGGGCGGCAACTCGCCGGCCCTGGACATGTAGAGTTTTAGGAACCGGCTGGAGCCATTCAAGAACCAGGCAATGTACTGCTGATGGCCGTATTCTTCTTTAAACGCCGCTTCATTATTTAGGCTGAGAGCCGCTGAGAGTTGGGTACCTTCCAGAACACTGGTAGAACTTGTCTCAGCAGCAAGTCTCTTCGTGAACGCTTCTACCAAGCCTGCGGGCTCTTCAACCCAAGGTCCATCGGGGGACACATAATCCCAAATTTTGTAGCAGCATTTGAAAGCCTCGAACGCTTCGGCCGACAAAATTGGTGACTTTTCCAAAGCCCTGGTAAGACGCTTCTTAACAGCAGCCCAAATTTCTCGCCTTTCATCTGGTGCCACGCACGAAGCAGTCATTGACACGACTCGCCATCGTAAAGCCGTCAAAGGAGAAGCAGCCTGCAAACCATCCACCAAATCGAAGAGCTGCCGACCAACAACATCCAGATATTGTTCACTATGCACTGCCTCGGCGATGACAGACGCAAATAATGCAACGGCTTGGGGATTGGATTTTGATTTTTTTTCCTTCAACCACGCAACAACCTCATTGAGACGCTTCGGAGACATTTCAGTCTCTAAAATGGAAGTAAGCGAATCCTTTTTAGGCTGTCTCTGAGAAAAAGTAAACCAAGCCGACTCCGTGTGAAAATTCTGTCTCTCGACGTCTGAAAGTTGCTCAAACCATAGCCGCAAGAAGCTTGGCAGGTCACGACGAGTGCGGAAACCATCTTCAATCGCCCCAATCACTTCCACAATTGCCGTTTTATTAGCATCCTCGTTGTCCTCTCTGGCGATTCTGTCGCATATCTCTTTTCGCAGTTCGATACCGTCGTCAGATATTTGGAACACATCCGTTTCACACTGAGCAATCTTGGACACCAAGACCCAGCTGGTGCCACGATCCTGAAAAGCGTAATCTCGGCACACACGACGCAAGTCATCTACGCCAACTGGTGCAGAATGTACCAACGCTTGCTCCAAAACACTCTCTAGGAGAACGGTGCGGTCCTGTCTGTTCTTGATTGCCAGCTCCACAGTCTGAAAGGTCTGTTTGATCCACGCAACATTGTCCTTGCGAAGTCCACTGTCGGCTACGTCCTTGTATGTGCTCGATGCGATGAAGTACAAGGCAGGGGCAGCGAGGTGAATTGTGCCATGACACACCTGTAGAGCAGTTGTAAAGGCCTCAAGGGTTTGATGGTTGATGAAGGCGCCCCGTCCCGGCAGAGCAAAGTTGCGATGCATAAATGCGCGCATATCTGATGACCACTGTTCCTCCAGGCTGTCACGCACCTGCACTCGATTTGCAGAAGAAAACGATCCAACATTTGCCAGAATGACCGAGGCAGATCGGAACAGGTACATTGCCACACTCAGGACGTCATCCGTGGCGTGGAGATGAAGGTCCCAGACGGATGAAATGGTTTGAATCCAATCCTCGCTGCCCTCTATGTGGTCCCGTAAGTCGCTGGATAGGAGATTCTCGCAAATTTTGAAAGCGGGTGCCACGATTCTCGAAGCGTCTGCGGCCGATGTATAAAAGAAAGATTTAATGTATTCGGCGCCAATCTTGTCCCGCGAGAACCCCTCCACCGCGTTGTCCACGCGACTCAGTAATGATTTCACTGTCATGAAGAGAGCCCGAGCAGTCTCCAGGCACCCCTCTATGCTTCGCATAACATCGGCCGAGTAGGCGATGTTTGTTGATCGCTTTCGTTTAGACGGAGACCTCTGCTCGGGAGAGCCAACCGGTTTCGAGATGTCTTTCAACGTCTGCTGCAGAACTGCTGTGAATTTCCTATCCGCCAGCGATTTTGCCAGCGAAAACAGCGGGATTCTGCGGAAGACACAGTCGAGGATGTTCCAGGTGAGGGGGTACCGGCGCAACGTCTCGGCGGCTTCTGAAGTGCCATTCATGGACTTCAACAGCCATCTTAAGCTGCTCTCATCTGCAGCATGAAACGGTGTATCTGATGCCTGAGCTAGAAAGTTCCAAAGCTTCTGGAGATTCTGCCCATCATCTCCAGGGCCATTTTGGTCGAGGCCTCGCACGGTCTTGATGAGGTCCAAGTTATCCTGACGAGTCAGCACGAAGAATTCAGTCTCTTTGCATGTAGGAACTTACCATTATCAGCTGTCACATCCATTCAATCCATGGGCTTCTTGGATACGAAATTCAAGGCCGCCATAACGCTGCAAACGTTCAGCGTCGCTGTTAAAAAAAGACCATGTGCTTGTTGCGGTAAGTCCGGTAGTCCCCAGCCCAAAATTTCCCAAAATTCTGCCGCCCGGTACGACAAAAGAAGCCCACATGCCTGCCGAGGGCCTCACCGCCCTCGGGTAACCTGAGCGAGTGGCTGACCAGTTTTCGTCGCGATTGACATGAGGGCCAGCCATCCCGACGTCGAAGCTGGTTATAGCTCCAATCGCAGTACATTGGCATCAATTCCGCAAATACGCAAGTCGCCCCAGTCGCCAATCGATCTCCTGGTCTCCAGAAATCTCGCGCGCCATCACACAGTCTGTCTGTCCAGCATGCCCGAGTCCGCCCCTGCTGCAGCTCCTCCGAGCGCCATTTCCCGACCCGTCAGCGAGGCCCTCCTCAACGAGAAGGTATTTATATCATCGAGAGCACGCGACGGTATGGAATGCCACATCTAACGCCAATGTGTAGTGGGATCGCTGCCTGTCCAACCTCCTTGTCAAATCTACCCTCGGTCTCGGTTTCGGAGTCGTCTTTTCCGTCCTTCTATTTCGGCGACGAGCCTGGCCGGCCTTCATTGGTGCCGGATTCGGAGCTGGACGAGCCTACGAAGAGTGCAATTTCAATCTCAAGCTGGCGGCGCGCGACCTCAAGAAGCAGACTCAGTAGTTCTTTTATTTATTTTTTTTCCAATCGGCGAATTCCGACGACGCTTCGTCAATGTACAAACACAACAGATGGACGACGGTGGGAAAACGGTGGCAAGAAAGATAGATTACGGCATGGGTTGTTGATAAATCTGAGCCATTCGATAGGCCGCTAGCCTAATTGCAAACTCTTTGAACACCATTCGACCAACGGACTTGCTCAACCAACCCAAGTCTGCCGCTCGTGATGTCGCCCGATTTTTCCCACCTTCAGTGTTCAGAATCATAGGAATCCTGCGCCTCCAAATCGCAGCTGTCGCCATGAACCATTGCTCTCTCAGGTCTTTTCGTTGCAATGCCTCCCTCTCGATCCCGCCCGGTACTCGAGCCCGGCGAATCCGCCAGATCATACCAGTTCGAGACGTCATCACCCAACATGTGCCCGGAAGGGTGATGGTCGAGTTCGCCAGGCGTAGTGTTGTGCCGCACAGAGTCGACGTCGTTCTCGATGCATCTTTGCCATGAGACAACGTCGTGGTCGGCCATGTCCGACGCCATCAACCGCTCCAAACCTGTAAGCTCGTTTCTGACGTCTCCAGCAATTGACACGCTATGTTGACGAACATTACCAAAGACGCCCTCGTCCTGGCCAGGCGGCGATGGGCCGGTATCCCATCGCTCATTCCAGGATCCTCCCCATGCTTCAGTCCTGTGTCGCTTAAGAGGTGAATTCGAATGTGCTATGCGGACGCAAACGAGGATGAAGACGCCAAGGAAAAGGACGAGCACGAGAACGCCACCGGCCAGCAGTATAATTTCTAGTCTACTCTGTTCCATGTCACGCGTGGCATACGACATGTGGATATGGTGTCCTTTGCTATGTTATCTGCTGTTGCTTCGCGTGGCCGCTCCAAAGCAAGTACAATGGGTACATCGAGCCACGAGGTCGTCACATCGATTCGAATGTAGAGCGCTGCGCCGCTAAGTCGCATGACAACAATGATTCATCGGCGACTTGCCAAATGACACGTTTCTCGATGGTGGGGAAAACAAAGTTCATAACACAACCGATAAAAATACAGCTTGTAGGGCCCTAGGCTGAAGACAAGAGGTGGCGAGACGTGGTCGACAGAGCTGGCTGTCTTCCAACGTTGGACGAGGACGTACGAGAACACTGCAGCATTCAGGGCAAGAACCGAGACTGCACGGTAACACAGTACCAGAAAGCAGTGGTTGAGATGGGCTTTCCTCCTTGATTCTTGCCTCGGTGCCATGGAACCATTGCTTCACCTTGCAATGCCACCGTCAGCACTTCCCTGACCCAAGCTCAGGGCAGCTCTACGAGCCAAGTATGATTTCGGCATGACATCAGACAATTACACCAGCCCTCCAGCGCCACGACCAAGCAATTCCGTCGAAACATGTCGGAAACACCACAAATCGGAGAAAAGATGCACTTCTCACCGGTAGAATAAAAAAGACAGCAGAGTCCGTTGCTCTAGCACGCAAATATGACCGGTAGCAAGTTGACGATTCATTACCGGTTGATTAATCGTGCACGAATGTATGTGTGTGGAAGAAAACAAAGGGACAAATCGAAGGCACCACTAAGCGACAGGTAAGTTAATAACAAGCCAGAAAGGAAACTTCAGATCACGTGACGTAGTGTCCACCCACAAGCCCGAGGTGAAATTCTCGCGCGTCGCATCTCTGTGCCGTGTCTTTCTTCTCGTCCTCGCATCATTCTACGCCCTTACCCTGCGAACCCTCTCGGGTTGGGCTAGGTCGATCAACATTTTCCCATTCCGACGACGAGAAGAGCTTGCAAGTGCAAATCTTCCCGGGTTTTACAACGCCTTGATTTCGGGCAGAGTCGGTATAGGAATCGGAACGTCGGCCCCCCGTCTCAACGGCGCCGTGTGGTAGACTTTTTCTTTTTACTTTCCTGCTCCTGTTTCTGAAGCTAGGAGCGTCGAGAACCCACAATTTGCCTACACCTTGCTGCTTCCCATGCGCCAGCGTGTAACTTTTTCATCTTCGTTCGTATGTGGGAGAACAAGTCGAGGTCTAGACAACCGGCCCGCTCCACCCTGAAGGCATAGACGCAGTGTGACTTCAGGACTAAAATCGGGCAAACACGCCAATGAACGCTTTGTCATGTCTGTAATTGCAACTGCTACCGTTGCATCCTATCCAAACTCCAAAGCCGTACCCTTGGCATCCTTCTGTCGCGAGAAGCCCCAAGTAACAGTTGGATATGCCGCTCATGCCCCCGCAGCCTGCGGCAAGCTTGGGTTGCAACAAGCGTGCAGCGCTTCCCATCCCTATCCCTATCCCTTCCAACGCAATGTGCTGCAGCTTGTTAAGGATTGTCCAGCTCACCAGGCAGATGCGAGATTAGATCTTGCCGCCGAAAATGGCATTCTCGTCTGTAAACGACAGCAAAAACTTGGCCACCAACCGCCCCGTGTACAGAAACGAGCCGTCTGTAGAGTGCGTGCTCTCGCCCCTACTGAGAATAATCTCGTCATCGGCAAGGAACTGCATGTCTTGCCCTGCAACCAGTCAGCAGCGTCGAGCACGTAGTCGTGCCAAAGTCCACGAGACCGCTTACACGCTTCACCCGCAAACAAGTCCCTCATGCTGCGGACCATCTCTACCGCCGGCCCGTCCAGCTCCCCCTGCGCCTCGAAATTCTCATCAAACAGCGGGTTGAAACTCTTCGTGTTGGCGTCCTTGGCGTGCGTCTGGTAAATGTTGTGAAACTGGTACGCAAACTGCTTAAAGGGCATGTTCTCCAGCTCCTTGCAGATATCCAGCGCAAACCCCAGCCTGTACTCTGCCGGCGAGGCGTTCCGGCGATGAATCTCGTTTTGACAAGTGACAAAGTTGTCAGCCGTCGTCTCCACGGCTTCCATGAAGAGGCAGAGAACGAGGAAGGCCGCGGCGCAAGGTGCCCACTCGCGGCGGTGCTTGGGTTTCAGGGACTTGGAAAAGAGTTCGAAGACGACTTGCATTTCGCGGAGGATTAGCTCGTCAACGAGGGACTTGATTTGACGAGCGAGAACGCGCGAGGTGACGAAGGGCGCGTTTCGGCACACGGGGCCCAACGAGGGCCCGAGAGCGACGACGGATCGGGGGGTTATGCAGAGGTGCCGCGTCATGATGTAGTGCATTGCGTAGATGGATAACGCACGCCTGACCATTGGCGACTATGCAGCCTTCTTAGTGTCTGCCGCATGGTGCAAGGGGCCGGATCTTGTCACGCACGCGCTTCTCATGTATCACGGAGTACGTGGGCGTGATATGCGATGGGAGGGGAGGGACCTACATCGGACTGCTTGGCATATGTCTGCACGATCCTCAATATCTTGACGGGCAACTGCGTCCAAGTCACCGAGTCGGTAACCTGCTCCGCGTAGAAGGGTTCGTTCACTAGGTCCGCCACGTACGCCTTGACCTTCTTCCTCACGTCGTCCCTCTGGGCGGCCGTGTTGAACTCGAGCCCGATAGGCGCGGAGCCGTTCGCCTGGAGACTCTGGCTGCCACGGTGTGGAACCGTATGCCAGTGCTGCAGGACATCACGCGACTTGGGGGTGAAGAGGACGGCCTTGACGCTCAGGACCGCCGAGAAGCGCGGTCCGCAGAACAGCTCGACCTCGCACGGCTGCGGCACACCATCCGCCACCGGGCCGTCCACGTTGTCTCTGAGGAACTTGGCCATCTCGTCCTTCTTGAAGTGCGCCCTGATGAACTCCGGGAACAAGACGGGGATGAAATCGTGAAACTGCCAGCACACCACCTGCGGAATCTGCAGGATTAGCCGCTTGCAGTGCTTGCAGGGCCGCTCCTTGTCGCATTTCACCTTGCGGCTGTGACAGCAGAAACAGGCGCCTAGACGACGGACCTGCAGGGCGTTTTCTTTTGTCTCGTCCGCCAAAGGTCCCTTGCGGCCGCGCTGCGTGGCACGCATGGCCTCGAAGCACTCAAAGGGGTTGGGGCGGCCGGCGTGGGCGGTCATGGAGGTGGGTGTCATGATGAAGAACTTGCCGGATTGTGAGCCGGCAGGTTTTTGGGTCTTCTTTTCAATCTTGGCGTCCTTGACTTTGCGGACGGCACTCATGGGGGATTTGGAGAAGTCGGCCTTGATGCCGGGTGATTTGGGACTGGATCCCGGAGGCGGAGGTGCAGCGGACGTGATGCTGTTGCTCGTGGAGGTGTTGTTGGACGAAGGGACGAGCTCGCCAAAGGAGAAGATGTGATCGTCTGCCATGGTGGTAGGACTTGTCGCGTTCCACGGTGTCATGGCTGGGTCTGCCTGGAATAGCGACGACGTGAAGTCAGCTGTGGTGGTGGTTTGCCCGCTTGTGAGGAAGCTGCTCATGAACGGCGCCATGTCTGTGACGGAAGATTAGTATCGCATCTTGATCGGTACAGGTTGGTTGACAAGACTCGCCATTCATCATGTCCTGCTGCGACAAGCCTCCATCAGCAAACAAATACTCGTGCGGCGTCAGCAAGCTGCCGCTGCCGCTGCCGCTCCCGCTCGTATCCTCACTTCCCTGCACAAGCCTGGCCGCACCACCAGACGTTCCGAGCCCTTCCTGCCCGGCAAACGAGGTGCTCGCGGGCAAAAACATGGCCTGGTCCATGTCCACGAAACTTAATGGCGAAAGAGACGCCTGCGGCGGCGGCGTCAAGTTCGCTTGCGTGTGCCCGACAATGGCATAGCCATTCAAGCTACCGCTCGCAGGGCTCGGAAGGAACCCTACCGACCCAGCGGCCGACGCGCCGCTCGAATCATCTAGATACTGCCATGATTCGTCGTCTGTGTTCTCAAAGTCGAACGGGGAGGCATGCGGAGAGGTATGGGGTGCGAGGGAGGCGGCCATGGTCCCAGCTTCAACCTTTGCCAATGTCCTCCTTTCTGAAGTAGTCTGGTCGTTTGAATATCTCCCCCGCCGTATTCTGAAATAATCCCCCGATGTTTGGCTGCCGACAGCCTGGTTTCGACAATATGCAGACGAGAGGAAGCGCAGCTTCACGCCATCCGCCGCATCTACCACGCAGAAACCGAGTCCGAGGCTCGGTCCGCCGCAAGCACGCTCGCATGCAACAGTTAAAGGGATGCAAGAAGCATTCAAGGGCACGGGAAAAGAAGGCCTTTTGAGAACGCACCACCCTACACACTGTACACTTTCACCCGCAAGTGAGTGACGCCCATCGGATTCTGCGTGGGCGCTATACCGGATTGGAATACCGAAGGACTGGCCAGGGCTGGGTCAACCACCCACATTACATTGCGTTGCTGGACCACATGCAGCATGACAGCCTGGTCAAGACAGTAAGTAGGCTTCAGTCTTGCAGCCTCGAGTGCTTTTGGCCGGCGGACCGTTTGGTGGCCGTCTGATAACCGAGTGCTGGGTTGAGCCGTCAACTCATTACGAATGAGGAGGCCGGCGTTTGGCTTTGTTGAAGCCGAGCCCAAGTTGGACACCGTTGATGGATGGACCGTTGGTGGATTTTGCCTGCATAACATAGATGTCGCACTGCACACGCCGAACTTGCGAACCGTCATATATTCACGTCTATACGGAGTACTACCCCAAGCTACCACTACACTCCACAGACCAGGATTTGCACCCTCACCACCACGCGCCCACACACGTGTTCTGCGCGAGCCTGACGGAATATGGGACTATTGCCAAAATTCTTGCTTCTAAATAAAAACACGGACAAACAAAACCAAAACATTAGGACCATGCAACAGCAGGTGAGATTGTCAGCGAGTGTAAGCCCTCCTGTTTCTCATATATCAAGGGCCCCCGCAACCAGCGAGCCAGCGGTGTTGTCGTCGGACATCAAATCCATATATCTATTGTGTAAAAAAAAAAGACAAAAAGAAAAGGGTCATCGTCATCATAAAAACGTGTCATTTCCAATCAAGCTGTATCGACAAGCTGGCAACCGCTCACTCGAAGCCCCCCCTCCTATTCACTCTGTTCAATCTGGTTGAAAAAGGAGGGGAAAAACGAACAACATCCCCTCGGATAGTGCGGAAGCGAGGAGGACCCTGGGTCCAGGGACCAAGGGGATTCTGGTATCAAAGAGAAAAAACGTATAATGCGCGCTGGCTTGCGCGTGCGGCAAACCTAGGATCGGAATCGCGACTTTGTGCGTTCCTGGATCCGGGATTCGGTTTCAACGTATAAGCGGTCCAAGTATTCCATGGCCGATGCGTCCCTCAGGATCTTGGCGACTTGAATGCCTGCAGAGATGAGCTGCAGGATGTTGCGGTCGTCTTTGAGAGGACGGCTTTGGTGTTTGGCTGCGTGGCGCATCTCGAGCGAGTTTTCTAGAATGGTGACAAACTGCTTGATCTGGCCATTGTAGAGCACTCTTGCGGGGATGCGTCTCTTTGTCGCCAACCTCTTGAGCAGGTACACCCATTCAGTCCATTCGCGATCCTGTGGTCTTTCGACGGGCCGCATGTCCTGTGTGAGGGGGATAGGGAACTGGTACTTGGCCACGAAATCAAAGGCACACTGTGAGAGCCGGTCATTGACCTGGCTGAGGACCGTGTCCTGCTCTTGGACGTGGAGGTTGATTGGGAGGTGCGGCAGCTCCCTCTCCTGCATGTCGATGACCTCTTGCGGAGGACGTTGTAGGAACTGGTGAGGACCGTCAAACTCGTCTCGATTCGACGGGCGTCGCTGCGAGCCGCGCTTGTTGTTTTGGCGCGGCTTCTGCTGCGGGCTGGTCACTCCCACGACGTTCTCCACGGAATAGTCGGACAGGCTGGGCGAAACGACAATGTCCTCGAGGGAGCCCGTGGGAGAGTACTGCCCAGGATTGTCCCAGCCCGTAGTCTTGCCTGGGTTCTTGTAACCACCGAAGGCAACCCCCATGGATGAAGAGGACGTAGATGGCGCTCGTAGCGCAAATGCCGGCGACGTCGAGGTGAACGTGTCGGCCCGCGAGTTGTAGCCGCTGCCGCTTCTGGGAACAGTTCTGTTCTGAGTACAAGAATTGCTCAGATTCATGGTGCTGAGGGGGGCAGCGTTAACCACGTGCGCGTGCCGCGGAAGACGCGATGTCTGCCACGTACCTGAGAGGGGAGTAGAAGGCATTTGCAAAGCCATCATTGCCATATGGATCGATCAGCGCACTACAGCCTACGTCAGTATTACGACCACAGTGCCATGGAGAAGCATCGTTACTCTCGCACCTGTGGCCTGTGTTCCACGGATCTCTGGATATGGTAGCGCTCTTATACGCCAATGCAGCGTGCGGCATTTCTCCCGGAATCATGCTGCAACCGGGCGTTGGACAAACAGCGGCTCATGGGCCGGAGCAAGAAGAGCAGGAGAAGAAAGTGCACACGGCGGAAGGGAATCGTATCTGATGCGCAGCGCGGCGAGTAGGCCAAAACGTGGTGGCGGCTAATACAGCCCAAGGACGGGGGGGGCGGTCCTCGACTCCTCGCAACCTGTTAGCTGGCAGGTGGCAGGCAAGATCAAGGATGCTGGAGATGAGCCGGCAGCCAGAGTAAGGTATCTCTAGAGAAATGCAAAAACCAATGGCTCTGGGGAATGCATCCAAAAATGACGACAGTCCGCGGGGGGGGGGGGGTTGGTTTTCCTCGGGTTCGGCGCAGGCAATGAATGCGAAGCGGTGTGATGCGAAGCGCAGGTGACCAAGTCCACAGTCACCACCAGTGCACACCTGCAATGACCAAGTCAAGTCGACTCGACTGTTTGTCGTCGATGGAAAAGAGGAAAAAATGAAAGGAAAATGAAAAATGAAAAATAATCGTGTGGCCACGACAACAATATGGTGCAATCCTTGGGGGCAAAATATCCTTGGGAGTGATGTCCTCGGCTCGGAGGGTTCTGGGATCCTTCTTGTTCTTCTTGTTCTTCTTGTTCCCGTCCAAGTCTAACAAGCGTATCGTACACGGCTCTACCTGGTAGTACGATATGAAGGAGCTGATGCGGGAAGGGAAACGCTGAAAAACCCCAAGGCCAAGGCTTGCCGCTTAGATTGTGTCGAGAGAATGGGTGGGACCAAGGAGCAGGGCTGCAGAGGTCGGATCCGGAATGCAGATGTTTTTATGTCTGGTGAGAGACGGCGACGGGCCATGAAGCCACGGGCATCGTCGGGAGCGTCGTGAAGGCAGCAACGGCGGGGAGCACTAAATACTAGTTAGTGCTCGTACTCCGTAGTAACGCTTCCGTTCCTTGCACATAGTACATTGTGCCATCAATACTTGAGAGCCCGGTGCCGGGCCGGCAGGCTTCTTCCCGGTGCCTGTTTTCGTTGTCGGGTCGAGTCTGGTGCTTCAGGAATCAGCACGGATGAGACAGGTTACCTTGCGGCTAGACGCTCTAGGTATTCCATTCCATTGTCCATCCAGCCAGGGACAAGGCAGGAGCCCATGCATGTACAACAGTACCCTCCTGTCTCTGTCTCTCTCCTGGTCGGCGGTGCAAATCAAAGCCCCCGGGCTAATAAGACGTGCGAGCTGCTAGGATTTCGCCCCGAAGGGATGTGCTGCCGAAGCCCGAGGGGCCAGGATTGGGAAACGACAGACGACATGAACAGCCAAGGTACGGAGTACGGAGTAAGTAGAGTACGTAGGTCCAAGGTCTATGCTCACACATCCATGTCCATGTCCGAGCATGCTAGTAGTGGTACTTGAGCAGTAGTACTCCGTAGTACGGAGAACGCAAGTACTATGTGCATGCCACGGAGCGCTCCGTGGCTACCAGGCACGCACATGTTGATGTAACTCAGGACCGCGCCGGGCGTTTTGCCGGCCTGCGCCTAAAATAACAATAAAAGTAATAAATAAGTTAATTCTAACGAGTACGGAGTAGCCACACGTTGGACGTTGGAGAAACGGATAGCATCCCTACTGGGCGCCACATGGCAGGGAGGGATTGACAAAACCGTCCAAGCCCCAGGAGTCACTACTCCGTAACTACCAAGTACTTAGTACTCGGTGCCCATTGGCAGCAGCGGCAGCAGCAGCAGCAGCAGTGCAGCTTTGACGAGGCCTGCCATTGCGTTCAGGGGCCTGGCCATCGCCCTTTGTTCATTTCGGTCGGCCGTAGTATCACATTCACTTTGACACGATGCGCCACCGAGCATTTTACTCGGAGCAATAGCCGTTATTTTCGTTTGTTTGTTTGTTTGTTTGTTGCTTGCTTGCTTGCATTTCGCGAGTGCTCCCAGTTCTTGAAGCTTTGGCACCATGACCGGCACGGCCTTCGTTATGCTTCCATGCGACGAGACCGATTGGCCATCTGCATTGTTGCCCAACAAGGAGTGGCTGTCGACTCGTCGGAAGAGAGAGAAAAAAAAAAGAAATCATCCCAAGTTCAGCCTAACCAGGCCCCTTCCTGGCCTTGAACACGCCTGGTGAGACCATGTACGTATGTACATATGTAAATGTAATAGAATGTACACAGAATGCATTGCACATGTGAGCCCGAAGCATTCGCCTTTCGTCACTGGACCAGGACCCGTATTGGGTCATGACAGACGTGCGGACAGGGAGCCTCCTTGTCGTCGTGAAGACGCCAAGGGCTGAAGGAAGAGCACGGACTAGGCCCAAACCAAGCATGGAATTCTCGGACGTACGGAGTTTTGATGCACAAAATCACTACACGCTTTGGGCATCACATCAGGAGGCCAATCTCCGCATCAGCAAGTACTGTGGGATCATGCTCCGAAACCCCCATATCCTGGCTATAACCCACAATCCCGTTGATGCAGATTGTATGCTAGATCTCGAGAACGAGTTGAGTAGTAGGCACTCCGGAGTCCGTATGTCACGGAATGGCAAGCAAACCCCATCATGTTACAGAGTACGCACGATGCCCAATCACGCCTCATGCCTCATCTCCGCGCCCAGTCCAACATCCAGCCTGGGCAAGTTGGCGCAAGTTGGGTAGCTCGACGAGGGCCGGGCCTGCAGACGTAGCAGAGTCGGATACTCATTCGAGAAGACGGCGTGATGCGAGCAAGATGTAACGCCTCTCGGCTGTAGACACGCGGCATGCGTGTTTAACATAAGGAGGGCATGCTGGCCGTGGAATCGATGCGAGACGTGTGTGCCTGTGTGCCGTTTGCCCTTTTCTGTGGTTTGCATTAATGAGGCTACATTCCCAATGATGATGCATCCATCGAATAAGCTGTCGATTGTGGTCCGTCAAACGTCTCGTCCTCTCTTCCTCGCTGGTCCTTGTCTGATTGCAGCCACCATGTGGCGGCTGCAATGCTGGTGATTGCGGCCAGGAGAGCCATCCATGGCCGGGAAACCGACAATTCATTGCGACCAATCTTGTCGATACGGGATCAACATCGTCCTGGCAGCAATGCTCTCGTCTCGTAATGAACGTGGAGCCACGATATGATGCTTTACGCTTTGCCCGGGGCATTGATAGACGCTTGTCTGCGAAAAGCGGAAAACAAACAAATCGCAAAATTTCCTAACAGATGCTGACGCGTACTGAAGGCAGAGGCTTGTTTGACACGACGCGTCATGTCGTGAACCAGCAGCTCAAATTGCATTTTATGCAATGGCATCAAGTCTAGTACGGAGTACGGAGTACCACAGCCAAGAATGCCTGAGTCGTGGCGCCAGTCATGCATCGCAAGACCATGATCCTCGCCTATAACACAGCTTGCCGAATTAAAGAGCCATCATCAACGGTCGTTTCGTTTTCGGGAAAAAAAAAAATCAATGGTGTAGGTTGCGAGCCGGCCGGCAGTCAACACAACATAGAAATGAACGCGGACCAAAGTCAGCACGAGGCATACCGCCGTGTGTCTGATCGAGAATACCGACTGGCTGCCTGCATTCTCGGAAGCCTCATCATCGTGATGAGTGCAAATAGCAGCGAACCAAATCTGCACGAGGTTGAAATGACTAGAATCCTAACAGCCAAATAGTAGTACACAGTTAGGACAGCGCTGTCGCGTTTCAAGAGACTTCCCTCCTTCCTGATCACGTGTCTCGGTTCAGAAAACACGCCACTGGCAGCATGAGAAATCCAAATCGCTTCAAGCGGCTCCTCCGCACCAGACGGCTTTTTCTTTCATAATGAGCTCTTTTGCATCCTGCACCGCATCCTCCATTTTTACTCTGTACGACGTAGCTTACATAACTACATTCTGTCAACGTCAACAACGACGGTCAAACGCCGTGATGCCCTCCAGCCACAGCCCCACGTGCAGCGCGTGCCGGCCCGTTACCTAGTCATTCAACCTTCGAGCCATGACCGTTGTTGCTTTCCCGTTCAGTATGGAGCACTGCTACGGAGTACTACCATTACGAAATATCGACCCGTCCATCACCTGTCCATTTCATGTCCGCCTCGTCACACCGAGAGGCCTTGGACTCAGGATTGAAACGTGTTGATCAGCCATCTACGGAGTAGGCTCGGCTACGTGGCTGCCACGGGTAGCATGTTATTCGCTGCCTCATCAAACCATCAAACAAGGTAGAATTTTCTTTCCGCCCTACAATGTCTGTCTCGCGCCAGCTGGCCCTCGCTTGACCCCGCTTCCATATTGGACAGATGCGCCGTCGTACCGTCCACCATGGGCCACGTCAGGATATGCGAACCTTGCCATCAACGCAGGAGCGGTCACACGATGAATGGTGTTGGCACAGTCGTTCACAGCTCATGGCTTCCTGTGCCGTGCTGTTGGATCATTGGGCTTGGATATTCTTGTGAGTCAAAACCGTTGGACCAAGTAGCTTTCTGCTTAATCGTCTGACATTGAAAATGGCGTGTCCGGAGATGACGCGGCGACAGCACATCGACACATCCTGTCAAGAACAATCGGATTCTCGCGTGCCGGGTACGGAGTAAGGGTGAACAAGTTGGTGGCCAGCCGTGTGCCCACCGCCCCTTGCTCCCCGTTTGTCTCATCACGGACGTCGGCTGGGATGATAAGAGGCAGGGAGGCTTGCTGGCTTCTTGCCCTCGGCGGAGACGAGAGGAAAAATACCGCTTCAACCCCCCGGTCTCGCCGTTTCCAACTGGATGTTCCGTCTCCCCTTTACAGCCCCAACAATGCCTTGCTTTGTTGTTATTGCTGCGTGCTGCCTCGTGCCGGGTCGCGCTGGCAGAGCGCAGAGATGGTCGTCACATTTGACGCCGCCTTCACCACTCACATCGCCTTCTCATGAATGCGTTCCTCCGCCATGCCGCACTTTCGTGAGACGGTTCGAAAGTTTCCTCATGCCACCGCCGCCTTGTCCAAGCAGTGAGGACGTCCACCGCCATTGATCCCTGTACGACGAGACGAATCACTCACCACGACAGCAATCACTTGCTGTTGGATTGCCAGCGCATTCATGCGGCCCCCCCTGTTAATCCAAGTCTGACGTTGCGGACCACCACAGGTCAGTCCGCGATTGGCGTCATTTGGCCAAGGGATGCCAGCAACGCTCCATTCCATGCGGGCCTCTGCAGGCCTCTGCAGGCCCTGCACCGTCGACGTTGCAGGAGATGACTGATGAAAGCTGGCAGATGCTCGTGGTTTGACTCTTCATCCATCGTCGCGTCAGGCTTCCACAGCCATAATAAAACCCGCAGTTCCCCTCGTAGCCCAATCCCTCATTCTTGCGTTCGTAATTTCCTGCCCAACGACTTAGATTTCAGCCCAACTCAACTGGCCGACGACTACTTTGTTTCTTCTTCAAAACAAGCTTCGCCACCCTCCCATCGCAACCAGAAAGCGTCCCCCTCCCAACCAATCTGATCTTCCACAAACAAGACCAGCCCGCAAAGGAACTACACTTGCCCCATATACCAAGACCAAACCGTTCCCGAGGATATACCTGCACACGTTGTTCCCGTTGCATTACAAGCTTCAAGGCGCCTAGCTCCATAGCTTTTACTGCCACTAGGAGAACCACTGCTTTCCTATTCTGCCACTGAGACTTCCAAGTTGATCTGATTTGGTCTTTGGCTGTGTCTGTGTGCTTTCCCACAACATATACCACAAGGATATACAATGCCAGTCGCTCTTGTGTCACACCCGGTTAATATGCCAGGTTACAATAGCACAGTTGACCTCGAAGAGGTTCAATCACTTTCTAGGTACTGTTTTTTTCTTCATTCAGATCCCAGGATTTCCTTTGTTTCATGTTCTGTGCGATATATGTACACTTTCCTTCTGTTCTGTTTTTTTGACCACGCACGGATCTTGCCCTCCCTCAGGACTATTTCCCCCAAGGACATTTGAGCAGGCCACATTATAAGGACACAGCACTTCCACGGATACATGACGGGAACCGTCCTTGCCCGAGCCGGGCAGGGAACAGACAATTCTAGCTATTCATGCAAATAACAGAGCCATCACAGCATGGCCCACATTTATTGCAAAATAGGAACAGGAATCCCGGACATGGTCGAACCTTTGGGAGTATGATGGACTACATGCCTACCCGGATTTTAGAGTTATGCAAAGGACCCAGCATTGAAATTTTGTTTTGGACCAGCGTTCTGAATTATCAGTTTGCATACCCACGGACGTTGATGAACAGATTAGCCAATCTGTATCGAACCAAGCCGACGCGTGGTAAACGTCGGTTCAAAAGAACTTGTTAGCCAAGTTCGAGCAATCCAATTTGATTGCTATCGCAGCCGCGAATGGATTCAACGGTTCACACAAGCCTGTGGAATACGTGCTTATCAGCCCGCATGTGGATTTTTGGACCACATTGTATCCGCCTTCTTTACCCAAGGACATGTGCTGTTGTATTTGTTTTTGGACCAGCAGATCTGTTTCCGGCACATCTGCCACTATACTCAGAGACGCCAGAGAGTCTTGCATCGGTAACAGTGACATTCAGTCTCGCTGAATCATGTCGACGCTGAATGCTCGAGGAACGACTGAACCAAGGGAACCAAGGGATATATGAACTGTCGACTTGCGCCACGAGAGCAATTCTCGATTGAGTGGACCTCGCATACTGGAAACTTCCGCCATTATGGACTTGCAAGACCTTTTGACGGTCAAAAAACATGCACTTGACAAGTTGTACATGTGTACAAAGCCGGGTTTGTACAATCATTCCCTGACGACCTGAGGGACATTTTGCTAACGTCATCCCAGTATCAAAGTTGACTCCGGCTAGCATCTCATCTTGTTCTCTGTGCTTTTATCTTGTTTATTTCAACCTGTTCAACATGGAAAAACCAAAACGTAGTGTAGAAATACTAACCATGGCATTGATCACAGCTACCCTCAGTCATCCATGGCCTCAAATGCCACTGGAATGTTTTCATTTGCTCAAACAGAACCATCGGCAGACCTGTTGAACGGGCAGTCATGGGGAACCACTACAGAAGGCCACCAGAATTTTCAGGATTTCCCGGACAATGGATCATCACATTCTGGAGAAGCCGAGGATTATCTTTTCACATCTGGCCATACTACTCCCAGAGGCTCGAGGCTAGAACAACCCCCCTCCGTGGAATCTGTTTGGACAAACCCTAGGACCACACAAAGCTCGGTTATGGCTCAAGCCATGTCTAGAGCAGATTCGAGTCAATCAAGTGGCTCGTCTCTCTCTCAATCTACCCAGCTGAGCAGAGGTAATGTGGCCGCTTTCAGGAACGTATCCCACGCTGCTGCTACCGCCGCCGGAACCATGGCTGGAATGAACTCTTGCCTCTTGGTGGCTGCTGACGCCCATGCCGCATCTTCCCACGTGTACTGGCCCGAGATCGGGCTTGGCATGAACATTGCCGCTGATGGTGGTAAATATGGCGGTAATGGTGCCTTTGCTGTCACTGAAGCCGGCCCCATGCACATGGTGCCTGCGCACATGCATTTGGGTCCCGAGTCAGTCTTGCCAGACAACTCGTCCCCGGGTTCATGGGACTGCTTCTCGAGCTCCATCTCCCGGACTTCCTCCCCTGCCACTGTTGATGACGTGTGGCTGCCCTCAGCGCTGAGCCCCAACTCTTCACCTGAAATTGTTGGCGAATCGCCCAGGTATGTTGAATACTTGAGTACAAATACTGAACAGCCGTCTTACACATCTTTGACCAGTGCGGAGCGCAAGGTCTCTGTCGCGTCTGACAAGGGCAATATCGGCCCAAAGATTGAGGAAGGCGTAGCCATGCCCAACGGATATCCTTTCCGTAGACACGGAAGCGATGGAGAGTCCTCGGCTCGGGACCACAAGCTTTACAAGAACGCCACCCCTGGGTCTGATGGTCTCTTCCACTGTCCCTGGGAAGGGCAGAACTGCTGCAACCACAAACCTGAGAAGCTCAAGTGCAACTACGAGTAAGTCATTCGGCCTCGGAGTGTCCCCCAGCCTGAGCTTGAACTAACAAATAGTCTGTAGCAAATTTGTGGACTCGCACCTGAAGCCGTACCGTTGCAAGGCAGAGTCTTGCGAAGGGGCTCGCTTCTCCTCTACCGCATGCCTTCTGCGTCACGAACGCGAGGCCCACGGACTGCATGGACACGGCGACAAGCCGTTTCTCTGCATCTATGAGGGCTGCGAGCGTGCTGTTCCCGGCAACGGTTTCCCCCGTCAATGGAATCTCCGCGATCACATGAAGCGCGTCCACAACGACCACGGAAGCTCTGGTGGTTCACCACCCGCCGCTGCCGCCAACGGACAATCTGCCAAGGGCCGCAAGAGAAAGACCGAGGTCGCGGAGCAGCAAAGCGGGACTCGCAAGGCCACACTCAAGTCGATGCCGGCAGCCGACTCCAAGCAGGTCTCCGCCAAGCCTCTTGTCGAGCAGTGGCTCGACCAGCGACGCGCTGTCGAAGATCTTTGCCGGAGTTTAAACAAGCCTGATGACGCCCGCAACCTGCATCAAATCGGAGAGATGCAGAAGCGCCTTGCCTTCATGGCCAAGATGACCTCGGACTGGAATGCCGTGACTTGCGCGGACATCCTGCCCGATACGAACCGCAGGAACTACACTACTGGTTGAATGGGAGTTGGTAAGTCTCATGTGACCCTGCCGCTACAAGTTTCGCCTCGACACAGCTGCTAACGTACCAAAGCAAGGAGGGCTCTGATGTTAATCAGTGCAGGGATGGAGATTTGACTTTTGGGCACAACGCAATCTCTTCCCTTTTTTTTTTTCCAACAAAAAGAAAAAAGAAAAAAAGAAAAGGAAGTCACGCCCAATCTTGCCAAGCTGGACAAGGACACCCAGTAGAATGGCAAAAGGCAATTCGGGTGAGAACAAAGTGGTTCCCCATCCAGACCAGCAAAACAGATTTTTGCTCGGGAGTCACGGGAATCTGGCTGCGCTGGGGAGAGGGATGCTTTTCCCTCCCTTTTCCGCGCGAGTAGCCGTAGGCCCCGATGGGGAGAAGGCAGAGAACCGACCTCGGGATTTATTCCCGAGACTATGGGTTTGTCGACTTTTGTACTGGGCCGATGGGGCCGGCTTTGAGCCGCATGGGCACAGTTGGCCCCATGCGATGATGACTTTTTGCTTCAGAGGAGGGACGTAACTACAGTGATGCCACGCGTGTCTGAGACGAGATGAGGCTATTATGACGTGAAACGACAGACAGATTGTGTTTTCCATTCTTATGCTTCCTCTTATTCTCACTCCTATTTTTATTTTTATTTTTATTTTTATTATATTTATATATACATTTTATACATTGACTCTGCATATTTTGTGGCCTTTATTTTGTTGCTATTACTTTTACCATGTTTGTTATTGGGCTATTTGGATTCAGACAGATTTTCGTATTTGGCCTAGTCATCTGTCATGAGTAACGCGAGATTTCCTAGCATAGAGTAGCACATAGGATCTGCTATTGCCAACTTGGAAACTATCCTTTGCAGCCAACGTCAATATTCATCCCTGAAGGCCTACGCTGGGTCGATTTTGTGGGTTAGGGTTAATGCATTTGCAGTGCGGTCGTTCCTGCCTTTTTCTGAGCCGCAGTCCCCACAGGGTGGTTCGGGCGCAAAAAAATTTCCATTGCGACACGCCAGATGACGTCTGGCCCGGTCCGGGCCGGCCTGGTCTGCGACTCCGACGGACAACACATCTCACATCTCCATTCCACCGGTCTCGTTTCTGGCCCTCGCTGCCGAGTCGACAAAACAGCCGGCGCCCGCCCATTGAGCAGCATCGGGCCCGCCGCCGACAACCCGACTCCAAGGGCCACGACGCACCGGCCGACACGGCAACAATGTCGGCCTCGTTGCCAGGGACCAGGGACCTGCCGGTTTCGCAGTATGACTTGGGCACGTATCTCGGCCGGGTGAAGCACGCCGTGGGCTTGACAGATCCGAGGTGAGTGGCGGTGCGAAAACTTCGGGACACTGGCATTGGCCGCGAGAGCAGGGCCATCCGTCGCCAGTGCTCGCTCGGAGCCGCCCTCTCATCAGCATGGCTAACTCCCCGCGGGCAGAACCCTCCTCGCCGGCACGAGCGGCCTCGAGCGCGCCAAGCAGCTCGTCACAGATTACAAGACGGGCAAGATTGCGCAAATGACGCCGGAGCTATGGCATGCCAAGAAGGTGGTCGACTCGACGCTTCACCCTGGTATGGCAAACCACCACCCACCTCGACGAGCGGTCCCGAGAACAAGCTACTAACTGAGGCGGCCGGCCTCGCCCGCCCGAAAGACACCGGCGAGCCCGTCTTCCTCCCGTTCCGCATGTCCTCCTTCGTCATCACCAACCTCGTCGTCACGGCGGGCATGCTCCAGCCGGGCCTCCAGACGCCCGGCATCATCGCCTGGCAAGTCGCCAACCAGTCGGTCAACGTGGCCATCAACTCGGCCAACGCCAACAAGTCGTCGCCCATGTCGACGGCCACGCTGGCCAAGTCGTACGCCGTCGCCGTGTCGGCCTCGTGCTCCGTCGCGCTGGGCCTCAACGCGCTCGTGCCGCGCCTCCGCGTCGCCCCGGCCACGCGCAACATCCTCAGCCGCCTGGTGCCCTTTGCCGCCGTCGCCTCCGCCGGCGCCCTCAACGCCTACCTCATGCGCCGCGGCGAAATCGCCACCGGCATCGACGTGCGGCCCGTCCTGTCCGACGACCAGAAGGAGAGGCTGCGCGCGGAGGGCAAGTCGGAGCGCGACGTGCCCAGCCTGGGGCGCAGCCGGCGCGCCGCCAAGCTGGCCGTCTACGAGACCGCCGCCAGCAGGGTCTTCAACAGCTCCCCCATCATGATCATCCCCCCCATGGTGCTGTACCACGTGCAGACCAGGCAGGCCTGGTACAGGAACCTCATGGACCGCCCCTCCGTCCGGTCGCGCCCCCGGATGGCCGCCGCCATCCCCGTCGGCCTGAACTTGGTCCTCATCGCCGCCACGTCGTTTGCCGTCCTCCCCCTCGCGCTGGCTGTTTTTCCGCAGCAGCAGGAGATCTCGGCGGACAGTCTGGAGGACGAGTTCAGGGGCAGAGGCGGGCTCGACGGCAAGGTGTGGTTCAACAGGGGGCTGTAGAGGGCAAGTAGAGAGAGAGTGGGCTTTGTCCGGGAAGGGCTGCCCTTAGACGTTGGCTAGATCCATTGCATAGTCGCCGCGAGCACAGTGATTTATTCGCCCTGTTTTCTCATGACATCTTGTCGTCTTGTTGCCGCGAACAGCAGCACAGAGACGAGAGACGACGAGATGGTAGATATTTCCAAGAGTAGATTTGCTTTCTAAATACAAGCCCGCTTGCTTCATCGTGTTGGCATTGGCCCATGTTGGAAAAAAACGCATCAAAGGACAGCGACCACAAGGCGTCCTTGGTATGACGCGCTTCCCTCCCTGCCACGGCGCGCGTCTCTTGTCCGAGGCCAAAGTATGTACACGTCTACGACGTCTAGTCCGCCAGCTTCTCCATCAGCCTCTGCACGGCGGGGACGTAGCACGCCGCCTTTTGAAAGTCCCCCAGCCTCACCCTCATCAGGTCGAACGCCAGCAGGACGTTGTGCTCCTCGGCGTGCGTCCGGTCCCGCCTCAGCGAGTCCGCCTTGGAGTAGCGCTGCGAGAAGTGCGTCAGCAGCGTCCTCCGGGCGCCCATCTCTCGTGCTACGGACAGCGCCTCCGCCATGGTGGAGTGCTTCTTGGCCTTGGCGTGGTCCTGCTTGTCGTCGCCGAAGGTGCACTCGTGCACGAGCAGGTGGGCTCCCTTGCAGCCCCGGGCAAAGGCGCTCGAGGGCCTGCAGTCGCCCGAGTATGCGACGCGCAGGCCCGACGTCAACTCGAGCTGCGTGCCGTACGAGCGCCAGCAGTGGGGCACGGGGATGCGCTTGATGGACGCGAGGCCAAAGTTGTCCTGGCCGAGGTCCTCTGCCGTGGTCATGTCGCGGTCCTTGCCGTTCGGAAAGGGGCAGGTGGGGAAGCGAAGGCGGTGAAAGCCCAGGTCCTCGACCTGCGACAGCTCCTCGAGCATGCTGCGGTAGCGGCCGATGCAGCAGACGGCGAGCGTGGCGTTGGTGCCGTCGTGGAGGGACTGCTCGTACCAGGCTTTGATGAGGGACGCCGTCCCCATGTGGTGGTCGGCGTGGACGTGGCTTATGACTATGCACTTGAGGTTGCGGAGGACGTCGGCCGTGTCTTGGGCGTCGAAGACGCGGCGGATCTGGCCGAGGGTGCCTTCGCCGCAGTCGAGGAGGTAGTTCCCTATGCCGGGAACTCGGATCAGCGTCGCGGAGACGTTGCGGTGTTTGCTGGGCATGGACGAGCCTGTTCCCAACGGGATTATTTCGGCGTCTCGGTTGGGCATGTCCCTTTCCGTCTCTTCCACTCGGGCTAGGAAGCCGGCTTCTGTTGCCTCCGACTTGGCTTCTTCGGCCAAGGCCATCAGCTCTTCGTCTACCGATTTCGCGGCGCCCAGCAGGTCCGGGAATGGGGCCATTGCCTGGTCGTCAAAGGCAAGGCGAGGCATGAGCTGGAATTTCTTGCCCGCACGACCGAACTCCACGGGCGACCCGGCGGGAGGAGCAGGATGCTTGATGGTGTTGTCGAACTTTGGTAAAGGGAACCGTTCGGGATCAAGTCTGTGCAGCTTGGTCTGGATTTCGGCGGCGCCGGGATGTGTAATCATGTTTGGACATGTATCTTGTGCGCAGAAAACATGCCTCATGTGGGAGTGCTTCTCGGTGAACTTTTGAATTCGCGCGTGAGAGGCCAAACCGCTGCCCAGAATCCAGTACATGACGCACATGTGCTCCATGATCCCTGGAGACTCCCATTCTGGCCGTTCCATGAAAGACTCGAGAAAGTCCGGGGACGAAATGTCTGCAATGATGATGCCTTTTCCAGGCTGACGCTCGCCAAGCACCATATCGGGCGTGACCGCCTTGCCGTCCTTGCCTTGGACGGACTGCCCTGCGGCAAGCAGCCTGAAGTCTCGGGGCTCAACGCCAAGCTCCCTTGCAACAACGGCATTGAATTTGCCCCTTCGATCATGGCACTTGACGATGTAGGAAATTGAAGTGTCCCCGTAGGCAGTTTCTGGCAGGGGGAAATGGTTGATGGCCAGGACGTCCTCATTCTTCCCGTCCCCAGCTGCGTCCCCAGGCTCGGGAAACACCCAGGCAGTGTGGTCTGAATCTGGGAGCTCGGCGCCATCGGAAGCAAAAGGCCCCCGATAAGCTCTCAGGGTCTTTCCCTGAACGACGACAGCTTTGTCTGCAGGCTTTAAATCGCCAACTTTTCGAGGTAACAGGACTGATCTGTTGTTGAGGCTGCCGCTAAACATGATCCGCTCCACAACCATACAGGCCACATCTGGATCGGAAACCACTGATCGCCCTTTCGAGTTTGTGTCCTGCGAATGTCCGTCCTCGTCTGAAATTTCTCCGTGGCATCGTTTCGGGGGACTGGCTGACCTGGCCCTCCTGGCGGGCACTTTCCACACCCGGAGGGCGTCATCTACCCAGTCGGGTTCTGTGTTGGTTGGGTCAATGCCCCGAGGATCGTCCCGAAATTCGTGAGGCTTTACGCATATGGGTTGTCGGAAGATGACTGGTCGACAGGCAGCCAAGATGTGGCAGAGATTGTCCCCCCCGTGCACACCAATGCCCTCGTGAGTGGCGGCTTTCAGCAGCTTCTGGCCTTTTTCTTTCCTCTTGACGTTTTCCGTGGCAGCATGTTCCCTTGCCGCATCGACTGCGCCGCCAACACTGAGAAGATATCCCAACAGACCACCCATTTGGTTCCAACCTATGCTGCCGCTAAGAAAGACGTGCTCGGTGGTCCCCATGTGAATCTTTCGGCTCCCAAAGGCTCGCTGTGTGCCCTCAGCCACCTGGCCGAAGAGGTACGATCTCTTGTCATGGTGCAGGTAGATGCATGTTCCTGGAGTATCGGACGACGGAACTGTCGCGACTTCGACCGTCGTGGTCATTATTGAGCTGTCGCGGTGGCCTCGTGTATTTCGGAACAGCCTCGAGTATCTTTGCGCAGGACGTCGACGAGCCGACGAAAAAACCCCGTAGTGGGCGATTTCAAGGTGTCGCCGGCTGAGGAAGGACGCCGAGAGCAGACAATTAGTGCGCAAACCCTTTGCGCCGCATCTTTCCATCAGCAAGGGCGGGACGATGTTGAGGATGTCAAGGTAAGCATGTCCACACGCGTAGCTTGCATCGAGCTTTGCCGCCCCACGAGGCGAATGCTTTTTTTTTTCCTTTTTTTTTCCTGGGAACCAACGGTCAACAGTGATTGGCCACAGGCAACTGTTTGGCATTGTCAGAGGCTCAGAGCACGCCAGTTGCTTCTTGATAAATGACATAACCGCGCATCAATTGAATTTTGCATGGCCGGGAATAATTTGACAAAGAACGTCTATGTACTACTAGGGATTCCATTGCTTTACCCATACATCATCTCCCACTCTTTACCAGCAAGCCTCACCACATCGGAATTGACGCTGTGTTGACATGGTCGATATTTCCCGCCTGGCACTCCACCCGATCCGTCGTCGTGCCGAAAATCGTGTCCCAAATACGCGAGTGCTTGCCGTAATTGAAACTGCTCTTCCAACCATTGCGGTGATGCAAGTCATGATCTTCAATGATACCTTCTACCCCAAGCCATCGGTACAACCAGCTCAGTGGTGTCGGCGCAGTCGCATAAATTCTCAGCCCGCTGTGCCCCATGACCTCTGTAAAGAGCAGGTATTGGTGACAAATCCACAGTTCGTAAAAGCCCATGGGCAACCCAAATCCTTTCCTCATGGTGTAGAACGCAAGCAACGGAATGACAATCGTGTCAAACATTTCCTGGACGCCATCCGCATACAGACTCAGCAAGGGGTTGGGGTGTTTGGTCAGGTGATGGGTGCGATGGAACTGCCACAGGCTGCCCACGTCATGCATCAGTCTGTGGTACCAGTAGAACCAGAAGTCGACCGCCAGGCCGTATAGTGCAATTTCGACGGGGAGCCATGCCCAGCTCATGGAGGAAGGGAGCTGGCTCTTTCTGTAGGCGAGCATAACGACTAGCATGGGGCGAATGTTGGATGCCGAGAATATTGACATGAAGACCTTTTTGACTCCAACGTCCGGCACGCCATCTCGTTCATGCTTGTCTCCGTCAAGGAAGCCGTAGGTGTGGCCTAGATGGCGGAGAAGTCGCATCTCGCGGATGCCATTGAGTGAGAAGAAGACGTGGTATAGAGCAAATGCACCGATTACGCTGAGATTGCGTCCTGTGAAATGAACAACAGCTTGGTGAATAGCCAAGGGGACAGCGGCATGGATCAAGATCCATCTGTGCACCTGCCATTCCGGCAAGTATGGCACCGGGTCATCTTTTGAATGTACTGGCACGGGTTTGTCGAGATAGGCGTGATGAATGTCAAGTCTTTCTATGAGACGATGGTAGATGGTCCACTCAGAGCGAGGAGAGCGCCGCCAAGTAGATTTCATCGAGTCTTTGGGGTTGCGTTTCACCTCCATGGTGTATTGAAGTAACTTGAGAAATAATCAATAGGTCAATTGTCCATGTCAAATAACCCAAGGAGCTTTGAAAAGGCGCGATTGCTGCTTATAATTTATAGCCATATAGCCATGCTGTTACTTCATAGCCATGCTAGTTCAAGCGGTTCCAGAAATTCGCCCGGCTCCGTCCAGAGCATCGTGGGCCAAGCTCGGGTTAGTGGCAATATGGCGATCGGGACAGACCCTCGAGTTAGCGCTATTGATGCAAGGAATACGATGTGCTGTTGCTGAACGCCGCAGCCCTCCCGTTCATCGAGTTCCCCCGTATTCCGTTCCTCCCCAGGATCATCAGATCTGGTGACGCCAAGGTGAAAGTGCACGGCTTTGTTTGACATGTGCCAGCCAAGAGCTGTGACAACAAAGACAGCATTAGGCAAGGCACTTCACAATGTCCTCGGTATTCCGTTCTCCTCGGCCCGGTCATGCCCGGCCATGGGCCTCTTCGTGAGATGCCGTTCTGAACTTGCACTCGAAAGAGAAGCCCTGCCGTCGAGTAAGAGGAGGATTGACGAGGAGGGATCTTTTTGAATCATTGTCCAGGTTTTGTTTGAGTGTGCGACCGGGTCGTATCAAACTCGATTACTAGATTCGAATAAGTTCCTCTCAGCGGGAAGTTGGTAGATGGAAACACGAGCTCAAAGAACAGTTAATGTATCTCCGTTCCGAGTGTGATGTTTTGAAATCTGAATTTGGGGCAAGTCGGAGGCCCGCAGTGTGAATGTTGCTGACTGATGGCCCGCGGATGCGGGTGCTCAAGCTGGAAGGTGCGGTGCTGCTCACGGGCGGGCTTCTTGCCTCTTGCCCAGGTAGTTACTTGGACAAACGACACCATACCACACGCCGTGCCGAGAAATTTGTGCCAGCACTCTGCAGCCCGACTGACCTAGCAGCTGACAGGCGAGTCAAGCATTGCCCACGTACGGAGTACTCCATAACCTGATGCCTCCCGACACTCAGGCGAGTGGACACGCATACATGTATGAACATGGGGGCTCCTAGGAGCGATTGCATTGCACAGTTCAAGTCTCGAGTCCACACGAGGCGACCAGGAATGGGGCTCTCGTCTGGGATGGAAATGCCACCCCGACAGCGTGGCAGCTTCACACCAGTCTGCGGGATCGCCGAAGCCACCGACATGGAGCCCTGGCTCGCCTCGCATGTTCGGGGTCCAGGATTCACCCAGGATTGATCCAGTCCCTCCCACGATAGGGCAACGGTACGTACCACCGCAGGATCTGTGCTTGGGTCGTCTTTATGCAACGCTCCATTATGCCGGACTGTTGACTGCTCAACCGTTTTCTAATTTCTCTCCAGGAGTAGCAAAAAGGGTCTACTGAGTAGCACGCGAAGACGAAGACTGCTATAACAAAAAGGCTCAGCCACGTCTGCGCTCTTTGGTTGTATCAATAGACGGCATCTCCGGCCCCGACTCCCCAACCTCCAATCCCAAGACGTCAACGGTAGATCCTGCGAACCACAAGTCCTACGGAGCCACGCGGGGAATACAACGTATGTTGTTGCCCTCCTGCATTGACTACAACTTGACACCCACGGCCGCTGCCCCGTCGCCGGCCCCATCAATGGTTCAGTTCGTCTCACCCTTGTGCCCCATGATTTAGATCTTGCCCTGAGACACCAACACCTGCGGGACCTGTCACATTTGAACAAAGATCGTAGCCGGAGTACGTCCTGGCCATCCAGATAAGCCACTGGTCTCCGGCTGGCTAGAGCGAGTTTTGGACGACAACTTGAGAGCTTAAAGCTTGCTGTCTGGTGAAACCAAGCAGCGGGCGCCGCCACAAAGAGCTACTGTAGCCTGTCAAGTCACCATCTACATCAGCATCACGTGCGGCCTTCGACGACAAGGACACAGCCGCAGTCTCTCTGGCATTCATGAATGCCGGCTTGATGATTTTGATGACCTCCCTCTGGGAAGCAGATCAGCACGCGACCACGTATTTTGACAAGTCGTTGGATATCTGCGCCACCGGCCAGCAATCGCACCTTTGAGCGGGACAAGGACGGACTGGAAGCAGCACGCTTGGAGAGGCCTCTCTTGGCGATGGGAGAGATTGCAGATCCTGCATTGCAGGTCATTATTCTGGTACGTCACCTAATTTCTCACACTCTGAAAATCTTACCAGCCGCTGCTTCTGACTCGTGATGCGCTCGCCCTCGTCGGCCTTTCTGGGTGCTGGTTATCAACATGTGTGTGATCGCTGACATGCCCTAGGGTTCGGGGGGAGGCCCGCAAGAATCCAACATCACAGCATTTTTGGTGCGATCCGTCGCTCAGCGATGGTCCAAAGGATCCATCATCGCCGTCGACGCAGGCGTCCATCTCTCCGCCATCACCCGTCTCCTGCAAGAATCTTACCCGTCCACACCACCTGCCAACTTACCCTTCACACTGAGCACCGGCGCGTTTGCCGGGCTGGAGCTACCCTATGCATCAGCAGCTGCTAATGCAGCTCATGTGACTGGCTCCTTGGTAGACACATATCTCATCACTCATCCCCATCTCGATCACATCTCCGGCTTTGTTATCAATACCGCCGGTTTACCGGGGACGCGCCCCAAGAAGCTGGCTGGATTGCCCAGCACCATTCATGCATTCAAGAAGCACATATTTAATAACGTCATTTGGCCGAATTTAAGCGACGAAAACAATGGTGCCGGTCTGCTCACCTACCTGAGGCTCGTTGAAGGTGGCAGCCCAGCCCTCGGAGATGGGGAGGCCAAGGGCTACATGGAAGTGTGCGACGGTCTGTTAGTCAAGACCTGGAGTGTCAGTCACGGCCACTGCATCGAGAAGCATCCTCATAGAGGCTCCGCTTCTAGTGTGTCGACGCGATTTGGCAGCCACGACGCTTCGTCGCAAACACCCAGAAGAGATATTCATCAACACTCGTCGATGCAGCACACGCCCAAGGGCCCTGGTTTGCTCAGTCAAGCTGCGTTCTCGGCAGTGTCATCGCCACAGTTTAGTGCCGCCAACGAGCCAGAAAAGGTCTGCGTGTATGACTCCAGCGCCTACTTTATCAGGGATCAATCACATCGCCGCGAGATTCTAATATTCGGAGATGTGGAACCCGACAGCCTTTCCCTCAGTCCGCGGAACTTGTACGTCTGGCAGGAAGCTGCTTCCAGGGTTGTCTCCGGCATACTAAGTGCAATCTTTATTGAATGTTCATACGACGATTCTCAAAGCAATGACCGATTGTTTGGGCACTTGAAGCCGTACTTCATCATGGATGAATTACGGGCGTTGGCGAATGAGGTTGAAGTTGCACAGAAGCTTGGAGACCCTGACAGCAAAAAGCGAAAACGTTCAAGTATCGACGACAGCATGAATCATCGACGAAACCCTCTAAACAAACGAGGCTCAATGAGTGATGATCCTGTATCACCAAAGTCAGTGAAGCCAGCAGCCCTCAGACAGGGGGGACCGTCACCGGACCACGTCGACACACCGCATCTAGCGACGCCTACCGACCAGCTGTCGCTGCATCACTTTGGGCCAACGGGCCCAGCGGTTGAAAGCAAGCCGCTAGACGGCCTGAAGGTGGTCATAATTCACGTCAAGGAACGGCTGGAAGATGGACCAAGAGTGGGCGATAGAATATTGCAACAGTTACAGGACTATGAGAAGGAAATGAATCTCGGATGTGAATTCGTCATGTCCAAGTCGGGAATGAGCTTTTATTTTTAGCCCGCCTCTTTTTTAAACCAGAAAAGAGGCCCCGGGGACAGGGGAGTGTGCTAGAGTTTCTGCTTCGTTTGCACGCTTGGCGACTGGACGTGTCACGACGAATGAGTGGATGACCTTTCGAGGATACTTTTCGCAAGTCTATATCCCAAATCTATACCATCTGTGGGGTCAATCATTCATGTCCCGCCGTCAACGACGTGTTCCTGGCCGGGGACAGGATCGCACGGCTTGACAGCGGAGCAGTCTGGCTCATTTGCGATTCTTGACCCTTTCCAGTCCCTCGTGTCCGCCGAGGTCTTGCTCAAACCTGGGCCTTGGCAGCTCAAAGGCTTCCATTGTCCTGGCGTACGTGATGCCTCCCATCCTCGCGACGGGTCTCAAGACCTGGCGACGGGGGGGTCGACTTCGGTCAGCGCAGCGCACGACGAGTCGGGGGGAAACAAAAGGGAGAGAAGAGAGACAGGCGACACGACTCACCGCAGGATCGACCATGTTTCTGTCCTCGTTGAGGGCGTCCTGCCTCACCCAGAACCTGACCCCTTCCAGCACGACCATGGTCCCGGTCTTGTTGCCCGAGACCCTGCTCTCCCACTCCTTGACCATGTCGAGCTTGGCCTCCACGCTGACAACGGCCTCCCCGACCCTGGGGCACCCGACCACGTCGCACTCCTCGGCGGTCAGGCCGCTCACGGGCCACTCCGACGTGCCGTACGGGGCGTCGATGCTGGTCGAGTTGGCGGCCTCGACAAAGGGCTCGGAAATGATGTTGATGACGCACTCCCCCGTGTCGACGAGGTTCCTGAGGGAGTCCTTGGCGGACGCGAGGGGGCTGGAGAAGCCGACGACGAACAGCGGCGGGTCGTGGCTCACCATGTTGAAGTAGCTAAAGGGCGCGAGGTTGGTGGCGCCGTCGCGGCCCGACCGGGTCGACAGGAAGGCGATGGGGCGCGGGACGATGCTCGAGATGAGGAGCTTGTAGTTGAACTGGGGCGGGCGGCCGGGCTCGTACGGGTCGATGGAGACGTGCGGCGGCGGCGGCGGCGGCGGCGGCTGCTCGGGGGTGTTTGCGCCGCCGCCAAACGTCCAGTCCGGCAGGATGGTCCTCGTGACGGTGAAGGAGGCCGGGGTCGCGGGCGGACGCGAAGACTCGGCCTTTTTGAAGTCGGGTCGCGGCTGGTGGGCGGCGGCGGACATGCTGAAGGCGGACTGGGGGACGCGAGGGCGCCGGAGGCGGTATGACGGTGACGGGCGGGCCAGGCTGGACGCAGGGCGCATGGGGGTCGGATCTGGGAAGTCTTGGGGGAGAAAGGGGGCGAGGGTTCGTTTATAAGCGCCTGGTGTCGTGCGAGAGGCCGCGGATCGTGAGGCGAGAGGCAGGCCGAGCGTCCGTGGTCATGATGCAATGCGTCCCGATGGAGTCAAGGCCGGTTGACCGACGTCGACTCGGTGCACGTCTGTGGATTGTCTCAAAGGCCCGCGATGGGGGAGGGGCGATTAGAAATGGTTACAAATTAGAAATGCCGGCCGCGATGGGGTTGCATCGCGCCTTGACGAGTCAAGTCTTGTCTTGCCCCATCTAGGGTAACGTATCTGATGCGACAATGTGTACGGAGTAGCGTGGTCGAGGGTTAGGGCTCAACGGTTTGTCTCACCCTGTACCTGTACATAGACAACAACAAAGTCGATTTCTATTGAAGATGAGGGAAAAATGAAATGAAAAAAAAAAACCAAAAAAAAAAAAACCATCACTACTAATAAGAAAACAGACAGAGTCTATATAGCATAACCATATCCATGTCCTGGGCTCTCGCTCCGAGGTGCATCCACGTTTCCTCTTGCTCCCGTGACAATCACATGCACCAAAACACGCCCTTATATACAAAGCGCCTTCATTTGTACGTTTGCGACGACGTGTGTTGCGTCGGCGGGTTCGGGTTCGTCCTGGGACTTGGCGTCTCCGACATGTGCCGTTCCCGCGCCGGAGAATGCCATCCGTTCTACTGACGCATCCTCTTCACGGACGGTTCTCCAGATACGTCATCGTCGGCCCGTCGCTTCGTCCTCCTTGACTCGCCCGCGTCGGGGGGTGCTGATGCCGCGTCGGGGGTTTGTTGCGCATCAGCCACGCGTGCTCGCTTTGCCGTGGACGACGAGCCGTCGCCCTCGTCGCAGCCATGTGATTCTTGCCGGCGCCGTTTCCGCGAGGCTTCCGGGCGGTCATCTGATCCTGCTCGACGGCCGTCGTCCTCGTCGCAGCCTTGTGATTCTTGCCGGCGCCGTTTCCGCGAGGCTTCCGGGCTGTCATCTAATCCTTCTCGACGGCCGTCGTCCTCGTCGCAGCCCTGTGATTCTTGCCGGCGCCGTTTCCGCGAGGCTTCCGGGCGGTCATCTGATCCTTCTTGACGGCCCCGCTTCCGCGAAGCTTCGGGGAGGGCCTGCTCCGCCCTGCAAGTGTTTCCGTCGTCGTTGTGTTCCGACGTTTCTTGTTGAGGACGTTGCTGCTGCGGCGTCGCTGGCGCCGCTGGCGGCAACATTTGGCCCGACGCATCAACTTGGTCCTCCAAGAAATTCGAAGGAGTCGATGCATTTGGGTCTCCGGGTCCGCAAAGTGCGTCCCAAGTGTAAGAAGTCGCCGTGCCGTAGGCTTGAAGATCAAAATTGTCAAAAAAGACGTCGTGTTGACCAGTGACGCCCGGATGTTGATTGGCATGCGCGCCCAAAAAGGGAGCCACGTCTTGAATCGACTTTTCTGGCTCCTCTGCTTTTACTGCCGCGGAATCCCCCCCCGCCTTGGTCGCGACGGCCGAGCAGACCTTGGTCACAAAGACCGACGAGCCTCCGCTGCTCCGCCGCCTCGTCGTCCTCTCCCTGTTCCGGTCGGAGCTTGCCGTACTGGTGGACGGATGTCTGCCGACGCGCACCCTTTTCGCGGGCTGCTTCTCGTCGTCGCTGGGGTCGTGCAATCGCCGCTTCTTGGCCTTGTACGAGGTGCTCGGGTCGGCAGCGTCGGGAGGCGGTTCCTCGTCGCCCTCCCGCCTTGTCTGCAGACTCGAAATTTCTCTGTCCAGTTTTTTCAAACCTTCCTGCGCGCTCTCGAGCCTGTTTCTGGCGTCCTCCAAAGCAGATTCGGCCTTCTGGACGGGATTCTTTCTTCTCCTGCCTCTCCTGCCGCCCACGTCTGCAGAAGTCGTTGTTTCGGGGGCAGCGTCATCAGATCCGGCCGAGGACTCGGCCTTCTCGAGCTCTTCCGCAAGACGAGGGTGTTTTTTCTTGGCCTCTCTGTAATCTGCAATCGCTCTCTGGACAGCCTCCTTGGCGTCTTCGACCTCCACCACGGCCGTCTCCTTCCTCTTTTCCTTGGCCTCAAGTTCCTTGCTGACCTTGTCCAGCACACGCGTCTTGGCTTCTTCCCTCTTTCTCGCCTGCGTTAGCCTGCCCTCCGCCGTGCTCTTCCACCGAGTCCTGGCATCCAGCCTTCTAGCAAAGACATTGAGGCTGCCAAGGCAGAAATCGAACGTCGTCTCTGCCCCTGGCTGCACGCCCTTGTTGCGTAACCGTCGAGCTTTTGACCGTGTCCCTTTGGCGGATCCGTTGACGTAGGCGGGGTGCATGTCCGCGTGCCAGAGGTTCAGCAAACAAGACAAGGAAAGAAGGTGACTCCTACCGTATTCACGCTCTATTTCATCATAGCTCACGGCCGTGTCGTAGAAGCTTTTTCTAAACTGGCGAATCATGTCGATGATTTTGTCCACGCGATCGTCGTCATCCGATGCGTCGGCCCACTCCTTGATCACATTCATTGCCCCCTTTTTCTCCTTGACCAAGGACACAATGTTGGTTACTTCTTTCCCGAAGGCCTTGCGAGTCTCTCCCACCAGATACTCTTGCTCATGGAACTTTCTCATTTCGGGCCGCTGGAACACCTGTTCGAAGCAGCAGAGGTGAAGGACGAGGCACGGCTTCAGAGGGTCAAGGTGGAATTTGTCCCCGTGAGACGTGTAGTACGGAAACTCGTCGAACGCGACCCGGAACCAGCCCGATGCAACGGTGCGCCTTTCGGCTTTGCATTGACTCCATCGGCATGTGTTGTCGTGGGCTTTGAGACGGTCCTTGACTTGGCACGGGGAACTCTGTATCCACATTTTGAAATCCTTTATGCCGTCGCCGCCGCTGGCCTTTTTTGAGGCTTCGGCTTCCTCGATTTTACGGTGCACAAATTCTCGAATCTGATTGCTTTCAAAGTCTTGTCCGAGAAGCTGTCCGTGCCTGTCGTACTGGAACTGAAAGACATTCCTGGCGTTTGACCTGCCGAAATCTTTCAAGTCCACCTCGAACAATCTCTTGAAGTCTTCAAACGCTAGGTAGACCTTTTCTGGATCAGACTCGTAGTTTGGCTCTCGGGTCCTCTTGTACTTGCGCCTGATGGCGCACTGCTTCCCTTCGAGTGCCTTGGCCTTGGCCCGGAGCCTTTTCTTATCGCTTTCGGTCACATCATAGTCTTGGGCTGGGGCGCTGATTTGCTGTGCACGCACGCCCGGAGGAGTGCTCGTTGGCTTGCTTCCCGGATTTGCCGCGCTGCCACTGTACTCGGCATGTCCGGTGCCGGGTGAGTCCACTGCGTAGTAGCCGGGCCCCCTCGGTTGTGAGTATCCTTCAAATGTTTGATGAAGCCTCGGCTGTGGGGGGCTTGCATCAGCGACGGCTCGGGGATTCGGAAACGCCAGAGAAGACGCCGCGTCGACTTCACCAGACGGAAAGTAATCGCCTGCAAAATTATTCCCACCCCCGTAAGCTCCTGGGGGGCGTAGGCCTTGACCGAAGGTCTGCACTTGGGCCGAATGGGCTGGCATCTGGGGTTGCCGGCCCGACGGTTGTCCATAAGTCCGACCACGAAGTCTTTTGGCGGGATGAGCATCACTTTCATACTGATACTCATCTGTGCGGCCTCGATTCAATTCTGGCGACCAGGTATTTGCCTGTGCATTTGCCATGTCCAGGGATTGCGGCTGCACGATCTGATGCATTCCACTGTTGTCGTTGTGGTAGAGCAAAAAAGCGTCTTCTCCAACAGCTTGGTGTTGTTGCTGCTGGTGATGCTGTTGTTGGCCAAGAGCGTTGGCATTATATGGCCCCATGTCATGCGTCTGTATCATATTCGACGTAGACTGCGGCAATTCGCTCCTATACGGCCAACTGGGAATTGACCCCGGTTCCGGAGAACTAAATGGTCGTTTCATGGCTGGAGTGTCTAACGATATGGCTTGAAGATATTCAGCAGAAACTCCCTCCAACTGGGGATTGGACAAGCTTTATATCGCGACGGGAACAGGAGACCGGCAGGCAGAACATAAATAGGCGTAGAGCCGAGACGCCGAGAGAAAGTTTTCTCCGGCATAGCTGTAGCGTTCTTGCTCCCGCTCACAATCAGTCCGCCAAAGGATGTTGCGTCTCTTTCGCCGCGTACAAAGCCTGCTGCTTGTTGCGTTATTCCTCTGGGGTCAGCCCACGGCCAACCAAGGCCTCTATGTTCTGCCTTCCATGAACCCTGCGGAACCCAGGCATTCCAGTCCTATGTGTTTTTGCACAGCGACTTTGTTGGTTCTTCTCAGGCCATGATACCATTGCTTTCCGTCCATCTAGGGCCTGGGAGACCGAGGTATGGAGACTTCGTCTCTGGACCAAACGCGTCTCCACGACTCTTCAGGTTCAAAGAAGCTTTCACATGGGAACAAATATAGATCCCAAACTTGATGCATGACCGAAAGTCCGTGGGCGCGACGCAACTTTGCTGGCAGCAACAGAAACGCTATTGCTCGCCAGCAATGCACTCGAGCACCGCTGCTGCTCGACAGAGATTTGGCAAAAAGCTGCCGATGGTTCCCTGCATCTTCATCAGAGGAGTCGGTTCAAAGGAGCTATCTTAGAGGTGACAGCTATGCGACATGCCCTTGGGAGAGGCAAAAAATAATAAAAAAGGTGGTGTCGTGCCCCCAACTAAGTCGGCTGTCAGTCGGGGTTTGATGCGAGGAATTGGAACAATGAACAAGAGATCAGAAAGCATACAAGCTCGGGGGGCATACAATCTCCATGGGCCAAAGATTCAAAGGCCAAAGTCATCAAAGGTGCGCGGCTTCAAAGCCGTCTAACACACCGAACAATGCAGCGTTGCCTTGGTTGTCGTTCGAGCCCTTGGACTCATGTCGGCGACGGCTGTCCAAAGCTGATTAAAAAGAATCTGCAACGTCAAAAAAGTCAATTGCAGCCCATCACTGCTTCGCGGCTATTTCTATCCGATGAATCGGCACGGCATCTGCAGCCTCGTCTGGTTCGCCAATAATGTCTTTATTTCACGGCCTTCAAGCCCGCCTTGAAGAGGCGATTGACCATGCTAATGACACTCACATACTGCATGCCTGGCTTTTTGACCTTTTTTGTTTGTGCGTGTGTGTGTTTGTACGCGCATGTCTGTATCCGTGTTCAATATTCCAGACGGTTTGGCTTCGGCCTGTACGGCGTGGACAGTCGGACGCATTGCCAGGTTGACCGAGTTGCGCGCATCGCCCCAGAGGAAAAGAGCGCGAGACATTCTGCAGAGCCAAGAATCTTCACTGAGACACGGTCTTTACTCGACTTTTCCCTTCTCCCTCACTTATGCTTAGGTGTCGTCCAAGGGCCGGAGTTTCGTTCATGCCAACCAGACCGGCTCTCCCGAGAACAATCAACGTGCTTGCTTTGACTTGAGAGCGGTCCGAGGGCCCAAAGGAAAGATACCCCAGCCACGACTGAGGTGCTCTCTTGGCCTTTAAGAGGCTTTTCCATATCGTCGGGGTATTTTGAACAGCAATTGTTTGCCAGTAGATGTAGACGTGGTTGTACTATAGAGTGGGCTTTATCCGTCTGTTGCGTGAACACAGGTGGTGCTGTCGACATCATTGCTATCTTTTGTCTTGGAGCACTTTGACTCTTCTGCGTTGTACCTGCTTCATGGCAATCAACGGGAGCAGGACGGAGAAGGACCTTTGTAGATCCTTCCATACAAGTCATGCGCGAAGTTCTTGGTTCTCAACGTACCCAACCCGAAGCAAGCCCTTCGATCTTGTGGCAGGAGTCGGAGGCATTGGTCTCATGGAGCAATGCCATCAGGGGATCCATTTCCTAGGTCGAGCTTGGCCGTTTCGCCGATTAAGACAAGCATGACTTGTTGGATATATATATCGCGCCACGGCCCTCTTGTCTGTTCAGGTTCGAGCAACATGACTCTCTGACAAGAGCTGGGAGAGCATCAACGGGCCCGGGCTAAATTGAGCAGTTCCAACAGTTGACGCCCGGGGTACCTACCGCCTTGGTCTCATAGAGCAGCTCTTCGTTCCCTGGGAGTACGTATAACTATGCACCAAAGCCAAGGCTAGCCAGTATCTGTCCGCAATGCACAGCAGACAGGCATGCTTCGAAAGTGTCATGTTTTGGCAGCACGGGGGCCCGGCCAGTAGGGGACGACAAGATGCGCTCGTCTTCCTTTCTCAATAGGCGCCCGGATTCCTTGAGGAAGGACATGCTGCCCGTCTTCCTTTCTCAATAGGCGCCCGGATTCCTTGAGGAAGGACATGCTGCCGACACATGACTGACGCCAGCCCCTTGGCGAGCTGGCCCCGTAGCCTCCATTCTCCGGGATAAATCGCCGCAATCGATACACCTGAAAAGTTTGACGGGCATGGAGCTGAATTCCAATCACGGCCAGACACGATGCGGTCTGTGAGTTTGTCCCTACCCCCCAGGTCGATCTTGTCAAAAAGCGGCGAATGCCCGCCTGCTTTCATCAGAGGGCATGTCGTTGGACGGACGAGATGCCTAGGCAGCAGGTTCCCTTGTGGATGCATTTCCAAAATTGGAACGCGGCTGAGCCCCAATCTCTTTCAAGCCCCCGCGCGGCGGGGAGTCGAGCAACAGTGCAGCGATTCGATGGCTAGCCGCTGGCGGCGCTTACCGCGCCTCACGTCGCATGTCTCACCAGCACAACAGGTGGGATTCCGGATTCGCCGTCCGCGCTGTAGCGGCTAGGATGCGGAGACGGACCTCCAAGCTCATGAAATGATGCACACATACGCGCCGCAAGAGCTGCCCGGGCCGATGCACTATTAATCCGATCCCGCGACGGCAATGCGGCAATTCATCAGTAACCCTCTGTGATCATGGGATTGACGCTGCGCCACAAGGGCATGACCGAGACGGCAAAGGCGCTGACGCATTTGTATTGCGAATTTCTTAGTTATATTTTGACAATTCAGTCAGACAAAGTCTCATTGCACAGTCACCCGCCGCCCTACGCGAGATATACGAATAATTTATCATTACAAAAACAGCTTCTAAGCTGGTACCGTATATTCATGTCGGTGAAACGCTTTCCTATGCCTATACAAGTCAAGTCCATTTATGTTTGCCCAAAGCATTTTCATCATCAAGAAACACGGGGGCAACAGGGGAAAAAAATACATAAGAAAATAGGGGGGCCAGTCGCAACCCAAGCAGTATGCAACCATCCCGCGTCCGTTGGCTCGTCTTAAACATGCAGTTTTCCGGGTTTCCAAGTAATGAGGCGGTTCCCGAGACCACCGTCATGGTTTCCTTTTCCATGGTCGTCATCTGGAGCCCATGTCCCCAGCAAGATTCATGTGCATGATTGCATCAGCCGTCCAGTCCGTCTGGTCATCCTCTCCTTGGGGAGTGTCCCAAAATTGAAACCCTTCTCGACCATCCACGCCCGGCAGGACCATTCGTTTTTTGGAGGGGCTAAGCTGGTCCTCACCTCCTGATGAGTCCGGCTTCGGTCCAACAGCCGGGACCTTGTCGTCGTCAAAGGCGGACTCGCCGTCCTGCCGCGTTTCGTCAAAATACCCAGGCGGCCCCGCAATTCCGCGGTTCACGGTCCCTTGACTATGAATATCCGGTGATACATCCTGGGTATATGGTGTCGGCGTCACTTGATCGTCATGCGTAATCGTGGATGCGGTTCCAGGAGCAGGAGCGGGTGGGATGTGCGACATGCGGTTCATTTGGACATCCAGCTCTTCTTGTTCCAAAATTTGTGGCGCATGCTCGACATTTCGTAAGCTTGATGCTCCAGCAGGTACACCTGCGCTGCGGATGCTTCCTGTGGACATGCGACTGGCGTCTGCAAGATCGCCGGCGCCGCTGCCGCCGCCAGACTCGCCCAGGGCGCTCACGTCGAGGTCGCGAATGGCAAACTGCGCCAGCGTACGCAGCTTGCGAGTCACCCATCCCGCAAGGATCTTGCCTCGCTGCTTCTCACCGAGCCGAGAGCGAGGAAAATCACCTTTGCTGACGAATGCCACAATGTCGACGATGATTTGATGCTCATTCAAAATGGCATTGACAATGACGGGCACGATGGACGCCAGGTAAGGCTTTCTACTAACTTCAACAAGAACAACAACAAGACCGCCAGCCTGGAACACTGCGCTAAACAACAGGTTAGCACAGGAATGCAAGTGGCCTTTTTTTCTTTTCTTTGCAAATACCAGAGACTTACCAGCCGCCAGGGACAATATTGCGATGGGAACGTTCAACCGAGTACTCGATATCCATGGGGAAATGGCTGAGACCATTGATTTCAAACGTCTCCCCAATGCTGCCCAGCACGAAAAGAACTTGCATGTCAACCAGGGCTCCCCCCGGCCCAATAGGCCGGCTCACGTTATGCAGGAATCCAAGGTCACCGGTTCGGACGTAAGCTACATTTGGATCACCATCAATGGTGCGTCCGTCAAATCTCTCGGCATCAAAGGCATCTTTTGATCCGTAAAAGGACTTTACACAAGCCTCGGAGTCGACCCATATTTCGCCGTGTTCTCCGTCGTAGCAATGCATGCGATTCTCTGGATTCACGATTGCAATTTGTGTTGAAACCGGAACCATGCCCGAGTCCTGCACAAGAAGGGCCCTGGGATTTGCCTCGGGGTCCACAGGGACTACCAAACCTCGGCGAAGCGCTTTAGTGTCCAGCCAAATCTCGATGGGCTCGATGCACATGTATGATCTTGATGCAATCATTGGGTTCAAAACATGTGAGTAAACCGTGTTGATCGCTGTTCTGTCGAGTCCGGTTGGTGCAAAGTGCATTCGCACCCTTTGGAAAACATCGACTCGAGGACGACTGTCGGAAGTGATCATCATGTTCTTCAGCTCGTGCAGAGCAAAGCCTTTTGCATGCATCGCGGCCATGGCATGATCCAACATCTGCGGGGTTGCGTACGTATCCTTAATCTTGTATCGTGACAATGTGACGAACAAGGACATGGGGTTCTGGGCAAATTCGACAGGAGAGAGCAGGTAGGTGGGTGTTCCGATATAGATGCCCATGAGACAGGTGTGGACAAAACCCAGTCCCGTCGTGCTTCGCACACATCCGAGAACTGGGCGTGAACTGGACATCTGGCACGTCTCCTTTTGGACCTTGCACATCCCCATTAGGGTGTCGTGTCCCAGCTGAACCGCTATTCTCCGCTGGTCCGGCGTCCAGTACGTCCAAATAAGCACAGGGTATCCAGGCCGAACCCATGCTGGATCAATTGTCAATCCCAAATCACGAAGACCGTTGTTCTGCTTGGGTGGTTTGGTGGTGTTGTAAACATTTGGAATGGCAATTTTGAGAATTTGGGCCGACTGCTTGATGTGACTCGAAACAGGCTTGAGCTTGATCAAATGATCCACCTCATGATTGACCAGCACGGCCTTCACATGGTAATCAGCAACAATGTGGAGGAATGCGGGCACATCCTCGTTGAGACGATTCTGATCCAGTGGTGCCATGGGAATGACGACCGCACCCAAGTTGATACAAGCGTGAACGGCAAAGACAAACTCCTCGGAGTGTGTGTACATAAGCACAACATGATCTCCGGGTCGTACCTTGACCTTATTCTTCAAATACATTGCGACAGCAGCAACCCTTTGATCAAACTTGCGCCAAGTGACGCCCTTGCCTTCTCTACCTCGACCATCAATCGTACAATACGAGAGCTCTTCCGGTTGACGAGCGACACGCCACTGAATGAGATCTGAGATGCAGGCAAAGTTGTTAAGAGGCGTGGACGTTCGGTCGTCAATGACAACTTCCCTTCGGTCGATACCCGAATATTGTTTGTCTGCTGGGGCTAGAATATTGGCCCGCGATTCTGACGCGATTTGGGACCAAATGCCTCCTATCGGGTCAACCCCGATCGGCAGGTTGAGCACGGCATGCTCGACGCCAAACTTCACATGAACACAGGGTAAATTGCCCAGGTCGTATTCTCGACGGCAAAGCATGTTCCCAATCTCGCGTCTTCCGTTCTTGATAACACGTGGTAAGGAGTTGGGAGCAGTGATCATAACACAGTAGAGTCTGAGATGGTGCTCTTCCATCAGTACTTCCATACACCTCTCGGCCAGGGAGTCGAGCAACGCGGTGTCGGGTTGCCTGGGAGGGCCTCCCGAGGTAAGAGGAGCGGTGGACGCCGCCGCGGATTCCACCACAACGACGGGGAGGTGTTCATCGTTGACAAAGACGTCGAAGGCAGAGCAGTCGTAAATCTTGGGGACATTTTTGACGATGCTCACAACCATGTGCTGCACAAAGAAGTATCGATACTCGGCTATTTCGTGGCCGTGTTCTACCCACTCTACCTTCTGTCGGATGCGATCCTCGTAGAGTCCCAGAATAAATATCTTGCCTTCGATGACGGTACCAAGCAGACCTGTCCGCAGAAATTCGGGCTCCACGGGCGTTGGAGTGGGCTCTCCTGGTTCGAACTTATATGGTCGTGCGTGGAAAATAAGCTCGGTGCTCTTTGGCTGAGACCAAAACCCCCCAGACAAAGACGGCGAGTCGATCCAAATCTCACCAATCATGTGGGGGGAGGCGAGAAGACCGGTCTCGGGGTCAACAACAGATAGGGTAGCGTCTGGTATAGGATACCCAAATGTGCCGACTCTCACCATGCCCGGTTCGTTCGGTGCCCTTTTGCCCACTTCGTCGCCATATGCCATAACAACCACCTCGTTTGTTTTGAGGGCCTCGCGATCTAGGAGCACCTCGTTCATTTCTGTATTGCCGGTATTCGTCTCTGTTGTGGTCGTTGTCCCGCCGCCCAGCAAGCTCCCAAACCCGTTTGAAGGGACGGGCTGAGCAGTTTCGCCGTCATCCTCCGAATCAGACTCCGAGGCGGGCTCGTGTTCTAGCTTGAGCGGGACACCCATACGTTCCTCGCCCCCAAGCCAATCTCTCACACTAACCACCATTCCGCCATGCTCCGGTAGGCACAGCATAGGTGCAACAACCTGTCGAGCTCTGGCATTTCTCAGTGGGCGCAACCATCTGTCGGCCAAAATCTCGTGAAATTCTCCGTCAACTGTAAGGGTATCAATTAAACACAGTTTCACAGCTTGGAAGTTGGGTTCCATGCCCTTTTTAAAATTCCGTGTCGTCAAAGGATCCTGCTGATAGTTGTATGCTGCTCGCTTCAAACCAGGGTAATCTGCCACCATGATGGTTGCTTTGTATCTTGTAATGAGATGCGCGTAAAGGCCAGGAACGTCCACGGCCTTGTTGTCAAACCACACCGTCGTATGGCCGCCGTACACTGTCAGCAAAACCCCAAAGATCATGCCAATGCCTTGACGAGGTTCCAAGTAGGAGAGTAGAGTTTCGCTGTCAGCCTTCCTACTGCCAATGAGGAGGCCATTTTTATCTCGCAAGGACGGACTAAACGTGTCCCTTGATTCGTTGCCTGGGATTGTCGATATAATTGCGCTCAAGCAGGCCATCTGATGCATGATAGTGCGATGACTCAGCACGACGCCTCTCAAGTCTCCAGTCGGGGCTCGCGAAAATTCAATGTACGCCAAGTCAGGGACCGAGAGTGCGGGTACATCCTCTTTCTTCTTAGGATGATAGCTACCAAATTCATTAGTCTTCCACCACTCAACTCCCTTTGGCCAAGTCAGTTTTTGTGTCGTGATGTCTCTTTGGAATGTCTTGAGGTTGTTATCCGTTGTTAAGGCTAGGTGTGCCTGTGTCGAGGTCAGGATGTAGTTGAGTCGCTGATAGTCTTGCAAATCGTTTATTGGTACAGCAACCACTCCTGCAATGAAGCAACCCATCAACGCAATAGCAAAGTCAATTATTTCGCTATCGCGGTAAACAAGAGCAACTCGATCGCCACGGTACAGCGAGCTCTTATCTCTTATGACTTGAGCAACCTTTTCTGCCCTAGAAGCAAACTTGTCCCAAGTAATGGAAGCAATTTCCTTGCCCTTGCTATCAAGAACCCAGTAAGCCGGGACCTTGGCTGTAGTGCGAGCGCGGTGTCGCAAGACGGCAGCCAGGTTGTCGAAACGGGACATGGTAATGTTGGCGTCGTGCGGGTCGTGAATGGCAAACGGCACCTCTCGGGGCTCAAGCGGTTGTAAATACTCTAATACTTCTGCCGGTGGAAGGTCGTTGGCCGTGAGCATGGGAGGGGGGATTGCGGCTGTGGGAGAGAAAGCCTCTCCAGATGAATATCTTTGGGGTGCACCGTACTCTCCTCCGGACTGAGTCTGATCGTAAGGCTGCTGACCTGCAAAGTCGGAAAAATAGCCCTGGGAGTCCTGCAACGTTCGAGTTCTGCCATCAAACTGCTGCCGGTGATGTGACTGGTGGTGTTGCTGTTGGTGCCCTGCACCCACGTAGGCACCTTGCTGGTCGGGATTGAAAGCATAATCCCTGGAAACCATAGTTCCGCTCCGCGAAGGGTCGTCGCTGGATGCAGTTGTCGCCGTGAGAAAAAGCGAATCGCGCTGCAGGGCAACAGATTGTTCAGCTATAGGACCGCCAGGCCGCAGCAGGCTGGCGGGTGTCGTCTCGGCGACTTGTGAAGCTGTCGGAGGAATGCCGTAGCCCGAGTTTGGTCGGTATATCGGTGACCCGGGATCAGGGCTATTTTCCGCCACAAAACTGCGTCGGCGGTCGTCGTGGCTTGGATGGGGCGGGTTGTCATCAGGTTGATGATTACGCAAGCCGGACCGAGGGGGAGGAGGCTCCTGGATGGTAGGGCCACGAGCTGGCGGGCTGGGTTCGCTATAGCCATACTGAGAGAGCAGTAATGTCCGTTTCTTCTGGTAGCTAGGGGCGAGGGGGAGAATGTCAGCATCAAGAGAGGAGATTGGTGAAGCGGTCGAGATGGCTGATGATGTTTTGCTGGGTAGGATTCCCGGGTCCCTGGAGGCGTTCAGGGCTCGCTTACCCTTTCTCCGTAATGTCCCCTTCCTTTTGAAGAAAACGGTTTCATCAGCGAATTAGTTCCGGGGGAGACACGAGAGTCAAGAAGGGATTCTTTTTCGCGCTTACCTCCAACTCGCGCCGCAGGTCGTCCAGCTTGCCCTGAAGCTCGGGATGGAAATCGGCCATAGCGGGCGCGGCTCCTTCAGCGTTTGCGCCGATGGGAAAAGCCAGGACGATAGCAATCCGTCGAATTGAAGCGGCTAGTTATACATGATTGGGCACAGCGGCCATGTCCAAAAAAAAAGAAAATACGATGGTGGTGATGGATGGATAAGCTGCGGAGTGAGTTGGCGGGTTGCGGGCCAAGGAGATGAAGATGGACCGCCGAGTCTCGTGACGTAGTGGCCTAGCAGCCAGCCCAGGGACGCCGACCGTTTGAGTGGAAGAGGGACATTAGTCACATTACGGAGTGGAAGTGGCGGGAAATAAATGAGCGGGCAGGTGCGCAAGTGGTCCAACGGGCAGGGACGACCAGAGGCGTGTGTGTGCGCGGTCGAAGGAGAAGGAGGGGCCGGACCAGTCCTTGGCTCAATGAGGATAGGAGCGACACCAAAAATAAGGCCGACTTGTTCCAATACTCCGTACTCAACATTGACAGAAGATGGCAGCGTGGCTCCGCTGCGGTCTCGTCTCGTTTCGACCTCCTAGCTGCCGTCCTCCAGGCTCGCCGGGTTGATTGGTGGGGCTTGCAGCTCGAACGCGAGGACGAGACTGGTGACGACTTGCGTGCAAAGGCGCAGTACCAAGGCGGATGGTGTTTCGGCGCATTTGCAATCGCAGAGCAATGCGGCCAGAGCACAGCGAAAGAAACAACCAGAGGGGCAGAAGAACCCGTGTCCCTGAATAGGTGGAGCCCCGCACCCAAACTCATGATTGAATTCGCGCCAAATCCTGGTTGGGCTGCGTGGTACCCTTCAGATTGTTTTTACAGACCCAATCCTCAAACAACATCTTGGTAAAACACACCTAAAGCTGTACGACCGACCGAAGTGATACGTACCTGTTGGCAATGGCCTTGATGTGTTTATTTTGAGAATTGCTCGCCCCACCACGCCCCACAGCACATTTATAGTAGTACGTACGATCGCATGGCAGCCTGTCTCAAGTTTCAACACCAAAGCACCGCACATCGTGATGGCTGAAGAACGGACTGGCTGTATGTGTGCGCTTTGCACAAAAGGCCAGAAATCGCGTTTGTGGGATATCTACAGCGTGCCTAGCGCGGCGCCACCGACAAGTTCCCGTATTTCGTTAATTACTTGGTCATTCACTGACGGCATTGACCGTGGGCATTTGCTGCCATGCCATGCATTGACCTCAGGGCGTAGCGGGGCATTGAGCCCGAAGAAGCGAGCCTGTTTTGTCCAAGCTTCTCGGAACAAGCATAGGGGCATCCGACTTCACCTTCTCGCTTAGCTTTTGTACATGCGCCTCATGTCTGTTGGGCATGAGAGGACATACGTTCCTCTCTTGGCGCATGAATCCTCGGAGCTCTGTCACTGGCTCTGGCGCCGTGAGCCCGTCGGCGACTGCGTCAGCAGCGACTGCGTCAGCAGCAGCCTTGCCTAGTATGTAGTCGTGCTTCAGTCCGTCATCTGAATGTTGAGACTGTTGCAATAAGCGAGTGGTTACTCCGTACGAGCGGACAATATTGTGAAGAACTATACAAGGGCTGGAAATATATTTATGCTGAGAATGTCCCCCAATCTGAGTATTGTGGGTTAAGGAATCAACAACTATTGGAACTGGACCTTCTGCTATTTTCACACAAACATCCCGTCACTTTGCTTGTAAGGGACAACAGATACTTGATTCACGCTGGGGCCTCTTGATATCTCTTCAATTTTTAGCAGCTGTCGAGATTCCCTGGACTTGTTTGCGTGTTAGGAAGGTCCTTGCCTATCATTTCCTCTATTAACAGGATGTCTGCCGTGACATCTGCACCGTTTCCTCGTACTTCCTACTGAGTATTTTACGCAGCTGGGAAAGTCACTATAGCTATGAAGTATGTCCGGCTGCTCTTCGCCTAGCACCTTCTTGCGAAACGGGAGCATCTGCTGTTGTAGCTGCTCGGCCTCCTCATGCTTCCCTTGAAGGGAGAGCACAAATGAAAGGTTTTTCATAGATATAAGTGTGTCTGGATGCTCTTTGCCTAGCACCTTCTCGCGAAGCTGGAGCGTCTGCTGATGCATCTGCTGGGCCTTCTCATCCTGCCCTAGACGACAGAGTAGACTTGCAAAGTAATTCATAGAATGAAGTGTGTCTGGATGCTCTTTGCCTAGCACCTTCTCGCGAAGCTGGAGCGTCTGCTGATGAGCGTCTGCTGATGCATCTGCAGGGCCTTCTCATCCTGCCCTAGACGACAGAGTGTATTTGCAAGGTTATTCATGGAATGAAGTGTGTCTGGTTGCTCTTTGCCTAGCACCTTCTCGCAAAGCTGGAGCGTCTGCTGATGCATCTGCAGGGCCTTCTCATCCTGCCCTAGACGACAGAGTAGATTTGCAAAGTGATTCATAGAATAAAGTGTGTCTGGATGCTCTTTGCCTAGCACCTTCTCGCGAAGCTGAAGCGTCTGCTGATGCATCTGTAGGGCCTCCTCATGCTTCCCTAGAAGTAAGAGCACATTTGCAAGGTTATTCATAGAATGAAGTGTGTATAGATACTCTTTGCCTGGGTCCTTCTCGTCAAGCTGGAGTGTCTGCCAATACATCTGCTCTGCCTTTTGATAATTTCCGAGTAATTCATAACTTGCGGCCACAAGAAACGAAAGGCGAGCGTCCACCCTTTCACCTTCAAGGTGCTTCCCAAGGTCCAGCGCGGCTTGTGCGTGCGGTAGATATTTCATCAACATGTTTCTGTTCTGGCGCGTTGGAAGCGGAAATGCTCGACTAAGCTGCTGTATCGCAGACGATACACAGCCTTCCAGTTCATCCTTACTCTCTAGTCAGCTTTGCATCGCTATTCGCACAAGCCGGTGCATGTCGAATGAATCTTGTCCTTCACGTTGCGCGATGAATGCATATGCCTTCAGCGTGCCGATTGCCTCCAAGTCTTTAATTTCCTTAGTCGTTGGTACTTTAATTTCCTCAGTCGTTGGTAAAAGAGACCTCGGGATGTCTTTCTCCGCTAGAAGACTCATGAACTTCAGGTACTGCGTTGCCAGCGGATCATTCTTCAAGATGTGTTCAAACGAAATATGCCATGTTTTGGCCACTGCATTTTGGGATTTATCGTATCGATGTGGATCATTAAAGTCTCTACTTAGCAGATACTTTGTGTCCTCAGGCTCAGACTCGAAAAGCTTAAGGTACTCTGAAGGTGATATGTGGTTCTTGTCCATGTATGCGGATGCCTGCCTGATTGCTAGCGGCAGGTATGTTAGAGATTCAAGTAGTCTCTCGGTGTGTTCAGGGTCGATCTTCATCTGGCGTTTGTTCAAACCTTTCCGTAGCAGATCGGAGGCTTCGCTACGATCCATTTCTAGTACGCGGACAATGTCCTCCTGAAGGACGCCAAGCGAGGCAGTGGCCTTGTGATTCCGCGTTGTAAACAGGATCGAGCCCTTTCGACTAAATGGGAGATAGTCTGGCAGTCTAATGACGTCAAAGAGCAATTCAATGTCATCGGCATTATCGATAACCAAGAGCCAGCTGCCACTGCTGTCGTCACTGAGCTTAGTTTTAACAAGCTGTTTAATGTCAGCCTGTTCCTCGTTCAGACCCTCGATCTTCATATGTTTGCCGATATTGCGGTAAGCGTTCTCGAAGGTGTTTGCGTCCACGGCCGGAACCCAGAAAATAGAGCAGTCCGGGTGGTCTTCATGAAGACGGTAGATGGCCTCTAGCGCGATTTGCGTCTTGCCGACCCCCCCAAGGCCTTCGACGGCGATTCTCTGGCAATTGTCCTTACTCGTGCCAGGCCAGATCCTCCCCCGAAGCTCTCGCAAAATCGTTTCCCTGCCAACGAAGCCCTGATTCCTTCCAAACGGGACGAGAAAATAGGCCAGTGGTTCCTCCGTGACCGGGCCCCGATGTTTGTCTGTTTGGATGTATTGTTCTAGAAGGGCCTTGGACGCGGATGCTGCTGTTGCCGCCGCAAAATCTTGCCACTTCTTGTTCTTATGGCAGTCGGCATAATCGCACACACCTTTGACCACGATACACGGCACTTCTTCCCATGCTCCAGCTCCCTCCATCTCAAACGCAATAACGCCTTCTTTCTCGACGATCCTATCCCGGTCCTGTCCTGACTTCATTACGGTATCGCCGGAGGCAACAGTCCCAATGTAGATGACAGGGCCTTGCGCCTTGTTGTTTTCACCTTGCTCCAACTGCTGTCTCGCGTCTAGTCGAGCCCTCTTTACTAGGTATGTCTCATCGCACCCCAAATCGTCGCAGGCCGAGGCAAGAGCCCCAGCACAGACAGGGTCCGTACTCTCTTTACAATTGCTGCAGATACACGCAGACGAGGTGTGGTGTTTGTGGCGATAGCCCGAGTCGAACAGCTTATCCTCCGCCGTGCCGGGATATTTATATTTAGTCTGATAAATTCCGGCCCTTCCCTGGAGCTGTCTGAGAAATTTCGCAGTCTTTTTTTCAAGGTTGTCTCTGCCCAAGTCCGTCTCGAATGTTGCCAAGAATGCAAGGATATCTTTGTTAGGTTTTCTTAGATCGTCTTGGGGCTTGTCCTTGCGCACAAAACCATCTGGTAATTGCCTTCCAAAGTCGTACTGAATAACAGTCTTGCTAATAATGACGTCTCCCAGCAAGATCTCATCTTTGTTACAACGAGGCGCACCGCCACAGATGCCCACGAGGAGCACGAGTCGTAGAGCGACGTAGCTTGATCGCATACTGGCGGCTGCAGCAGCAGCGTTGACTTTGCCCATGCCAGGCAACAGTGCTAGTACAACGCTATGCTGGCCAATGCGACCGGTTTTATAGGTATTATCGTCACTGGCTGCCCTGCCAAATCGGTCTCCATTTCCGTCCCAGAATTCGTCAAAGAGGAGGGCCACGGCATTATACTCGAGTGGCAAAGCACAGATAATCGCTATCTTAAAGTCTTCGCGGCAGGAGGGTCGAAGAGCCGCCATCGTGACGTTACTCGTGATCGCCAAGGAATGTGCTTCGAATTTCTTTGTTCATTCAGTGCCTGCTTGTTTGCATTTCATTCCATCTCCCATGCTTCTGAGCATCGACTGTAACGTTCTCGTCGTCGAAAAAGCTGCAGCTGTGGATGAATGGTGCAGCTTTGAGGGTTGGGGAGTTCTGATATCGAATGCGTTTAATCATGCTCCGGAGGAAGGACCATTCCACATCGTCCTGTCGTTGGGTGATGCCTGATTAGGCCCCGAACTTAGCAACCTGTGATACATTGGGCAAAGGTAGCGCAGGCGCAGCCCAAGTAATACTCTGGACAGGCATGTGTGCCCAAGTGGAACACTCAGCCGCGCCTTACGCCCGGAGTCCGACCTTGGGCTCACAGTGTCACGGAGAGGGCTCTATCCTTTTCAATGTCATTGAAATCGATGACTGTTGCGATTGGACTTGTTTCTTCTCCAAAACATGGACAGCTGCTTTCTCATATCTGAACTGGTTTCCGTTCTGTGACGGAGCGCCACCCTGATGACAATGGGATGACTGGTTGGGTCCAGGCAGCGATTGAATTCCGTGGAGGGAAGTAAAAACGAGTGTGGCCACACCACACTATTTTGTGTGGTAGACCACCTTATTATTCTCAAACTCCAAACTTGTGAATAGCTTCACGATCGACACTTTTGAATCAGAGCTAGGGGTACATTTTTTTTTACAACTGAACACGCACGTGACCATGTCTGGCAAAGTGGAGCCGTGGGACTTGTTCTGGTTTTGTGCCATGCATGCGGCTCAGCCCGTCATAATCGTGCCCGCCCCACTTTAGATGGTTCGGCTAGCAAAGCCCTCACCAAGACTGATGAAGATGGGTTCCAGCCAAGGAAGCGTGAGAGAGGGAATGAGCATCAGGGGCTTGTGTTTGTGAAGCAGGCGCCGGATGTAGACATGCAAGGTGGAATGTAAAATTTCACAGCATTCATCATATGATATCGGGGACCGAGCGATGATGGTGATGGTTGGATCTCCGGCCCATCTTTGCATCAAGATGAACTTTCAAAAGCACACATAGCTGATGATACATGAAAACGGATTTGCTCTCTGAGACTTTGCTGTTCTCAAATTGAATTATCACCGCTTCATGAAACTACAGACATGGCACAACGCTGGAACAAGATACTGACAAGGATCCGTCTCAACATGTGCGCGTCTGCTTTCGTTGTTAGTAGCGATTTGACTGCTCAACAACAAACGCTGACAATGCCGGTCTACGCTCTACTACACGATACTCAACCATCTTGTTAGTCAAATGCCTGCTGCATTCATCATGCATACATACACACGAAACCACCCAAAGTCCCGGGTCTACGATCCCCATCTCTGAATCAACGCCTCCCTCTTCTCGCTTTTCGCAACGACCCTGTGCCCCGCGAGCGATTGCAGCTTCTTCTTGGCCTTGTCCACCTCCTGGGCCAGCACCAGGATAGAGCCCTCGATATCTGGGTCCACCAGCTTCACATCACCAAAGGGACTATCGGCCAGGAGGCTATCCCGAACAAGTTGGATTGCATGCATGGCGTCTTCTACGTGGGCGCGGGCGGTGGACTCAAAGCCCTCCTGCGCTCCTTTCGCCACGCCATTGCATTTGCGGTTTCCTTGAGCCAACAGCCCCTCCAGGAAGTCAATTTGGTCTTTGAGCTTGGTGCAATCAGGGGGCAAGGTCACGGCCAGGTCTTGGAGCAGAGTCTCCATCGGTGTATCTTCCCGGAACCCCGAGGATCTTCGCCGTCGGCGCAGTTCGGACGTATTGCTGCGAGTTCGAGCGGGAGAAGCAGGGACCTGTCTTGGCTTCTTGGGGAGGATTTCAGCGGCTATTTCTGCTTTGGCGATGACGGCTATTGCGGCCGAGGCGGCTTGGTGGGACCTGTGCGACTGGACGTATGCATGGAGCCTGTTCATGCGATCCACGAGGTAGATGAGGCATTCGTTGATCTAGAGCCCGTGTTGTTAGCTTGTGTAGGTGGTGCGAAGCTGTCTGGGGCGGAGACAAACATATGTCAAGGATGTGGTTGTCTTTCCGGTGCTCTGGTCGGTTCTCAAAGAGAGGGCCTTGAGCGCGGGCTCGAGATGCTGCTGGTCTATAGACATTTGGGCGACGGGCAAAATCTCAGAGTAGAGCGATTCGACCTCCTCTTGGAGCGCCTTGACTTGGTCGCTTGTGGCCGGTTTTGCGGTTCCGCATCGCTCTGCGGTGCTGAGGGTTTCCAGGTAGATGGTGTCTAGTTTGGTGCGAACGGTTTCAACCGTTGTTTTGATGAGACTGTTCTGCGGCGTTAGATGGCATTCTATGAGTCTGCAAGTAGCAGTCGTCCTACCGCATGCACGTCTCTCGAAGCTTTTCAATGGCTTGCGTTTCGTCTGAGTCGGGTTGGTCGAGTTCCCAGCCTAGCTTCTGGAGACTTGAAAGGAGCTTGTCGTCGGATTGAAGGAGCGTTGTGATGCTGTCGTTGAGTGCTGGTCCGTGCTGGTCAAGCTCTGCGAGTTGGAGTGTGATTTCGTGGGACATGCGCTGAACCTTGAACAGTGTGTTAAACTTGGTGGCTTGGTGATGACGGCCTCTTTTGTCTTACTTCTTTAGTGAGTTGGTTACGCTCCAATTCACACTTTTTTCTGTGAAGGCTTTCTAGATCTTTTCGGCGGCTGGCATTTTCGGTTTGCTTTTTTACCATTCCAGATAGGGCATCTTGCTGTTGACGCAGTGTTTCCGTCTGTTTGGAAACACTGCCCGTACATTGCCTTAGCTCTTCGATTGCAATCATTAACTCATCCTCAGTCACAGCCGGCACCTCGGTAAGGTCGTGCAGGTCTGCCAGCTGATCTACGCGTCCGCTCCCATCCAGTGCCGTATATCTTTTGCAAGGTTAGCGTACAGATTGTGGTGCGGCGGGGGCGTGTACGTGGTCAAAGAAGAGGGCAAGGCTTGAGCTTTCCTCACACCACGGATTTCCGTCTCAAATGGAAAGAAGAATTACATGAAAGCTCACTCACACGTCGAGCTCATCGGCTGTCAACAGGGTATCGGATGTCAAATGTGTCAAAGCCCATTCGGCAAACATGGGGCCGTGGTTGGCATGGTTGATGGCGGCCTGCACATCATCTTTGCTTGTCTGAATGCCGTACGTTCGGGACGCTTTCAACAGGAGAGATTCAGCCTGCTCCCTTTGTTCGGTATTCATGGCGACGGTATGATGAAGCGAGGTGGCGTTCAAAAATGTCCGTTGTTGGCGAGGAGGGGTCCAGTCTGTATCACGGTGCAGTCGGATCTAGATGTATTCTGTTGACCGCTTTTGTAGCGAGATGATGGCGGATAGCGGGTGCTCGAAGATGACTGAGTTCATGGCTTGGATCGCGGGATGATTGAGGCATTGAAATGCGTAACAACGAGAGGCGGCAAGGCGAGCTTGATGGACGACAATAAAAGTTGACGGATGATGGTCTCGAGTCTCGACATGGAACCAATTGAAGGACCAGACTTCAATGGCACCGGCCGGGGCGGGTGATTGCTAAGGCCTGTGGTCACTGGTCAGTGGGGACTCGGCGCGGCCAGCGGTCCTGACACAGCTAAACCCACTCGCTACGCCCTGGGCCGCGACTCGGCTGGAAGCTTGAGCCGCCTGGCCGCGCGGTTCGTGGATGCCACGATGCCACGATGCCCCGATCCATCAGCACGCAACATAATACCATGCCTGTGTGCCCACGGCCACGTGTGGCCCACGAGCAAGACGCCAGCGGCACCCCATGAATGGATCTCTTCACAGCTTTGTGGTGCTGGGCAGCCTCTGCATGGTCTTTGCCGCGTTCCCGAAGCCTCCGTCTACTCACAAGCCCTCACATCGGACACCCAGTCTTGGCCCTTTGCCCGGACGAAATGCAGAACAAGCCGCAATCGTTTCACGCAGACCTCTCAAGCATCGTTCCAGCGTTACAACACGCTTCTTCGTGTTCGCGGTACCTTGCTCCCGTTCAATACCTGTACATTCATCGAGCCGTGCGCCAGGCTCAACCCCTGAGCGGACCGTTTAGAATCTCCCGACGTATCGCAGCGTCAATGCTGTGAATCAGAGACACGTCCTTGGACTCATTGCCTCCAACTCGGTCTGTGCCGGCTCTGGATTCAGTTCCCACCCAGCCGAAAGCCTTCCGTTCCAGCAGTGGCACGATGACGTGGATCTTCTGCGACGTCAAGTCCGCTGGAAGCCCCATGGGAGTCACATCCATCCATGGCAATTCCGTCCTAGTGGAAGAGAAATGGGCTGTAGATGTTCCTATCGAGAAACACTTCTTGAGGCACATGGCACAGGCTTAGCGTACATGTATGCTGGAGCAGTTCCCATCATCACAAGTCAACAAGGTCCCTACACGACCATCGACCATCGACTTCTTGTCTGTAGATGATACTCATCCCACAGCCACCCAAATAGACGCCAGCCCAATGTGACGTCTCTGTCAGATACAACTGACTTTCCCGCCGTGGCACCTTGTGCCGCTCACTTCCTGCTGACCACGGAGTCACTGTGCCCTGGTGAAGGACCCAGCATTGGCCATGAATCGTGGCCAAGCTCCCCGTCATCTCTGACTGTTGTATAATGTCGGCCGCAATCTTCACGAGCTCCAAGGAACAGCTCGGCGTGTAACACATTCGTATAGCTCAAACATTGGCCACAGCATTGACGGGTGTTTTTGTTCTCCAGTCCCGAAATCTATTTCCAGAAACATCCCGTTGCACAGCGAGAAACGAAACCGCGGCGAAAGGAGAAAGGGAAAGGAAAGCATCACACCGTGGATCGCACCAAGCATGTATACTCATGTCCGAGTCTCCGTCTCCCATTGACCATGTCACAAGCTTCTCCGGTGTTAAGAGCAGTCTCAGTCCTAAGCGATTTTCCTGTTTTCCTGTCACCACCACCGAACGACCGAACCAAGACATCATGGCGAGAAGCGCGTCCAACCACGCCGTTTGGCGAGCGCGGCGGAACGAGGCCATTCACCATCTGTTTTGGGTTGTATGTGTTTCGGCAACCTATCTCGCAACCGAGTTGACCATTTGGGGACTCAGCTTCGCACTGGCTTCCGCGCAACTCCAATACTTTGCTTCCATCGTGGGCATGGCTGTCATATTTTCCGCCATGGCAGCCGCTGGCAAGGTGTGTCTGAGCTGCGACAACTTCTATCACAGATGGATCAAGTCCAAGGTGTGTGCTTTCTGCCCTTTTCTGCCCTCGCTTCTCGGGCAGGCCGGTCGGTTTCAAAAGGCTCACTCACTCTTGCTTGGTGCGGGAAAAAATAAACAGGTGGACTTTATCAACGCCCAGCTTGGAATTGGATTCAGCGTGCCCATCATTATGCTCAATCACGTCCTCGGCATCCGGGACATTGGCTACATCATCGCAACGTCCGGTGAGTTTCCGCCACAACACGCAGGCTGTCTGAGTCACGCGTTGGTTGACAGACGTAGCCATCACAAACGTCGTCTCGTGGGCTTCGGTCTTCTTGCTGTCCCTTCTGGGACTCTTCTTTCTCGGCACGTTGCAGGCATACGCTTCCAGACGCACGCAGACCAAGGAGGCTACAAAGTCTACCTTTGATCCGCGCTACGAGGTCAGAGGGACTATCCGGCGCGCCGCAGCCCGATGCTACGACCGCCCATGGCAGTACCTGACGTCAGATGACTCGGTTGAGAAGACAGAGGACGGCATATCCGCCTCGGCCGAGGCGAAGGCCAGGGCTGTGGCAAGCGCGCTTGTCGTCGAGGCCGATATCCAGGTCCAAGACGGGAACCTCTGGCGCATGCTGAGAAGCAACGGCTACGTCATCCTGTGCCTCGCCGGCACCATAGGCGTCGGCATTCCTCTGGAGCTGCTGGTCCACGATGGCCGGGCCCTCGACGGGTTCTCCCTGTGGCTCTGCTGGCTCATCGCCATACGGCTGCAGCGCACGGTCAAGTCTTCCAGTCTCTTTGGATCCAACGTGCGGTGCCGCCACAGTCTCGCAACCATGGTCAACCCCGTCCTGGTAACCACCCTCCTCATGCTCGGCTTCACCCGCGTCAAAGGCCGGCTCACGGGCAGCGGCGGCATCGCCAAGGTCCTCCGCGACTTTAGCAGCGGGAGCCCTCTGTACACCATCTGGACAGCCGTTGCCTCCGATGCCGCGATGCCGCACAACCCGACTCGGTGGTTCGGCGCCGGAGACTTCGCCCTGTCTTTGCTCGAGTGCGGCGTCGTCGCCTGGGGCTTCAAGCTGTACGAGTGCCGGAAACAGCTCTTCAGCGTCTCCGGGGTTTCCACCCTGCTGTTCTCAACCATGGCCGCCGCAGGCAACGTGTTCCTCTCCGTGATGCTCGCCCGCGCCCTGGGACTGCAGTCCGTGGAATCGCTGGCTTTCGCCGCCCGGAGCGCCACTCTAGCCCTCGCCAAGCCCTCCGTCAAGGCCCTGGGGGGCAACGTGGCCCTCAACGCGACGCTCGTGGTCAGCAACGGTATTCTGGGGCAGCTCGTGTATCCCGTGCTCCTGGACAAGCTGTCCGTGCCGACCGTTCAGCCCGAGCCGCAAGGCCAAGCCGACAAGAAGAAGGCCGACAAACTCGAAGAGGACGACCCCGTCACCGTCGCAGCCGGGGCCGCCATCGGCATCAATGGGGCTGCCATGGGGGTATCGTATCTCTACGAGGTGAAGAGTCGCGCGGCGCCCTACGCAGCGCTCTCCATGACCATGTTTGGCGTCATGACGGTCGTGTTTACAACGCTGGAACCGTTCAAGAATACGGCCCTGAAGCTGGCTTCATGGTGACTACGGGTGGTAGCTGGATTATGAGGCACACGAGGCTTATGAGAAGCGGGCATGGTTGGACAAATGCTTTCTTTCTTTGTTTTTTTCTTCCCTTCTTTTCTCTTACTTGGTGGCCTTCGCTGGACGATAGAAAAGAGTCGGGTCGGTTTCCCTCTTCTTCCTCCTCACGTGGCATTACGAATAAATGGTACACAATGAATTGGTAGTATGAATAGTCACACATGACGACTTACACATACAGTTTAGTTTCCTGACGCCACATACATATAGCTTTATAAACAGGGCAAGGCAGAAGAACATGACTCTAACCACACGTGAACATGAACTTCCTGCGCACACTTGGAGTGTTCGCGGCACCGCTTCGACAAAACAAGTTCTGCGTTCTTCTCCAGTTTGAAACGAGATTTGAAGCTTTTCAATTATTTTTTTTGCTCGACGCCGTCCAATTTTCTGTCTTGTTCTGTGGCCACCAGTACCACAACAAGATGGGAATCGCTTCCACCATCCTCCCCACGACCACTGCTGCTGCCCTCGATCTACTCCAGTCTGCGACAATGATTGGCAATCGTTCTCATCAAGCGTCACGGTCCGACGTACCTCTCGATCAGATGCAACCCACTGGCCGTCTCGACGACGCCGCTCATCTCGCCTGGCTTGAGGGCAAAAGCCGCATCCTCAAACTCCTTCTGCATATCTCCGCGGCCAAAGTAGCCCAGGTCGCCGCGTTTACGGGCAGACGAGCAATCCGACTCGGTAGGGGCCAGGTCGCCGAGAGAAATGGCGCCCGACTTGATTTTAGCCTCGTGGGCCTTGATTATTTCCAGGGCCTCGTCCTTGGAGCGTGTAATCTCAGACTATGGCGCCGTTAATAACATTGAACTGTTCTTATACGCCAACCACGGGCAAAAAGGTAGCCCGTACTTCTCGCCAGCTACTGGGCCGTCTGCTGTCCTTGTGCTTCACCAACAAGTGGGCAGCGCGAATCTTGCCGTCGGGAACACCTGGCACTGCGCCAGGACGCGAGCCGGCGCTGTGGTGTGCTCCCATGTAGTGCTTGAGCTTCTCGGTGTCGGTGCCTTGCGGAGGCTCCCAACGGGAGACTTTTTCGACAGAGTTGAAGTAGTAAGGGAGATTCTTTGAATTGGAGTGGCGCACCTCCCAGTTGGGCGGCAGACCTGTATCGGCCTGGGGAGGCGTTAGCCATGTCTTATGAGAGAAGAGGCGGGTGGTCACTGAGGCATGCCATGACGATGGTGAGCGCAGCGCAGCGCAATGCAGCGAGTGCCGCGTCGGTGACGATCTGCGAGTTTCGGGGCTGGGACCGGGAATATTCTTGACATACCATGATGGGCGAAGGTGCAAAGATGTGCGAATGCGAAGAAGAAGGGGGGGGTTGCGCCCGGAAAGAAGATATAGAGTGGCAGTTGTCCAAGAGGAGGATGGGGTAGGCCGGGATGAACCAAAGGAGAGCAAAGTATGTATATGTGTATGTATATTTATATTTCACAAAGACGGGAACAGGAGAGACGGCAAAGCGTTGCAGCGAGGCACCCGTCACGTTTTTGGCCGTGGATGCAGAATCGAGATCGGAGCCGGAGCCGGGAGGTGATCGAGGGCGAAGTCAATGGAGGATCAGCAGCCAGTCGGTTGGCGATGATGGCCTTTTGGAGGAGGGGAGCTTAAAGACTCAAGACTTGGAGCTTCCCCAGGCGAGCCGTTGACGGGCTGACGGGCTGACGGGCTGACAGGGTCGTCAATGGCTGGGTACGTACCAAGTAGGTACGTAGTACGGAGTACGGAGTACTTGGTGAGCACAATGGTGGGCGGGGGCAGAAATAGCGGGGTATCGAGTTCGAGGCTCAGGGCCGCACTTGAGGGAATGACGTGCCGCGGAGGGCGACGACGGGGTGCCGGCCAATCAGATGCCCCTGCGATGGCAGAGCAAGTCACCTGGCTCGCCTTGCCTGGCTGGAAGCTAACCTTGGAAGTTAGATGAATGACTTAGGTAGGTACCTAGGTACTCGGTGCGGTTACCTGCCCAGTACTCGGAAGGGGCACGTCCAGCCCGAGTCCCGTCTGGTCTGATGGATGTTCACTGTCCAGGCGCCACCGAGAGTTTAGGCTGGTTGGCTGGCTGGTCCCGAAGGCTGGGACGAAGAGGGGTCGCGTTGGTCGTGTGTGACCTGTTCGAGTGGAGAGCCTCGTGCCATTCATCAAGTCGCCCACTTTCCACTTACATTGCGAGCACTGCAATAAGCCGCTCTCCGCGTGACGTGAACGTGATAGAGTTTCAAACACGCTGTCAACGTCTAATCAAACAGGGCGGTCACGCGCGTCGGCTCAGGTCAACTACCGCCGTCCCATTTTCCAAAGGGTCACGCTTCATTCTTGGCCAAGTTTGCCCCGGCAGATTGTCTGCTTTCCGCTGCAGATGCTTGTGATACCATGGCTCAGCTGTGGAGGACGCAGCTGTTTTAACTTACTCAAGTTTGACGCAGTGGTGCTCACGTTGGTGGTCGGGCTCTGATTCGTTGTTGGACAGAGACGCGGTTGGCCAAGACTTTGTTGGGTCTGAGGATACTCGGGAGTACAGAGTACGATGATGAGCAACGGAAGCAGCCATGACAAGCTTTGTTCTGTTGTTGCCATCACGGCGAATACTAGTAGGTACCCAGGTAAACGAACCTGCGAGCGCACGTCCCTCCTCATCACAGACCAGCAGACGCCCATATGATGCCGCCCAACGGCCAAAAAAACGCCACACGCTGGAAACATGAAAAAAAGGTCAAGGCGACGTAAGAGTGGCCATATCCGACACGCTACGGCGTGCTTGAACAGGATTCAATCTCCAAAGTAGCCGCCGTTTTTTGCTATATGCGTCGGGCTGCGATACGACACGCTTCATGTTGCTCGCGCGCGCCCGGATTGAGTACCCCATGCTATATATACCTTCGGTAGGTATGTGCCTGGGCCGTCCCCAGGCAACAACAACTCACCCAATACTTGAATAGGCGCTTAGTAAGTTAAAAGTACTTAGAGGAGTACTGGCAGTGGCGTGTTTCTGCCTGGCAACTACCCCACTGCGTCGCCCAGCTTGCCCACTTACGAGCCCTGCCTCGCCCGTTGCCACAAAAGACCTTGGGTCCCCGTCGTCAACCGCACATCCTCTTGTTGCCTCTTCATCAACACAACACATCTCAACTCGCTCATTTCGGAGGGCCGTCATCGCCAATCGCTCATTCCAGCGATCTCTCATCTCAACCGCCCACCGGCGCATTTCGCACTTGCCGTGACGAAGACTTGCTGCCAAGATCCAAGTCAAGCCGACCGACCACCCACCCGCGCAACACGTTTTGTTTCTATCCCTAGATAGACACCTCCCTGCAGAAATGGCCACCCCCCAGTCGACTACTTCATATGAAGACTCCGGCTCCAAGAAGCTCGAGCAGATTACCTTCCGCTTCTGCTCAGAATGCTCCAACATGTTGTATCCCAAGGAGGATGAAGATGCGCACAAATTGCAATTTACCTGCCGAACTTGCCAATATACCGAAGAAGCCCAGTCTACCTGTGTGTTCCGCAACGTCCTGAACAACTCTGCCGGCGAAACTGCCGGTGTGACCCAGGATGTTGGATCTGATCCCACGGTTAGTTGTCTCCCGCCAGTCATCTGCCTGCACTGTGGTGTCCCTATTTGCTGCGAAATGTGTGGGGACTTGGTCGGAGATGCGACTTCACGTCAGTGGACGTCAAGGAAGGATCAGGACGAAAAGGAGGAGAGAGAAAGGCTCAGCCTGAGCCTGTTTTTTTCATGGAGCGATTGCGACGAACCCTTTGCCGAATACGATGAAGAACTCATGGACGAAATCGAAATGGAACCACATAGCCCTACCACGACCGATTCCGATTCCGTACCGGCTCCGGAGACATACATCTCAGATGACGTCGTCACGGCCCTTGGGAGTTGATTTGGAATCAAGGGTCAGATTACGAAGCGTTACGACACTGGCAACACCTCACCATTATCAACTACATGGCTCATATTCATGCCAATACATCCAGGACCGGGACTGGTTACAAGGCCCACGAGTTTTGATTGTGATGCAAGCATAGCTAGCGGTTGCGTCGAATTGCGTGTTTCCCTATTTGCTCTGTCTGAACTCGTTTACCTTGCTTTGAACTGGCAGGCTGACACAAGTTTTGCATTTCTTTCTTGGCCACAGCTCCCTCGCTCGAACAAGACGTGCCCCAGGTGCAACCACGAGGAAGCTGTCTTTTTCCAGTCTCAGGAGCGAAGTGCCGAAACCGGCATGGTAAGCTTGCCCACCATTGAGTTTTACTCTTATGGGACTTTACCTGCAGCTTGCTGACTCCGCTGGATGGGAAGAAATTATTCTATGTCTGCTGCGAATGCGGTCATATCTTCGACTGATAGTCAATACGATTCATGATACCCCCAATGTCCAAGCCGAATTATTTTTATCGCATAGCCGGAAACAAGGGACGGATTTGATTTGCGTTAGATGTTCATCGTGGGCGTTTCGGAAAAAGGGAGAAGAGACGGCGCACAATTTCTTGGAGTTCTTGTTAGTGTTTTGCCTGTTCAAAGCTGCGCATGGGCATTGGAAGTGATCAGTAGCAGATGTACCACGGTTCTACAATGGAAAAACATGACTACACAGTTCAAGTTATGTTCGTGATGTGACGGAGTGAAAAATATGTGGCTCGTCCATGACTATCCATGCATATGACATGAGACTTGAAAATGAGCTTCTTGCTAGAGTCGAACGCCTCGCAAATGCCAAATGTAATCGTACCATATAACCCATCGTAGCAAGGAGTTAAACCCCCTCTAGTATCCTCTATCTGTGGCCCTTCAGTACATTCCTTCATCTTTACTCGCTACGCCTGCATAGGCGCCATAGACAAGATCTTGCTCCACTTCTTCCTCTTCAACTCTGCGCCAACGACGCCATTGATGCGTGATCCCACGGGATCCCCGGACTTGTTGAGCAAAACGCACGCATTGTCATCGAAGCGGACCACGGATCCGTCACGCCTCTGGGTAGGATATTTGGTTCGCACTACAACCGCGTGTCGAATGTCGCCGCGCTTGACCTTGGCGGCGGCCGAGATGCCCGCCATCCCAGACGACGAGGCGCCTCTTTGTTCCTGAACGACGACGACGATGCGGTCGCCTGTGTCGGTTGTTAGAAGTGGAATTTTGGAATTCTTTCTACACTCCCCTGAAGCAGGGCTCGTAGAGCACAGCGGCGACACACCTATGCGGGCATGCCGCTTCTGACCGACCACCAGGGCGCATTCGACGAGGGCGGCGCCCGAGTTGTCGATACAGTTGAGCATCGTCTATTCGCCACTTAGAACAAATGTGTAGAGTAGGGAATTGGCGCCCGACATACCTTTAGTTGAATCATCTTGGGCCGTGTCCGCGCAAACCCCAATGCTGCATCCCGTCCGCCATGCCATGTTACCGTCCCTGAAGCTTTTCTGGGGTCGGAGACGTCTCGGAAAATCAGGGTCACGTGCACCCGACGCCACATTTTCCCAAGAACGGCAAGGCAAGCAACCCCCTTGCACCCTCCATGTTGCGGTTGCTGGGCCAAAGTTTATGGGGGTTATGGGGAGGCTGGGTGGGCCTACGCACCGCAGGGCGCTCATCAGAGGGCGTAAAGGGAAGCCGCAATTTGGAATGGCTTAATGTCGCCGTGGGAGGACCAAGCACAACTTCACTCCTTACGAGTCTGGATCATGCTTGAATCTGCCGGGTGCGCGGTCGCACGTCTCTGAAGCAGGCGGCTCTCATTTTCCGAACACACAGTCTCTCATTAATCACTCTCCTTTTCCGGACTTCCTCCCGCCTGTTACATGGTCTACTACCTGGCTTTGGCTGCGAATCGAATTGCTTGTTTTGAGACGGGTTGAGTATGAGAAGCTGCGAGGAAGGAGCGAGCTGTGAGCTGAAACTTGGTCATTTGTTCCGGTCGGCTGCGGCTGTCCAGCTGGAAGTGACATTGAGCTGAAGGGCAGTTTTGTTTTTGTCTTTTCCCCCCCTTGCAACTTGGGCCCGTCGAGATCAGATCAGCCGAGGACAAAGTTCCGTTGGAAAGGTTTCCAGGCGGTGGACTTGGGATCGTGCCACGCTTCGGGAGAGGAGGCACGACTGTGTCATAGCGTCACTGGGAACAATGCCTGCTCCAAAGGCTGCACCGGCGAGGCACCGCCTCACTTTGGCACAATTGTCGGCCTACGATGATATCTTGACAGATGCACTGGTCGATCATGTCGGTGAATTCTCTGGCGGGCGGGACCCTCGGGACTGGAAGACTAACTGTGTCGTTATAGGTCTACTACTGGACGACGGTCCCTAAGAATCGCCCGTCATACCACCCCTCGCGGGGTGTGTCGGAGGCCGTCATTGCCAAGATTATCCAGGAAGAGGTGGTCCTGTGGAAAGACTTGGCGGCGGCGGAGGAGAAGCTACTTGCGACACATGGGCTGAGGAGGTTCATGAACTCCTTGAAGACAGACAGGGAGAAGGACGACTTTAAGCGACACCTGCGGCGCTACTTGCAGATTTACCTGCCTGATTGCCCTTGGGAGGTTAGCTCCACGAACCGATATACAATTGTCTCGCACGAGGCGAGCATCACGGCAAGGCGATACATTAAACGAAATGAATCAATCAAGTATCTGTCGGGCATTCAGGTTGTCATCACACCTGACGAAGAGAATGAGATTGCGGCACGCAAAAAGGATTTCAGCATGGTCGTCAGCTCGAGGAGTAAGAGCACAAGCCTGTTCATGGGCCCCGCACGATTTGCAAATCACGACTGCGACGCGAATGCCAAACTCATGACGACAAGCAACGCTGGCATCGAAATCGTTGCCGTACGCCCTATTGAATCGGGCGAAGAGATTACTGTGACGTATGGGGAAAGCTACTTTGGCGAGGACAATTGCGAGTGTCTGTGCGGCACATGCGAGAAAAGACTCAGGAACGGTTGGGAGCCTGAGGAAGGCGCCGCGATTGTCCAGACACGCGTGGAGGATGACAGACGCGAGACGTATGCCCTGCGGCGACGTCGAAGGGAGGACAGCGTTGGCGGGTCTCGAACTCCCTCCGTTACACCTGGAATTCGGCCGCGAGTTCCAAGGACCAAGGCAAAGAGTTCGCGGCTCAGCAATGCCCATGATTCGTCGACGGCCGTATCGCCGGCTCCCCAGGAGCCAGGTGACGGAAAGCGAAAAGCTGATGCCATGGCAACGCCGCCCGTCACACCGGCAAAAAAGCTCAAGCGCACGATTGAAAAGGTGGCCTACCTTGCAGCTTCAAGAGGGAGTTCTGTGAGTGAGAGTGCACTGTCAAGTAATGAGGAGGCTATTGAGACAGATGTCACGTCGCCGGAGAAGGACACTCCTGAGCCCGTACCCGAGACGCCAATGGGGGCACTAGCAACTCGATCCAAGGGCAGCAGCCACAAAGCAGGAGGCGACACCGTGACAGCCATGGCCCCCTTCTCTCCTGAAAGCATACAGAGTCAGCAGTCACCGCAATCGACCAAGGGGAGCGACACGAACGAGTCATCGGCGGCATTGAAATCAGAAGTCAGCACCATGTCAATATCGGCCATTCTAAACGCACCAAGCAGCTCTGAAAAGGAAATTTCGGCTCCTATCTCGGTGAGCATAGAAGCAGTTGAATTATGCCAAATGGCGACAAAAGTCGAGCAAGACATGCAGCCTCGACCAAGCCTCAGAAGACGCAGTTTTAGCAATCAGGCTTCACCTCCAGCCAGGGTGCGCACGCCGGGCGATTACGTCCTCACGCCGTTGCTTCTCTCTGAACCGGAAATGGCGTGGATTCAATGCACAATCTGCAACGAATACTTTGTACAGCAAAATGCTTACTATACGCGGTCGGCTTGCCCTCGCTGCGAACGACACTCCAAGTTGTACGGATACATGTGGCCCAAGACTGAAAAGGCGGGGCCCTTGGATAGAGAGGAGCGAATCTTGGATCACAGGATTGTGCACAGATTCTTGAACACAAACGACGAGCGCAAAGCTCGAGGCAGAAAGTGTTTGCCGGAGCGGGAGGAGTCGGAAGAGCCAAGTGAGCCAGAGAGGGGCCGCAGACTACTGCGTGCGCCGATGAAGAAGAAGAAGAAGAAGAAGAAGAAGAAGAAGCCCGAGGACGAGGTTCAAGACTCGGTTATTGTTAAAATCATGGAAGATGTGCCGGGACTTCGGCGAAGCGGGAGACGCAGGAAGTGTAAGCTGGGGTAGGAAGTACTGTGTCGCAAATGAGAGACATTTGTGCCCGTGGCCTTGATGACTGTTGCCCTTGGAGCTGTGATGTCCGCATGCGTGCCGCCAGTGTGATATCTGCACCAGCCAGCTTGAACCATTCGGGACGTAGTGAGGCAAGCCAACTAATTTTTTAAGCTTGTTGACGGCGTCGGCTTCGCTGCACATGGTGCTCACGTTGAGTTGGAGGAAAGGCGAACTATACAGTTTTCGGCATGATATACTTTGTCTAGTACAACTCTGGCCAAATCGGACTTTTGGCCGGCCGTAGGCGATGAGATCGAGACGAGAGACGACGGACGACGGACGACGGACGACGTCTGGACTGGAACGAACCCGAGGTTCAACTAGTACACTCGCCCGCTCACTGTACGTGCTCACCCATCCAAGCACTGATGCAGGTAAAGCCTCGGCGATATCACTCCGGCCTCACTTGCAAGTCCCCCGCCGCCGCCTCGCCTTGTAGGCTGCCAGGCCCCAAACCTACAACTACAAGGGCGCGGTCCGGGCCGAGCTCTAGGCGACTTTCGGGATAACCGCCGGGCTAGTACACACAAGCGGGCGACACACACTCGGCGTCACATTTTCCAGCATCCGAGGCGCCTTGTCAATACATATGAGAAGATTCCCGCCCGCAATCCGGTCTTCGTTCTTCTCCCACCACACTCGGGGGCCTACCGTTGTGCGAAGAACCCTCCCTCTCTTCCCCCATGCTCGAGCTTCTTCACGGCTCCGGAACCCGAACAAAATGGTGTGCTTCTTCACCATCCCCTCGCAAGTCCTCCGCGTTGGCTGACGACACCGTCACAGAGACTCGGCCGCATTCTAGTCCCTGCCAGCGCGTCTGCGGCACTCGGCGCAGCACTGGGCAGGGAGTACACTCGCAACGGGCTGGCCTGGGGAGACGCCATCCGGCTGAACCAGATCCAGGTCGTCGGCACGCACAACAGCTACCACGTCGAGGCGCCGGACGAGGAGAAGACCTACATGGCAGAGTGGACCAGCGAGGCCCAGGACCTGTTTTACGGCCATGCCGCGCTGGAAGTGCAGCTCGGCGAACAGCACGTGCGGAACCTGGAGTGAGCATCCTCCCCCCCCCGCGGCACAGACTGGACATTGTGGCCGACATCGACGGGGGCAACTACGCCAGGCCGCTTATTCGGATGGTCAACGAGGTGCCCTACAACACGGGGCCCGAGTTCCTGACCCGATCGACCAAGGTCATACACATCCCCGACCTCGACATCCACAGCGTCTGCACGACGCTCACGGCCTGCCTCGGGACCATCAAGGCCTTCGTCGACGCCCGTCCGCGGACCGTGCCGATCCCCGTCATTATCGAGTTCAAGGCGGCGGAGCCGCTGGCCGAATCGCTGCAGGGCGCTCAGGTCATCCCCTGGGAAAATGGCACGCGGCTGGACGAGCTGGATGCCGAGATTCGCTCCGTCTTCGGGAGCAAGCAGCTCATCACGCCGGATGACATTCGCCGTCCCGGCTTGACACTGGAGGAGTCTGTCCTGAAGCACGGCTGGCCGGATCTGGACTCGGCGAGGGGGAGGGTCCTCTTCCTCATGGACAACGGCCCGGACCATCCTGTCAGCAACAAGTACACCGAGGGAAGGCCGAGCTTGCAGGGCAGAGTGTTGTTTACCAATTCGGTTCCAGGGAGGGCCGACTGCGCCTTTCAAAAGGTGAGCGAGTACTTGTGTGCTCGGGTTCCTCTACTCCCCCTCTTCCCCTCTTCCCCTCACCCTCTCACCCTCTCACCCTCTCACTCCCCCTTGCAGACATTCCTCTGACGGGTTGGTGTTGAAGCTCAACGACGCCGTGACCGAGGAGACCATCCAAAAGATCCAGGAGCAAGTCAGGGCGAATTACCTGGTGCGGACGTTGGCCGACGAGCCGCTGAGCACGGTGCGGAACTGCAGCACGGTCCAGCGTGATGGGGCGTTCAGGTCCGGAGCTCAGATTGTTTCTTCGGATTTCCCGGCCGCGGGCATGAGTGAGCGGTATGACGGGTGCAAGTACGTCGTCGAGATTGGGGGCGGCAAGGTGGCGAGGTGTAATCCTGTCAATCAGTGGGCGGGATGTGTCGACGAGGAGCTCGAGTAAGTTTGTGTGCTGTGCTGTGGATTTATATCGCGTGAATGGCTTGCGTGTTGGGCACGTTGGGCGTTGGGAGAGACAAGACATCAGGGTTCAGCGTGGGAGGAAATGGAAGGGGAAGGTTTCGGTCATCAATAGACTAGTAGTTAGTAGTGGTAATAATAATGCCCACGTGTCCCGCGACTTCTGTGGTATGGTATTCCCTGGGATGTGAGTGTGAGGGTGTCCGTGACTACGCTCTGCCTGTTCTGGGAGAGTTTTGTTCGGGTTCGGGAATAACGTTCCACATGGGGCAATCTCATGGCGCCCGGCTGACTGCGACTCCAGCACGTGTTCGCGATGCGGGCGGACTGCGCGCGGCAACGGTGTTGTTTCCGGGTGGCGCCAGACCACCGACTGCTCGATGCTGCTGCCCGTGTCTCGGGATATTTCTCGTTTTACATGGGTATTGCAGATGAGATGCGTGCAGGGTAGGCAGTCTCCGGGTGCAAGCACAGGACTTGGGGAGCGACCAGCTGGTAAGTACTTGGGTACCCAGGTACCTAAGGTAGAAGGTAGTAGGCACTACGTGCTCCGTACATGCGCGTGTTTGCAACCGGGAGGCACGGGGCGGGCTACGTGCATCCAAGCAAGGCCTTTCTAAAAAGCTGCTGCGCTCGTGTGCGGGTAACCTTGGAAGTTTTTTTTATTGCTGTTTCTCACTGGGGCGTGGGCCGCGCCTGGGGGAACCCGGACATCTGGAACTGATTTTCCGCAATCGCAGTAGCAGCACGGAGTAGCGGCGCTAGTGGACAACGGTTGGGGATGGATCGGCGGGGCAGGGAAGAGGACGAGGACGAGGACGAGGACGACAAAGACGAGGACAGTTGTGAGTTGAAGATGCAGTCGGGAGCACAGAGAACTGTCAAGACGGCAGACGGAGAGCAGCTTGCGTTGCCAAGGCGGAGGGAAGGAAAGATGGCTGCTGCGACACAGGGTTGACGGTGTGTGGTGGACGGTTCGCTTCTTGGCGTCATCAAAGACGGGTCGAACGGTTAAAAGCAAAAGGCCCAGTTGGGTCAAGGCACGGTCAATTGCCCAAGTACTCTGTACTCGAGTGCTAATGGCAAGTACGTAAGTAGTATGTGCCTACGGCGTACTTACTTACGTTACCCAAGTATTGCAGTGCTCAAGTACTTACCTAACTCAAGGTCCTCGTACGAAGCGCTAGTCACTGCGCCAGGTACTTAGGCATATGTTACTTACTTAGGTATGCATGCTAGCGAAAAACAACAACCCAAAAAACACAAAAAACACAACTGCCACAGCGGCATACTAGACGGGCCGCGTAAGGTTCGATTGCCAAGGGACTATGGATTCATCGCCCAGTGCACAGCCCTTGCACCAACCAACTGCAACGTACACGAGGCGCCTCTAGTCCCACCGAGTCGTGAAGGTTGTCGCGTGCTCATGAGGTACCACTGGCAACTTTGCCAGGCTGTTTTAGTACAAGCTTGGCACGAGAATGCAGATGACCCGACCATTGCTCGCCTACCTCAGCTGACCTGACTATTGTAGTTAACCTGACCTGACTATTGCTATGGGGCGCCTACTACTTTCTAATTAGCTAGAAGTTAAATTGCACTTATAGGGACTACTATTAGTAATTAAGAAATATATATAGAGAGTAGAGGTTTTTCCCCTATTAATACCTAGCAAGATTTCCTTCTAAATATATTATAAATTTAACTAGAATTAAATCTTAATTTAATCTTAATTTAATTTAATCTAGTTCTTTAACCTTACTATACTCTTCTTTCTTTATTAACTATTATAATAAATATTCTAGTTAGCTTGCTTAGAACTAAGAATATTAATAATAATTACAAACTCCTAGATCTACTTACTATTTATAATAAATTTATCTCTAATAGTAGAGATATTAATTCTATGCTTTTATAGAATATTTAAGCACTAAAAGATATTCTAGCTTCTAAGTATATACTATTTAATAAGGTAAGTTAAAATAATAAATATATTTTAATTATTATACTAACCTTTTTTATATAAGTTAAATATCTAGAAGCACCTTTATTACTATTAGTAAATCTCTTATTAAATAACTAAATTTAAATTCTAACTAATATATTAAGTATTTATTAAGTCTTCTCTACTGCTTCTATTTCTAAAATGCTATAAACTTTAATAAATAGTATTAAATATATTATTCTAATAGAAGCATTAAAGAAAGAAGATATTAAATAGCCTTAGAAAAGTATTTAATATAGTATTAAAAGAAGCTTTTCTGCTAAGGCAATAACTTTAGCAGTATTAAGAAGTATTCTAGTATTTTAATATACTTTTAAGTATACTAGTAGGAAAGCATGCTAATATCTTACTCTAGATTTATAGAATTATTATTATATAGTTATTATATTTAAGCTACTTAATATACTAAGTTCTATAAAAAAGTAGATTTTAAGTATTACTACTAAGAAATAAGCTATAAAGTATAGTAAAGTATATATTACTTTATATTCTTTATAATACTAATATTAATTATTTAATAGTTAGGTATATATAATTTAAAATTAATTTACTTAAAAAACCTCTTATAAACTATTTTAAAATAATTATTAACTAATAGCAGAAGAGTTATACTATAGATATATTACTTAACTTTAGTAAATCTATATATACTATATTAATTAATAATTATATATAGTTAATTAATATAATAACTACTTTTATAGTATAGTAAATCTAGAATTTATTAATTACTATAATTAAATTTATAGTATTATTAATAGTAATAATACTTTAAGATATAGTAAAAAGTATTCTTTTTTTATAAATAATTTTTAAAGGAAAACAATATATAGTAAGTTATAACTACTATTACTTTAGTATTTAATAAGTAAACTAAAATATTACTAAATTATAATTACTTAAATTAAATAGCAAAATTAGTTCCTCTTTACTATAAAGTTATTTTTAACTTTATTATTTCTATATTAACTAAAACTATGCCTTAAATTATAATATCTTTATATAAAGAGCATAAATACTTACTGCTACTTCTATTTAAAGTGCTACCTTCTATACTATAAGGCATTATAAAAGTTATTAAAAGAATAAGTAAAATTTATATAAGTCTTAGTAAGTTATTAAGCTTAATTTAGAATTAATTTAAAGTGAATTCTTAGCTAATATATAATAGATATATTTTTAAAATTAAAGAAGCTTATTAAATTTATTAAAGAATATAAGGGGAAATACTTATTAAATATATATAAAAGCCTAGCTAATACTAATTATCTTTAAGCTATTATTTAGAAGGAATAAATAATACTTTTCTCTTTAGGCTTATTAAGAATTGCTATTTTTTATAAACAACTAAAGAAGGAAAGAGAAGGCTATTAAGTAAGTATTTATTCTTAGATCTATATAAAATATATACTAAAAAACTAGTAGATTTAATACTTTATTAATAATAGTATATATTAAATAGTAATTTACTTTTATAACTATTAAGTTACTTAATAGCAATAAATAAGTATAAATTACTTTTTATTAAATGCTAATTATAAGTAATTATAAAATTCTTAGAAATATAAAATTATTTAGGCTTAGTTTAGTTTAATATTAAAAAAAGGTATAATCTTTAATTACTTATATATTAATTTATATTACTAATATAATTATATATTAGTAATTCTATTAATAAAAGTATTTATAAATAGTAAATTAGTTAATATATATTATTATATGTTTTCTACTGTTTTTAAGCTCTTTAAGGAAAAGTTTAATATTTTAATATAATAGAAATACCTTTAATACTAATAAGCTAACTATAATAAGAGTATATTAAGCCTTATTAGCATAATAATTAATTAAGATTAGCAATATATATAAGGTAAGTTATAATATATATATATTACTATAATATTAGTATATACTTATAAAGTTAGGTCTAGAGCTATATTTAAAGAAAGATATTAATTTATTATAATAAGACTAGGAATAGTAAGTGTAAAATTATATTTGCTTTTATTATACGCACTTTAAAAGAGGCATAGAAAAGTATTACTTATATAATAATAATAAGCTTAATAGTAAGCAAGAATAGCTTTTAACTTTAATAAAAGCTACTTCTTTATCTTAATATAATTAATTATATAATTTAATTAAAGGTTTATAGAATTAATTCTAAATGCATTCTAATTTAATTTTAATACTAATAAGATATAAAGCAATAGCTAGAGTTATCTGCTTAGGTTTAATATAAATATTGTCTAGTAATTTATTCTAGACTCTACTATAATATATTATTAATACTATCTTAAGATTAGAATTCTCTACTAGCTAATATAAGGCATTATATAGATAGGCTAGTAGATATATCTCTTTATATTATATAATTATAGCTTGTTAAATATATAATTAGGATTTATTATAATAAGATGCTGCTAAGTGTTACTTATAAATTCTATTATTATATTAAGATATTAAGTTATAAAGTAGATTTATAAACTAGGAGGCTACAAAAAGTATAGTATAGTATTTTCTTAGTTTAATAATTATATATCTACTAACTTTATTTTAGAATAAAAATAATAGCACAGCAAAATTATTTAAAGTCTAATAACTTAAAGAATAATTCTAGTTTTAACTCTACTTAAAGTTCTAGCTAGAAAAGATTAGCTAGTTTAGTACTTTCTAAAGCTATCTTTTAAGATTATTCTAAAGATAACTTTAGTTTTCTTAATAATATAGAAAGTATATTTAATTATAGCGTTTTATCTAGTAGTATGCCTTAATAATAAAGGCAATCTTAATAGAGAAGGTAGAAGAATTTATTTATACTAGATTTATTATTAACTTACTAATTATATTTAGTACTAATAACTTGTATTAAAATTTATACTATTTAGCTCTAGCTACTAAAACATAAAGCTAAAATCTTCTTAAATTATAGAAAAGATAAGTAAATATAGCATAAATTTAAGCTAAGGCTAGAGCTATAGAAAGAGAAACTTCACAAAAAGATAAAGAACAAAAAACTTAATTAGAGTTAGAAACTTTAAAGATATAAGCTTAAATTGCATAAGAAAACAACTAGAATTTACTATAAAGACAACTAGTATTTTTATAATTATAACTCTAGTTGCCTTAATAAAATATCTTAAATATAGATATAAATAATATAGTAAATAATTTAGATATAAATTCTATTTTTTTCCCTTAATTTTCTACTATTTTACTATAATTTTCTACTATTTCTTTATAATTATACTTATATTTTATGTATTTTCTATTATTAGTATAATTTTTTTTTATTATAAGGTAAGTTTTACTCTTCTTAAATTTATAGTCTATAACTTTAAAAATATATTAAAATAAATATTTATATAACTATTATAGTTTTATTAAATACTTATATAATAAATAGTAAATTTACTTTACTAAATTTATATATAGTTACAAGAGTTTAATGTATTAAACAATAAATTTATTTCTAAATTTAATTATAATTATAAGAGTTTAATTAAATATTTACACTTTAAACAAAAATTTTATTTTATTAACTAAAAAAAACTAGTAATATTTCTAGGGTATTTATCTATTTTATAATGCTAATTTTTTTTTTAAAAAAAAAATTTGCTAAGTTATAAGATATTATTATAAGTACTACTACTAAGCCTTCTATCTATATTACTAGAAGGAGAAGTATATAGATAAGTCTTATTAATAATATTTTTTAGGTTAATTTTACTTTAGAAAGATTTTGCATTTAGAGACAGTTAGAATTTAGCAATAATTAATTCTAAATTAGTTTTAAATACTACTTATAATATACTATAGCCTTTTTGCCTGCCTCTAGGTAGTAGTACTAATTCTAAACTTAGCAGCCTTCCTGCTATTTTAGTAGCAAGCAAGAGCCTAACTATATATTATAATAGTTATACTTTACGCCTTATATAAGGCAAGCAGCAATCTATATAGCATTAATATTAAACTATTATAAAATTCTATTAGAATTTAGCTAGAATAAATTATAATTTAATTATAAATTACTTACTCTACTATTCTCTTTATAAAGCACTTTAAGCTTAACTAATATTTAGTAATTTTAAGATAACTTTATAAGTATATAGAGATTTATATTTTTGCTAAGTACTAGTTTCTTTAAGTTTTAGTAGAACTCTATATATAAGTTAATTAGTATAAAGTTAAAATTTAATATAAATTAATTATTAATTAATATATAAACAGCTGCCTAGTTATTAGCAGAAGAGAGAGCACTAGCACTTAACTATAATACCTCTGCTCTATATACTATAATAAGATATTTCTTTAATAAATAAGTTAAAGAAAAGTATATATTTTATAGAGTATTAGTATTAAACCTAAATTAAATAATAATTAATTTTAATTAAATTCTAACTTATAATAAGCAAGGTATAGAGGAAAAAAAAAGTTTAGAAGAGAGCTATAGCTAATATATTAAAATTTCTAGACTTACTTCTTATAAATATTCTATATAATTTAATTACATTCTATAATAATTTTCTGCCTAATTAGAACTTATTTTGCTCTATTTTTTACTCTACTAAGAATAGATTCCTTAAAGAAAATCTAACTAATTAAAATCTATTATGCCCCCTTGTCCCCCTATAGCAATAGTCAGGTCAGGTCAACTATAGTGGTCAGGTCAGCTCAGGTAGGCGAGCAATGGTCGGGTCATCTACACTCTCAGCTTGGCACCTTGGTCAAAGTCTCTCGCAGAAGGTCAAGCCACTTGTGGCGGTGGCGGTCCGAAGCTACGGGCAGACATTCCAGTAATGGCCGTGCCACACAACCGTCAACCTACATCTGCAACGCGCGGCGAACAAGGTTTAAATTCGTGAAAAAAAAAGAGCCGCTTGCTGGGGCCGCAATTTGCTGCCGACCGTGACGCCACTTCGACTGTCGACCCGAGATGCAGCATCTCGGGGAACGGGCACGAGCCGCACGACTGTGCTTGAAGGGATCTCGGAGGCTCTGCCGATTTACGCACACCGTCTCCCGTTGAAGTGTCGGCTGAAACCGCGGCACTGCCGACCGCACACGGACGTATGAACGGATGTCCGTACTCCGTACAGTCCAGTGCGGTCGATGCATGACGCATGACGTGCCTTGGGCCCGGGGTAGGGGGGAAGGGGGCGTGGTTGCGACCTAGGACGGCGCGGCCAAGTCAATGATCTGCAAACAATATTGGTGCATCAAGAAGAAGAACGTTTACGATTCCCACTGTCCAACCCTCGCTCCCCTTGCAGGTGCACCAGACTTATTAACGTTACCCAGATAGTAATGCAGTCGCGCTTGTGGAGGCACAAGAGAAGAGGGGCGGCGGTGGAGACTTGGCACTAACTGCTCGACCACGTAGTCCGTACATACTCTGTACTTTAGTACCCAGTACATTGTAGCATGTATCTTTTTCTCCCTGATGCTTCCTTTTTTTCTTTTCTCGTTTTGTTTGACCAGGCTCTTTACAAGCACCATTATTCAGTATCTGTTCTTCACAGCCAGGCCGGTCCATGCTCGGCTCCCAGGCCGCAGAGGATTTGATCGCTTCCCGGCTTGCACGATGAACGTGGTGACGGGGACCCGTCGAAATCTGGAGTCTGGAAATAACCAGTACCGGGCATGGCGTGGCGTACTGGGTACATGCCGTAACGCGTACTTACATGGATATGCTCCGCAAAACCGCCAAAACTGGCGGCGTCAAACTGCTCCCTCCATCAGGGACGTGTACGTAGCGATCGTCCGAGTTATTCAACTCTCCGTGTCTAAGACTCTGGCATCTGCACGCATGGATCTGGCCGTCTGGTGACGTCTGGTTGGCGACGGAGCTTCCCTGACTTGACTTTTCTTCGTGTCTGTTTCTCCCGAAACCCACCACTACTACTTCCCTCTCTTCTTCACTCCTCCTCCGCCCCGTCGTCGTCCTCGTCGTCCTCGTCGTCCTCGTCCTCGTCCTCGTCGTCGACGTTTGCCTCCAATCTTGGGTCATCGAGTCAATTTTAACCCGAGACCAGGGAGTGAACAAGACGCTCCCCGTCTCCCCGCCTTCGCTTCATACGTACGTCAGTCGACAGGAACGTGCGGCGAGCCAACCAAGCCGCCACCGCCTTGTTTCGGCAGGCGACGCTCGAGACCGCCTCACCTCACTCACCCCAAGCGCCTCCAGGTAGCACCTGTGTGGCCTGTCACGGCTGGAACGGCATTTATCTAAGCCCTTCAAGCTCGTTGTTTTTGTTTTGTCGCGTCCCGCCGCCAGCACCTTGTAATATGCCATAGAAAAACCACGGTTGCTCATCATGGCCGGTTCTCAAGTTTTCGACGATGCTCCCGAGGGGGGATGGAAGGCCGCGCATGGGATTCCCGTGCCTGGTTTTGTCGAGCCAGTTGTAAGTACTCAACTACCAAGCGACTGTCCCGTGCTGGGACCCGTACACAGTACAAGCAAGCAAATCTGCAAATCTGCAGTTTTTGCGTCATGCTCGAGCCCTGTTGCGGCGCATTGTCTATTGCAGCGCGCCCTGCAGCGAGCTCGCTCTCCGAGAGGCTGTGTTTGTCGTTTTGCAGTTCCGTGGCTGACTTGACACCGTCTAGCTCACCGTCACTGTGCTGCTCTTGGCCATGTTCTTCACCCGCAGGAGGAACTACGCCCTGGTCAAACCGAGAGATCGATATCAACCGCCCTCGGGCGAGGAATCGCCCAGGAGTTCTGACGAGTACAGCCACCTCTTGCATCGCCGGCAGAGCGGCCAGTACCCTCCCAAGCGCCGCTCCTGTGGCAGCTGCCTGCGCTTCACGACGCCCAACTCGGGCCGTTTTGCCACCAACTTCCACTCTCGCATCCTGCAAAAGTTTCCCTTTTTGATCGAAATGTTTTACTGGGGCGTCAGTTTCGGCGCGTATAGGTACACCAAGGTTCTCGCCCAGGCGGCCTATGGCGGCCGCAAGAGCATGTGGGATTCGGCCCAGCAGCACGGCCTGTCCATCCTAAACTTCGAGGCATTGTTGTGGGTAGGCAATCGACAGGCACCGGAAAAGTGGCTCGAATGGCAGATCCAACGTTGGTTCCTGCACGGAACCGAGGCGGGCGACTACCGAGCCTGGATCCTGTCCTTTTTGAACCGTGGATATGCCCTTGTGCATCTGCCGGGCACCGTTTCGTTCCTTGCATACTACTACACCACGGCGTCGACCCACGCCCGGTTCTGCACCGTCCGTCGCACCATGACTTTGACCAACTTCCTCGCCTTCGTCATCTTTATTCTCGTCCCCACGATGCCGCCGCGGCTGCTGCCCAAGGAGTACGGATTCGTCGACTCGGTCAGCTTGGAGGATGCCGAGTCCGTCTGGATGGGTGGCGACTTTGTCAATCTGCTTGCTGCCATGCCCAGCATGCACTTTGGCTATGCCTTTTGTATCGGCTGCACCTTTGTTGCCGAGAGTGGCGTTGTCAAGGGCTTGTTCTCGTGGCTGGAGAAGCTGGCAATCCGCCCCTCGGGCCCCCACGAGGACGACGACGAAGACGACGAGGACGAGCCGGTAGAAGCCAGACGCAGCGCCTTTGCAAGGGCCTGCATGTTTGTTTTCGGCATTTGGTACCCCACGTGGATGCTCATCACCATTGTCAGCACAGCCAACCACTACTTTCTCGATGCCTTTGCCGCCGTGTTTGTCGTCTTGGCAGGCTTCATGTGCAACCGAGTGCTGTGCATCTTCCTGCCCGTCGAAGATTACCTACTATGGATGCTGCGCCTCGAGAAGCCGGTTCCAACAACGGGTTGGAAGAAGAATTTGTCCAGTGAGTAACTGGTGATGAGGCATCGCATCGTGAGGAGACGCCGCGTGCGCTCTTGTTGATCATGACTTCGGGGCGCTGGGCTCTACGGAGTTTGTCGGCGTTTAATGGAAGGACGGGCGGACGGAAACATGATACTACATGACGATAGACCGGGGTGGTTCGCTTGTCCACGGCGCAGCTCCCGCCGCCTTTTTTCTATTTTTATTTTTTCCCTTTTTTACCCTAGGCGTTCGCATGAGTAGTACATGGGTATACGTCCCATGACGAGGCTTGGTCCTGAGCCTCGAGCATTGAACAGATGAATTTCAGTTAAATGGGCTGGCTGGCTGGGCGCGTACGCCACAAAGCTGCAGAGTATATGTGCACACCAATCATTGTATATTCAGAATAGATTAATTCCACGACGACAAGGAGGGAGCACCGGCTTAGCCCGTTGCACGTACGCGTGTACAGAATAGATTTATTTCGTGATAGCAAAGAGCACTAGTTCACAGGTGGTGAGGTGTTTATGACAATTAGGCAGCAAGGAGGCCTTGTGTAGTCGTGCTGACTCCTGAGAATAGAAAGATGGATAACATGGCGTACGAGATAGAGCAGCCGGATACGACACAGCCCAAGCTCAAACTTTTTTAATTTTTAATTTTAGTTTCTTTCAGCTCAGCTCACAGCGCGTCGGCTCTGAAGCAAGACTGACGCTTGCCCAAGATTTAACATTCGGAGGCGCAAACGTCTACGCATTACGGTCAAGCATTTCCGCCATGTCGGAGCGACATTGTTTATTAGTCAGCGGTCCGATCACGGCACGCCGTCCGTCACCAGATCTCGTCTCCCCCCTTCCTTTGTTTTTGCCTTGTCCTTGCCCATCGAAGCTGGCAGCGAGCACATCATGACCCGACTTTCGTCTCTTGTTGCGCTGAGCGCAGCCGCTGCGGCAGTGGCACTGCAGCTTCCGCTGCAACGGCCGATCAAGGACGCCCTCGCCAACCCAGCCGACGACCCAAGACACCCAAGACCGCTGGTCACTTCGCATCTCCTGCAGGACACCATCGACCAGCGCAGGCTGCGGGAGCGCGCGGAACAGCTGTATGCACTTGCCCAGAAGTCGGAGGACGAGTTCAACCACCCTACTCGCGTCATTGGGTCGGCCGGTGTGTCTGTTCCTGCTCCAACGGCACTGTTTGGGTCCATCGATTCTGACGGCAGCAGGACACCGTGCCACGCTCGAGTATATCAAATCGGAGCTCACCTCTCTCGGGAGCTACTACAATGTTTCGGAACAGGAGTTCGACGCCTACACAGGCAGGGTTGCGGAATTCCGTCTCGTCGTCATGGATGCAGTGCCCAACACGACCACGGCTTTCGCGTATGTGCCCGCTGCTCAGGGCTGGACGCCCCTTGCTGACGTCGGCCAGGCTCACACCACCGACTACGAATAACGAGCCCGTTTTTGGAGAGGTGGTTCTCGTCCACGGCACGGGCTGCCACGAGTCCGATTATCCCCGCAAGGCCAGGAGCAATATTGTGCTGATAAAGAGGGGTGACTGTGCCTTTGGCGAAAAGTCGCGGCTTGCCGGGGAAGCTGGCGCCGTTGCGGCCGTCATCTACAATACCGACAAGGACGAACTACACGGTGAGCACGACGGCGGTTCCGTATGCCGGCCCGGCGGCGGGCAGTTGCTAATTCTCAATGTCCTCAGGCACCCTGGGCAAGCCCTCGGCCCATCACGTCGCCACCTTTGGCGTCGGCGGAAAGGAAGCTGCCGACTGGGTAGAATACCTGTCGCGCGGGAAGATCATCCACGGATCCGCGTACATGGACGCCAGTGTTGAGACGATTGCGACCAAGAACATCATTGCCCAAACCGTCACCGGCGACAGGGACAACTGCGTCATGCTGGGTGGCCACAGCGACTCGGTCGAGGAGGGCCCGGGCATCAACGACGACGGCTCTGGCTCCCTCTCTCTTGTCGAAGTCGCCTCCCAGCTTACCAAGTTCCGGGTCGCAAACTGCGTCCGCTTCGCCTGGTGGTCAGCCGAGGAGGAGGGGCTGCTGGGCTCCGAACATTACGTCGGGTCCCTCTCCCACGAGGACAATCTCCAGATCAGACTGTTCATGGACTACGACACGATGGCTAGTCCCAACTTTGCCTACCAGATCTACAATGCGACTGACGCGGAGAACCCGGCCGGGTCGGAGTCTCTGAGAGACCTGTACGCGGACTGGTACACCAACAGTGGACTGCACTACACCTTTATCGAGTTTGACGGGCGTTCAGACTACGACCCTTTCGTGAGGGCTGGCATCCCGGCCGGGGGCATTGCTACGGTATGTCCCGACTTCTCTTGCCAGGCCTGGCCTTGCCTGACGACACATACTAACCAGGACTTTTCTGATTTTAGGGCGCCGAGGGCATCAAGACGACGCAGGAACTGGAGCTCTTTGGGGGCGTGGAAGGAGAGTGGTATGACAAAAATTACCATCAAATTGGCGATGATGTGAGCAACCTGAACATGACGGCTTGGGAGGTAAATACCAAGGTAAGTGTCGTTTGGGAGCTGATTTGAACCGCATGGGGCGGCCCTGGCTAACTGGTTCAGCTCATTGCTCATTCTGTCGCGACGTATGCGGCTTCGTTCAAGGACTTTCCTGAAAGAATGGAAGTCTCTCACACGGTTGTCAAGCCTCGCCGCAAATGCAATGCACGCACCGCGCGGTTCTGTCGCGCATAGACGGATGCCACGCCGCTGGATGGTTCAGAGCCCCGGGTGGGTGGTTTATTTTGTGTAAACGCCAGGATCTTCTCGTTCGACTTGTTGCTTGTTGGTGGGCAGGGAGGCATGGGCGTGCTTGGAGGAAGAGTTCTCCAAAGTCGGGAGAGACGAAGAGCTGGAATCATTGGCTGGGCGTGGACAGATGCAATCTCCTCCCAATGTAGACTGATCTAGGACAGCTCGCTACATGTATCTCTTCTTGCAGCAGTAACATGGGGCCTTGAGACAAAGCGACGGCGTATTGCGCGTACGTACTCGTGTACTATGATGGTATGAGTCGACTTGTGGCAGAGATGGAGATGCTGCAGAAGGCCACGGTTACGGATGCTTGATGATATTATACACGGCGCCTGCCACTAGGTTCCCGCAAGTATGTACATAAACAAGGGGGTGCCATGATCGCCACCAGTAGCCGGGTAGAGGTCCAGCATTACGAGTGAAACACGACATGCTCGTGCGAGGTGAATCCACGCGAAGCCGTGCACGAACACACTCGTGTTGGAGCTCGCCGGCCCTGTCCATTGCTTTCTGGACCGAGAGGCCGTGCTTCTCGAGGACGGTGGTGAGGTTGTGCTCGACGCCGGACTTGACGTCCATCCTTTTCGCAGGAGACGATGTCGTCTCGCGTGACCGGTCAGTGGTGGGCCTCCGGGAGAAATGCCAGAGCCAGCAGCTCACGAGCGAGCCTCGCCGCCGAAACTTGGTGCGAGGGCGAGCTTGGCAAGTTGGGGGGACATCGCAGCCGGCTGCTATGCATCCCCGGACGGACGGATGCTCGAAAGCCACCTGCGGCAGGGTGACGCCGTGGGCGTATCTACGAGAGGGTGCCGTCGGCGCTGGCGGCCCTTTGGTTCGCAAAGACAATGGTCGGTACGCAACCAGGCTTATTTATGCAGGGGTATCCGCCGACGGTCCGCCTGCGCATCTCGACGTCCTCGTGCTCGGTCTGAGGCCGGCAGCTGCTGCCGCTGCGCGCGCTGGCCTCGACCTGGCGTGTGAGGCTGTCGAGATATCGCCGTGCGCCGTCTTGAACTGCGTTTGCACGTCGGCCGGGGCCCGCTGCGCCCGTGCCGGCCGTCCGTCGGTCAGCGCCGTATTCTTGCGTGCTTCTTCTCTTCCTGACGTGGGGGGCCATCAGCGTCATCAAAGTAGAAGATCTGGTGCGAGGGGCCGGGCGTCAGTCTCGTCTTGATGAGCCGCCTTGTTCTTGGGCTCTGGCGGCGGGCAAAGGCCGTTTCGGCGCGCCACGTGCCCAGGTCAACCAGTGACCGTGGTCCCGAGTGCCTCTGCGTCCGCAGGCGGTGCCATGGCCGAGGCACAGAAGCAGTCACTCTTTCGATTGCTGTCTGCCTCGTGCTTGAAGCTAGTGCGAGGGCCCTTGGCTGCGTGGCGGTAGAGGGCTGTACGTACCCGGCGATCCAGGCGTCTGCTGCGGCCTTGACCTTGAAGTGATGCGGGTTCAGCGGCGCCTCGGCAGACATGATGGAGCTGAACGTGTCTGGGATGCGAACCGTGGTTGGGTTTCCGCTCATGATGCCCGAAGCTGCGGTTGCAGAAGGGGGATGTGGACGAGATGGGGTCAGAACTGGCCTTGTATTCGAAGGAGTGGCTGGTTGGAAAATCGTAGTAGAAATATTGAAATTGAAGCTAGTTGTGTTTCTAAATGTGGTGTGCCTCTCTGATTCCCGTTTCCTCTGCGGCGGCCTACTGCCTCTTTTTATACGTGGCAGTACTTTCTCGCATCTTTGTAAAAGCCTCGCAATGGCCTTGGCCTCCCATGGTTTCCGGTGCCCGAATTCCCCCTGGTTGATGCTCAGTCTCCAAAAATCGAACGCGGCAAGAATGCCTGGATGGGAACTTGCGAGCCAGCCGGGAGCAGAGCCATCTTCCCTCAGTTCGTCGTGGTGGTGGCTGGACCACGGAAATTTGCCTCTTAAGGAAGTGCCCCGATCTCCGCCGCTCGATAGCCGCAGGGAGTTATTCTCCAGTGGCTCTTTATGGTGTCTCGATGAATCACACGATTCGGAACGCTTCTGTTTCTGGACACGGGCTCACGAGCTCACGTCAACGACTCGGCCTTCTACCACAAGTGAGCAGCGGACGAAAGGACCTCCCGGGCGCTCTCTGGTGAGGCTCGGCGCTGACTGACTGGCGTGACACCCCTCGGCCAGGGTATATTCTACTAGAACCAAATATCTCAAGGAGCCCGCCATGTTCAGGTTCGCCGGCGAGCTTGACGCACTGCCATTCATCATGGATCCCGCGGCGCACAAACTACGCCGCGGCATTGTGAGCCCCATGTTCTCCCCCCCCGTGCTGTGCAGGACTTCGCGCCCGCCGCCCTCCAAATTACCAGGGCTGCCCTGTTAAAGGTGGGAGAAGCCCATGCGGCAGGAGTTCCCGTGAGCCTGAGGAGGCTGGAGTCGAATTTTGCGGTACGACAAGACCAAAGTCTCACCCCCTGGGCCCCTGAGCTGCTGTCCGCGCCGGGCTTGCTAATAGACTTTATAGATGGACATTATTATGAAATTATGCTTTGGCAGGGATGTGAACTGCACCGGCGGATCAAGGGAATCGGCCGCCATCGTCGACTCCATGATAACCCTGTCCCGCAGCTTCGCTCTGATCAAGCATTTCCCCATCCTCGGGACTGCGATGCAATCGTTTCCCAGCCCAATCCTGGCGCGTATTCTCCCCGGCTTCGTCGACTTTCGCAAGGTGAGTTGTTGCCAAGAAAAACGGTCTTGGATCCAGATGCTTGGCCTATTTGTGTCTGGCACGTCTGACATGTTCGCCAAACTTCCGCAGCAATGCGCTGCGTGGGTCGCCGAGGTCCGTGAGAGACATCAAAACGGCGTATGCAGAGACGAGTCTGGCCGGCAGACTGTCTTTGACGCGATCCTCGAGGCCGAGCCCGAGCGCACAACTAAAGGGCTGGTGGACGAGGCTTTTTCCCTTGTTGTTGGGGCGCGGAGGCCACGGTGACCACTACAACCTACGGCGTATGGTGCGTCTTGAAGAATCCGGAGGTCCAGAGGAGACTGCTGGATGAACTCAGCACGGTGGAGACGGACGACGATGGGTTGATGAAACATGGTAACCTGATCAAGCTGCCCTATCTGGTCAGTTGAGCCGGCGCCGTCGTCCCATGTCATTTCATGCCGAGTCCCTAACCCGCAGCGCCGCGGCGGTCTCCCAAGGTGCCGTCATACACGAGACTCTCCGCATATCTTCCCCGGCCCGGTATTCTCACGCGCCTTGTGCCGGCTGGGGGGACGAGATACGGAACATGCTTCCTGCCGGAGGGGGTGCGTACCCGATGTTTGTCTCGTCATTGCTTTGGCCTGGGAGACGAGTATACATACGTACATGTTCGCTGATGCGGTTTTCAACTAGACTTCCGTCTCGACGGCTCAACGTATGATGCATTACGACCCCGGGCTCTTCCCCGATCCCGACGTCTTCCTGCCGGGAAGGTGGCTGGGGGACAACGCGCAGGCGTCCAGGGCAAATCTGCTGCCGGATATCGCAGGACCCAGATGAACAGCCGTGCAAAGCTTCACGCTACCAGGGCGCATGGCAGGGCCCAAATCGCTTGGCGAAAGCCTGAAACACCATGGCGGAGCGCAATCAAGCTGTATCGGGGTCCAAAGGCAATGGCCAAAGACGAGGCTGGACGCCATGTAGATTCGGATATATAGCTTCTGTTGACGCTGGTGTTTGAGTCTTCGCGGGTCTCGAGTATCGAGCCTTGATTTGCATGTGCGTGCATGACACGTCACCTGATGTCCCCGCAGCCCGCGTCCGGACGAGGGTTGCTCTTGGCTCAGCGGCAACCTCCATGGCCGAGCAGGAAATTGAACCAAACAAATTGCAACCCACCAGCTTGCACATGCTGCGTCTACCCAACGAGCTTGTCCCGGCGATTGCTGCGGAGCCGACGTCTGAGAGAGACATCAATGCGCCAGCTCGAACGAACCGGAGGCTCTTCTCCTGCCTTGACCAAGTTCTGTACTCCCGCAGCATCCAATGTTCCAACAGCTGAGCACTCAAATGGGCCGCCACCCGTGGCCAGGAACCTACGGCCAAGAAAGCGCTAGGCTACGGCGCGAGGTGTGTAGGCGAGGCCTTGGTGCTGTCGGCAGAGAACGGGCACCAAGGCGTCACAAGCATGTTGCTTTCCATCTACGACCCTGAGCAAAGCACAGAGGCTAAACAAGGCCAGGAGGCGCTCTCGCAGGCCGTCGCCGGGGGTGACACGTCTATTTTTAAGCTCCTTCTGGATTCGGGAAAGCTTCATGTCGACTCGAGGGACAGCCATGGCCGAACGCCGCTGTCGCAAGCCGCGTCGACTGGCTGCGAGCCGATTGTCAGGATGCTACTAGACACCAGAAGGGTTGAAATCGATTCGAGGGATGCCTGGGGCCGGACACCGCTGTCATATGCCGTCACCATGGAATCCGAGTCCGTTGTCAGGCTTCTGCTAGATACAGGAAAGGTCGAAATCGATTCGAGGGACAACTGTGGCCGAACGCCGCTGTCGCAAGCCAGGTCCAGGGGCTACGCGTCTATCGTCAGGCTGCTGCTAGACTCTGAAAAGGCCAAAATCGATTCTTAGCCACAACCTGGGCGCCCATGTTATTAGTGCCCATTCTATGCCATGAACGCGTCGTGCCGAGCAAGTCCTGAGCGCTTGGATTACGATGCCATTGCATGGTTTCTTGTAACAAGGCTGCGAGGACGTAGACTGTCCAATCGAATTACAGGCAAAGGTTGGCAAGGCATGCGAGCGGCGGTGGGGTTGTCCACACTCAAAACGTCTCAAGGTTCGAGAATATACGACAGCTCGAGCGCTCAATCCCACATGGCCAACCCTTGCTTGGCTCTTGGCCGACTTGACTAATGGAAATCAAGGCACGAGGCAAGGCGGCAGAGCCTTTACTCGAGACGATGCAGGGAACAAATGCCACGCACATTCCACAGCCACCCAGTCCCTGGTACCCGGAAGAGGCTTTGTCGGACCAGTTCTTCCCGTGTTGCTCTTTGGTGTTTCCAAACCGGAGAACGACCGACCCTGCAGCCCCCTTTGCAAGTTATTGTTGCATATGGTATTTTTGAGTTTTGGCATTCCTTGGCTGTCACCATGCATGGATGACTTGCTTCCTTGTTGTAACTTTTACTTGCCCAACCTTGACCTACGGAGGCGAGCCTCAGGTCCTGCCGTCTTGCCATATGAACATGTTCGAAGAACGAGTTGGGGACGCCGCAGCGCTCGCGTATATGATGTATATATATATGATATATATATCTATATATATATATTTATATTTATAGCACGGCTGCAATAGTGGTGCTTTTTTTCTGGGCCGTCAAGCGAATCCCCCACTCGTTCATCGTTCACTCTCATCATGTTCAACACTTGGAAACAGAGCAGCGACTCGTATGTAATCCTGCCAACAGGACCGCCATTTGAACGGCCACGAAATGGCCAGCCTCGGCGATCAGCCTGCAATGCTTGCCGTAATAGCAAGGTGTGCTCTGCTCAACTTTGAACCCTCAAGCTAATCTATCAACTTGATCTCCGTGGATGGACCGCAGGTTTTGAGATGCCTTCTAACCTTGATGCAAATGCTCCCTGCACCTAGATTCGATGTACCAGCGAGCTGACTGGATGCCGGAACTGTCAAAAAAGGAGCCTGAACTGCCAGTACGGGACCCAAGGCGACGCTGAACTCAACATCGGGGCCGTCCAGGGGCGACGCCGGCCGAGGCAAAGATCTGGAGTAGCTGTGCCTGCGTCCACATCTCCCCGCCCACGTGAAGCCATACCTGGAGGCCATCTCGTCAGTCCGCGGTCTTGGGATGTCGGCGAGCTTCTCTCGGACGATGTCGATAGGTCCCAGATCGAGGTCTATCGCAAGGAGACGGATTGGTCAGATTTGGAAATCACGTTTGCTTCGGCAACCGCCATCTCGTCTGCATCTCGCCCGGCCTCTCGCAACCCCAGCACCCATGCCGCCAGTCCCCGATCCGACACCCCTCTGAACTCCGCCGTCGGCATGTTTGACTTGATCGACCGTCCCGAGCAGATGCCGAGGGGCGACATGGAGGCTTTCCTGGCCCAATCGCCCCTCGAATACTCCATGCGCCTCTCGGGAAGTAATCTCTGCCCGCCCGAGGGCTCCTCCCCTCTCCTTCATCTTCTGGCCACTTCGGATACCACGACGCCGGCGGACGTGGTGTTGACCAAAGACGACGCAGCTCAAAGCATGCCGCCTGTCGTCGAAAACAACAACAACAACAACAACAACACCTGCCCATGTCCCGTCACCGCTTTGGACACGTGGGAGATGCTCATGACCAACATTTCCTCCAAGGAGCCCGCCACGGATGATTTCGTGCGATGCCAAAGGGCGGCCATGTCGAGCTGCGAGGCACTCGTCCGCTGCCACGCGTGTTCCTCGCGGTCGCAAGACGTCATGCTTCTCATCGACATGTGCGCAAAGCTCCTCGAAAGCCTGAAGACGCAGCATGGGCAACTCTTCACCTGCCACCAGCAGAGTTTCAGCGAGCGCCGTCTGGCAGAGTACGGGCACGCGACAGAAGACGGGATGGTGGACGACGGCGAGGGCGATTTCGACAACGACGACAACGACGACAACGGCGGCGGCGACGACGACGACAACGAGGAGGAGGACCACGCCCCCAGGAGCCCGTGGATGGCACGGATGCGAAGGCTCGGGCGCTTGATAGCCAGAGTCGGGGCTTTGCTAGACGGGGACGAGTGGTTGACACACAGGTGCATCCTTCAGGGCGTGCAAGTGCGGTTCACAAGCGTCTTGTTCGACTGGCAACATTGAGTGGGAGCATCTTCAGCCAAGGCCGTTGGTCATTGAACGCAGGCGGCGTCTCTCCCGAAGACGAGATGAATGGACATGGGCGAGCGAATCGAGACCGACTCCGTGGCATGATGTAGTTACTGCTTAGCGCATGGTGGAGGCTGGGCTGCCCCGGCCAGGAGCCCTACAGCGAATATACATATCTTGGCCGAATCTTGCAACGGTTGCTGCGGATGTGTTTCGACGGCCCAGACGTGTTGGGTCTGGGGCCGAATAGCCCGGCCGTTATTTTCCACCGCGTAGGTGCAGACACTGCAAAGACGTCGGATGTCTCCCAGAAACGGCTACTTGTCCCTGTGAACCCTCACTGCCCAAGGCCGACGACGGCCAAACCCGGATCCAGCGCCGAGGAAAAGGGGGCGAAGGGGCCGCCGCGTGAGAAATAGGGCGCATGGGCAGATTGAGTGGTAGTTGGATGGATTCCTGGTCGCTCCTTTGTGTTCGTCCGCGTCTCATCACAGTCGTCATCTGATAAATGATGATTGTCCCGTCTCCCGCGGCGGCGTCTGACTCGGGGCTCGGGAGACGGGCCAAACATGAGTCGACGCGGACGATGGCTCAAATAGGCAGCCGCCGAAGCTCGGCGAACTCGGCCCACCTTGTTCCCGCGGATTGTTTCCGTGGGCGCGCGCGCGCCACGCTTGACCACCTCCTCCCTCACCCCCTCGTCACCTGACCTGAGCGCGCCTCCGTTCCGCAGCTTCGGTTTCCACCACCATCATCAATCATCATGACCGACGCGGCGGCAGCGTCACGAACCTCGCCCACGGCATCCGGGGCCCAATGGGTATCGGGCACCTTGCCAATGTGACTGTGGATGGCGACCTTGCCGCGGCGTTTGTTCCGCTCCCCGTCTTCTTTTGCCTGTACGGCCAACGCATCAGGGAGTCGAAGCGTTCTCGGTGCGTCGCGTTCTGAGCTCCTTGGGGCCGAGGCGTGTTGCGCTGCAGAAATGCAGCCGGTATGAGACGATGAGCCGCGATTGGCCTCTTCACCCAGAAAAACCAGGCGAGTCATCGCTGCGTGTTGTTGCATGGCGCGCATCCGAGATCCGACGACCTCTAACCCCGACAACTCTACCCTGCGATGGCTGCCGCCGAAGGCACGTGACGCGGCCCGCGGTCGCGAGGTCGACAACTGCCAAGTTGACATGTTGGAGCACTGCACTGCATGCGCGCCTCGTGGCATCGCCACGGCATGGAATGGGAACCATGAGAATGAAATGTCGAAGCATGGTCCCGCTTGCAACGAGGCCAGCCAGATGCCTCCGCTCCAACCTCCGCAGAGCACGCGTGCTTTGATCTTAAACTCAACATGATCGTGCCAAGCAGCAGCGCGGCCATCTTGTCCCAAGCACGGTCTACCCATGGGCCAAGGCTAGAAAACTTGTCTCAGCATGCTCTTCTTATGTGTGAAATCGCCCTTCGCCCCGCGCACCCGCTCCAGCAGGCATCAGGGAGCGTGCGCTTCACCAAGCACATCCGTCTCCGAGGCGACGTTGAAAACAAGCTGGACTTGTCACACCGTGCGTTCAGTATATCAGGGGGGCTGGGGCCTGGATAATGGTCTCTGAGAGGCGGTTATTACAGAACCTTCCATCGTCACACGCGGGGCTTCGAGTCAACATCACCCGGGCGTATCATAGACGCGCACTTCCCCTGATGGCTTACGTCGAGTCAAGATTGTGTGGGGAGTAGTTTATGCGCCGCTAATATATACGCAGAAGAACGCTGCACCCTTTCAAGCCCAGTCTCCCAGTCTTACGGGTGCACCACGACTGCCTTTGCTCTTAACCATGACACTGGTGACCTCAGGACCTCAAATAGTGGTTTGTGGCCTCGGGGCCTAATCCAACTATTTCGAATCCTTTCTTTTTCCAGCGCCGGGGAACACCGACAACTCCTGAACGAGCTTGCCGCCAACGTCATCTCGCCGCCTGTCGCCGTTCAGGCGCACCCGTTGAACGCCGCATCGACCGCACATATTTGCCGCGAAATGCGAGCCAGACGGGCCGAAGGGGCCGAGGGGTCCGCCGCAGGAGTAGCGGACGGCCCATTTTGAAACTCAGAGAGGCGGTAGTCCCGCATACTGGCCGCCCCGCCTGTGCCTTGCGGTTGATAATGGGTATATGTATGAGTAGGCTTGCGAGGCGTGGAGCTGAGGAGAGAAGATCTTAGCAGTTGGCTCGGATACATGCTGGGGTGGAATGGAGTTGCTTACCCGTCATAAGCGGCCCGATTAGACCTCATGGCGGAAGACGAAATTTGGTGTTCGCGAGACGGCAAATCCTCATGTGCCTATTTGCACTGCTCTTCTACTTTTGACACACGAAATCTGCGCTGAAGACGATTCTGTTGATGGGTGCCTGGGCAAGATTCGGCGGCTTTCGTTTTGGACGGGGAATGGCTCCAAGGAGAAGGAGGCGGAGTGTACGGCGAACCTGCGAGATCCTCAACGGCAGCGAGAACCGCCTGACCCCATGCTTTACATCCCCCCATTGCTCACTGATAAGCCTCATACATGCTTGAGTAATCCTCACCACGGGGTGTCGCTCTGGGGTGCCTTGGGTTGGGCAGCACGACACGTATATTGAAGTATCACATTCGCATTTTTGGTACGCTGAACCAAACGGCCAGGAGGATCCATCCAGAGTCATCGGCCACGGAACAATCGGTCTTTTGTCGGTATACCTAGCTACACACAGCTTGAAGCTTGGACATGGCATGTGCAGCTCAGGCTCTTGGAAATTAGCTGACTGGAGTCGTGGCTGTACCCTCGGGAGTGTAGAATTCTCGTCGTAGATGAGCCCCTACCCCCAGAGACATAAGGCTGCTGTGTGCTACCATCCCTCGGCCGGGGACCATAGTAGTTGTGCTGGAAATTCGTGCCTTCGGTGCGCTCTATGTGATGGCCAAAGACAGTCTGGATAGGAGTAGCTAGTCTCTTCCAACTAGTCTTCATCCTCACATTTGTCCACGACTTATTTCTCATTTTACCATTCGCTGGGCGCACCGGCTCGTCTCTTCGCGTAGTTATGAATGCCCCTTTGACTCAGAAATCAGCCTCTCATGGCGCGTCCCTTGAAAAGGGTTTGACCACAAAACTCCGAAAGAATTTGGACAACAGCAGACTCATCGGCAATGCTGAGGAGCCAGGGCTGATCGCCTCGCAGGGACAAATGATAAAGGCTGGCCAGGAAATGCTGGCCATTCGTTCAACAAATATGTCCCCTGAATGCAGAGGTGTCGGTTAGTTGGGCCTCCATGACACCATCTCTATGTGTATGCAGGCAGCCGTCGAGTGGCACAGCAGATTGTATGTAACGAGTGTATTGTAACAAGGCTGGTCAGGAATGCGGCATGTAAGCTAGTCCGTCTCAGAAGATCCACCTTGGTTTTGTTGCTCTGATTTTCATTCCTTTGATTCTCTCGGTTCAGCCGGGAAACCGCGGCTGAGACAGCGGAAGAAAGGTTGTCAGGCCGCCTCTCATGCGTACATGTTCTGGGATAGTCGAGGGAGACGGATTATACTGAGTAACTATCGACGGAACGATCTGGGGAGTAAACTTTGAACTGCATTCTCAGAGAAAATAAAAACAAAAGGGAAACTGACAGGAGCAAGCATATACCCGAATATATGTTTGCACCTCAATCTAGCACCGCAGCGTCCAGGAGGCGACGTGACATGTGCGAGCGACGGGCCCTCGATTTAAGAATGAGTCAATTTGTCGCCCCAAATGGAAGAAACCTATTGAAAGATCCCCATGTGGGAACAAGGCGGCAAGGCGACCTTATAACGAACGTTGTACTCCGTTGTCGGCCCCAAGTTCCACAAACAGAGATTCAAAGGGTCCCAATTTAAACACGCTTTCGTCTAATGAAGTGTGTCAAAACAGATCGGGTGGCCGTGCAGCGAAACAAGGTTGGTTAAGAATCTAGTAAGCTGGGTTCTAGACCGTGTCCAGCAAGCGACGCATCCAACCGCCATCGAGGGTGAGGCGATACAGACAGGCTTACCGCAGGCTTGAACGGTGATGCCGTGTCAACAGACAGATGAGGGAATGAGTGGCTGCTGCTGATGAATGTGATCATTTGCCAGTTTCTACTTCGTTTGCAGGGTGAGTCTGCATGTTCCAGCCCGGTTGTGCAACCAGAAGATTCCATACGAATGAGGGTAATGAGGAGATTGTTGTTGTACAAAGGTTGATGATCAGACCTTGTCGGCGTCTGGAAATTCCATTAGTCAACGTCCGAGCCTTTTGAAAGCCCAACATGAGGCTACTCTGTAGCACGCACAACCGGCAGATCCGCGAGATGATGCGGCCGAGAGACGAGAAACAATGGTCGGTTATCAACCATGTATGACTGTTAAATTTGAGTGATTGTTGATGCCCTGCTTGTTCTCCATGGACGCGTTGTTGCTCTGAGCGGGGGGATATAAGGTCTTGTATGCATAAATTGCTTGATGTATGGGGTCGAATGGGCCGACAATGTTTCGAATCTCATTATTGCCGATGTCTTCAATGTTTGTGTGAATTTCGACCTCTGGCCGCATACCACGCAACTACATAGATTGTCAGACATTACACAAAGCGAACTTCCCAAGTTGATGCAATGCTTGCGCCTTAGCATGAGCAAAAGACGTGGTGGCTCTTACCTGACTGGTTACCGGACACACCACCGTTCGTCTGAGGCTTGATGAGTAGGAATCGGTTGAATATATTTGTCACATTTAATCGTCTCATTCTTCACTGAGACTTGGGTGGTTGTCAATCCAAAACTCCATATACGCCATACTTAGTCTCAGAGCCCCGTCGCCTCAATGCCTGTGAAAATTCCATCTCATGATCGTCTTAACTAGAGCGTTATATTGAAAAAAAAAGGGCAAAATGGAATACACAATCCTCCGTGATGCAAGACGCACAAATGGTACTGTGCCACCAGTGTTTGTACTGTGCTGGTCGAAGAGAGCCCAGCATATTGCTAAGAGTTGCATGAAAATAAAGTCGCCATGCTGGAGTCTGCTAAAGTCCCAGTCAGATATGATATATGATAATATCTCCAACCCGCTGCAGACAATGCGTACCGTTTAAGGAAAGCGCCACCGTTGCTTGACTCTGAAACTGCGAAATCGCCATTTCCTGCGTTGGGTATCTGGTTGTCCTTCACCCACTACTGGGCCGCTTTCGTTGCTGCTTTCTGTGCTGCTCGTACTGCCTCCATTATCAACGCTAGTGTTGGTCCGGCCCAGAATCACCCCCAAACTTTGACTTGTGCCTTGCCCGGCTTGGTATTGCATCAATTCACCCAGATCGCGACTCACACGTCGGGCGTATGCGAATGTGTAAAACTCATTGCCGTCAACCAACTCGCCAGTGGTCACGGGGAGAGGAATTATGGAGAGTACAGGTATGTCCGCGAGGGTATAGCCCGAAAATGGTGAAAGCACTCGCAGTGTATGTTGGTTGCCACATGTCTGACCTCCAACAGCACTGGTGGTGGTGGTTGACGAAACCGATGGCGCAGCTCTCTGGGGGACCCAAAAGGCCTGCTGTCGAGCCGGTGGGCTGTAGTGTGGGAGCGATTCTCGGTCAATGGCTTGACCATCAAACACGTCCTCGAGCTGACGCATCCTACCTGATAGATCGGTGTTTGCGGCGAGCAATCTCGTCATTCGTCGCTCCAGACCCACTCTGCTATTCTGGGCATCTGATTCGCCTGGACTAGAAAGTACAAGGACTAGTCAGCAAAACCTGCCCACGTTCTCCGATTTTTCATGTTCCCCGTTGTGTACCCGATGGGGCTTCCTTGGCATCTGCACCAAGAAATGCAGGGCCCAACTGCCAAGAACGATTAAGACAGTTATAAAGGCCGGGGAAAAAAAAGGAAAAAACCCACCACTTACCATTTCAAGATGGTCATCATCATTGTCATTGAGAGGTTGTGCCATCGAATTCGCGAGCACAAGGCATGGATGTTGTGATCATGAGTCGAGGAGTAGTTATGGTCCACACCGACATCCTCAGCTGGGAGAGTCGCAAGTCCCTGCCTTTCAAGGTTCAAGGTCGCGCAGATGGCTTGCATGTCGGAAACGGCAAGCACCGTATCGGTCAATGTTGCGATGAGATAGTCGGCTTCGATCCACGTTCCACGTTCGGGGAATGGCAGCTGTGCTGATTCAAGCAGGCAAAATGTCTTGTACAGGATGTGGACAGTCGACCGACACTGCTTAATCTCTTGCAAAGCGGTGGCGAAGATGGAATTGGCCTTGTTGGCCGGCGTGTTGAGATCCCACAGAGCATCGATGGTCTTGCCTCCTACTGCCAGCAGGCCAATAATTGCCGTGGTGACGGACAGCTCCTCGCCCATCGCGAACGAGGCCGGCGCCGCCATGATGGCTGACCCAAATGGTCGAGATATCTGTCCTCGGTTATTGGCGTCGCCCGTATTTCTCGCCCGACCGCCACCGCCCTGTCCAGTTTGTGTATCGTGTGAACCGGCCGGCCGAATCGCAGCTGTCGGCTGCAGCGCCTCACGCACTCAAGCAGCCGGAAAGTCCTGATGCACCACTACGTCCTCCCTGCGGTTCCAGTTTCGGCGCTTTGCTCGGGTGTACGCTTCGTTTGGTGGAGAGTTGGAGCGTAGCGAAGGGGAAGGGGAACAAGTTAAGGCGACGAGGATGACGACGACACAGATGATGTATGTCGGTGGTCTCTGCTCTTTGATGCGGATCGAGTACTTTTTCTCTTCCGCGTTGCTCCCTTACGGATGCTCTACCGAAGATAGTCTTGTCTCGTGGCCCGTCAATGTCTCATCCGCCTCTATAAGGTGGTCGGGTCAGCCAAGCTGGAACAACGGCGTGGATATGCAACGGCAGTGATGCTTGGCCTCGTGCGTCGTTCTCGTCGGAGTTGTTCTTGTGCAGGATACAGGAGCCAGTTCAGGACAATACCAACGGCAATAGAGGACGAGCGAGTGCATTTCTACGTTTCAAGACTTCAACCCGAGGCAGGAATGTCAAGGAGTCGGGACACTGGTCTGGCACTGGCAGCGCCGGCACCTGGCAGCCACCTGGCGGGCACCTCGCACCTGGCGCTGTCTAGCACTCCGCCAACGGCTAAGACGGCATGCTGTGCCCCACACTATGGCTGTTTCTCTGGGCCCCTCGGCAATATTGCTCCGTACAATGCAATCGGGTAACTCGGCCAGCTACAGGACATGGACAGGTCTGCCTACAGCACCGCGTTCAATGTCGAGTCAAATACTGTAGTCAAACTGAGTACTCGGTGACATAAGGACCGTGAGAGCTCCCAAGTCCGGTGGTTGCTCCGCCTCTCAACTGCCGCCAAAGGACTGGGGGAGATGGGCAGGGCACAGCAAAATTAGCCTTCTTTCCGGGTGTCCATCTGTCCTGAGGGTACGTACCTCGTAGTCGGCCAGCTTTTTACTTTTCGTTGCTTGCCGCCATCATCATACTTTATTCTCGTGAGAGCCGAGAAGCGGGCGAGGGGAAAACAGTCAGGTGCCACCAGGATTTTTTTTTTTAAAAAAAAAGGAAGACTTAAAAAAAACTAAAAAAACCTGCAGGCGGCACAATATTGGCGGCAATTCCCATCACCACCAAGTCAACCAATTCCGGCGCCACGTTGACTTCCGGCGGTGGTCCCCAACTTTGGCACATGTTCCCAAAGAGACAGGTCCGTTTGAAAGTTGGTTCCCGTCTGGCGTTGTTCACTTTCACTTTTGTTTTCTCCTCTCTTCTTTTCCCCTCTTTTCTTTCTTGTTCAATGCGGCTACTTCTCTAGACTTCGTCAATAAAAGCTTGGCTTTGTTAGTATCCTGCAAAAAAGCCACGACAATAATAAGACCCGAGGGCAAGCCTGATTAGTAACCATGTCTGCCCCCAATGCGACGTGCCGCCGGCATTCCCTGTCACGAGACAACACTGTCCAAGGGCCGGGAGTCATGGCTCATGGCTCATTCATCAAGCCCAAGCCCGCCCCTGTTCGCGCATCGCGGCAGACTCGGTGCTGTCATGGAGAAACGCATACGGAGTAAACAGGTTGGCGGCGTTCCAATCTTTATTCATCGACGACTCTCGGAGATCCCACGCCACAAAACGACGCTCCCGAGTCCTGTCTGTCCACGGGATGTAGTAAGGCTTCTGATCAACGGGCGCTGACTGTTCCCTCAGAACTTGAGCCTGCTGTCTGCCGGGACGCGCCATCGTGAGCAACGATTGGCATTACCTCCGCCCAATTCTGATGCCTGCATGCCGAATTCCGGTGGCGCTCTTGGAGGGCGCCCCCTCACCCGCGACGGAAAGCCTTGCCCTGTTGTGAGATTGATTTTCCTAGCTAGGCGAGCGGTGCAACCTTGGCCTAGCCACTGACAATGGACCACTTGGCAGCTCCGATGGCAGTGTTGGTGAGAACGCTCAACGTGAGGCATTGGACTGGACAATCGATCGCAGGGGCCGAGAACAGGAGCCCCTTGTCGCACTTTGAAAGGCCAACCAGACGCTTCTCACGCTAAGTAGGCAGGCACCACAGTTGACTAATAACTAACTGGGCGCGCCCCACCCTGCCCTCCAGTGCCAGGTCCAGCCTTTGGTCTCTACATTTTCGGACTCTCGGCAAGGCCTCCACAGCTGCTGCGGGCCATGTTTGTGACCGCTTCCCAAAGTTTCATCCTTCATTGTTCGTACCCAACACGAACAATTGGACCAATTACGCATTGCTTCTATTGTATTACATCGTGGAGCGTTACGGCGGCTCGTTTATTCCCGAAACCCCAAACATCGATCCAGCAGGGCGGCGGCGGTGCGCAACTCGATTTCGGACACACACGCCCACTCAAGATGGAGGTGGGCACCTCGTCAAGCCTGCCACATCACATATCGCCCATGTCTTTTCATCTATTCTTCCATCGTCTGAATGAGGCTCCTTCTCCCCCATTCACTTTGCCAATCTCACACTAGGCTCGTGCGTCTGGACACAATACTCGTCTTATCCTTGCTGTCGGCAGCTCTGCAGCTCGCGCAGTGAGTTGGCGTGACAAATGATGGCAAAGCTGATTCTTTACGCGTCAGATCAATGACTCGAGCATTTGCTACTTCGTGCCGACAAGGAGCCCAAGTCAATGAACAGTCACCACACTCGACCGGCATTATTCAATCGTGTCTCCGGGACTCGAGCCCCCCTTCAGAGCACACACGTCAATATGAATGGGCTGAATGAAAGCCCACGCAAGCTCGAGCATACAATCCGCTCACCAGAGCAGTGAAAACTCGTTTGTTCTAGGCAAACGCGATATCCAGCCCTAAAAATCGTATATTAAAAAAAAACCCAACGTTAAAACTGGAGTGCAAGTGTGTACAAGCAACGACCATAGCCAACTCAATTATTTATGCCTCGCATTGCGGTCAACGCTGACGGTGAATTAGCGCACGACTTTGCACTGTATCCGCATCCCATCCATGCAAACGCAATTCCAGATTCCATTTCCAAAACCGCCGAGCTTCTCTGAGTTGCCAAGGTTTGTTAGCCTTGAGCAACCGACCCAGCGGCGCTGCTACTGTGCCTTGCACGCTTGCGACCGCTTCCGGCAGAAGGGTGCATCTTGTCCATTCGTTCACGCTTAAGTTTTTCATTCAAAACGCGGGCTGTGAACAACACGTTAGCAATTTTACCATTCCTCACCTCTTCCATTGAAAGAAAAGCTGCTAGGAGCAGGAAGCGAAGTGGCGGAGAATGCGAAACAAACAAACAAAGAAAAAACATACTCAAGACGTCATAACCAAACTGAGGATACTCCAAGCACAAGCTCTTGAACTCGCCCTCGGCCTCGGCACGCAAGGTATGCGACCTCGTAGCCCAGAAGCTCGCAATTGGCGCGCGGACCTTTGTATCGTCGTTGGTAGTGTGCGCATAAACATATCTCGCGTACTCAATCTCGCCCTTGGCCGTAGAATCGATGCAGTGGATCTTGCTCGACGAGAGCTTCTTTAGGTCGGGCACGCCGTATTTCTCGGCGAGAGTATAGATGCGCGCGTGCTTGAGTAGATGAACGCCTGTATCGTCTACCTTTGGCATGTCAGGATCGACTTCGAGGACGCGCTGTCCGTGGATCTTCCTGGGAAAGTATTCGCCGGTGTAGAGGAATTCGAGGAACGAGCCGACGGCGGAGACGTCTTCCAAAAGGTCAATCTGCCGCGGCTGCGCAGCGTCAGCTCCAACCTGACATGGGCCGCCGCGAAAAGGCGCGAGGGGGAGTCAATTAAGTAAACGTACGCTGCCGTCGTCAACAAACCTTTGGCACAGTTCCTGAAAGTACGGGCTTTTGCAGAGCAGTGCCTGATGCGCGGTAAGGAGGCTCTGGCTATCGTCTTGGCCAACAACCAGAGTGACTACCGGCGACGACAGGTATGACACGAAGGACATCCTGGGAGGCTGCTCGTCCTTGGAGGTCGTTTCTTCGACTTCTGGCCCGCGAGTAATGTCATGTTCCTCCGCCATTTCGACATCGGGGCCTTGTTGGGTCGACACCACATCCTCGGAGACTTGTTCCATGTCGTCTTCTGCCGCGGATGGCGGCATTGAGGATGACTGCGATGCGAATTGGAGTTGCGGGTAACTAGCGGTTCTGAAGATTTGGATTGTTGGAGCTAAGCTCGAGGCAGTCGGGTGGGTCGGCGGCAAGCTCCAGGAGTGGGCTACCCTAGAGACTCAATAGAGATCGGGTGGAGCCAAGCGGAGCCAAGCGGCTCATGCACGGCCTCGTACCTGACATGGAAACGTGTCGGGAAGTGCTCCGTACGGAGTAGATTCAACAAAATAGACTACATATCACTTGAATGTGGTTCCAACTCCCGAGCCTGTCCCCACTATCCGTCAAGTACGCCGATTTGTCAAAGCTGGATGGACTTGGCTGAAGGACAGCAGTGTTTCGATTTCACTCCGCAAGAAATATCAAATCAAAAAATTCCCATGGCCGGCTGCAGGCAGACCTCGGCCACAAATGGCTTGAGGGCAGTTTATCGTAATTCAAAATTTGCACAGACTCCATCACTCCGCAGCCCTCAGTGTTTCGTTTCAGACGACTGCAGTGCCAACCTGCACAAGCGGTGTGTTCCAGAACCCCAAGATTCCCAACCGCCGATCCCGACATGAAGAGATCTTCTGTCCATTTCTTCCCTGCTGACGCAATAGTCCAATGGAGAAATGACCGCAACCCTTACCCCAGATTTTTAGCTCCGGGGCCACCAGGGTGTAACCGTGAATATGTTCACCCCCCGATCATTGATTGGAACCACTCCATGTCACTGGCGTAGCCACCAGCCGACGCTCCCGGATTCTGGCTGCGTAAGAGACGAGAAGCTGCGACATGAGGGGAGCCGGGTGCGTGAGTCCATCAGGTCCAGAATACTATGTAACTGCTGGTAAAGCCGCTGATGGAAGGGGGCCACGTGTGAGTGATTGGATGTTGAGCTGCAGAGTTATTGGCTGTTGACCAGTGGCGTCGACCGCTTCAACGTCATCAAACGATGGGTGCTTGCTTAGACGCAGGCCATGAAATGAATACCAAGACTTCGATTCTTGGACGGGAGATGGGCGGCCGCCAGGTAAATCCCGTACCGAGTACGTGAACCAAGACGTGGTATCACGCATGACGTATCCGTGCGAGACGAATGTAGCCGCCCAGTGACAACAGGCAAACCAAACCTATTCTCAGGTCATTGTGGCTAGCAACTTTAAATGAAGCTTTTCCAGACACATGAGCGACCCCGCACATTGACAACGTCATCACCGACGAAGCCAACGAAGCCGCCGCTGCGGCATGGCTCTGGGACATATATTTGGTGCAGCTCACGGCGCACGCCCTTTGCCCAGCAAAGACATCATCCCCCATCCACATAGTTACCTCTTGTTTGGTTCAGACGCAACATGAAAAACTTCGGCGTCGTCAGCCTAGCGGCTCTTTACCCCCTTTCACTTGCCGCGGAGGAGTCTTGTCTCTCTTTGACGACCAGATTCCCAAGCTGTGTGGTTCGCCTCCCCCGAGTGTGGATGCACGCGTTTCCACCATGGCTTCCCAATCAACTGACTCTCGGCGGTCTAGTATTCATGCGTGACAAAAGCAGCCTCCTCAGTCCAATGTACAAACACTGCCGACCTCGAATGTCAGTGATGACCTTCTCACACGGCCGTCATCTCACGTGTCGCAGACCGCTGACGCCTTTTTGATACAGGCCAGTGCAACTCCGCATCTTCCAGCGCCATTCAGTCAATCGCTGCTGGCTGCGCTCTCGCCGCATGCAACGCAACCGAGATTCCCGAGGGAATCCGCGTGGGCGAGGCCCTTTGTGCGTGTGCCGCCTCGCACTCGACCACGGCCACGTCCACGTCCGAGACTTCTGGCGAGAAGACCACCACGGGGACGGAAGGGGCCCCTGGCTGCCCAAAGACAACCAGTACTACCAAGAGCGGGGAGACGGGAGCCGAAACCTCGTCGAGCTCTGGCTCGGCCTCGGAGACGACGACGACTCCCCCCGGGACCACCACCACATCGGGGGAGACCCCTACAGGCGCGACAACAACCACCTCTTCTTCTGCGTCGGCCGGGGTTGGAATTCTGCAGGTTCTGCTCGCTGGCGTTGCCGGAGCCGTCATAGTGGCAGCCGTTGCACTGTAAGTGAAAGATGGGGGTGGCGCAGTTTGGATTGATTCTATGTCAGGGCAAGATTGCGTGCCGGCCCGGAACAGGATTGCGTGTCTTCTTGCGATCCCTGGAGCGGGACTATGGAGTACCCTCCTCATCTCATGTAATAATAATAAACGACATGTGATATAACCCGCTCATCAGACATTTGAGACTGATAGCGTTCACGAGATGGTGTCCCTGGTGCTTCTCTGCTTGTGGATCTTGGCATGTAGTTGTCAGAGTTCGGACGAGCCGTCTTCAGTTACAAAAGGTCTGGTGCATTCCCAACGGCGTATGTGCATCACTGGACTCCGCAAACGATTCAAGGTCGACAATGTCCGGCCAAGACCACTGCTGGCAGGGCGTCGTCTAGCATTTCCCACCGAATGGCTTGGCCGCAACACGTCGCTGGTGGCCCAAGACGGGCACAGGTGGTATTACAAGTTAACTGTCACAGTCGTCTTCGACACGGCTCGGCCGTTTGGATGCGATTGCGGCGTATCCTTTTGCACCTACTCGTCAGTGATTACGTCTTCAAGCTCAAATCACGATGGGTGGCAGCCAGCATGACGGAAAAGGCATGAATGCCAGAACAAACTCTCACCTTGACAAAAGCATTGGCGACGCTCGTCAGTGGTTAATTGTCTTTTGTAAACACATCAGGCCGTGGAACAATATCAATAAAATGAGTTGAGCAACGACGTTGGTCAATCCTTGGCTTGACCAATTAAATCTTAGTGGAGCAACCCTTGGCAGTAACGACCTAGGTAACTACCTAACCTAGGCACCGTCAGGTAAGTACGTTCCTGTTTTGAAGGGACCCACGGGAACCCACCACGGCGTGGCGTGGCCCGCTCCCGCGCTCGTCGGGCGACGCCATGAAAACGAAACGACTTCGCATCTTAACCTCCGAGATCACCACCACCAACAAAATGACAATCACCTCAGCCAGCAATGCAACGACCTCGCCAGATACCGCCGCCGACCCCGCGCGGGCCGCCAAGGTCCACGCCCTGATGCAAAACCTCCTGTCCAAGTCGCCCATCTATGGCCTCATCCTCTCCGACATCCAACTCGTCTCCGTCGTCGCCGGCAGCGTCACGCTCCAGCTCAAGCTCACAGCAACCCACATCAACAGCAAAGGCGGTCTCCACGGCGCCGTCAGCGCCACCATGGTCGACTTCGTCACCGGGCTGGCCATCTGCTCGCACGACCTGCGCGAAAAGACGGGCGCCTCGGTCGACATGCACCTCATGTTCCTGTCGACCGCCCAGGCCGGCGACACGGTTCTCGTCCACGGCACGGCGGACCGCGTGGGCGGCAGTCTGGCGTTTGTGAGCATCAGCATCAACAGACTGGGCGAGGATGGTTCCGAGACCCCGGTCACGCTGGCGCGGCATTCCAAATACGTGAGGGGCACGAGGGAATCGTAACGACGCGGGCCTTGATACGCCGTCCTTTGTGCCATTTCCTGGTGGTCCAGCATAGACATTGTGCAGCGTGCCTCGAGTCGAATATGTCTTCCAGAATGCTGTTGTGTCATGGTCTATGTTAGGAGTCAGGGCGCCGGCTGGCGCTGAGGTGAGCCGCGGGAAAACGACGCACGCTCTTGGGGAGTCTTTCAGCCGGGCATTCTCGCCATCAACGCACCCGGGCCCCGTGTCCCTGCCTGTTTGCACCAAGGCCGTTCTCTACCACACTGCGAGGCTGTTGCTAGTTTCACACTCGCCTTGCGCCCAGCTCAAATCATCCAACCCGCCCTAATGTTGCGACGTTGACGTCTCGGACAAGCCTGGTGAATGCCGATTGCGAGACTGTCGTCCTGTAGACGGCCTCACCGGGCTCGTTGTCTGAGCCCCCGACTCGGACATTGGTGCTTGGGTTGCATTTTTCTGAAAATTGTCCATGGCGAGCGAAGAGTCGAGGCGGCAAAAAGCCGATGTGGAAGCCACAGGGAGAAAGACGGTCTAGGAAAAGTCGCTCATGTCATACTACGCTACTCGCAGGTAGTTATAAGCAAGTAACATGCGCACATAGCAGTTCAGCTAGCCGCTGCCGTCAGAACACGCAAGAGGGGAGATACGACCAAGACATCTAATTTGGTCGTCGCTTCATCTGGAGCCGCTGATAAATGATGCATCATCAGATGCGGCATCACAACCTGGCCAGTCCTGTTACACGGTTGTGTGTCGCCCAGAGCCATGCCAGTCATTTTAACAGAGGAAGCGTCGATTCCTGCTTATAAGCAAGCACAAGTATTGAAGCCGCTGGAACCTGCAAGCACGTATGTAGCAGTGCAGAGGAATGGATACAAGTCATGTAGCATGGGGTATATTTGAGTACATGATAAATCTATTCGTTTTGGCTTTTTTTGCCAGTCGTCTTTATCACGTGGCTGGTCGACCCGATGTCGGTCGCGAGTCGGGTCGCGACACTAATAAGAGTCAACACCAACTTTAATGCTTACGGCCCAAAGGTCAACGTATCAGGACTTCGGAGGCCACTACGCCTGCACGAGCTGCAAAAAGTATCGAGTCGAGCCATTGATCTCGGCCCAGCATCTGAACCCGGTTTTATCTGGACACTCCTTGCACGTACGTCCTTTCCTCCGACTACACAACATGGCGCCGGCCGAGGACGAGGTACAACAACACGTATCCCCATCAGAGGCACGACGCCTAGTGCAAGACATACTAAAGGGAAACGGGGTGTCTGCCGAAAACGCAGCCATTGTCGCAAAGTGTCTTGTTGCCGCCGACCTCCGCGGCGTCGACACGCACGGCATGAACCGGATCCCTTCGTACATGGAGCGCATCCGCCAGGGGGTCCTCAATGCCACGGCCCAACCAAGCGTCAGCCAGGTCACGCCGGCCGTGGCACAAGTAGACGGAAACAATGGCTTCGGCTTCGTGTCGGCACATGTGGCCATGGCGGCCGCCGTCGAAGCAGCCAAGACATACGGCATCGGCATGGCGAGCGTCAAGCACTCCAACCACTTCGGCATGTCGGCCTGGGTGGTCCAGCAAGCCCTGGACGCAGACATGATGAGCCTGGTGTTTACGAACTCGAGCCCTGCGCTGCCCCCGTTTGGCGGCAAAAGCAAGCTGATGGGCGTCTCGCCCCTGGCCTGCGGAGCACCTGGGAAACCAAACTTCATCCTCGACATGGCGCCCTCGGTGGCAGCTCGCGGCAAGATATACAAGGCGAAGCGTCGGGGAGAAAAGATCCCGCTCGACTGGGCGCTCGACGCCGAGGGGAGACCTACGGACGACCCCGAAGCAGCGCTGGGGGGCGTCATGCTCCCCATGGGGGGACCAAAGGGCTCGGCTTTGTCTGTCATGATGGACGTGTTTTCGGGCGTCTTGTCCGGCTCGGCATTTGCAGGGCACGTCACGGGCCCGTATGACCCGTCCAGGCCTGCCGACGTTGGGCATTTCTTGATCGCCGTCAAGCCGGACCTGTTTATGAGCCTGGACGATTTCAGAGGCCGGATGGAGCATCTATATGAGAGGATAGTGGGGGCTGAAAAGGCGGCGGGCGTGGACAGGATCTACTTTCCCGGGGAGATTGAGCAGCTCACGCAGACGGAGAGGGAAGAGACGGGAATACCGTTGGTACGGGAGGAGATTGACGCTTTGAATGCCGAGGCGGAAAGAGTGGCCGCAAGGCCGCTTGCATTTATGAACCAACCTACGACGAAGATGGCCGCCGACACTGAGTGATCATCAAGCATCAGCCAGGAGCTGCCATGTCCCCGTGCCAAGGTGTTTGGAGGCATCGTTTTCAATACCACAAGAACAAATCAATAAAGGGCTGTTGTTACTTCAGTTTACTCATGCCACTTGCATTGGCCAAAGGAGCGGCCAGCACCATCCTGCCTCTTGGTAATGTAACGACGTGACCTTGGCCGATACCACGCCAGTATCTATCTGCTTCTAGAATTGTTGGGCTCAGGTTTTTTGACGTCGGCTGCGGATTGAATCACGTGCCTCGCATTCAACGTATCATCACGCGGCCTCATCTGCGTTGGCAGAAACTCGTCATCATCCACCATCTCGGCCCATTTTGACGCATCGGTTGTCGTCACCACCAGCCATGCTGAATCTTGTCTGATGTGATGTGATGTGTGCAACAAGTAACTTACCGCCAAGCCAGGGCCCAGAGCGAAGCCCCACTCCTGCGGGTTGATTATCTCCATCTTGGTGCGAATATGTGCGACACATTGCAACTACAACTTGCAACCGCAACATGGCAAATCGTGCCGCCTGTTGCCAGCCGCGCACGCGTGCACATGCAGCGTCCATCTCTGCAAGGCAGCATCCAAGTTGAAGGTTGAATCAGAGCTATAAATTGCTCTACCGGCGCACCTCGACATCCCGGCCCTGGCTCCTCCCCTCATTCTGCGCCCCTCCCCTCCGCCTCGACCTTGTTGGTGATCACGATTCACGATGAAGCTCACGCTCCCCCCCAGGCCCGGCTTCCTCTCGGGCGTGCCCTCCAACGCCATCGCCATCGTGGGCCTCCTCGTCACCGTCAACCTCCTGATATGGGCCAGCATCGCCATCGTCCTGCACTACCACCCGGCGCTGATATCCGCCGCCGCGCTCTCCTACACCCTTGGCCTCCGCCACGCCCTCGACGCAGACCACATCTCGGCCATCGACCTCATGACGCGCCGCCTCGTCAGCCTGGGCCAGCGTCCCGCCACCGTCGGCACCTTCTTCAGCCTAGGCCACTCGACCATTGTCATCGTCACATGCGTCGTCGTCGCAGCCACGTCGGGCGCCCTGCGCGACCGCTTCGACGGCTTCACCCGCGTCGGCAACATCATTGGCACCGCCGTCAGCGCCACGGTCCTCATCGTCCTCTGCGTCGCCAACGCCTTCATCCTCCACTCCCTCGTCAGGAAACTCCAGCTGGAGCTGCAGCGTAGACGCGCCCCGGCCGCCCTGCACCATGACGCGTCTCAGCACCACCACCTGCACGTCGAGGGCGGGGGCGTCCTGGTCCGCGTCTTCAAGTTCCTCTTCAAGGCCGTCGACCGCCCGTGGAAAATGTACCCTCTGGGCGTCGTGTTCGGGCTGGGATTCGACACGAGCTCCGAAGTGGCCATTTTGGGAATTGCCTCGCTGCAGGCCCTCAAGGGAACTAGTATATGGCTGATTCTCATCTTCCCCATTCTCTTTACATGTGAGTTTCTCAAACTGGTTCAACACGGCCAACGGTGGTGAAAAAACGCACCCCCTCCCCTCCTCTTGCAAAAGAAAAAGAAGAGCAAGCGTTGAAAAAAACTAAACTCTGCCAGCGGGCATGTGCCTGATCGATACGACCGACGGCGCAGCCATGGTCACCCTCTACAGCTCAAAGGCCTTCTCGAGAGACCTCGTCGCATTGCTTTACTACCAAATCGTACTGAGCGGCATCACGGTCCTGGTATCTGCCTTTATCGGCATCATTCAGCTCCTTTCGCTCATTCAGAATGTCGCCGATCCAGAGGGCAGCTTCTGGGACGGCGTAGGTGCTATCGGAGATCATTTCGACATCGTTGGCGGCAGCATATGCGGCGTGTTCTTGCTTGTCGGTATCGTGTCCATCGTCTTGTATAGACCGTGGAGAAGACGCATCGACCGCCAGACTCGGGGACTCACCGTGGCTGAAGATGAAAGCCAGGATGGTTCTGAAGGACCTGCGTCACCGTTTGGCCAGCCTGCTGTCCCTCAGTCTGCGACGGCAACATGACGCGTGAAGCAGGAGGACCACGCAAGCATAAATGAAAACCCCGTACAAAATAGAGCCAGCTGGATTGAAAAAACAAGCGCTGAAAATTTAAATTACGCTAATGAAGAAAATAAAGTCAAGAAATATAGAAACATAGAACACGACTCCAACCTAACCAGTCATTACAACATCTTGCCGCTCGTGTTGAAACAGCTTGCAAAATGCCATTTTGTTGCAGAAGCCACACTTTCTCTGCAGGATCCCCCAGCCGGGTAGCCTCTCAAATGGCGGTTGTATTTGCAACGATTTGTAAGCCCCTTTCGTGGTTTCGGTTTGTTTGCTCTCGTCGAGATTGAGACCCCGCTCGCAATGCGGACAAAGCCAGGAGCCCGGAACTGTTCCTTCTTGTGGTTTCCAAGGTCGCGTCCACGCTGGGACAGCGTCTGGCGAAGCGGCCGCGCAATAGTCACTCTCGACGCTGTATAGCGAGTCATCACTGGAGATGGAAGATAACATGTCGCAATCGGATAGCTCCGCGTGCCGAGCCATTCTAGCGTTGAACGCAGAATTATCTGACATGAACGAGTCGATGGAACCCTGCCGTTGCTGCTCTGCAAAGTCGTCGCCCCTTGTTTTTACTACCCAAGTCAGTTCAGAGGACGTTCCATCGCAGAAATCCTGATGGCCATGGTCAGAGCACGGCTCTTCGCATGGAGATTGGGCCTTCCCGTATAGCAGCGGATCAGTCTCGGTATCAATCGTAGCAAGTGGCAACTTGGCCCCAAGTGGCGGGGCGTGATGCTCACTTAGCTTGTCTTCAAACGAAGAACGCTGTGATGCCGGCTTTGGTGTCAATTGGTCGTCTACCGGCAGAGCACCTAGTGAGAGAGGCGACTAGCTTCTCCAATCACTCGTGACTGATTCGGTTGGGGTAAGACTATCCAGCACCTCCTTGGCGGAGACGCCGAGCCGACAAAACTCCTGGTCCATTTTATCAAAGCTCTCGGGCAGCACCCTCACGGCAACGTGTTTAGGGTGGCTCATTTCCATGTGGCAATCAAGATCGACCGGACGGCTGAATGATGCATCGCCACAAAGCTTGCAGACTAGTCGCGGCCGACCCCCGTGGGCAGATGTCTGAATTTTGTCCCGAGAGAACATTTTGTAGCCGTGAGGAAACATTTCGTCGCTCACGGCACTGCTCACGGCACAGCTCACGCCCTCGCCATCGCCATCGCCATCCTCGTCGATTGATGCGAGTCGGGTTCTTTGCCGTAGCACCGACTGGCCCGACGACCGGTAGGCCACTGCTCGACGGCGTTTTGCATGTTCGCTTTTCAGGAGCTGGTGTGGAGGCACGTCGGCATCGTAGACGTTTGACCTGGGCTTGGGGTGTGTGAACCTGTGCGGAAATATAGGCGACGCTGGCCGTAGGGCTCCGGATGCTCGTGGCTCGTAGTCTCCAAGGCCAGGCTTTGAAGTCGAAGAGGAGGCACTGTCGGTGAGAAGGCCACGTTGGAGCTGGGAGTCATCTGAGTAACTGCTGTCCCCAGAACCTGAGCTTTGACGCCTTGACCCGAGTTTAAACATGGATTGCCTGCGTTTAAACTCCTAGGAAAACCCGAATGGCATCCCGGCGACGGTGCTACAAGGCAACGAAGGAGCGTCGAGCACGCGGAGGAGGGCCCTTTTGAGTGTGCTGTGAAACGAAAGGATGTTGTCCAACAACAGATTGGAGGAATAGTTGATAACGAGAAGGGCGGTATGTCTAGACGACAAGTTGACAGCGTACGGGCAAAGGGCCGGAAGCAGGGATGAATTTGCCTGTTTCGAGAAGGCACGATGATTTGGGACAGCTGACAGGGAGAGGGAGCAACGACAACAGACCAGTCGACAGACGTGTCTTGTCTCCTTCTCAATATACCTTGGCCCTTCTGCCCCGGGCCGGCTTGGAGCTGACGTGGAGTGCGATTGCGCTTTTGATGCATGTTGAATAGTCTGCGTGGCCGAGTCGACGCAGTCAGTCAGTCCGGTCCAGTCTCTTGAGCTTGGCGCAGCCACACCGCACTTAGGCGTCAGTACTTGCTATTCAGTAGGGAGTAGCCGCAGGCCGACTTCCCCATTCCGCACCGAAAAGACGATGCATGACACGAGAATGCATGTGAGGCTGGCGACGGCGCCAAAGTCTCTTGGTCTGCAAAGAGTCAAGAGGTACGGAGTACAAGGCCCGAGACGCTAATCCTCAGAATGGCTAAATGGAATGGTCATGCCGGTGTGGACTGAAGCCGGTCCCTTCAACTTAAAATGCTGCGATTATCGGAGCGCCAATCTTATCGGTCTTATCGGAGCTCGCTCACAGGTGCAGCCAGCTCCATCCAGATGCAGCACGGAGCAGCGAGGAGCGAGGAGCCAGGAGACTCGAGCCCGGATCCCAGATGCCCGGTTCGCGCGTCTTGAACTCGTCATTGCATCATCCGTGCAGCCTCGCCAACGGCGTCTTTCCGTCTCATTCTTTCATCGCGGCCACGTCCCGGGTCATCATCATGTAGCGCCATCCGCATCTGCTCCAATCTCACCCACGGCCTGTTCAACACACTCAAACTAAAACCCCAACTCACTTCTGTGCCCGACATTTGCCAACATGGCTGCCTCGCCGGCGGCCTCGTCTCGCCGCAGCGCGGCGTCCTCATCGGCATCGCTCAAGCGCTCCGATGACCATCAACCCAAGTTCCCGACCATTTCCGTCGACACCCTCGTAAATCATTTGCTCGTTGCCAAGCGTTCATTGTCCTCCATGAACCACGTTCTTCGTGCCAACGAGCTTGCGACCCTGGCGCGCCACTCCCACGAAGAGATGCTGCTGCTGGCGGCGCAAACCGCTTTCGTCCGAAACTACCTCCGCGATCAAAATTCCATCCTCGTGCGCATCAGGAGGAGCCTGCAGGCCACCTATGAATGGGGCAAAAGGGACTTTAAGAAGCTCATCAAGGCCATGGATGACGTTGACGGCGCCTTGACCGGAACCATGGACATGCTCCGCGACACCGACGTGCAGACTCTCCTACAGCCAAACGATGAAGAACGGAAAAACCTGTTGGATTTTGTCGATGAATCCAGCGTTCATGGCATGCGAGAGGTCATGAAGAAGAGCATACAGGACCTACAGGCATGTTCCTCTGCCCCGGCCTTTTGTCCGCGCCAGGCACGACCCGGCCATCTCATCTCTAACCCTGACTAGAGTATCCAGCAATCATTCGATGGCGACTTGCTCCGCCTCGAAACTGATATCCGAAATCTAGGCCAACGCATAAACGAATCGCACACAGAGAAACCCGGCGACGACGTACATCTTACTCCCATGGTTCTTTTACAGAGTCTCGACGATCACTCGTCAGCCATGGCACAACTCTTGGCATCGCTAACTAAGCACTTTGACATGTGCGTTACCGCGATTCGCACGACCGAAGGCGCGGCGGCCCTCGTACGCAGGAAGGCTGCCGAGGTGACCCAGTCACAGAGCAGTGACGGAGTGTCAATATCTGGCGTCATTGCCGAGCAAGAGTCACACGTGTCCGACCTCGAACCCAAGACGGCGGATGACAGAGCGGAAATGCTCAGGGTGGTTGTACAAGACGCAGACGAAGTCGAAGACGTTGTACGAGAGATTCAAGAGCGCCTCGCGGCCATGGAGCAGGAATACACTTCATTACAAGAGCTTGTAGACCATGCAAAGGAGTCTTATTTTGGCATCATTTCAGCGTTTGCATTAGTTGGACAGATTGGCGATCGCATCGACGACTATGTCGCCGCGGAGGAGGACTTCAGACTGCGGTGGGAGCTGGAGAAGGAAGCCGTCTTTGCAAAGGTCAGGGAGATGAGCGAAATGAGAGACTTCTACGAGGGGTATGCAAGCGCCTACGGCAGTCTGGTCCTGGAAGTCGAGAGACGGCGGGCCGTCGATGAGAGAGTCCAAGGCATCTGGCGCAAGGCCCAGGAGTCGGTGGACAAGATACTCGAGGCGGACCGGGTCTCTAGGGAAGCCTTTCGCCAGGACGTCGGCGAGTATCTGCCTGCTGACCTGTGGGCGGGCATGCAGGGTCCTGCCAAGAAGTGGACGGTTGTTCGGATCAGCGATGACGACTCGGCTGGCGCCAGCATGGTGGACAGACCTGATTCGGGACAAGGATCGAGGATGGCGAGCACCCCCCGGCCGAGTGCTGACTAGATTCCTGGGCTTGTATATCCCGCTCGACTGCGTGTGAAGTATACTTGACCAACGGTAGTAAATCAACAAAGTTTGCACGGCGTTTGGCCGCCGCGTCACAAAAGGACCTTGGTGAGGGTTTGACGATGCGGCCACAGGGGCAGCTGTGCAGCTGCGTTTCTGGCTTTCTCGGTGGCCGTCGGGTTTCAGATTCCTATTTCGACTTAGCCTCACCTACACCACATGTTGGACGCCACCAGCTGCCAGCTGCCTCGCTGCGGGGTCGGCCAATGGAGGCTGACGACAGCAGTCGAGCCTGGCCGACCTGGACGGGGAGTTCGAGGACAATCAATTGATTGCTTGACATAAATTGGTCGAGCTTCGCAAGCCATGCTTGACGGTCCTCATCAGAGCCAACCTGCCTGCCACCATTCCGCCATCGAGTCAACATGCGGCCTCGCGACGAGCTCGTCATTGGCTTATTTGCCCTTGCGGCTGCAAACGCCTCAGACACTCCCGCGTTTGACTGGGACTCCATCTCTCCATCCACAGACCTTCGGTATCATGACTGCTACACTAGTGGCTTCAAATGCGCCCGCCTCGAGCTCCCTCTGAGCTGGAAAAACAGCACCGACCCCCGAACCGTCCCCGTGGCCATTGTCAAGCTCGCTGCCAAGGTCCCTGACGATGATCCTACCTTTGGCGGGACCATCTTCACCAACCCCGGCGGGCCAGGCGGCTCCGGGGTGGACCTGGTCGTCACCAGGGGCCACTATCTGCGGGACTATGTCGATAGCCCTGGCCGGAAGCACTTCGAAATAGTTTCTTTCGATCCTCGCGGAGTTGGGAATAGCAGGCCCCTGGCCAACTGCTTCCCCCACGCCCCCCTGGCCAGAGATGCGTGGATGCTTGAGATGAGAGGCAACGGCGGGTTGGACAAAAGCCCTGCAGCCATCTCTTACGGACTGGCCCTGTTCGATGCGTATGGGAGGACGTGCGAAAAGGCCGACGCCCGTGATTTGAACGGGGGTGAGATTTTCAGATATCTCGGGACGCCGTCCGTCGCCAGAGACATGGTCGCCATGGTGGACAGCATAGACCACCTGAGAAGGACGGAAGCCGCTCGCCAGGGCCGGACGGAACTGAGGAAGAGAGACAAGGAGGACGTTCCCAGGTTGCAGTACATTGGGTTCTCGTACGGCACCATTCTCGGAAACTACTTTGCCTCGCTGTTCCCGGGGCGCATCGGACGGCTCGTACTCGATGGAGTTTGCAACGCCGACGACTATGCCAACGGTGCCGTGAGTCTGCCCCATCCTGATTCCTTCTTGACTCTATTGTCCATTGAACCGACGTCAACTAACGAGCTGTGGGTTCAGGGCTGGCTCACAAACACTGTCGATTCCGACACCATCATCGACAAGTTCTTCGAGGGATGTTTCCACGCCGGCCCCAAAGTCTGCGCCCTCGCCCGTCCCAAAGACATTTCTGCCACCGACGTCAGCGGCCGGTTCTGGCCGTGGCTCAAGCAGCTCGACGAGGCACCGGTGGCGGGCGTCGGGCCCTCGGGCGGTTCCATCATCCTGACGGGCGGGGATATCCGCCGCCTCCTCGCTTTGGCAGCCTACGTACCCATCACATCTTTTGTCCAGGCCGCTCAGTTACTCGACGATGCCATGGTGCACGAGGCCTACGACCCCATCCTCGCCGTCGTCGAGTCCGAGCTCGGCGGCCCCCTCCAAGACGCGTGTCCTGTCGGCAACAACCAGACCGCCAGACGGGACCAAGGCCCGGACACACAGACGGCCGTCCTCTGCGTCGACGGCGAGGACATCCGCGGCAAGAAGACGTCGTGGTGGTCGCGCTATGTCCAGAAACAGATTGCCCAGTCGGCCGTCTTTGGCGCCTTCTGGTCCACGATCCGCTTCCCCTGCTCTGGGTGGCGCTTCAGACCTAACTGGGACTTCCACGGCCCCTTTACGTCTCCGGAAGCACCCCGGGACGGCGGAAAGCCGCGGCAGGGCCAGCCAGCCGCGCCGCTCATGTTTCTGACCAACAGGCTGGATCCCGTCACGCCGCTGGCGGCTGCCCGGGCCATGGCCAGGAACCACCCGGGCGCCAGGGTGGTTGTGCAGGAGGCCATGGGGCACTGCGCCACGTTCTCGGCATACAGCGAGTGTACGAGGGGCATCGTGGCCGAATATTTCGACACGGGCAAGGTGCCGGACAGGGAAGAAGTTTGCGAGGCCGAGTGTGGCCCCTGGGACGACGGCTGCGGGAGGGTGCTGTTGAAGTCGGACCTTGCGGAGAAGGAGGCGTGGTTTGCGAGGAGGTACCCTCTGGGTGTGTAATCGGATGAGGAGGGGCTTAATCCAGACTAATATTGTATGACGCATCGTTTGTAAAGGTTTAAGCTCTGGGCATGCAACTAACTTACGGTTAAAATGAAGTTTAAATACAGGTCATGGGTGCCTAACCGTGGTCATGTGGGGGATTCTCGTAGCAATGACGCAATGATGAAGGGATTCACCGCATCACCATTCAAGTTGCCGACGCCCACTCGCCGACATGTCGGAAATATATTACGAGCACACTGCTATTCCTGTACCATCCCAAAGAGGTCGCGGCAGCGGCTCTGAAATACGCTAGTGTTCAGACTAGGCCGGATATAGCTATAGCTTGCTCTAAGCTAGCAGAACACTTATTTAACCCAAGCAAAGCGCATAATTAGCTATAAAGGTTATAAAGTATTTATATAATACTAAAAACCTAGCTATTCAAATTAACGGAAATTCAACGGCAGAGCTATCTATATCAGCAGATGCAGCTTATGCTGATGATAAAGGCTCTAGAAAGTCAACACAAGGCCTTCTAATTCAACTATTTGAGGCCCCTATTATTTGGTCAGCAACTAAACAAGCCACTAAGGTTATTTTAAGCCACTATCTATGCCTAATCCGGCAGCCCTACTATAGGATTTACCTATAAATAACCCTCCTTCCCCCCAACTAGATAGAGAGGAAAAAAAGCCTCTACAACTACACTCTTTAATACATACTATTACATACAATTTTATACTATATCTAAAGTCACTTCTATTATACCTTAAGAATCCCTATTATCTTATGCTTAGTAATCAACTAGATTACATAAGCTCTATCTATTATCTCTATTATATAATAAAGGGTCCCTCAATTAGCCAACAGCTCCATCTCGCCATATGCATTGCGTAAACAGTCCTCACCTTCGTGAAAAGTGCCCCGTGGCCTGCGGAGACGTCTTCTTGTAAGATATCCCGGCTTGGTAGAGCCCGAACGGGATAGAAGCTGTATCCGAGTGCAGCACTACAGCTGCTTCCCCCTCCAAGCTGCTCAAAGCGCATCGACATCCGCGTCGGACATGAAATGGGAGCCCCCGGCGCATCTGTAACCCCTGCTTTGTCTGATCCAGTGATAGCCAACGGGGCATGTTCCCGCAGCCATCAATTTCGCCTTCCTGGCTGCCTCTGCTTTCCGACGCTTCTCCTCTTCTAGTAGCTGTCGCACGATACGCTCCCGGTCTGCATCTCTGGCGGACTTTTGCGCCGCCTTCAACTCGCGGTGCTCTTTTTCTCGGCGCTGTCCCTCGGCCCAATCTTGTTGAAGCTGTTCCCAAACCTCGTCACTTACGCCGGCATCCCGAGTCCCGAGACGATCGGTAGCCAGTATTTCGGGGTCAGGCTCAACAATAGCCACGTCATCTGGCTGGCTCTCATGGGCTTCTTCTTCTTCTTCTTCTTGCTGCGATTCGATAGACATGTTACCCTTGCAAGTTGAGGGCGGCCGTGGGCCATTGCGCAGTTGCGGGCTCGCCGTGGCCAAGCTCTGGTCTGCCATTGTAGAATCTTGTTCCATCTGCGACCGTTCTCGGAGCATCTTACTAAGCTCGTATTCGACATGATCCTCTCCGACTTTCAGTGTCTCTAGAGAAAGATCGACACTGCGAAAGATGCCCTTGGCAAGCTGCTTTACGTCCCTCGCGCTGGCCCATCCCTCGACCCGTGTGAGTGATCGGATCAGGTCCAGAATGTCCCTTTCAAACGTGTCGGACGGACATTGCAAGCAAGACAAGTCTAGCACCTTTCCCTTTCCCTCAAGTTCAACCTTCCTCTTGACTAGCGAACTCGTGAGCAGCTTGAGGCAGTCCTCGGCGCTCAGCGGTTCAAAGTCTATCGTCTCAGGAAACCGGCTGGTCATCCCAGGGTTTACCGCCAAAAGATTATTGATGTCCTTGACGTAGCCTGCCAGGATGATGATGAGCTTGCCTTTGTACTTCTCTTTTGTGACCGAGTCCACAAGCTCGTCAACAGCCTCCTTTGCGAAACCCGGTCCTGCAAGTCGGTAGGCCTCGTCAATGAAGAGGACCTCCCCAAGTGCATTGTTCAAAACCTTCTGGACCTTTGGTCCGGTCTGACCCACGTACTGGCCGACGAGGTCTGTTGCTGAGCACTCCACCACCTGCGCCTTGCTGAGGAATCCCATGTCGTAGTATAGCTTTCCGAACTTTCTTGCCGTCATCGTCTTTCCTGTGCCTGGGGGCCCCCGGAATAAAAAGTTGAACGGGATTTCTTCGTTGATGTCCATTCCCAGGGTCTTGAGTTGCCTTACTCTGTCCTGGATATTCTTGAGGAGCGAAACGACCTTTTCGCGTCCGATGTCCCCGGCAAAGAGTTTCTCTACGTCAGTTGCGCTCCTGCGGTCGAAGTCGTCGTCAAAATCGATGGACTCCAGCTGGCTCCTTTCGGCTGTTCCAGCAGACGTTCGCTTCTGGTAACCGGCTTTTGCTTTACTCAATAGATTGTCTATGGCACCGGCGTTGCCAAAGTTTGGGCGGTTACGCTCCCGAGCAAGAATGTCTAGCGCAACTTTCTTGGCTTGGCTGGTGGCCCTGAATCCGCCGTCTCTGAGCTTCAAGTCTAGGATTCTTGAGAGGGCTTCATCATCGAAGTCGTGGAACACGAACGGCGAGTCGATGGCGAAGCGACGACCAAGGCCTGGGTTGACATTTTGGAACATCTCTTCCATTTGTTCCTTGTAACCCAGAAGAATAACACACCTGTCTTCGCCTGGCACGTTTTGAACTTCGGCCACAATGGTGTCCACGACAGCAGTCCTATATGGGTCGGCTGAATGCGAGCCCTCGGTGCCCCCGGCACCTTGAAGTCCGTATGCCTCATCAATGACAAGGACTTTGCCTATTGTAGACGCCAGTATACCCTTGGTTTGTGCCTCGGACTGTCCCAGCACTGACCCGATAAAGTCGGCCGGCGTCTTCGCAACTACCTCACCGTCCGACAACATGCCCAAGGACGCTAGTATCTGGCCGTACAGCTTGGCGACGGTTGTCTTCCCAGTTCCAGGCGAGCCGACGAAAACCCGATTGAGGGAGAAGGACATGAGGGGTTCTTCAGCAAGCTCTCTTTGATAATTTGTCGTGAGTGAGTCTAGCAGAATCCTGACCTCCTGCTTGACTTCAGCGAGGCCAATCATCTCGTTCAGTCTCTGCCATGCCTGGCAGTTGGCCAACGTTGCAGACGGCTCCGGACCTATAATGTCTTCCTTGGTGAAAAGGTAATCGTCTGGTTTGGAACCGGCCCGGCGTTCTTTCCGAAGCCTTCTTGATTGCCTCTTCTCCATTTGTGCCACGGCATTCTCTACAGCACGAGCATTACCAAATCCCTCCCTGTCTCGACCCCGACCAAGTCGCCGAGAAGCTATTCGAAAGTACAGGCCATCAGGCCCGTCTTCAACAGCCATGTTGCCGTTGTATTTGCGGTCGACTTGGCGTTGGAGAATTTGGAGTAACTCGCCGTCTGAATAGTCAAGAAACCTCATTTGGACCGGGAACCGGCTGGGAAACCCAGGATTGTGGGCAAAAAATGTTTCCATCTGCTTGTTATAGCCAGCAATGACGAACGATACTTTTCCGCGGAGGTTCTCTACCTCGGCAAGTAGATAGTCTAATACGACCTTGCCCCCAGGACTATTGCCCGAAGACAACTGGTAAGCTTCGTCGATGAACAACACACCCCCGCCGTCATCCTTGAGGCTCTGTAGAAGCTGTTCGCATCCAGAGACGCCTATATTGGCCAGCTTTGACCCAGAGGTTTCCGTGAAGCCATTGCCAGGGAGAGCGCCTGTACTTGCAAGGAATTCTGCCCACAAACGAGCGACCGTTGTTTTGCCTGAGATATCGAGTTAGTACCGCTGTCGTCCGCCGTGTCTGTTGTGACAAACGTTACCTGTTCCCGGATTGCCCAATAATGAGCAGCTCAGCCTCTCTTCTGATAACGGTAGCCCTTGCCGGATTTTAGTATCAATGTTGGACTTAACAGCCAAGAACTCTTCCTTGATTGCCTCGAGGCCTATAAGCCCCATGAGGTTGTCGAGTGCCTTGTTACCAGGCTCACCGAGATCCTTCATCATTTCCCACTCTTGTTGTGCTTTGCTCTCGAATTTGGGCGCGGAGCTCTTTCTGCTTTCTGCCCCAGGCCCTGTCTTGACGTCCTTTTCCCTGCGGGGTCTTTCAATTGCGTCTCGCCTTTCTTTGGCTTTCTTTAAGTGATTGAGCTTGGCCTCCTTTCTTTTCAGCTGAGCCTGTTGTGCCTCTTCTTCTTTCTTGTAAGTCAGGACGCGCTCGTAGTGGTCAATCTCGTCATCAATTTTTTGAAGCTCACTAGCATATGCTTCTTGTTTTTCTTGTCTCAAGGCCTCTAATTCCAAGTCTTTTGCAGCACGCCGGCGAGTTTCCTCGTCCTCGCGAGCGCATGACTTGCAGCCCAGCATTTTTGATGAGCAGACGATGTTCAACTTGTGACCCCTGACACACGTGTGAAGGTCCCGTTTGTGGCACGGGAATTGCGAATGGTCGACAACCCGGTGACATCGAAGCTGACAGGTATGCTTTCCGCAACTCAGCAGCTCGCCACTGAAAATGTTAAAACGGGCAACCAATACTCAAGTACCGGAAGAGTGAATCACCTACCACGGCTCTGCACACCCCCCATCGGGACAATTCCGATGGAAATCCTCTGCCGATTTCAGGAGTGCCTCTCGACCTGGGTGTCGCTCGCAGTATACAGGAACACCATCAAATAGGCAGTCCTGCTCACTCAAGGCCTGAAAGAAGCCTTGCCATAATTCGCCGCCCTTTTTGCTCTTTATAAATGTGTGCATATTGCCAAAAAGCACGATGCAGCTTTTCGCTCGGGACATGAGGACCACCAGCCGCTCGGGTGCGCACATGAACCCGATATCTCCAGATGCATTGCTTCTGGTTAAAGACGCGATGACGATGTCGCTCTCCTCCCCTTGGTAATTGTCTGTCAAAGTTAGCTTTCTGCGCCTGTTCAGTACTAATTTCCAGTTACGGACCAATGGTGGACAGCCGAAGCTGCTGTTTGTTCAATTTGGCAGCGGCTTCTGTCATGAGGCCGGCACGAGCCAATTCGTATGAGTCCATATCACTTAGCCAGGGATCATGATCACGACTGAGTTTCTTTCTCAACAATGATAGCTGACCCATGTACGGCGTAAGGACTACCATGTCCTTTGACTTGTATCCTTGCTGGCTGAGATACCGGACCACTTTGAGCACCATTTCAGCCTCGAACGCGTTTCTCTGACTCTCCTAGACGACGGTCGACCACATCCGCAAGAGTCTCCTCTTGGTGCTCATGGTGAACAAAAATAACTCTCCCCTTCAGACCCCTGATTGTGTCGCGCTCTAGGGTTTTTGGATGATCTTCAAGATGTTCATAAGCCAAGCGGCGAACAAAGTGGGAAATCTTGGGATGGCTGCGATGCTGCTCCTGAAGTGTGGTGTAAGAGTGGCCTTGGTGTATTAGCCTCTCAAATAGGGACATGTTGAGGTTGAATCCTTCGCCCTTTTCGACTGTGAGACTGTAGTTCATAACTTTGGGGCGCAGCTGCTTATGGTCGCCAATGAGCACGAGCTGCTTGACGGATGAGCTGAGCGCAGTAATGATGTGTGCTTCTAATATCTCCCCTGCTTCTTCGACCAAGACCATGTCGGGCTGTGCTGATTCGATGATAGAATGGTACATGGCAGCCGCGGTTGTGGTACAAGCAATGACCCGTTTACTCTGGAGCACTTTTCGCTTGGATTCGTTGTACAGACTGTCAATCTCTCGCTGAATATTGTTCGACATTTCTGCAAGGTCAACAAACTCCTGCGTCTGGTCATGGCGAACTTTGGAGCACCACTGATCGAAAAGCCCCTCTCGCAAATTCCTGGGAAGCTTCCAAAGCGGGCGAAGCTTTGGATCCATGGAAGCTAGCACAGCGTCGAGAGTGCCCGAATTTTTGCCCCGTAACCAAAGCTCTAGAAGCTCATTTGCTTGCATTGGTTTGTTATTTTTGCCGAATATCTCAAAGCCATCATCCAGTTTTGGAACTTGAAATGCGGCCCAAAAAGATGTCCAATCTTCAGAAAACTCCAACATAGTAAGTATATCATCTGCAGCAACGCAGGCGGCTGCGAGTTTTGCTCCTACATCAGCGAGCTTGTCGTTAATATTGGAGAGCTCTGATTTATATTGTCGGATTGTGGTGTCAATTGCCCGAGAGAACCGGAACATGGGCATTTTGAAGAGATTTTGAAGTCGAAGAGATTCAGTCCTTCTTGTTGATTTGGCACCAATCCGTACCATGTCGCCTTCCGGTACCCCGAAGTCTTGTAGGTCCTCAAGAAACTGGTCTAGCGCATGGTTTGTATAGCTCAGCACCAAAATCCGATAGTTGGTAAGCCTGAGCATGATTCTTGATATCAGAGCACCAATAAATGACTTCCCCGTACCTGGCGGACCTTGTATCTGGCCAACACAGTTTTCCAGGCCGTTGATCAGAGATTCCAGCTGCGCACCGGATATACGTATAGACCCGCTGATTTCCATAACGGGGGATAGGTCGACTTCTTCTGCCTTTTCAAGTGCTGCTCGGAGTTGCCCCAATAATAACGACACGTTCGGTGGTGGCTGATATCGGCTTGTAGCCGATTTCGGCTCCAGTATCATGTCCTCAAGCGGAAGCTCGTGAATGTCCTTTAACCGCTGCAGTATAGGCTCATAGGCAAAGGTAGCCGTATCGACTACATAAAATTGGAGTTCACCTCTCGAGTTATGTAGCAGTGCTTCCACTGACTTCTTCAATGCATCCGCGTTGATGAACCTGATGACGACAATGGGAGGCTTTTTGAGCAGCAAATCGACGTCTCGAATTAGACAGCCGAAAGCGATGATCTCATTGTTACGGCACAGTGCACCCATGGAGTTGTGTTTCATGAACGATTTGGAGCTCTCCAGGAAATCCTTGCGGTTTTCTTTGCTGCATGAGGGAGGGAATACGATCCCAACCTCACATTGCAACCTCAGGGCCAGGGGATCAACGTGCTTGTCGCTAACATTATTGAATCCTGCAAGGCGCAATCCACCAAGTTGCAAGGGTATGCGTCGTCCTTTCTTTTGACCCCATGCGACGGCCAGATATTCTCTCATATCTGCAAGCATGTCTTCTCTCAGCAGGCGAAACAGCCATGAGAGGTACGTTGCTGCCCGAGACTCGCGTGGACTATCAAACACATCGTCCGACTGTTGCAGAAATGGTTCAGCCACAGAAAGAACTTCATCTGCAGTCGGATAGATGGAGATTGCGCGGAAATCCAGGAAGTCATTGTCGTGACGGCCGCCAGGGCTATGGCCAGTGTTTACAACGTCCGCAATCGAGTGCAATTTGAGGATCTTTTCGATTCTATATGCTAGTTGCCTGACCGGATGCGAAGATGCTTTGATAAGAGACTTTTTATCCATCAAGGCCGTAATGTCGCTATACTGCGTGTTGAGGTCGGGCGTCTTCATTGAAACAATCTCCAAGCATAGCCAAGCAAAGGTCTCACTTGCACCCACACCAAAGCCAGGACTCTGGTAGTATTGGAAAGCAGCTGACCAGAAGGTGGGGGGGCACAGAACCGCAATCAATATTCGTCGAAGAAACTGCCCGCTGTTGATAGCTTTTACCGCGGAGCTCGAAAGATGTTTCAGTAGCGTGGTCATAACGGATGAGATGAAGTCTTCGGACAGGTCACTGCGAACAACGCTGCCCAGAGTCTCGATTCCTTTCGCGCTAGAAATGATCGACTCCACGTAGAAGACCGGCGTTTTGCATCGGCATAGGATGTCAGTGGCCTCCAGAAAGTGAGTGGCATCCTGATTGTTGCCGATGACACACTTCCCCTCAATGGTGTTCTTGAAGCGTTCAATCAGCTTCTTGGCTCTTCCAGTCGCCAACTCGGCGGACGCCATTTCGAGATGTCGATCAATGGGCCTAATGCCTGCGAAATAAGGAAAAGTACCAACGAAAAAAAGTAGCTGACAGTAGCCGGATCTGTTTGGACATGTCTGGAATTGAGCCACGCCATGTCCGTCTTAAATGTTTGTGGACGTTGGGGTTTGCGGTACCGAAGACGTCGACGTTTGTGTCACACAGATGTGGACTGAAAAACAAACAGATGATGAGTCACTCCATTGAAAGACTGATTCGTTGTCCAAGATGCTGCAAACAGAGTTAGCCAGCGGGATAAGCGTGGATGCTGAGCGTTTGCCTGACGCGTCTGACTCATGACATATCTGCGGCGAATCCAAGATTCATCAGGATGTTATGCAATATGCGACACGAGCTCTGCAGCTTTAAAGGCAAGCTTACTTCTCGACTTGAAAGTGTCTCACCTATTCATGCTTTGCTGTCACATATTGTGTGTGGAAGACCTTCATAAGTACGACAAGGAAAAAAGTCTGTCATCGAAATGTCCCGACCTTACTCTGGACGCGGAACAGCCCATCGGGGAGGAGGCCCCTTTGGTGGTAACAGGTCCTGGCGAATGCCGGAAGTTGTCCGTTCAGCTCCTCCTCCGATGGGAGATCTCATCGAGACTGTTTCTAGAGAAGATGTGCTTTATGATAAAGCCGGGCCACTTGGCCGCATCGGAATATCCGGTGCTGAAGTCATTGCTTCGTACAACTGGCTAGACGAGCGCCATCCAGAGATTATTATTCCGGGTACAACTGTCTTCGTGACTCATTTTAGCAACGACCTCCTGACTGACAATCAAGCCAGGCAAACCTCCGCTGTGGACTCCCCCTCCTATTCCCCACCAGCTTCAAGAGGATAGCGGCATCTACTATCGAGATCGCAATGCAGCATGTTACCCCAAGCACCCGATCGAACCAGCCGTGGTTTCAGTCATGCAGATGCACCCTGTACCACGCCATGTAGATGTGTTTGCGTGCGGGAGTACGCTGAGAAATCTGCTAAAGTTCCTACAGGGCCGCGACAGCCCGTTCCGCATGCTTGTTGAAGTTGTTGCCGGGACCGTTCATCTAATCCGCAGAGAAAACACGCCCAAGGAACGGATCCCTGGCGTAAGAGGCTACGGCCACACATTCCCGGAAGCCTTCACTACTTGGGAAGCAGATGTGAAAAGATCTCTTTCGCATCAACGCATCGTTAGTTATAGGTTTTGCGGGCTCGACATGATGGTGCGATTTGAGGGTGATGGATACATCAGATCTGAGAAAACAAGGCTGGAGACAGCAACTGAGTCCGACATGCTAGATCAACTGGACAGCCTGTCTGTAGACCGAGAAGGAAAAGAAACGAACACCGACAATACAGAGAGCATCCTCCACATAGGAAATGTAGGGGTGGAGATAGAACCAGACGACGTATTTGACCTGAAGACGCGCTCAGTCAAACGACAAGGCGAGGATATCCTTGGAGAAGAACTGCCACGGCTGTGGGTTACTCAGATCCCGAAATTCATTCTGGCGTTCCATGAGCGAGGACTTTTCACAGATGTCCGAATTCAGAGTGTGAAGGAGAGAGTACAAGATTGGGAAGTACAGAACGAGTCCCTGCTTAGAGGTCTGTTTCATCTCCTGAGCCACATTGTTGACATAGCAGGCGACTATGAAGATAGCGAACTTGAGATTGTCCGTCCAGCAGGAGGTGGACTAGAGATTCGAGAGCGAGGGTCTGATGCAGGAAAGGTTCTGTCCGACTCGGTGAGGCGAAGGTGGGCAACGTGGCTGAGAGAAGGTGAGAATGCAGCGCAGGCTGTGGCGTGCGACCTTGAGGATGCAAGCGAAGAAGACAGTGACCAAGAAGCAGACTATACTGCTTGCGATGCGGAATGTGCCTATTGTGGGAAATGTAACTATTAAGAGCCTGTATGAGCGTCAGCTACGTCGTAGGGTACGTTGACCTGAATTCAGTTATTCTGATTCGAGTAAGCTCTGGCAGTACGAAGTATTGCGAGACGCAATACTCTGCGAGTACGTGATATGGATGTGGGATCAAAATCACTTTGAAGTTTTGTGAAAGCTGACCAGGCTGCCATGGCCTGGCGCCGTTACCACCACATGCAACTGTGGGAAATCGTTGTATGCGTGAGACTCCAACGGGTCTGTCAGAACCCCGTTACATGCATGAGCCTTTTCCAACCACAACTGGTAGATCCAGATTTCTCGAAATATGACTGACACCCTAAGATGGCCTGGGGATTCGTTGCTCCCAAGACGATAGCAATGCTTGACCAATGTACCATGATCCTTTTTGCCCAGCTCTTTCGCTCTGGCTAACCCTAATGTCGCAGTCACCACCATCACATCTCTGCTATTACAATGCTGGTTTCTACGCGTCGCCTGGGAATCTGGAGCGTCCGGAAGACCGACTGGTAGGGTTCAATCTCGTTCGCCATTATTTTGAAGCAAGGTGTTGCTGACAGGTCCAAGAGAAATGGCTTCGTGTCCTAGCACTTAATGCCGCATTTCTCTTGACAAGGGCCATACATGTGGGCTCCCTTCACCCTCAATATCGCAACCTCTTGTTTCTATGGGCTGTGGAAACTTTCATCTGTTTCGTCACTTGGCTGTGGTCTTTTCAACCACGGGAAGTAGAACAGGAGGGCTTTGCCAGAGGCGGCCTGACAAGCACGGTCCCACATGTTGCCGTGTCACCCGACGGGAAAGGGAAATGAAATGACCTGACAATCGACAATGTGAAGAAGAGAAGGGACATTGCCGCACTGTGGTAAAGGCCATTGTTGGGTCGTACTTCACAGTAGGAAGTCCCTCGATAGTTGCGCGCGAGCCATCCCTGCTCCTTCATCTTGCGCTGTATTCGCCTACGAGTCTCGTGCAACAGTAAAATACATTGCACACATGTTAACAAAGCCTAGTTGGATCGGATCATATCATGCTATGCGAGGTTGAAAAAGTAATCGATAAGTCCTCTCTAACTAGCTAGAGCGCCCGACTTCTCTTTGAGCTTAACCTTCTCTGTTCTCTCATGGCGCTGCTGTTCACCTCAGATGTATCGTGTGCTCCAAGCACCCCTGCTAACAACATGGCGTCGTGTTTCTACAGATAACGGGCCATCTGTCCGCAAGAGTCGACCGTCTCATAGTTGAGGCCAAAATTAACGGTTTCCGGAATGATCCTATAGTAGAAATTTGCGGCGTGGCCGGTTTCGACAAACCCAATCATGTCATGCATGTTGCAGCATTTGGCTCTATTAGCCCACCAACTGGCGAGCTTTTGAGACATGCTGATCTGGTGAGCTCTGGTGAGCTTGGACTTGAGGCGAGTGGTGTACGAGACCTTGAAGCCCGGTGCGCCAGCACGCTTCTCAAAACGAGAGGCCGCGTCGTAGTCGTCGCTGCGCTTGGTCAGGACATCATGGGGCAGGTAGATGTGGCCGTCGCCGTTGCCGAAGTCGTAGACGTCCATGTTGATGGTGTTGTTCCCGGACGACAGCCCCTGGATGCTAGCAACCTCGACGGGCCTGCGCTCTCCGGACTCGTACCGCGCAAGCACATGCGGAGTCGCATCCTTGATGGAGTCGAATGTCGCGCCGTCCTCGCCAAACTCCCGAGCGAGGAAGTCTACCAGCGACTCAACCGCCTGCCCGTCCCGCGCGGAGATGGCACCAGAGCGCTTGAGGATGAGGAAGATGCTAGCAATGGCCGAGGCAATGGCGCCAGCGAGCTCTTCGCAGTTTTGGCCACGGGTACGTTTGCACACATACAGAGCTGTGAGTCCGCCCGTGCTGGCATACACAACCACCTCGCTGCTTGTGCCAATGCGGTCCAGCACACTGTCAAGCACCTGGCATGAATCGGCGCGTTCTAGCAACGGCGATGACGGCGTGACGTCTGTCGTGAGAAGCTGCAAGTCCGTCGGCTCCCTTTTGTCGACGGGAGTGGCCAAGGCAATGGCCAGCAGTGGCAGCACGCCGAAGAGACGTGTCGAGTACATCTTGATAAGCAATCTCCGTGTCAAAAGAACAATGGATGGTGTGTTCCTCACCAAACATTCGACGTTGCCTGCCACATTTTATACCTTTACGGCCCCTTGGTCGCTGCTTTTTGCCATTTCTGGATCTCATCTTCGGTCGACCACGGCGGAGTCTGTTAACGGGATGATCCTTGACCACGGCCACTTCGCTCGTCAGCTTATAGCTATGGATCTTTTCTATGTGCCCGGATCCATTCGGGTCTGGGCGACATGGGAGCCACAGCCGGCTGCATGTCAGCGGTTTACAAACAGACGCCGATTCACGAATCACAGTGAAATATGAGCTGCGAGGCGAAGCACAGGCGCCCGCAAAAGAAGCAATGAGCATGAATGAATGCAACCTGACCAGCAGGGCACTCGGCACCAGGACAGGAATGCTACAACACACATGTGCCATGATGCCGGAGACGTCCGGAAGTAAACCGAACATCCTCTCTCCTGCCTTGGCTCTAACACCAGGGCCTAGGCCTAGAATATGTCGTCGTCACGATTCACAACGTCGTGAGTGGGCAGTTGCATGCCAAAATTGGGTGAGCTTCTAGTAGGAAAGGATGCGTTTTTCACTTTTTATTCTTCTTTAATGCAGATTCAATTTTTTACCATGCTCCGGAGCAAAGTGGCAAAGCTCATCGATTAGCTACTGCTACCCGGTCCCTCAATGCAGCACAACTCGCAATCTCCGTCTTTCCTGGTAGAGGATCAACGATGAAGATGACCGAGAGAAGAGGTTGGTGACCACGAGAGCATGATATACCTGTTCATCTTGTTACACGGCTAGGCTGCAATAAACGCGACCTGGGCCAATCTATTGCACAAAGGCATCATGAGCGCACGATAGAAGCCCGGGGTCTCGAGCCCCAAGAAGGGGCCTGCCGAATGTCCCCTGCATACGGGACGGGACCTCTTAGGCCCGAGGACCTTTGAACCCATCTAAACAACGTCCTTTGTGCGTAATGCAATGGACCAAGCCATTTGTTGGGCCTTCTCCATGTAACAGCGGCGCCGCCCTTTTCACTATCCCCGTCAAAAATGGCTATTGGGTCTTACCACTACGCCATAGCAAAGGATCCGGCAAGAGCCCGATGTCCAACTTGATACACGTGCTGTTGCAACCTGTAGGGAGACGCTTCTCTGGGTATGTCGTTGTCCCGTGGTTATGGCTGCTGCAAACACGGCAAAAGTGGTCAACCCTGCTTTCGCAGTCATGTTGGACATGATATTCGGCACAGCACTGCAAGGTAGAAGATTGGTCATTTCAGCAGAATCACGACGACTTGGCTTCCAACCATTGGCCAAGGACAGATCAACCCCTCTTTCATTGTCAGGCTTGGGCGTCAAATTTCCTTTGTGAAACAAACACAAGGACGGTGCCGCTGTCGACTGGACTATCGTCAGAAACCTGGCTCAAGATCATGTACCGCGCCATGCCGAGGCCGGCGCGGCTATGAGGGTAGAGGCAGGGCGGGACCGGGAGCTACGGCGAGACGGCCCACAAGGAACGGCCGACCGGCGCGGGCGGTTCGCACCGGGACCCACCGGAGCCGGCTGCCGACACGGACCCGTGAACCGGGGACTGTCGATCCGTCGCCCGGCAACCGCAGAATACCATGGCTACATTTGACGACTTGATGGCATTTGCAGAAGAAGCAGGTGGACTGTGCGTGCTAATCATGTAATAATTGTAGCAGACATGCGTAGCATTATCTACGATGCAGCGGTGCACAGGGATGGTACGCCAAGGGTCCCCGCAAATGTGCCTCCAATATACTCCGTAGAGGTCATGGCATCAATCTTTAGAGGATGGTAGCCGCGTTCGAAAGCTTCGAGAGCACCATGTGTCGTGCGGATGTTGGTGACACAAGTGCTACGTTATATGCAAGTCGAGCCAAGGTGCTCGGAGCCCTCAGACGAGCCCATGTCACATGCTAGGGTCATGCAGAAAGCAGGGCTGAGCCCTCGACTGAGTAGATTTGAATTCTGCACATTTTCACCCATGAGACAGCTCACGCAGAAATCATTGGTTGTCCGGGCCGATGATTGGCACGGGGCTGCTCTGTCAATTTTGTCCAGTCAGTCCGGAGTCCGACATCCGACATCCGACATCCGACATCCGAGTCCCGACATCTCCTCGTGATGCATCCGATTTCACAACCTCCCCAGTTTCACCCTTCCGCTAATCGACACGATTGCGCAAGGCGGCAAATAAACCGCCTTCGCGTCATCGTCAGCCAGCAGCACAACCGCAATGACGGCAGCAAGTGCTCGTCCAGACGGGCTCTCGCGCGCGCGCCTATCGCCGACAGGCCCGGATGTGGTCCGGATCGCAATCGGCAGCATTACCATACGAGAAGTAGCAGCCGTCCACGGTGCGGTAAAAGAGAGCAGTCCAAGTGCTACGACGGCAGTCAGGACGATATCTCTCGACGTCGCGTTGCATACGGTTCACCTACCCCATGTCTACCGACTTCTTGCACACGACCTCGACTCTGTCGCCTGGGTGAAAGACCTGGACGACCGGAGAGGAGAAGTCCGCCGTCTCTTGACAGTCGACATCGTTGCTCAGGCCATGACTGGTAACAGTGCAGGTCTGACCGATAGCCGCGGTCAAAGGACATGCCAGACTAAGCGCACAGAGTACGTAACTTGGTCGCTTCATAGCTGTCAGCCAGGAGAACCACAGTCGGGTAATGATTCGCCTTGTCACGAGCTCGGTTGTATCGAGGATTTCCCACAGCTACGGCTCGGTAGACGTCTTGAATTCGCCCCTGACGTGTCTCTTGTGTCTCCGGCGTGTAGGGCCAAGGTTGACTCCTGCGCCGAATGTCTGATCGGAGCCTCCAGATGTCCGAATGGGATTCCAAGAGGACGAGGACGAGGACGAGGACGAATCGAGCAAACACAGGGAGGAGAGCAAATAAGATAGCGGCCAGTTCGGTTCCAGCAAGCGGCTGCACCAATGTCCCGTCCGTCTTCCTTCTCTCGCGGCCTCGTGCCCTTTCATTTATACCCCGAAGCCGCCTCGCGACTGACTCATGGCTAGGCCCTGGGAGAAACGCCTCGTAACCATAAATGCCTCCCATTTGTGCCCGTGCGCCGATGGTTGCACTTTGGCCCATGTCCCGCCCCCGGCCCCCCGCGATGCGAGACTTGACAAGTCGTGAAACCTATCCAATAGCAAGACACGGCGGGCTCAAAGACTTTTGCGCGGGCCCCCGCCACGGCCGCGGAGAGCAAGTTTTTGGCAATCAACGGCTCATGCCGGTATTGTCAGATGCCAGATCCTCCCAGCTGGGGAAGAAGGAAAAGGCAGCAACGGCAAACCGAGCGGCCTGGACGCCCTAGGCTGCCGTCAAAGGAGCTCGCGACCGGCGTCCCCGTCCTGCGAGGCCGGCTGCTAGAACGAAAGCGGAGGGTATAAGACGGCAGATATGCAGCCATGGACGGTCATGTGTCTGCAAGCCGCACTTGGAGACGCAGGCTACATTCGCAGCCGAGGGCAATACGATCCAGCATGCTTCTCCTCTCCTCCAACTACGTCCACACACCAGGTCAGCATCCGAATTGCGTGGCAGCATCCCACCTGCCTCTGCCACTCCGTCATCATGACCTTCACCCCTCCACGCGTGCTCTGCTGTCAACCTCGGACAGCCGCTTCGGTCAGTCGTCATTTCCGCTCGTCTCAAACGTGTGCCGCATCCCGAAACGGCACGTAACCAACACGCAGAGGGGCCCAAGAAGGCCGCGAGACGGACTACATGACGTGCAAAATCACAACAACACCCCATCCGTCAGCGTCCCCCGAGGCTGCACTTTGGTTTGTGCAACCGCCTGCGGCAAGTTCTCAGAGACGCCGAAGCCCCCGGGACAACGAGCAGGCGATGCCGTAGATGCAGCAAGTCCAGCCACAACTTGCGCACTTCCCAGAATCCTGCAGACACATCAGGTGAAGACGATGGCAGCAACAAGCTAGCCCGATGCCCAGAAGCTTGGTTGAGCCCCAAGATCCCCCCAGGAGGCTTCTGTGCGATACTGTGGTGAGTCACTGGCGTCATGAGCGTCTATAAGAGAACCATCTACGAGACGCGTGTTGACACAGAGATAAGATTGCTTCATAAGACTCGTGCGGCTGCGGACTGGCAGTCGCACGGCGGTCACAAAGTGGCCGTGGTGGCGAGACTCGGGAAGAACCTGCTATAAAGCTACTTGAAAGCCACGTCAAATCTTACAACAAATAATTACTAGGAAAAAGTCACCGCCACCCATCACTCTCACTCGTGGTATCATGCCCAATCTTTCCGCCCCTTCATCATCCTGCACCAGCCCGCCGTTTTGTGGTCATGTCCATCTACTATCGCGCCTGAATAGCCTGCTGAACTTTGGGATACAGCCTCACCATCTCCTGGTAGAGTTCCGGGTGCTCGTTGATCATAACCTGCGGATCCCACCCGGCTGCGACGAAAATTGTATCAATGCCGCTGGAAATCGGTGTGGTGAAGATGAGCGCAATCTGGAAACCAATCAGGAATGCAAACACCAAGACGACGACAGTGAAGCCTCCGTTTTCGTTGTAGCTTGGCTTGGTGAAGAGCAGGTACAGATAAGCGAGTAGGGCAGTGGCAAAGGCGACAAACATGGCGCCAAACGATAGTACGGGCCCTATGAGGCATTCCTGTAGGCAGACAAGACGTAAGCGGGAGGCGGGTGTACCAGAAGCAGGGATACATACGTTGATTAGTGCGTCGATGCCGCGGTCCTTGATCATGTTCCACGTGTCCTTGGCCGCGGGAATATAGGCCTTGCCGTACAGTGCAATGTGGCAGAAGGCGTATCGGTTCAGGAACTCCAGAGCCCACTCGAGCAACCCGATTAGACAGCCGAGAATGCAGAATAGGACGTATCCAACAGTGCCGCCGATGCCGCCTTCCTGACCAGCTTGCTGCCTGGCGACGGAGCACAGCTGGCGCAGGAACTGGATGATGGCGACGAGCAAGCTGCCCAGACTGATGGAGCCGAAGCTATAGGTGAGTGCGCGCTTGGCGGATCCTCGCGTCGCGCCCCTTGGGAAGTTGTGCACGCAAAAGTACCAAGTACCGTAGACACCAGAGATGATGGTGTGGATCGTGTTCTTGAGCCACTCAGAAATCCAGTACATGGCAAAGGTGATGAAGACGGTCAAGCCTATGACTTTCGCCTTGCTGCAGCCGTTGCCGTTGGGCCCGCACTTGGGGTTGTTGGCCCCTGGTTCGTACGTGACGTAAACAGCCGTCAGGGTGACGGAAAACCAGGCAGCAAATGCGGTAGCCAGCAGTCCACCAATCAAGGAAACAAGGTAGACATGGCCGTACCTTTTGCTGACATTGATGCTCGTCTTGAGCATCAGAGCCGAAAAGGGAATGCGCGGGATCCAGGTATAAAAGGCAAAGGCCGTGAAAAGTCCAAATATGAGAAAGACGATTCCGGCGGACCAGTACTTCTTGTAGAGATAAAAGATTGCAGTTCCGAGGGCCCAGCAAATATTCAGGATGCCTGTGATCCAAATGAATTGCTTGGGGAACACACGCGCGACTGTGATGTATGCCCAGGACAGGACGAAGGCAACGGCGAGACCAAAGGCAAACAGGATAATGGTGTTGTTGTTCAGGGAGAAATTGTTTCTCCCGCCGTAGATGCCATTGCCACGAGAGCCTGTGACATAACCTCGGATGGAGATGACGGAGACGGCGACGAAGCCAGCAAAGACGAGGATGAGCTGGGCAGGGTCATGTCAGCGGCTTTGGGTTGGGCATGGAACGAAACGTGCCAAGACGTGTCGAGGCGCATCAATACTCACGAGGATTCCGGCCCAGAGGTCATTCCACTTGGGCTTCTCGACCTTGAAGGCCTGATCAAAGGAGTAGTTGGGGTCATTGCCCTTGGGCGGGTTGTAGCTGTAGGGCGGCGGCGCGCCGTACTGATTCGGGTGAGTCTGGTCCTGCGACTGGTTGTGATAGCCCTGGGGCGGCGGTTGCTGCTGATACGGCTGCTGCTGATACGGCTGCTGATACGGCTGCTGATACTGCTGCTGATACGGCTGTTGTTGCTGACCGTAGGGCTGGCCATACTGTTGCTGTCCCCATTGCTGCGGCGGACCTCGTTCGTTGCCGCCGTTGGCGTAGCTGTCTGCCTCGCCCATCTTGGCCCAGTCCGATGGCTGATGACGATGAGGATACTGTTGCCGCGAAAAGTAGAGTCGAATGGAGAGAGGTCCGGCCAACGGATCGCGCAGACGTGGCGCGACGGGATAATCAATGACCTGGCAAGACGCAAAGGGGGGGGGAGGGTGTTTCGTGCAAAGTCAAAAGGTCAAGGTGCGCCCGGTGGTGTGGTAGTGGTGATGGCAGCAAGGTTACTAAGGCCAAGTGCAAAGCACAGCATTTAAAAGGGACCAGGCCAAGGAATGCCAAGCAAACCGGTGGAGTGCTGGGTGGCCCTCCAATTGTTTGTTTTCCTCGACTCTCTTGGGCGAAAAAAAAAAAAAAAAAAAATACCGGGCTGGCGCCAAACCAGCCACCACGTAGGTCTGCGGCCGTTCCTCCCGCCTGGTCCAAGCCATGAGGTCATTTCGGCAGCCGCAGGGGCTTTCTGCACAATCTCACTCGGCACTCACGGCGGCTCGAGGCCTCGGGCAAGCAGCTCGCTATGTTTCTCCAAAATCTCCAACAATTGATCCATCGCATCGGATGTGGCTACCGCACATGGGTCTCCACGTTTCTGGCCAATCAAAATCTGCGCTACGGTCCATACCGGGGGTCCCCTAGCACAACATGGGGTCTGATTGGATCAACTTGGACGAGGCTTCGTCGCAAAGAGATTGGTCGGGGCTGTCGACCCATTTTTCTGCCGTCGGTGCAGATACACGTACCACGTATGCGACAATTTAGGTGAAGATCATGATTCGTGTTTTGCCGTACTCGGCCGAGCTTAGTCCCTTGCCGACAACTCAGTTCCGTATCTGTCCAACTAGACATTTGGAGGCAACTCTGTCTGCGCCGACTGACTTCTAGTACTTCGTTTTATTTCGGTTGCACCGTCAATAAGGCTAGAGTCCGCAACGGGCAATGGACACTTCGGGGTCCGCCACAGTGAGGTCCAGCTTCGTCTGCATCGTACCTTGAGCAACCTGACACCAGAGCATTCGAATTTGCGACAAGAATTGCCTGCTCCAACTCTCGTAGAAGCCCGGAATCGGAGACCTAGCCGTAGCCTTGGTCTACCAAGTCAGGAGTTAGAACTGACGGCCAATGCCTTGCCTCCACCATGATGTCGTAGAACGACTGGCCCGCAGGAAAAACACAGTGCTGGCAGCTTGGCTTTGCAAGTCCGCGTCCCTGCTTGTTACCGTATCTCCCAAAAGTGACCATCAGTCTCGTTGTTCGAACAGCGATAGGCGCTGCCACACGGGAGGACTTGCGCGGAACAAGCGCAAAGTGACCTCTTTGGTCTATTTCATCAGTGCTCAATCAACTGAAGACGCAATCTCTTCAGAGTGCCGACAGTAAGCACATGAGCCGTGTCAAGGATAGTCTGCTACTACGGAACTTCTAGCGTAAATAGAATGGCAAAAGTCAAGAAATCGTCACGCTGCAGCATTGCGATACAGTCGAGGAACCAGAGGAAATGACAATGACGAAACACGCAAAGTTGCTTGTGTTTCCAAGGCGAAACCGTTTTCAGGGCTAGAAGCTCGCTTCTCGAGAGCGGCACCAGCGATAACGAGTCCGTCGGGCCGTTGCGAAGCCACGGCCGCAATTACTTTAGCAATCCTAGCTTCACTAGACTGTAGCTTTGCGAGTTGTGCTCTTCGATTGTCCTATTGATGTCGTTCGTCCTGTGACGCCGTCTTCGCTGGACAATTGGTAAAAAGGGTGTCGGAATGCTAGAAACCTCGAGCAAGTTCTCAGATGCGTTGCGAATCCGCCAACTACCGCCCAACGTACAAAAAGCCCCCCGAGGGCATTGGCCGAGTGCGAGTTGCGGCGATGGTGCTCCTAGGCGCGCCCTGAGGCGCATGTCGCGACAAAGGGCTAGGGAACGCTGGGGGTTTGAGCATCACGATAGTCAAAAGCATCTTCATCCCCAGGCCGGTACGCACATACCTCTGGTGGGCTGACTGAGCATTCCCAGTCGAAAACTTGGGCTGCTTGAACAAACAAGTCGCGAAAAGCGGCTGCGTTGACTGCCGCCGCGAGATGAAGGCGGGCTATTATCACTCTATTTCTGGAGGCAAGTCTATCTGAAAATAGACGGAATGTCATGGAAGTATATGAAATAACCAGGTCTAACTGTTTATCAATTGCCTTGGGTGGATGTCGCTCGAGCAGCGTTGCACAGGGATGAGTTCACTCACAGAGGCCACGGCGACTTCAACTGGTTGGCCATTCGCCCATGAGACGATGATTAAATGAAGACCAGACATCGCTCCAGGCACTTGCCATAATCTTTAGAAGAGAGAAAAGCCGGATCCCAGTGGAATAAATGGCAGACTTCTCCGCTCACCCTGCGCGATCTCGTGAGCCACTGCGCCATCTGATGTTCAGTAATATGTGTGTTTGTGATTGCAGCATCGGAAAAAAATTTACGGACTTGGTGGCGGACGACATGTGCGTGCACCCTGATGACAATCAAAGTCAAGTTGAAAGATTCTAATCCACCAATGCCTTGGTGGTTGTGCTCATCACTGGACCTTTCCAGTCGTTCGATGAGCAAAGATAAAAGTGTAGCTCGCCGAGTCTTGCCCACAGCGTACGTCCAAACACGAGCATGTAACACCGCGAAGCAGATATTCGAAACAACCCGGCAGGTGCAATCTATGCGTCTCTGGTGTTATCGCTCCAACGACTTGCGTAGCTTGTAGAGTAATGGTGCTCGAAAGTACGCTTTTCGCCGAATAACCTCGAGGCAATGGACCTGATGAAGAGACGTGTAATCTCCCTAGATATGCTACACCCAGACCATGCCCAAGTCCTTCAAGTCTTCAGGTTTCTCCGCCCTTTTTCGTCCACCATCTGAAGTATGAAGCGAAACACACCACGAGCCACAGAACCAGCTGACACGTCATGCCATCCGGCATCAATATCCTTGAGCTTCCTCTCCAAGACCAGGAAAGTGCTAGTGAAGCACTGCCGAGCCTAGCTTGGCGAGTCCGTGGAATAGCAGCTCATGAGTCGCCATATCATGTCTCGGTCCAATGCGCTGCTTGTTGGATGCGCCAAGATGGGGGAAAGCTCACCACGCCAACTATTGCGTGTGTCTTTTGTCTGACAAGATTCGTGATCTCTGGGTTCTCGGTGCTGGCTAACCATGCAGTCAGCCGGAGTAGCAAGAGGCGAAATGGCCCCAGTCCAGGCCAAGCTGGACTATCAAACCGCGACGTATCCATCCTGTTGCTGTTTCAAGTTTGCATCTCTGCCAGCTTGAAGTCCTTGGAAACTAGTTATGTGAGCTCAAGACTTTGCTGTGGAACCACACCAAGTCAAGAAGAGACGTGCCTCACCGTTCCCGGTCCGCGGACATGTGACGTCGACCTGAACCGCATTGCCAATCCACGGCACAGCAGCATCTGCAATGCAGGCCAAGAGCCTCTGGTGCCACAAACATACTACATACCTGCTCGAATGCTGTCAGCTTACCACAAGACCATGGGAGTAGCCGCCGGCCCCAGAAATCAGGAAACCGCGGAGTCACGCAACAACATAATCAGTACGTAACTACAAGCCATCTCATCCCGAGACAAGTGGAACATACACACAGCTGTGTATTTGATGAATGACTGGGCTTGACTCTCCGGGGGACGTGTCCGTTGGTAGCCGCGGACTGACGCACACGCAATTGGTGCCGACCGCCGACGCCTAGTTACTTACCTAGGCCGCGCGAAAACCTCGTGCCTGATGATGAATGAATGATGAATGCATGGATTATGGATTTGCACGGACGGAAGACGGTGGTCCTCTCCTCTCCTCTGACAAGCACAAAAGTGAGGGGGTCCCGTCGCGTTTCTGCGCGCTAACCCCAACCCGTCAACCAGGTTGTGCCTGCCATGACGACGATGGGTGATGGACATCAGATGACCCCGCGCAAGGTCCCCTTGAAGAGACGAGCGATTCAAGAAATGTCACCAGAGCCAAAAAAATAAAAAAAATAAGATGGAATATAATAAAATAAAGGAAAACGTCTCTCAAACCTGGCTGCGAGTCAGTCAGCCTGTAGGACCCAGGGCCGCATGCGCGACTTACAAATCACAAGCCCGCGTGCGCCAACAACTCCAATGCCTCCCCGAATTTCCGAGCTTTTGTCTCGTCGTCCGACGCATCGAGGTGCCAGACGTGCGCCGCCAAGTACGGAGACCGAGCTAGGACTGCCTACATAACGCTACTGGATACGAAGGGCCGATGTTTGCATATGCGCCTGGGACCAAAGGACAAGAAGCCACAAACATGCAGTTCTGGTATGCTTACTTTCTCTCCCAGCTTACCGTCCAACCCGTCGGACCGGGTGGCGTTTGGGCGTTGGGCGTGCGTCTCGTGCAGAATTTCTTCTTTCCCTTCTCGTCACTCTCCTCATCAAAAGGCACACTGTGATTGGCAAGGCGTGACGGGCAGCCACGACCGGCCGCCAGCCGCCAGCCCGCGCACCAAGATTGGAACAAAGCCAACTGGTGCAACCGGTGCAACCGGCGCAACTGGTCGAGCGACGTCGCAGCAGCCGGCATCGCACGGCTTCACCGAGCCGCGCGACCAGACAGACAGACGGCAGGTTCATTATTCAGGTCCCCCAGTCTGCGCCGCCGCACGCGCATAGCGCCAAGCGCTGACTGACCGAGCCCGGCTCCGTATGGAGAAACCACCTTGCTGGAAGCGGAGTGCTGCTGGGCAAGTTGCGTGGTCAATTGATTCATCAACCCACAAATTTGCATGTCGGCATGGGGGGGGGCCAGCGCGGCATGGGCCATCCCCGTATGTGCAAAGTCATGTTGCTGATAACGAAGACAGTCTGATGCCGATACCGACCAAAACATGCATGTCAATCAATCAATGCCCTCCTGACTGCAGCAGCTGGAAACACGAAGAAGGGGAAAAAAAAAATGAGGTCGACAGGTCGTCGGCTGGCACGTCAGCATGGACATGGACGTGGGTGATTGATGTGCACGCGCTAGACTGTAGCAACCTGTTTTTTTCCTATTTTTTTCTATTTTTTTGACTTTAGCCTTTCCCGTCGCCTCCGCAGACCGCAGCCCGGAACTAATAAACCTTAGCAAACCGCGTTGACAGCAGACTCGTGCTAGCCGTGCCACGTTGACTCCATTCAGTTAAAATGCAACTCGATGCGTGAATAAAGACTCATGACCCGTGCTGTGTCGAGAGCTGCGCTGCACTTGCCCACTCACTGCTGGCACCACCAGACACAAATCCGCCCCAACCGCCGTCCCCTGCCCTCTCTTGCCGACATCATCGTCGTCATCGTCGTCATCGTCACCGACTCCTTGCCGTGCTGCTCTGTCGCCCGCCCGTCGCCCTTGGCCAGTTGCCCGCCCGGCAATATATGTCGGGCCCCTCGTGTGCCCTCGCCGCGACCCGACCCGACCCAGGCCCATTGACTCCGTTCGCACCACTCAGTCCTCGGACCGGAAAAAAATTTCTCTCCTCTCCAAGATCATCTCTGTCCTCTGTCCGAATCGTCTCTCTTCCAGACCGGGAGACGAGTCGCAACGTCGGGAACCAGCAATGGCCGACGAAAAGACGCTCCGAGCCAGCAACGAGCCGGCGACGGAGAAAAAGGGCGGCGCCGAGGATGTCGAGGCCGGCCAGTCGGGCCTGACGCGGTCTCTGCAGGGTCGTCACCTCCAGTTCATCGCCATCGGCGCCACGTTTGGCACTGGCTTGTTCCTCGGCACCGGTGCTGCGCTGGCCAAGGCCGGGCCGGCGTCCCTGCTCATCGGCTTCGTCTTCATCGGCCTCGTCGTCTACTCCGTCATGGTGGCCCTTGGCGAGATGGCCGCCTACATGCCCGTCGCCGGCGCCTTCACCGTCTATGCCAGCCGCTTCGTTGATCCCACGCTGGGCTTCGCTATGGGCTGGATCTACTGGTTCAGCTGGTCCATTACTTTCGGCCTCGAGCTCACCGCCGCCGGCCTCATCATCCAGTACTGGACCCAGGCTGTCAGCATTGCCGTCTGGATCGCCATCTTCTGGGCCGTCTTCACCGCCGTCAACTTCTTCCCCGTCAGGTACTTTGGCGAGATGGAGATGTGGTTCTCCAGCATCAAGGTCGTCACCGTCGTCGGCTTCATCATCTTCGGCATGTGCATCAATGCCGGCGCCGGCAGCCAGGGCTACATCGGCTTCAGGTACTGGACCTATCCCGGCGCCTTTGCAGAGCACGTCGTGTCCGGCGCCTCGGGCAAGTTCGTCGGCTTCTGGACCGTCCTGATCACCGCCGGCTTCAGCTACCAGGGCTCCGAGCTCGTCGGCATTGGCGCTGGCGAGACCGAGAACCCCCGCAAGGCCATCCCCCAGGCCATTCGCTGGACCTTTTGGGGCAACTTCATCCTCTTCGTCGGCACCGTCTTCTTCATTGGCGTCAACATTCCCTACGACAATGCCGACCTGCAAAGCACCGCCCAGAACGCCTCTGCTTCGCCTCTCGTCATCGTCGCCAAGCTTGCCGGCGTCCAGGTCCTCCCCGACATCATCAATGCCGTCTTGCTGACTGCTGTGCTTTCCGCCGCTAGCTCCGACGTCTATTCCAGCACTCGAATCCTGTACGCTCTGGCCGACGAGGGCCTCGCCCCGGCCATCTTCAAGAAGACGAACCGACTCGGCACGCCCTACTGGTCCGTCGCCTTCTGCTCGATGCTCGGTCTGCTGGCCTTCCTCAACCTGTCCGAGAACGGCGAGACCGTCTTCACCTGGCTCCTCAACATCACGGCCGTTGCCGGGTTCATCGTGTGGGCTCTCATCAACGCCTGTCACTTGCGCTTCATGAAGGTCCTTCAGACCCGCGGACAGCCTCGCTCCTCGCTCCCCTATGTCGCCCCGTTCCAGCCCTACTTGTCCTGGTTCGGCCTCTGCTTCAACCTCTTGATCCTCTTGACCAGCGGATTCACCGTCTTCATCAAGTGGAGCACGAGCGACTTTTTCGTCAACTACGTCAGCATCCTGCTCTTCCTCGTCCTGTTCTTGGGCCACAAGCTCGTCTTCCGCACCAAGACTGTCAAGATTGAGGACATTGACCTCAGCATGGGACGCTCCGAGATCTAAGGCGCGAACGGTCGCTCGACCCCGTGTGGACGGCGTTGTTTGCGTGCACGCATGGCGACGGTGTTTTGTACGACTTGATCAGCATCAGTCACGACCAGACTTTATATGTAGTAATGATACCCGTTTTTTTCTTTGGACAAGATGCACCGATGCCTGGCGAGCTGTGCTGACTGTGCGGCAAAGGTTGCCGACCCGAGTTTGCCGGCTCACAGCCGGCTTGTTTGTGTTGGGCAACGACGGTTCTGCGGTCTGCAGATGTCAGAATGCGGATTCGAGAATTACCCGGCAGCAGTGAGGCAGCTCTGGACTCGACTAGATGATGTAATCCGTCCTTCACGCGCAGCAACGCCGCCACCACCAAGTGACGGCCCGTCAGTATTATCTGGCGTAACCTTTTGCGGCAGAAGCGAGCTGTGTGAACAAGGCTACGCAGGGAGTAAACGCGGAAATGGGTTGGCGTTGAATCTGGGCAAGCACAGCGCCCGAGCTGCTTGGCTCGATTTGCCCCAGATGTTTTGTCCAACTGGTAACAAATGCATGGCATGTATTTTCTTTGCCCGGACGAGGCCTGTCCTGCTCAGGCTCATGCGCCCGTCAGCCGGCCCGGCTCCTGTCCAGTCGCGTGCGGCTTTTAGTTAATCGAATCTAATAAATTGCCAATTACTATACGGAGTACGGCCGGGGAAGTCTGAGGCTTGCCTCCCGCTTTCACAAACTTCGGGGAGCACCTCCGAATGTCTCCTTCACATGCTCGTACCACCAGCCTCCAGACAGGGTTTTGTTCTTTTTGTTCTTTTTTGTTGAGCGTTCCTCTGCGTGCGCGGAGACGCTAAGCCGTAAGTGGGCACGGACCACCCCCAATGTCACCTTCATGCTCCGATAGCGCTGGGGGCAGAATACGTGCGCGACTCCATGAGATGAGATGCGAATAGATTGGAAAAATGTTTCCTGCTTTTCAAGTCGCTTTTTGTTTGTTAATTTGTGTCATGGGTTGTCCCTCTAGGCAATGCGAAAGCTTTACCAGACTAACTTCACGAGACTCACCAGTCAGGTCAAGCCCGCTGGCCGAGGAGCAGGCATCGACAAGCTCCTTCACCGCCATCCCGACTGGGCTGCGCTTCGTGTGACCGCTTGCTCTTTTCGTCTTGTGGCGCGGGCACCAGGTCATTGTTGAGTCAATTCAGAATAATAATAGGCTCATCATGATGAGACTAGGCGGTGAAAAGTGGACGCGTTGCCACACCGAAACCCCCTCGTCACATTCACATGGCGAAGGAGTATATTAAAGGTGTCGCGTGTCCCACAGCCGCCTCCGGCTTGATGGCCCTCTACTCCTGACGCCGGTTCCGTCCAATGCGGTGCATCGCGTCGGCCACGGGGTTGTCTCTGAGATTGCGCGGTGCTTCAGTCCCGTCATTGTAGACAAGAGACTGGATTGTTGCGACAGTGAGTGTGTCCTTCCAACGACGTTTTTGACAACTAGGCTAACGCCAAGGGCAGGTGAAAGAGCGTGGCTTGGACCAGTTCTGGCAGCTAAAGACTTCCTCTCGCCGGCACTGAGTAGTTCTGTCGGCAATTCGGACCATGGCCACGTCCATTATCGACACCACCAAGGACCTGGCAGCGCTCTTTGAGCAGCAAGCCCAGGCCACGCCGCAGGCCGTCGCGCTCCAGGACGAAAAGCGAGCTCTCACATACGCGGAACTCGATAGCGAAACATGGGCGCTGGCCGACCGCCTGCGTCAGTATGGCGTCGGCCGAGATTGTCTGGTTGGCGTGCTCATGAATCGCAGCGCTGACTATGTCGTTGCCTCTCTGGCGGCTCTTCGTGCCGGTGGTGCATATCTAGTTCTGGAGCTGGCGTATCCTGCTGCCTTGTTGCGCGATGTCATTGAAGATGCCATGCCGACCGTCATCGTGACGCAAAGGGCTCATGCCAGCAACCTGAATGTCGATATCCCAGTGATTGTCGTCGACCAGCCAGACATGACAGTGGGCGCAAACGAGCCCGTTCTCGTGGGGCCCAAGCCCCCGTTGCCGGCAGAAGATGATCTTGACCGACTCGCCTTTGTGTCCTATTCGTCAGGTACGACAGGCAAGCCCAAGGGCATCGCGAACCCGCACAGGGCTTCAGTCTGCTCATATAACCTGAGATTCGACCTCAGCGACTTGAAGCCCGGTGACCGGGTGGCTTGCAATGTCTTCTTCCCTTGGGAAATGCTTCGGCCGCTCCTCCGCGGAGCGACCACGGTGGCTGTCCCAGACAGCGTGAGCTACGACCCCGATGGTCTCGTGGAATTCCTCGCGGCTCGAAATATCACCGACACATTGATGACGCCGACTCTTCTGGCCACAGTTCTCGCACGCCATCCGTCCCTCGCCGACACCCTCCCCGATCTGAAATCTCTGTGGCTCAATGGTGAGGTTGTGACAACGGACCTCTGTCGCCGCGCTTTTGCTGCTCTGCCCGCCGTTCGGCTTCTCAATGTGTACAGCGCCAGCGAGACACATGAGGTCGCGGCGGGTGACATCAAGACCTTTATCGACTACGAGGCAAGGGTGTGCCCTGTAGGCCCGCCAATGGATCCCTCAACTATTTACATCCTCGACGAGGCCGGTAACAGGGTCGACGCGGGCACCAGTGGTGAATTATATATTGGCGGTGACATGCTAGCCAGAGGGTACCTGAACCTTCCAGAAACCACAGCCAAAGCCTTCCAAATTGACCCATTCTCGACCTCTCTGGACGCCAGAATGTATCGGACTGGAGACCTGGCCAGAATTCTCCCCTCTGGCCTCCTCGAAATCACCGGTAGGGTAGGCGGGATGATCAAGACCCGTGGATACACCGTCCAGCCCGGGGCTGTGGAAACAGCAATTGTAAACCACCTCGCGGCTCGGGCTTGCGCTGTCGTTGCTCGTGGCGATGGCCTGGGCAAGCAGTTGGTGGCTTATGTCGTCCCGGACAAAGGCGAGATTCGCAATCGAACCGTCTTGGTGGTGGATGAGTCTGGGTATAGTCCTGTGGCTCGGAGAGCGCTCTCCGACCATCTTGCGCATTACATGATTCCCACCCTCTGGGTTGAACTGGAGTCGCTGCCCACGAATGGCGTCTCGGGAAAGATTGATCTGAAATCCCTGCCTCCTCCGCCCTCACCGAAAACACCAACTGTAAACGCAAAAAAGGACCACGATACCAGAATCAAGATGGACACCATCATCAAAATGTGGGCTTTGTCTCTCAACATCCCCGCGACTGCCATCTCTCAGAGCCATAGCTTTTTCGACTTGGGCGGCCACTCCTTGACCTTGGCCGACTTGGCCGGCCGCTTGACAAGAACATTTGGCTTCCCGATACCCCTTGCGCCACTCGCCGGGACGCCAACCCTGGAGGGCCATATGGATGCGATACGAGCCGCGCGAGATGGCCATACGGCTGCCGTGCAAGCCGATCTCCCTGCCGTCCTGCTCGCTGACTCGGTTCTGCCCGATGACATCAAATCCAATGGCAAGCCCATGTGCCGGCTCGGCGATGCGGCGACTATCCTTCTCACTGGTGCAACGGGCTATCTGGGCGCTTTCCTCCTCAAGTCTCTCCTGGAAAGCACTTCAGCCCAAATTCTCTGTCTCATTCGCTTCACAGACCCAAATATCGACTGTCGCCCAGCTGGCATTGCACGCATCAGAAAGAATTTGATCGATCAGGGAATCTGGAATGACGCCATGCTTGAGAGAATGGAGGTTGTACCCGGTAATTTGGCGCGCAACCGCCTTGGTCTCGCCCCCGAAGCCTTCGAGGCGCTTGCTTCACGTGTCGATGTTATTGTCCACGCCGCCGCCACTGTCAACCTGGTCTACCCTTACGCTGCACTGCGAAATGCCAATGTTGGCGGCACCCGCGAGATATTGAGGCTCGCCTCTCGAGGTGGCGCCACCGTCCATCACGTGTCGACCAACGGTGTCTTGCCGCCTTCAAAGACCGCCTGGGCAGAGGAAGCCATGCTGGACATAGCTGACGTACCGACGAGGCTGCCTGACGGGTACGGTCAGACCAAATGGGTTGCCGAGAAGCTGGTCTATGAGGCCGGCCGGCGAGGCATGCACGTCAAGGTGTATCGGCCCGGTACCATCAGTGGTCACAGCACCACAGGTGCTACCAACACGTACGATCTTTTGAACGCGTTGATCGTCGAGTCTCTGCACCTTGGATATGCTCCCCGGGTCGATGGCTGGCTGGCAGAAATGACACCCGTGGACTTTGTCAGCCAGGCAATCGTCACCTTGGCCAATCACCCTTGTACAAAACAGAAGCTGTATCATTTGGGCGACCCGGATCCTGTGACGGCCGAAAACGTGTTCCGGGATCTCGAAGCCCTCGGGTACCCTACTAAACGACTTCCTTGGGACGACTGGGTAGCCCTGTGGAAGGAGAAGCGCGGGTCGGGACGAGGCGGCGACGACCCATTCACCGTCGACATCCTTCGCGGTGGCATGCCCACAGTCGACACGCTGGAGCTGGTGACTATTCTCAAGGACGGAGCCACTCAACCAGTCCTGGATCTCTACGGCGTCTCACGACCGAAAATCGACAGGCATTTGTGGGAGACTTATGCACGGCACTTCTTCGCCCGTGGCTGGCTCCCGCAGCCACCGCTGCGTCAAAGGGCAGCCGGTACACACTGTCATGCCGACAAGGGTCGCCTCGCCGGCCGGGTCGTCGTCATCACGGGAGCGTCTTCGGGTATCGGAGCCGCCGTTGCGGCCAAGCTAGCCCGCGAGGGCGCCCACATTGCTCTCGCAGCTCGTCGGATCGACGAGCTCGACAAGCTGAGGGCCAACTTGTGCCGTTGCGGCGGCAAGATCCTGGCCCACAAGACGGACGTCACCAGCAAGGCGCAAGTAGAATCTCTGATGAAGACCGCGACGGAGAAGCTCGGACCCATCGACATTCTCGTCAGCTGCGCCGGCGTCATGTACTTCACCATGATGGCCAACTGCCAGGCGGAGGAGTGGGAGCGCACCGTCGACATCAACTGCAAGGGGCTGCTGCACTGCCTTTCGTCCACAGTCCCCGGCTTCCTGGAGCGGAAGCGCGGCCACATTGTTGCCATTTCGTCCGACGCCGGCCGCAAGGTCTTCCCCGGCCTCGGCGTCTACTCGGCCAGCAAGTTCTTCGTCGAAGCCACCCTCCAGAGCCTGCGGCTGGAGACTGCCGGCTCGGGTCTCCGCGTCACCGCCATTCAGCCGGGCAACGTTGACACTGGCTTGCTGGACATCTCCACGGACGCCGAGGCGCTGAAGAAGTATGGCGAGCCCTCGGGTGCCAAGGTGCTGGATGCTGAAGACGTCGCGGGTGCCATTCTGTACGCCGTGACTCAGCCCGAACATGTCGCTGTCAACGAAGTGCTGATCGAGCCGAGGGACGAGCCAATCTGAGAAAATCACGTAATTAGAGCATTTCAGTCGCGACGGGGGCAGGGCGGCCACTCCATATCACGACGCCTGTAATGTATTATTCAACCACTGTTCTTTGCCTTTATGCTCAACGAAGCGCGTGCCGTGTGGCGACGGGGAGCGACTTGGGCCGTGGTGCTCCAGACCAAGCACGTCTACTCACCCCGCTCCCTTTTCTCTGGCCGCGACTGACTCTCGGGCTGTTTCGAACCTACGGCTCGGCGGGAAGTTGTCACACGTCACATGAGGATTCCTCGAGAAATGACATCACAATTGCGGTTAGCGCCTGTCGTGCAAGGAAAGCTACGTCTATGAAAGACGCACAACGTGGTGCCGTCTAGGAAAGCCAATAAAGTAGTCCAGAATGCCGCGTCAGTAACCCGCTTCTTCATCCATGTCCGTGTCGTGTTCAACCTGTAGCATCTCCAAGTCTGCGGCGCTGAGGTGGCACGCGCCCTCTCCTTCTGCCAACCGTCGCGCTCGCCTTGCCGCGATGAGTTTCCTATCTGGCCTGAGGGCGCTGTAAAGCTCCGGCACCACCAGGGCGCAAGAGGTCGTCGGGTCGCTGTGAGACATGGTTGACTTGAGCAAAGCAAGCTGTCGGCCCGCCATTCGCCACACGAAGTCGGCCTTGGCGGGGTAGAGGTAGGATTTGGAAAATGCACAAGAGGCTTTGAGGAGTTCCCAAAGGGTCGACTGGCGATCCGCCATGTATGGCTGGAGAAGATGCCGGACCAGGTCGGAGCACATTTCGGTCGCTAGCGGCTGAATCTGACGCCACTGCCCGTAGACAGACCCGGTGATGGCATCGTAGTCTCTGTCGTTTACCGCTGTGCAGCTTGTACTCCATAGCTTAGAAACCGACTCGATATCCGCCGCCAGCGCCTTCTTGACGTTTTCCCACGTCTTGTTTCCTTTGTATTCTTCACTAAAGAACTTGTACAGATTGGTCAGGTGCTCGTCGTAATCGTGGGCGTCGTAGCTCTCGAGAAGTCTGTGCAACTCTGCAAGGGTGTCGTCAACAGTTTTGCACGCAACCTGCTTCAAGTAGTCGCTAATATGTGGCTTCGATTGTTTCGAAGCAAATTGCAAGTTCAGCTGAATTTTCAGGTCCTTTCGGAAACGAGCCCAATCCGAGTGTGTAAAAATGTATCCCTGTTTCGGCTGGTCGACCAGACATCCCAACAGCCTACTCAGGGTGACAATTTGGTTGCTCGAGATGTCCCTAGTAGACTTGGCATAGCTGTCCTTGAAGGTGGTGCATATTCCGAGAAGAGACGGCTGCATGTTGAAGCAGAACGACTCGCGAAGGAACTTGGCGCACACGTCCTCCGCGGTGGTCTCCTCTTGGCGAAGTTGAGCCATGGGCCGGTCGAGCCTTTTTATAGAACCATTCTTGTCGGGATCCGTGTCGTCGCTTAGCGGAGGTGCATTGCGAAAGTTTTGGACAATGTTTTGATCCCAGCAGACCCAGGCTCGATCTCCGTCATAATCCCCGCCAGACAGCTTGTCGGCAAGGGAGGACTGGCCCTTTGTCGAGAAGACAATGACGTCCTTCAAATGTCTCAGTTCGGGTTTCGAGACAACCTTTACCCGTTGTATGTCGTTGGGCAAGTGGCTTGGCGCTCTGGCTACGAGTACATCCATCCCTTCTAGAAGTGTGTCGCAGAACGACGCATCTGCTGCTCGAAACTTGGTGGAAAAGGATACGTGAACTTCACCCTCTTCTAGTACTGACGAGAAGTCGACAACCATCAGGAGGTTGACAGAACAAGGCACGCTAATTCTTATCTTGTCTTTCAGGGCCTTACCCCGATGACTGACAACGTGCCAAAAGAGTCTCTGTAAAAACTTGCAGCTCCTCAGATGGAAACCGGAATCCAACAGTAACGCAATCCGATTCTCGAAGCCTTGCGGAAGTCCGCCCACAAAGATGATCCTGTTATCGAGCCCTCGAGGATTTGTCCCGCCACCTTGCTGTAACCAAAGTCTCAACTCGGCACGGTCTTCCATCGCTGTCTTTTGCGCAGCAAGGGCTTCTCTCAGCTCGCTGCGTAAATAGTCCGTGATGAGCTCTCGCATCCTGCCTGGGTTGATAGCTTGGGCTTCGAGGACCGTTATGAGCTGTTCGTTCAGAAAAGCAGACGATGGCTCTCTTGACCACTCTTTTACTTCAAAGGTGCGGTGGTGGCTGTCCTCATCGTCACAGTCCCATTTTCTTTGAGATGGATAGGTCACAATCCAGTCACCGTCCCCGAGTTTCGGATCGCTATCAGCAATCCACATTCCTTTAGCACTGCCCAGCCGTGCCTGGAAAGCACTCGGAACCTCGGTGAGACCCAGCTTGAAGGCGATTTTCGCTGCGAGCGCTTTTGACATCCTGCCTATCCCGTCGTTCATTACGCCATGACTACCGATGTCTTTGTCTGCGTGGTGAATTTGGTGGTTTTCGAGGACCACAGAGGGAGTCGTATCGGTGAGGCCTAGAGTAGCTGTCAGATTTTGCACTTGGACGAGCAGTGGGTGGCCTGGTGGTTCCTACTTAGGGCAATCCTCGAAAACAGCTTGGGGACTTGTTGGTCTGCCTTGCCGAGTCCCCCAAGTGCCCAGTCCAACAATTGATGAATTTTCATTGGAGTTCTCGTAACCGGCGTCCTGGCCTCCTCAGCTGATGCCAATGAACCATTACGGTTTCCCTGGAAACTATCTCCCCCCGAGGCGAATAAGTATACCTTGATATGTGATACTTTTGGCGCATTTTGCGCATTTTGGTCATCCTGTTTCTTCTGTTTCTTGTTCTTCTTGTGTTTTTCCGGCGCGCAGTAGAACGCAGTCCACACGCGTCCCAGGAAATAATGGTTGCCGGTGAGCCACTTGGCCATTTTATATGCCAAGAGGCCGTCATCTTGGATTCCTGTGACTTTTTTCAGGTCTTTGGGATATGGCATTACTATTTTCAGAAACCGATCAGCTCCGAACCGACGACTCAGGCGATTGCTTTTTTCGAGATGCAACGGCAAAAGTTTGAGTGAGAACAGCGGACCAGTTGAGCTGTCATTCAACTTGAGCTCCGCAGATAAATTCACTGCCTGAGTTGACTGAAACTCATGCAGGGCCAGGTTCCAAGCCTCACGACTACTGAGCTGCGGCATGGTCTTGTTTTGGAATTCCGGTAGTCGTGAAAGCGTACTGTGAAGTAGGTCCCGGTTGTTCCATTGAGGTGAATTTTTGTATCCCACCTTGCAGTCAGCCAATTCTACGCCACACTCGAGAGCTATGCGAGTTATCTCCCAAGTTACGGCAAGTGGTGCCCCGGCGAAGTCCAAGTAGTCGTCATAAGAAAACTTCGCTACGAGGATGGTGGCCTGTTAGCCAAGGTAACGAATGGGGAAGATAAACCTGGTTATACACTGACGCCAAACCTTTTCAAGTCTCCTCTTCAACGTTTGGAGGGGGATATTCGCACCCGCCACCTCCGTTTCTGATTCGGCTGGCGACTCTGGACTGGTGAAGTAGTCGGAGCTGCTGTCATAGAGTGGTGAATCGAACCCCGATGCCGAGGAGAAGGATGTATTATTGGATGTATTGGACGCAGAGGAGGATGTGGTGATGCCAATCGGTCGTGGAGGCCCTGACAGATTCTTTCGTGTGCTGCATGGCGCCGACACAGAAACCCTGTTTGAGGGCTGACTAACTGTCGATCTCAAGGGAATAGAATCGATGGCGTAGTACGTCTTTGCTTGTTGGGTGTCCTCGTCGCTCTTGGCCCTTTTCGACAGTGTAGAGTTGTCATTTTCCAACCTCTTTCGAATCATTGGGGCCGGAACTGAAAAAGCAAGAGCAGCGGCAACGGCAAGAGCAAGAGCAAGAGCAAAAGCAAGAGCAAAATCAAAAGCAATAGCAATGGCAATGTCCAAGATGAGCGGTTTGGTTTCAAGCAACCAGCCCAAAAGGCTGACGAAGTTCCAGACGTCGGATCAGAACCGACGAAACAATTGGTAAAGAAAGGCCTGGCGCGGGAACTGCCGACGCTAGCTCGTCACAGGGTGTGCACTGTGGGCCCGAGGGGAACTGAGATGAGCACCGGACTGATGTAGGCCGAAATACGGTGTCGAAGAAGCGGGGAACCTGCAATGGAGCGATGTAACTCATGTGCGTGCCGCGTGCTCCACCACCACAGGGCAGATGCACTGTGCAGCACACGACGTAGAGTTGGTCCCCTACAGTGCGGGGAAATCGCACCACGTGATCAGCGTTGCCTCACTAACTGCAACTGTCAACGGCTGTAAATCTGTAATCCAAATCCTCAAAATCGTTGTCGGAGGCTCGGCATTCTGCACGCGTGTCATCATCAATGAGGCAAGAGGCTGGCGTCAATGACACACTGGACCTGGTAATCGGCTTTGTAGAGCATTTGCCATCTTGCGTCTGCGAGCACACGGAAAACCTGCATCCCCTGCAGTAGCCCGCGGAATGACCGACGCTACCGACGCTGAGGAGGCCATCCCCATCGAAGAGCTCACACCCGAGGAAGCAAGCCGCATAATTCACTCTCACCGGAAAGTGCGATATGGCAAGTATCCCCGGTCCCTGACGCGTTTGAGCCGTCCGTTTTGCCCCCCCACCTGCCTTTTTTTTTTTTTTTTGGTTCATGCAGTCACATCGAGTTTCCAACCTCGCACTAATGCATCATCCAGGAACGGCATGTTGGCCATGCCGACAAAGAAAGGTAAAGTGTGACAACAAGCAGCCGTGTGAGAACTGCGTCAAGCGAGAGCATGCTCAGCTGTGCTCGTACAAACCAAACCGCTCTTCCGCCACCAAAAATACTGCTGCGTCTCACCATCTTCACGCCAAGAAGCGTGCTCGCTCATTTTCAGATGGTCAGGACGAAGGCCGGAAATCTGAGCGCGGCGACAGTTGGCCGCGGGCTATAGGTGAGCCGTATCTGCCGCTCAGTCACATGGCTTGTGCCTAATCAAGGTAGCCAGGTGTATCGACAAGCCTTGATGATACAGAGTCGGTGGGAGATCGTTACCTTGGCCAGAATAGCATTCCGGCCTTCCTCCGAGAACAGTCCTCTCCAATTGAGAGGAGTGACAACGTGGATATCCGAGGGGACATGCGCTCTATTCTGGGCCTTGACACTTCCGCCCCCTTCCCTCTCATGTCGTCTCATCATCTGCGCCGACTAGCCCAGGATATCTCAGCCGAGCTTCCGTCCGACCGAGAAGTGATGAAGTAGGCTGATCGAAACACTCGGCAGAACCAATGGCTGACAGACAGCTTCTAGATTGTTCCGCACATACAAGGAAATTCCTCAGCCCTTTTGGGGATTCGTCTGCGACATTGACGATTTTGAATCCAAGCTTATGGTCTACCTTGAGGACCGTTCCCGCAACGCCTCATCCGCCATGAAGTCTTCAAGGCCGGTAGCAGCGTCATGGCTTGCCATCCTATTCGCCGTCCTGGCCGTTGGCTCCCAGTACCACGAAAGCCCGTATCATATTCGCACCCGTAACTCTCAAAGATATATACAGATATCTTTTCATTTTCTTCGACTTGGTAATTTTTTGTTGCGGTATGTTGTTGGCCCACTTGAGGAAGACCCAATAATGCTGAGCATGTCCAGTCCGTCATTTGACTCCATCCAAGCTTTGTTACTCACGAGCTTTGTCCTCTTGAATGACATGAAGGCAGAAGCCTCGTGGGCACTGACCGGCCTCACATGTCGCTTGGCACAGTCGCTAGGACTTCATCGCACCACTAGCTTGGATGGCCGTGACGGCATGCCTTCGGATGCCAAGGCCAAGGAGACGATCCGACGGAAGCTCTGGTGGACATGCGTCTGGCATGATACGTTGACGTCGCTTTCATTTGACAGGTATGAAAAATTCCCGTTTTTTGTCTTCCATGTCGCCGAGCTGACGTCTTTCCGAGATGTCCAATGACAAACTTTCCAAGTTGCGATATTCCTATTAGCTCCGACGCACCACCCAGCAACTTCACATATCTAGAAATGATGTATAAACTCATAGAAACTATTTCACGACGGCTGAATCCCGAAGCCACGGCAACATCATCATACCGGCAAATTGTGGACAATTGCGAGGCGGTAGAGGACCTTCGTCGCCGTTCGCTACCCCATATGCAAGACAAGGAACAGTGCAAGACGGCACTCCACCGTCTCCAATACTATGCAATACGACTACATACCTCATTTGTCATCTCAGTAGCTTGTCGGCCAGCTCTCAAACGAACTTGCGACTTTGATCCCGAGCAAAGGAAGGAGCTGGCGGATAGGTGCAAAGACAACCTCACGCAAACGGTCCGCATGTTTTTGGCCATGCATCAGCTTTCCGTCATTCCCACTCGAACTTGGGCATTTACGTATCACGGGCTATCGTCGGCGCTACTTCTTGGCATTCTGTGCGAAACCAAGGCGGACCCAAAAATCCGCGCGCTTCAAGGGGACCTGATTGATGCCCTTTCAGCGACTGCCGCCAAGGAGGCCAGTTCGCCTGAGCCCCATATCGCGGTGAGCGGCAAAGACATTGAGCTCTCTGGACCCTTGTCGCGAGCCCTCACTGCGCTCAGAAACATATACGAGCACGGAACAGTCACTGGCACCGCGCTCAAGCGCGACGGAGACTCATCCGGCGGTGGGAGCGGTACCAGAACCCCGCTTCCGCCATTCATGCTAGCCGGCAGCAACGGCGCAAGCCTAAATGCCCAGATACGTGCCGCCCAAGCAGCGGGCGATCCTCGCGAGGACGCTGCGCTCGCCATGGCCGAGATGCAGAACGGGGCATCCCTTCCAGACTTTTCAGGGCAAGTTCCAACCCGACGGGGCTCCGACGGGGCTCCGTAGCCGACGTTGCATGTCATGTAACTAACGGCGGTGCAGAATTCCATATTCTCAACCGCTACCGGTGAGTATGAACCTCGAGGGCCTTCCTGGCCTGTCAGTTGACCAGACGCAATATATGGCACCAATGGACGTATTCGACTCCATATTGGGTGGTAGGTAACTCCTATACTTGACCTTCTTCCCAATAATGACAATTCGTAGAATACCCTGATCCGTGGAACTCGGGCGTCGACGCCATGAACTTTGACTTCATGGCTCAGCCACCGCCGGGACAGCCGCAACAGCAATTTTATTTCTAAGTAGTGACTTGAGACTTCGGTAGCGACATGGAGTCGAGGTTGCAATTGGTCTACGGCCTATTCCCTAACTTTGAATGAAACAGTTCCCAGTACGACGGTCTAAATTGTATATTGGGCAGTGTTCTAGCTATAAGAAAGAAACATGTGGATCGAGACATGTGCCATCATATCCAACAGTCGTCAGCGCTCTCTTTGATCTCCAGTGTCTTTACTACTAGGGTATGTAAAGAGTCGGATCGAGGAGGTTACACGCCTGTAGGCGTTAAACACACCCCGGCATTCAAGGCTCATCATCCGACTGTACCGCCATGATCAGTTCCGCTTAACTCACCGCGATCCAATCCAGCATACGTCGTAAAGACATCTATCTAGTTTCCTGGTTTTAATCTTTTTATTTTCTGCCTTTTTTTTTTTTCATGTATAGACTACTCAGTCTACTTCTTGCGTCGGGAAGTACTCGACACAATCTTCTTCTTTAAATTTTTTGGCATCTTTTCCTTCCTTTTTTCGCGCTTCGCTTCCTTGACGGCTTGCTTATGTTGCTACACTACAAGTCAGCACTAGACGACTACAGTACGAGTTGGAAAATTGGCAAGATGGCACACCTTCTTTTCATCCTTGTCCTCGAACTTGCGACCGCGGGGTCTGCCTTTGTCGAATCGACCATCATCGCCGGATTCGCTGTCGGATAGGGAGACACCGGAGCCAGACTCGTCTTCCGAGGTTTCTTCGCCTTCCTCCCCCTCGTCTTTCTTCGGTTGTACAACCTGGTCTGCCAGCAGATTCTTGTACACCAGGTCACCGCCCTCTCCCTGGCTGAGTTTCTGCGCATCCTTCTCAATATTGTACACTTGCTCTAGGGTCTGGGGAATGTACTGGTTGCGGAAAACTTCGTTGTCGACTTCCAACGTGGCGAGGGCGTCTTCGTCCACTGCGAATTCGCGAGACCCGTACAACTTGTCTATTGTTTCAGCTAGACCAGGCTCTTCGACGGGGCCGGCAGTAGAGGTGATGAAGTTAAAGATGGCTCTGTCCGCGAGAGTATCTACGCCCTTGCGCCTGAAGAAGTCGCCCACGTTTTTGATGTCCATCCGCAAAAACTCCAGAGAACGGGGGTGATCGGGTTCCACACTTTGCGATACGTCGATGACGTAGAGGAGGCCATCGTGGTATAGGATATTGTACTCACTGAGATCGGCGTGGACGAGGCGACAAACTTGGTACATTTTCCGCATTACGCCGAGGAGCTGAATATACAGGCGTCTCCACTGCTGGTCGACGTCCTCCCCAGTGAGAGTGGCATCGCGGAGTCGTGGGTACGCCCAGCCCCTGTTGTCCCCCAGGAACCCCATGACGAGAACATGCAGCTTGAGCGTGATGGGTTCCGGGCAAGGAATACCAGCTGTGTGGATTCTCCTCAAGTTTCGAAACTCTTTTTCCGCCCACAGCTTGACCATCTTGCGGCTATTTCCCTTGTCGAAACCACCCTTGAATCTATGTTCTCCTGCAATATACCGCTCTCGGTCCTTGAAGACCAAGATGGCCGTCTTGTATACTTTGATGGCCTTGTGGGCCACGTGGCCGGTCTCGTCGTCGACGAGCATCGCCCCATAGACATTGGCCTCTTTTCCCGTGCTAATCGCACCGTGGACCTCACTGACAAAGCCGCGGTTTATCATCTGCAGCAAGACCATGCGGGTCCGTTGATCAAGCACCTGATCGCTGGTGGCGCGATCGGCCTTGTCCTTGTCCCTGTCCTTGTCATCACCCTGCTTGACAGTGTCTAGGCGTATCTTGGCGGCGTGTTTTGAGAGCGCCGAGACCTGGTCGTCCACACTTGCGAATGTGTTGGCTGTTGGTTTTTGCTGGTTCAATCGCGGGGCAGCAGCAGTTCCGTTGGTGTTATCCTGCAGCTGACGCTGACGGTTGTAATTCTTTGTGAGGTCCCTGGCGTCTCCGCTCCATTCGTCGTCTCCCATGTCATCGTCCTCGAAAATATCGTCAAAGTCGTTGTCCTCGTCTTCGTTGTACTCTTCTGGGTGAGGGGCACCCCGCGGCATGCGTACTTCGGGAGGCACTTGATGGCACGGCTCGACGTAGCCCTGGCTGGCGGTGTAGGTGAAGGGGGGTTCGTGCGGAGCAGCGGGAGAGGCTGTTGAAGTGATTTCTTCTGGCATTTTGTGCTGGGGTGTTTGTGTTGTTTGTTGCAAAGGGAAAGGCGGAAACAATGGAGGATGGGAGGTTTGTGATCAAAGGCCCGACGTTATCTTTCTATCTTATCTAAAAAATTTCGACAACATGGCGGGCGGTATGTATTTCAAGACCCCACCGTAAATACGCCTACTCCGTGGACGGTGACTCATGAATGGGGCACCTGGGTAAGGCTTCGTAGCGCGAGGCGTACAAATCCGAGCGTAGCTCCACTTCTCAGGAACTGTCCAACCCTAACCCCGACTCAAAGAAGTGAGTGGTGGTGCACACCTGGACATCCCCTCGCGTTCGCCGTTGTCTACGACCTCGGCCAAGGCAGGTCGCCGAGCGATGGTCGGGTCATCGGGTGCAACGTCGGGCAGTGATGCTGGCCGGGTAAGGCCGTGGGGGGGCCCAAGCTACCAGTGGCAATTGGTGGAGCACGGCTGCTGCTGCCAGACTGCACAGTGCAGGTTGCTATCTGGCGCTGAGCGGAACCCCACCTGCCAACTCGCCCTTTTCAGACAGTCTGGTATCACGAAACGAACTTGGAGCCGTTGTGATGATGAGCCTTGTGCCCTCATGACTCCTCCTCCTCCATCTATGGACACACGTGCTGCCCATCGTCGACGGCACCGCCAGATAACCCGCCCCGTCAGTGGGAGACGAATCCGCAACTCCCGAGCTCTTCGCTGGCACGGTAAATATCTGAGCAGGACGAAGTCCACACGAGCTTCGAGTCTTCGACATGCGCGATTCTGCACTCCCGGGACAATCATCCATCGGCCGACTTGAGCGTCGTCGTTTCCCTGCAGCTGATGGCTGGACCCGTCTCGTCAGACGTACAGGGAGTCTGACCTTAATCTCCATGTCTTACTATGGCATGCCCTCAATGTGCGCTTGGCCTTGTTTCAGTAGTTCCTGGGATATGCGTCTCATCCGTGTGAGGATTGTTGTTCCAATCCCATTGCATAGCTCACATCCGTCAAAATCCTTCTCATTTGCACCAGGTTATACAACATGCCATGCTGTGAGACATGTGCTTGCCCCCGCGGCGAGACCAACCCGCGACCCTGGGTTCCGAGATGGATATCAGTAGGCAGCGGCCGTCTGTTTTCTTTCCAGCCGACCGAGACGGGGTTGGACCATGTCCGCGGTGTGAAGAGTTCCCAGTATCGATTCGGTGACCAACATTGGCATCTTACGTTGCCGTCTAGCTGCATCTCCACAACCAAAGTGCCAACAACCGTGGATCTCGAATTCCGTCAGCATAATCACCATGAAGGCAACCCTCGCGGCCGTTGTGTTGGCCATTCTGGCAGATGGGGCCGCCGTCGGTGAAAGGACGAACGCTGCGCCACAAGAAGGAGCTCCCAGGACAAACGGCACGTCCTTCAGTCTCAATCAAGTCAGGAATCAGGACTTCCAAGGCCACAACGGAGCCGTGGCCTTTTTGCGCGCTCATTTCAAATATGCCGACAGCTTACCAGATCATCTGTCCAAACTGGTGCAAGACACTCCAGACTTTCGCCTCAAGGCTGGTTGGAGCGGCCAAGGTAAATGATGTTTCAATGTGACGCCGCCGCGAGCCCTTGTTCCTACGGCTAACGAGCATCCTACAAAATAGGAGGGCAGACGGGAAGCGTCCTGGCAAGTCCCTCATTTTTGGTGGACACGGAATACTCAGTCATCGTCAAAATCGGTTCACCTCCGCAGAAAATTCCCATGAACCTGGATACCGGGTCCTCCGACTTGTAAGCACGTCACTCTGTTTTTTCGTCGGCAATCCGTAGCTAATGACCGGTGCCTGACTTAGCTGGGTGTTTTCAACCGAGACAGACAAAGCTTTGGTCAGGGGTCAAGTGCTTTACGACGCCAACAGATCATTTACGAGCCATTTCTTAACCGGACAATCGTGGAAAATCAAGTACGGCGACAACACTACAGCTAGTGGTTATGTGTACACCGACAGGGTGGAGATTGGCGGCACCCATGTAAATGCCCAGGCTGTCCAAGTTGCCGTGAATGTGTCCAAGGCTCTTACGAAGGATGACTTTGTGTGTGGAATATTGGGCATGGCCAACAGTGCTGCCAACACGGTTCGGCCTACGCGTCAGCTAACCTACATTGACAACATCAAGAACGACCTGGCTAGACCGTTATTCACAGCAGACCTGCGAAGTCAAGCCCCCGGCACTTATAACTTTGGTTTTATCGACCACTCTGCGTATATCGACGACATCGCCTATACGCCAATCGAACGTTCGTTTCCCCTGTGGATGATCAAGACTACAGGACACAAGGTCGGCACATATCACGGCAACGAAGCCGTCGAGGCCATTGTGGACACTGGCACCTCTCTTCTACTGCTCCCCGAGTCCGTGGTTTCCAGCTACTATGCGAGGGTTCCTGGATCCAGCGTCGATCCGTTCCTGGGCATGGTCGTCGTCCCCTGCAATGCCAAACTGCCCGACTTCTATCTCAAAATCGGTTCATATCGTGGCAGAGTCCCCGGCAGCTATATGAATTACGGGCCGCTCGACCCCCAGCGCTGCTACGGGGGCCTGCAGTCTTCTCGTGCGTTGCCGTTCTCGGTCATCGGGGACGTCTTTCTCAAGGCTCAGTTCGCCGTGTTTGACTATGGAAATGCACGTGTGGGGTTTGCAAACAAACGTCTCTATGTATAAACGGCATGCTTTGAATTGGGGCGCACGATACACATTTGGAGATTGCTAGTTTGTATGGACAGGTCATTGTTGATAAGAGATGGAGTAGAGGCTGGGAAGACGGACGATTTGGCAATGTTGGAAAGGTCATGCCACCAGTCCCACTGCCGGGGCAACTAATATAAACGCACATATTGGATTCCTAACTGAGAAGAATATCAAGTAATAAACCAAAGTCCAGAAATATTTTCGTATGTAAATAAATATTAGTGTATTAGTACAAGATACATTGCCTCCCCGCTGCGACATTTCACACAATACATGGCAGCATCACAGTGCGTCTCTTTTCTATTTCATGCGACCGCAGAAGAGGCCCTTGGCGCCCAGCAAGCAAGGAGGCAAGAGATTTGTTATTGTCAGGGCTTTTACAATTGCCTGACGCAACATCAGGCCGTGAAAAGGGCGACGGCGCTCGCCTGAAGCCAATAGTTCTGGGACAAGTCCAGACTGGTCAGGGTCGGCGGAAGCAAAACTCACCAAGTCAAGGCAAGGCCAAGGGCGGGTATCTGAATCATCAACCCTTGCCGCACGGCACGGCACGCTAGCGATTGGGAATCCCGGCAGATGGAGGGCAACTGAAACCGGCCCCGGCAAGTAGCTCTGGACCTTTGGAGTTCGATCCAGAAGACGCAACTCTCGGAAGCCAACCTCATGACGCTCAACCGCGTGCATCAACCAGGACACAGCAGCATCGGCCACCATGGACAGCGTGCTCGTCATCGGGGCGGGCGACCTCGGCCTCTGCGTCGTGCAGGCCCTCGCGGCGCATGCCAAGCGACAGGACGTCAGGGCGTCGGTGCCCGTGAGACAGGCGGCGCCGGCCAAGAAGCGCACCGTCGAGAACATCAGGCGCCCCGGCGTGCAGTTTGAGCCGGCCGAGTGAGGCGGTACTTCCCCCGGCAGTACGGGATGCGGTACGACATCATCGGGGAGGGCAGCTCGCAGGACCTGTTTGACGAGCAGCTCCTGGCGCGGCGGATGCTGAGGGCGCAGAGAGGGACGGAGTGGGTGATTGTGTAGACGGGCCCGTTCGTGGCTGAGTATGGCGTCGTCGACTTGAGGCGCCGCGTCGTCCGGGCCCTGGGGAGCTGGGACAACAGCATCACGCTGACGTCGGCGCGGGACATTGGGCGGGTGACGGCCGAGGCGGTGCTCGACCCGAGGGGCGTGCGGAACGAGGTCGTCCTCACGGCTGGCGATGCCGTTCGCACCGGCAGCTGGCGGCGCTGCTCGACGACCACTTTGGCGTCGGCTTCACGAGGGAGCTGTGGGGTTCGGACACGCTCAAGAGGCAGATGGCCGAAGACCCCAACGTCATGGTCAAGTATCGGGACACGTTTGCGCAGGGGAGGGTCGTCGCGTGGGACAAGGACGGCACCTTGAATCATGAGAGGAGGGGTGTCTGGAGAGCACGGATCTCAGGGTTGGTGAGGGATAGCCGTCGACATGGTGCAGCCGGGCACTCTCGTCCTCGTTGTAGGACTTTTGGTGGTTGTTGCGCGCCATGGCTGTGCTCCAGAGCGGCAAAGGAGTTGGACAAAGAGGGAGCTTGGCAAGTCTGGTTGAGGTTGAGGCTGTGCTTGCTTATTCCTGTAACCGAGAGTGTTGTTGATATGCGCCTACCGAGCGGGCAACAAGTGCTCCGGGGCAGGCGCGACTGTCGCTTGCAGTCGACTGCTGCCTGGCGGCCGCCTCAGTGCCTTCAGTGCTTGTCCTGGACTCTTGTTGGCGTGCACGTCCTCTGTGGTTTGTCCTCGGTAGGTGGAACTTGGGGCGTCGACGACCTCGGGAGTCGGTACGGAGTACAACGCGCCCTGGGCATCAAGATCAAGGCCAATGGCGTGTCGTGGCTGACGCCATTCAACGCTCATCCGTCCATCCACCATTGGTTGGCCATGGCCGTTCTGGGGTTGTGGGACGTCCCATGACTCACACGTCACTCGTGCCTCAATGGCGTCGATGGCGTCGAGATCGCTGAGATGCTCGGACAAGGAGCAAGCCCCGAATGACTCCATCGCTAGCCAATCACGGCCGGGTCCGTGAGCCAGGCACCCAACTCGATATAATAAGTCGCCATCGCCACGCCCATCGCAAGTCATCTGCCATCATCCAAGCAAGATCGAGATAACGTACATCCTCCTTCCGCCCCGACATCCTTCTCGACTCTCACAACACCCTGACTCGGCCTCCTCAAGGCGAAACAAACATCTCTGACCCACCTCGGGTACTACCAAGGTCAACGCCCGCCGTTGTCCCGTGGCAGAATGAGTCCTAGTCTCGACAGCCTCCTCGGAGGACATCACGTCCACCTGGCACAGAGGCGGCAGCATCATCGTCGCGGTCTCAGGCCTCAGCATCATTCTCTGAGTCGCCTCGTCCGTGCTGGCGCAAAGCACCTTGTCGAGGGCGGCAAGACCGACGTCTTCCCCGACTGCCACCACGATCACAACCAGCTCGACCAAGCCAGTCTGCGGCCCCATATCCAGCAACATCTACGCCAATACTACTGCTTCAACCTCGCCCAGCAAGCCTGCCGGCGAGACCAGATTCCCAAATGCAACGCCTCGACGCCTCGCAAACTAGATGGCCGGGACGACGGTCGAGACCTTGCCTACAGCGACGTCGTGCTGCCCTCGGATCGGCATCGTCTCCCCCCCAGCCCGACGCTCAAGAGAGAGGACGCATTCCGGGATCCATCTACTTCCAAGATCCACCTTCGCCGCCGCGTCGAACACGCCAGCGAAGACGAGCAGGTCGCTGGCCTCTACGGCATGGGACTGCTGTACGACAATGACGAGCAGGACCCCGGCGGCGGCGACTGCTTGGACCTGAACAGCATCAGGCATGACGAGGCGCTCTACCCCATCCGCCCCGCCAGGCGGACGCGAAAGCAAAAGGTGGCCCACGGTGCGTTTCGAGATGCCGCCTTGCAACTCGACCTCTCCTTTTCCGACCTGGGCGATGACGCCGTCGTCGCCCAGTATCTCACGTCTTTGAATCGACTCGAGGCCGGTGAGGCGATTCAACATGCGCCTCGGGAGCCGGCCGAGTCGCAACCTCGTCTGCGTGTCATTTATGAGCTTTCCACGTCGCAGCCTTCCTTTGATATTGATACTTCGCAACCCCCCGACTTGGTCGTGGACATTCTCTCAGACTATGACTGCTTTTCGGACGGCGAGCTAGACGACACCCCACCCCAGCGAGAGATTCAAGAGAACGCCGACAACCCACCTGCCGAGGCCTGGGTCATACTCGGCGACGACTCATAGCTGGGCGGTTTCTGCTGCAACAGGAGGAGCACATGGTCTACGGAGAGGTTTGTGACGACAGACACGAACCTCTTGGTGCCAGCGACTCGTCTCGGGCTGGTCCCAAAAACCCACTTGAAACCATTTTCGCTTCTCAGCGGATAAATTTTGGCTCTGCACGGAAAGAGCCTGGTGCTCGGTGTTTGATTTTCCATGGGGAGGGAACGCAGCCCTGCCTGGCGGCCGCTCTGGCACCCGGCATCGAGTGCCGGGTGCCGCAGGCGCAAGCGTGTCGTCGGCAGGGTTATTCTTTTCTTGTACACCAGCTTCGGTCTGCATCTGAAAGCGAAGAAGATGTATAGAGTGTGCGGCGCCACGTCGCTTGTTGGTGTTGTTATTCCTGGCAATGCATGTATTTTACTACGCTCCTTAGACTGCCAACGATTATTAATAGAGTGACCGACACATTCGAGACGCGCGAAGCAGTGGTGCTACGTCATCCGCCCAAGCTGAGCGACAACGGCCTCGAATCAAGCCGCGTGCCGGCGTCTTGTTCAGGGCACGCACGCACGCACCTCCCGGACCACGACAAGACGCTGCGACGCATCCGAGTCAGCAAGCAGTGCGTCATTCATTGTCGGGCCAAAAAGGAGCCATGAACCCTGGCGTTTCCGTGGTCATGACTACGGAATGGCCTGGAACGTGCGCGTCCCTCCTCGGGAAACGCTGCCGCCGGTGCGGTGCGGTGCGGTGCGGTGCGGGGACGGCGCGGCGGCCTCCGTCCGATCTTGACCCTTGATCCTTGATCCTGTCCAGACAAAGTGGTGTTGCTGTCGTTGCCGAGGCCCCTGGTCTTGCTGGCGCACGGCGGCTTCATTCATGTTCATTCAGCTGCGTGTCCGTTCTCCCCTCGCCTCGCCTCGCCTCGCAACCACCTTTGCCTCTCGCTCCCTCTGACATGCAACAGCCGTGTTTGAAGCTGCGACACTGCAAGCAGGACCAGTCACCGCCGCACGTGGAACGTCCCGTCTCGTCTCTGGGGGGGTGGGAGCCAATTCGCCGTCGGGGTCGTGCCCCAGACGGACATGGGGAGTCCGAGACCGAGGCAGTTTTGGCAAGTCTGGAAGCAACCCGTCGCAGGCAGGCGAGCGAGCCGCTTGGCCCCTGGCTAGCATTCTTGCCGCAGTACGGAGTACGGTACGGGGTATCGCGACTGATCGACGGATTGGTCTGTTCCAGACCCCGGGCTGCTTGCATCGTCAAAGACTCAAAGCCCGCGGCAGAAGCGACGCCAACATCAAGTCGAAGCAGGACATACAGCCCAGAGCTCTCCGTGGCAGACAAGCCAATGTTCAGAGCAGGCCAACAGCCCTCCTCACGGATTGGATCTCTTCTTCGGTTCCTACCAGTGCTTATCCGGTATTTCGACGCTGTTCACGTCGACGCCGTTCGCTCTCCCTCGGCAGTCTTGACGTCATTTGCGCTCATCTGACGCTTCCTCGTCAAGCCATTGTCTGCGAAGGTCCCGTCCTCAAGTCCGTAGATGCGCCACCACTGGCCAGACTGATCGTGCCACTCGTACCAGAACTGGACCGCGATTGTACTGTCCCCAAAGGCAAATAATTCCTTCCGCAGGCGATATTCCCGCTCCTTCTCCCACTCCCCGGAGAGGAATTCCCGGATGGCGTCACGGCCTTGGAAAAACTGGTCGCGGTTCCGCCAGACCGAGTCGGCCGTGTAAGCCAGCCCGCCGTCATCAGGACCCCTTGGCACGCTTGGTTCTCTGGTGCAGGGTTTCGGGGCGCCAACATGGCCGCCTACCTCGTGTTCCATGCGTCCTGCGCTGCCTTGACCTTGATCCGTGCCGTCTCGGCGGTAAACGGGGGGTACGGCGGTTTTCCCTCTTGACTCATGCTGGCTCGGGCTTGTTCACAGAGAGAGACTGGCGTGATCAAGGGGGAGCAAAACGAAATGAGCGTGCGGAAAGAGGCCGGCTCCAGAGTGGCCGCAGAGGATGTGGCGTGGCGCCGCAGCTCATGGCCCTTGAAGGACGGCCACGCTGCCGCCTTTATTGGCAATGTTCCGCCGGGCTGTGTCCAGAGCACGGCGGCGTGTCGGGGCTCACGACTGTCTCTCAGAGCGGCGTGCTGCAGTCTCCAGTTCGCGTGTTTTCAATGTGTCGCTGAGCCGGGAAAACAATGAAGGGACCGAGTCGGGAGGGGGGGCGTCGCCGGCAAGGGAGACAAGGGCAGGACGAGAGTCGAACGGACACATGTGCCTCACATGGCACCGCATGTGTTACCTCGTACGGAGTACTGCTGCTTGTTTCTCGTCGCGACGGCGAGCCTGGATGTCGTGCCCTTCCCACGGGCCGGAGATGAGGGGGGTCCACGCTAGCGACGAGGCCTTGTTCGCAATCGTGGTCTGCGTCACGATCTACGTGCGCCTCGCTTGAAGAGGAGACGGGCGACGCACCATTCACCACCGGGGCCCGACATCTCCAGCAGAGCAGATGCCACGACCACGAGCACTGCCTTGGCTCGGCTCTCCCTGACTCTTCAGGACGGCACCGACTCTCCACGTTGTCCGCCCACTGACTGCTTCTGGGCAGCAGAGACGGGATGCCGGCTCCAGCCTGGATACTCCGCGTGAATCCGGCGACGTGCCGCCGTCACGGACGGACAAGGCCGAGGGGATCTTCTCCGCCGCCAGAAATACGCGACGAAGTTGTCCGGCGAGTAAAAGTACCACCAGACCAGCTCCAGGGGTCGCTGACAGCCACGTCCTCCGTGTTTCACGCGGCCGCTGCTCTCGCCCCGTGACTGACGGGCAGGTGGGAGTAGTTCATCTCCCTTGGACGCCGTGCGTGGCCGTCCTCAGACTCGGCGACTGGCTTCGCGAAACAAGACGAAGGGCTGGTGTCAAAAGGGGGGACCCGATGGCATCGCTCGGCCAGCGGACGAGGAGCAGCCACGTGCAGAAAGCAGATACATGGAGGTTCTGCGCCTCGTGATGGGATAGATACGTCCATGCAGCCGTCCAAGAGTCTCGCCACGCTCTGCCCTGCCCTCCTCCGCTCATGAAAGCGTCGATTCACAATGACTCGGTGAGGACCGCGGCCGAATACGACCCATGAAGCCAGGTTCCAGCGTGCTCAGTCAGGCGTGAAATGAATCCGAAACCGCGCGCTCTGCCCTACCCAACACCAACACGCTTCTGCCTTCCAAATCTTTTCTTTTTTTTGTTCCCCCAGCACACACGCGTACACATCTCCGTCTGCCCATCCTTGCAGTTCAAACACGGCCCAGAGAGATGCCGCGTCGCACGAATTCGCACCATCGGCCTCACCTGCCGGTCCTGGTGCACATGCACGTCACGTCACGCTCGGCAATCTCACGGAACCCTTCCTTGCCTCGATGATCCCGCAGCTGACGCTCGCATATGTACAGCCTGCTCCGTATGCATGTATGTAGTACGTACCCCATTGCGCAGCTGCGAGGAGGATAAAGGAAAGAAAAGAAACGAGGAAAAGGCGGAAAACAACCCCCAACACCCCGATCCTAGGTCGTAGTACCGACTCCATGCTCCATGGTGCATACGCATGCATGCGTGCTCGCTGCTACCTTGCGCCCGGAAACAGAAAACAGCGGGTCAAACATGGGCAAACTGCAACATCAAGAGGCCGTGCCGGCTGCATGTCTCGACGGCCTTTCTTTTCCGCGAAGCAAAGGGGTCGACCGTCTTACGTATCTTGCTTCGGGGGCTGAGGTAGGCCCACGATTCGGGGTGGAACTCTGTGTTTTAATTTTATTTTATTTTTCCCTGCAACTGCTTTGTTGTGTGAGTGTCGGGGACGCACGAAAGTGTCGTTTTTAGGAAAAAGGAAGTGTGTCTGAGCAAAGACGACCAACTGACTGTAGTTTTGTTGTCAAGGGATAGGCGGATGAGATGGCCTGGTCAGAGGGCGTGGGTTCATTCGAGACTTCTAATATAATAATTGAAATAGTAATAATAATAAACAAAAAAACAAAAAGACGTCGAGTAAAATATTATATTGCGTACGCGGCCTGGGACCGGGGGCCACTTGTAAATACAGCTCTAAACCTTTGTACATGCGGAGAAGGGACGAAAAGAAAAGGAGAAGGAAGAAAAAAAAAGAAAAATAGAAAAAATACAAACGCCACGCACGACGTGCCCCCTTGTCTAAAACGTTGCTTTTAGGAAATCCGTAATGGACCGGTACACGTCGGGGGCGTTGGAGTTGTAGTTGAGCCCGTGGCCGGCCTTGGGGACAACAGTCGCCTGGAAGGCGGAGGCGTGTTTGAAACTGCCCCTCGAGTACTCGATCAGGTTTGCAGCGGAGTCGTCGATGGCCTTTGTGTCCATGCAGTTGCCGCCGCAGAAGGGGATGTCACGATCTACCCGCGCAAGGGAGAGAGGAAGGAAGAGAGGTCAGCTCGCTGGCATGCGTGGCGGGTACAGTCTGGGCCGGGGACGAGGGGCCACAAGGAGCGGCAGACGCGTATACATGGGCGTGCATGTGTGTGCACATCATTCTCACTTACCACCGGTGATGACCATGACGGGACCGCGAAAATCGCTCGACTTGGGGACGGAGCCGACGGTCAGCAACTCTCCCACGGCGGCGGGCTGGCCGGTCTCGGTGGCGAGCCGGAGGAGCTCGGTGTCGAAGTCGTCGGGCCCAAAGAAGTTGATGTGGATGCCGATGCTGTCCTTGGGGGCAATGTAGCCGGCGGCGTACTGCGAGGAGAGGCGGCGGTTGTCGGCGACGGGGGCGAAGTTGCCGCCGAGGGCGAAGTAGGCCATGAACTGGGGCACCTGGCTGAAGCCGGTGAGGACGATGGCGTCGGTGGTGTTGGGATACATGGCGGCGAGGCTGTACGTCATGGCCGAGCCGAACGAGTGTCCCAGATGGACAGTCTTGCGGAAGGCGTGCGCAACGCCGCAGAGGTGGCCGCCGCGCGCAGCGTCGGTCAGGGCCTTGAGGGCCGAGATCTCGAGCGGGAGCTGGATCTCGTCGACGGGGTGGCCGTGCGACGAGCGGCCGATGCCGAGGCGGTCCCACGAAAGCGTCGAGTAGCCGGCGTCGAGGGCGCGGTTGACGTAGCTGTACTTGTAGTTGGCAAAGGAGAGGTCCCAGTAGCTGCGGTCGAAGCCGACGCCGTGGGTGAGGATCTGGAGAGCGTGGCCGGGGCCGCCGTCGGGTTCGCAATACGTGGCCGCGAGCTGGTAGTCTCCCGACACCGTCTTGTACTGTTTGTTGGTAGTGCCTGGTTAGTTGTTGTTGTCTGATGCTCTAGAGTTTAAAGTCCAAAGTATAGCGTCTACAGAGTTTGGGCCCTGGGCTCTGCACAGGGGCCAGGCGCGCAGGCGGCACTCACTCCCTTCACGACGTTGGCGGTGCCGTTGATGCCGGGCCGGGCCATGTTCAACAGCAGGTTCGTCACCTCGATTTCGGTGGACGGAGGCACCAGGTCCAAGATGGCGTTGCGCGAGCTGATTGACACGGGCACCGTCAAGTTCCGGCACTGGCGCGCCGAGGCCACGGCGGCCGATGCCAACATCATCATGAGTCCCGGCTTCAACATCGTGGGTTGTTTGGGTATGGTGTTCTGGGGCAGTTTGTCCCAGCGGCCGGTTTTGAAGTCTCAGTACGGAGTAACAGTTGACTCAGAAGAAAAACAAGAATATAAATATGCCAATGATGGAAAACCCGGGTTGGCCGTGCTGGGTAATTGTAATGGTATAATGAGTAATTACTAATGAATGAATGAGAGCGCGTCCCGACTTCTTGGGGAGGGTGGCCGACAAACTCGACGACGACGACGACGACCTCTGGAAGGGGGGGTGTGAGTCAAGCTGCAGACTATGATCTTGACTCTCGACTCTTGACTATTGATACAGCCAAGCAAGGCAGTCCGGCCGCCTTGACTTGGATCCGACATGGCTGTGGTCGCCACGGAATCTTCTGCGGCCGGCCGCGAGGGGCGTGTTCCAACTCGCAAGCCTTTGTCTTTGTCGACGCCGAGTTAGTGGTTACCATTATCGTGTACTTCCAAGTTTGGTCCGTACGCACATACACCAAGTGGGCACGAGAACGCACGCCAAAGCATCCCGGACAGCAGAAGCTGCTGGCCGGACATGCAGAAGCTTGCTGTCGTGTCTACGACAAGCGAGTCGTGACTCCACAACAGCCCGGATTGTTCGGAGGAGTCGAGGACTCCAGAGTCAAGGACTAAGGAGCTCATGGCGGTAACCCGTGTGACTCGTCCGGAGCAGGTGGTTTGACAATGATGAGCACAGCACAGGACGTGGGGGCTGCATAGTAAACAATTCAATTCAAGTGACAGGGTTCAGCTTCAGGTTCGGTCTCCTATGCATGGTCAGTCAATTGTAATTTGCCTTGCGGGACGCCCGGATATTACGCACGCTGCGGCGCTAGTGCTCTTGTCTCACCCACGAGTCCACGACCACGGAACAGTTGTTTCCACGGAGACTCGGTACTTGAGAAATAGTTGATGGTCGGTCGGTTGGTTGGCTGTGTTGTATTGTCGAGATTCTTATCCTAGAAGCGCAGCCGCGTCTCGATCCGGCGCTTGGTGTCATCGCGCATACCAGCCAGCAGCTCATTGTGTGCTGCTGGTAGGTTGACGCCATTGAAGACAGCATGGTTCCGAGGTAAACACCTCGTAGCGCATTGTTCGGACTCCGACTCCGACTCCGACTCGGGAGAGACTCTTGTCGCCGGCAATGGTCCTCGTCATATTCGGGAACCGGCACTTACGTGATGCACCCCTCAAGTAATCAACAAGTGCCCATCGCACATGAATGCGTGCCATAGACCATCACAACTGTCAAGGGCCATTGAAGCCGTCGTCGTATCTGCCAGCTTGAATCCATATTCTTCTCCTTCTTCCCTCTCCTCCGTACGAGGAGACCATCCATGTACGACTTGGTTCCTCCGCTGAGACAAACACGAGAAAGAGAAGGGGCATTGCAGCGCGAGCCACATGAAGCCTTCTGTGCCCCTGCGCCTAGCGTCCACATGCACTGCTGTCTGTAGTTGAACACGTCGACTTTGGCCAGCATCGCCAGTGAAGGGAACCCACAACCCAGACGTCGTCTGATGACTACCCTGCATTGGACTCGGCCAGAATATTAGACGGAAGCGGATATGCCCTAGGAACTTCAGGGGGTGTTCGCGTCTCATGTCTGCACACGCAGCAAATAGTTGCCCCTTCTAGTCGTGTCTTAGCCTCTGGCGCTCCGTCGCAACTAGTGCTTGCTCCCTACATCCAAGCAGGAGGCTGAGCCCGAACTCGAAGGCAGGCTCCGTAATAGAAACGGCCCTCACGCGAGCTTAGCAGCCACCAAAGCCCGGTTCGTCACCCTCACACACCCAACGGCCATAACCATGGTCTGTGGGCTCGTCCCGACTAGTAGGCCAGGCGGTGCCCGGAAAGTGTCTCCAGAAGGGTTTGTGGGCACCAGAACAGAATGTGACCATCTGTAGACCATGAAGCCGACCGAGAACGGGTCATCCGAGTAATCACTATCAGCGTCAGCCTCTAGTTGTAGGGAGTAGACCGATCCGTTCGCCCGCCCCTGCCAACATTCCGCACAGAGCGGTTGGTTCATGCTGGACTGAATGGCAGCATCAGTAAGCCTGCCTGACGTCAACCGGAGTTGGAATTGCTGGCCATGGAATACCCAGAAGCTCGTTCATCCGTAAAAAACCGCAAGCGCATGAGCATGTACGCGCGATAAGTGGACGGGCGGGAAGCACAAACGGAAGCGTGATGGGTTGCCTGCGGCGCTTGCCATCGGAATGGTCGCCAATTATGTATGATGGTGATCTCGGGTGCCGTAATTGATCATTTCCTCGGAGTAACGCAGTTGAATTTCGGCTGGACGGAGTATACAAAGCTCACAGGCGACTCTTGGTGGGAAATGCACGCTCTTGTCACAGTCAAGTCGCAGCAGTGAAGGGGGCAGTTTGTTCCCCGCACGCCTCGATGGCCTCAGTCATCTAGGGTAGGTCCCACGGATACTGTATATGACACATGTCGAAGCTCGTAGGTCGTGAACCCGTCAAGGATCTCTGACACCGTACGGGATTACCTGCGAATAGAGTCAGTACTGCTCCAAGGCTCTACTGAGCCCCCCCTCGCACAGCTCCAGGCACAGGTGAGTCGTCTTCCCAGAGCAAGCGTGAATTGACCTGAACTTGTGAAATTCTTGCATGCCGTCTCTTCCTCGGGCTCATCGAGGATCCCGTGGAAATTAAAGTCCATCTGTCCTGGAAGAATTACGGATGGGCTGGGATTCAAAAAGTCCACGGGTACGATCGTGTATAGCGATTCAGGCTGAGTTCCCGACGTGTAATGTAAGCCAGATCAAGGCTTGTGCTGGTAGAGACTGAGGCAAGTCAATGCAGGCAAAATCTGACCAGGAATGTCACAGTAAGTAGTAGATGGTACGTCTCCGCCAGCCGGACAAGATACTGACCCCCTCGAGGTCCAGCAAGGAGTGAAAGTCCCATTCGTGAGTGCGGAGGAACTCTTCACCCCGTATTGCTGCGCCGTCATAGTCCTTCGTTGCAGCTACCCAGCTTGGACTATAGGCTCCTTTCGATACATGCAAGCTGGCTGCCCAGAGCGGCTATTTACATTCCCAAAACCTTTGTGAATCCTTTCAATGTTGTAATATCCGCTGCCGGATTTTGAACACCCGCATAGGTGGCACCCCGCGAGTCTGCGCCGCAAAATGCATAATTTCCCATATACAGAGTCGTCCTTAAAGTTAGTGACGTGTTCAACAGTGCCACTCCCTCCTCGTTGCCATTGTGCCTTTCCGGCGTGCTTTCTCGCCACGGACCACGTCGTGAACCGGAGAGTACGCGCATTGTGCACTACGATAGCCACTATTTGCTCTGGTCGTCGGCAAAATCACCCCAGCCAGGCCGGCACTTGAAGCTTCGGGCAGCCAGGTTGACGGGGTCTTTGTGGTTGAACTGGAAATGCCTTGAATCTTGGCTGTGGTCGACTGCTTCTTCCCCTCCCTCTGCCTTGTATGAACTCTTTTTATTCGCCTCCACTTCCTCTTTATTTCCGTCATTGTCTTCATTGTCTTCATTTTCTCCCTTTTCTTCACTGTTTGCTCTCCCGGCTCCGCGACCGAGTTCAGTGCCACGTCCGCGACCGAGTTCAGTGCCACGGCGTTGGAGTGTCGCGACACCAACGTGACGAGTTCGCCGGCAAAGTCGCCAAACAAAGTAGCGTTTCTTCCTACATCTGCAAGGAGCCCTCTTTTCGAGCCCTTCTGTAAACTTCCCGGTACGCGCTTCACTCATTCGGGCAGCACTTCAACAGGTACATTCTCCCACAAGGGCTCGTCCGAGGGCTCGCAGCACTTTGGCACAATTCATCATATCCCACTTTGGCATGACAGACATTACGGCCACAATTTTCTATTTATGTAGCTGCCTTCTGCCATGGGTCTGTGGCCAGCCCTTGAGCCACCACCGTCCGTGTTTCACATCTCGTTCTCCGAAGCCGCCTGCATATACAGTCGAGATGGGCTGGGATGACCTTCTCGGGTCCAGCCCCAGAAATTAGAATACTCCGACAGCGCACATCCCAAAAGCCCCTCCAAAGCATGAAAGCCGTGACTTGTGAAAAGTGCCGTGTTGGGACCGTCGGCGAGAAGAAAGCTAGACCTCTTGGTGCTGCCGATCGGGGTCTGAAGAGAGTCGTTCCTCAGCAATCACAACCGATCCATCGCCAAGTCTGAACATACTCTGCGGTGCAACGACGGGACCTAGCTGCTTCTCTGTGGGCGACTCGGCTGCTTCCTTGACGCGTTTCCACTGCTCTTCAATCAGCCCCTTCCTGTAGTAACCAGTCTTGAAGACGATTTCGGGATATTCGTTCACTACGAATTCTCCACACTGGAGGACTTCAATGCCCTCGACTTTGCAGCCGATAGATAGCAGACGGTGTGTCTCGTCTGGGAGCTTGGATATAAAGTCCTGCAGCTTGGCATCTAAGTGGATGCCGCCCTGGACAGTGTCGACCATGAACATCTGTGTTTTGTGAGTGTGAGATGGAGGATGGATTTCGTGGTCACACTTGTTCTTGCACGTACTGTCTACCTCGTAAAGCCTTCACCCTTTGTGGGATGCAGAAATGACGTGTGCGCTTGTCAAGGTCGTACGCGGCCCTAAAAGTGAGCCGGTTGACGCATCCGGGTTTGAGGAGAAAATAAATGGCGGTTTTGCGTCGTTATAGTTATATATATGAGGAAATTGGTGCGTGACGTAATCGTCTCTATGTCTTTTTATCTTCATGAACAAGCGTGCCCCGATGTTGAGCGTCTACACAAAGCGGTGACACTCGTCAGGCCTTGTATCGGGATTTTTCTTTGCGGCCTACAAAGAGTCTCCAGTTCATGCCCGCTCATGTCGTCTCAAGAGCATCTTTGTCCATCCATTCTCTTAGGTCCCAGTCAGTAAGGGGATGATTGGGATAATGCCTTGAAAAGGACTCAGCCTGCTGCTAGCTAATGGGCAGAGTTCTCTACGTGTTGGCCGAGGCTCTGGGTCAACAGTCACACAAACCTGGTCACAAGGGTCGATTCTTGGTTAATAGAGCTCATTTCCCTCTGCTGAGGGCTCGTAACACAATGTCCACTCACCCCGTCTTCACACCCTAATGTGTCTTTAGCACCATGCCGGCGACTCTACATCGCGACATTGACCGACCGACACGCAATCGTCATTGTTCCATCGTCACTTCCGCGCCCCTCATCCACGTGGCCAAGTGTTGCAACGAGCGGACCTTGACAATGTCATTTTCCGCAAGCACTCTACTCACAGTCTCACTTTCGGGGGGCCAGTCTCCCAGGGTTGGGACGTGGGAAAACTCGTCCCCAACGTCAAGCAACACGGGCTTCCAGCCCGCACGCGCAGCCCCAACAACATCCTTGGCGTACTCGTCTCCGACGTGGACTTTCTGCCAGCGCCCCAACTCGGCCGGGCTCGGGGCTCTCCCAGCCCGGCCGGCAATGACACGGCTTAGCATTGTTTCGGCCGCGCGGAAGATCCGCGCGTCTGGCTTCTCGACGCCAACGTCATACGACATGCAGTGGAAGTCGATGTCGTACTCCTTCTCCGGCGGCGCCCCTGGCGTGCCGTAACGCAACGGGCTGACGCTCAGCCCAAAGGAAGAAAGAATGCCCGGGACCCTATCGTCAGAGTTGGAAACGACTCCAATGACGAGCTGTTCAAATCCCCGTCGCGCCTTTTCTTGGCGAAAGGCCCGTATAGTGGGAATGAGATTGGGCACGGCGTCATACCCTTGGCTGGATGCGAACCGACGCATGAGCTCTGGCACCAAAGTCGGCGGTAGAGGTTGGCCGTCGGGGATGAGAGGTTTGAATGTCGCCTGGATCACCTGATATTACCAGATGCGAGTGTAAGATGCCATGGTCATTGACTCGTTGTGATTGAGGGCACAAAGCGGACTGGCAGCAAGTTGCGAGACTGCCCCCGAGTCACTCACATTTGTCCACCACCGAGTGGCCCCAAGTCCTGTATCCTTGCCGTAGTTGGGATTCCTCCTTCTTTCTTGATGAATGGCTGCCAGCAGGTGCGGCTGGAGCTCGTCTTGCGTGAGGCTGGTGATGCCGCATTGGCTTGCAACTTGGACATATTGCCGAGCCACCGAGGACTTGGGGGTGAATAGGGTGCCAAACGCATCAAAGCACAAAAGAAGATTGCGCTTGTTCATTGTCGACATCCTGGAATGGTGGCATAACCGAGACGCTGCCGATGTCGCGCCAACCAAGAGTCGGACCCGGCCCAAGACTCATGCGTTGGACCGGTTGATGCTGAAGTTTGATCAAGTGGACGATATTGCATGTGTGGCCCGGCAAGCCACACTGTGCACACTGCACACTGTACAGCAGTCGCCAGCTCAACAAAAGTGCACCGGTCCACCACCTGTTGATCTGGGCAACGACCAGATTATGTACCACGATTTTTATCCTAGTCATGCTAGAGACGAGCAGTGTTTGTCTATTTCTACAGCAAATCGTCATGCATTAAGTAGACGGCTCAGGCCTTGGCGTTCTCGTCGTCCTTGATGTACGGAGTACATCAGCGCCTATCTCAAGGACACGTTCCTCAATCTATTCCGGGCCGTGGCAAGGGTCGGCCGGACAGCCAAACGTCCGACCGTACCGCCCTTCCGTGTTCCGCACACGCACTCGGCATTCCACGCTGACCGTGCAATTGTTATTCCCCGAACCCCAGATCCACCTCTGATTATTCTCCGCCAGCCTCGGATCGTCTCCAGCAAATCTTGGGTACGCTATCCGGTGTCAGCGGGGCCCATGACTCACGACGGATGCGACCCGATAGTAGCCCCATCAAGACCAAATGCACAGGCTATTAACTTACAAGCCTGACGTGTCGAGAAACTCTTGTCTCAGTCGGCGTCTTGCATGAGTTGTTGGATGTACGTATTCTCCCAATGGACTAAAATTGGTCAGGTCGCCACTGGCGCTTCTCCATAACCCCCAATCAGTTGGCCCGGTACTTGTCAACGAGCATGGCGGCAGAACCAAGTCCGACACGACGACGAGGCGTCGCCCATGATGCCTCGGAAGAAACGCCTCTTCTGCAAGGCGATCGCTGCTCAATCCTAACCTCATCGACCTCATCTTCCGGCCAATTGGAAAATGACTCGGCAACACCTCGCTCCGATCCAGCCAGTCTGGGGAAGCCGCTGCCCAAGGTCCAAATTGCCTTGCTGTGTTACGCGCGGATGATGGAGCCTATTGCATTCTTCTCCATCTTTCCCTTTATCGCGCAAATGGTGAAGCGCAATGGCAATCTTACCGACTCCGATGTTGGATTCTACAGCGGCCTCATCGAATCCATCTTTTCGGCAACCCAGACCGTCGTTCTCATATTCTGGGGCCGACTTGCAGACAAAGTAGGCCGCAAACCCATGTTGATCTGCAGCCTCTGTGGCCTGACCATTGGACCGATACTGTTCGGAGTCGCTACAACCATTGGAGAGATGATTCTGTTCAGGAGTCTCGCTGGCGTGTTTTCGGGGTCGAGCTTGATTCTCCGGACCATGGTTGGCGACCACAGCACGTCCGAGACCCAGGCCGTTGCGTTTAGCTGGTTCGCATTTGCAGGCAATATGGGCATCTTTCTTGGTCCAATTATTGGCGGTGCTCTGGCAGATCCTGCGAACCAATACCCGAGTCTATTCGCCGGCATCGCCTTTTTTGAAAACTACCCATATGCCCTTCCAGGTCTCGTTGTTGGCGCTATTAGCGTTACCGCCGCTCTGACTTCGATGCTCTTCCTCGAGGAGACTTTGAACAGAAACGAGACCACTTTCCCGGTTTTGAATGGCAACTCGGGAGGAGACGATGCCTCCAATATGACGATTTGCCAACTTGTCAAAGCGCCAGGGGTCAGTACCGTGCTCTGGATTTATGGCCACGTCATGTTTCTTGCCTTTGCCTTTACCGCAATTCTCCCGATCGAGCTTTTCACTCCCATTGGCATTGGAGGTCTGGGATTCTCAGCCATGCAGATCTCGATATACTTGGCTGCGCAGGGTGCTAGTCAGGCAATCTGGCTATTATTTGCCTTCCCATTTCTGCAGCACCGCCTAGGTACCAAGGGTGTTCTGCAAACGTGTGCTATTGCGTACCCGTTGTTCTTCGCAGGGTACATTGTCATGAATCTCCTGCTTCGGGACGGTGGTCAGGCTGCTATGGTTTGGTTTTGGATACTCGGCTCCGTGGTCGCGTTCGTCGGTCCCGGCGTATCCATGGCCTTCACTGGAGTGCAACTAGCACTGAATGACGTTTCTCCAGCGTCTCAACAACTCGGGACACTCAATGGCATCGCTTTGACGTGTACTAGTGCCGTTCGTTCCGTCGTGCCTGGCGTCGCTACTGCGGTCTATGCTGTCGGAGTTCGTCATCAGATTATATGGGGCCAGCTTGCTTGGGTCATTCTCATTCCTATATCGACGGCGTTGACAATTTGTTTGAGGTGGTTACGCAATGATGCGTCATGAGGAGAAAGCCGTCTCTCGTATAAAAAGAAAATGCCATTAGTCTCTCGCAGCAGGGGCCCCTGACGTGGCATCAGCATATACTTTGGCGTCCTGAAACGGACGTCGCATTCCAAACCTTTATATATTTATCTACCTGATTTCAGTCCAAGAAAAAGAAAAAGAACAAAAAAAAAACAAATATCCTGGGCATAAGTAGGATCCTGGAGACTTTTATTTCTTCTGCTCGTCTCTCCAACTATCGAGTTGCCATGTGAAACGAAAGCGAAAACAAACTGGTATTATATAACCCGCCGAGAGGACTTGGATTTCGTGCAAATGTTGAACAGTCGTGATTGGATCTAAACGTTCTCATCTCCTGGCTTGTCGCTGGAACTTTGGTGATGGCCAGATCGTGGCCTTCGCCATTCGAACGTTGTCGTGGGCTTCGTCTTGATGGCTTGTCTGAGCTTTTCCTCGCTTCGTTGCATCCAAGCACCGGCAGATGCAGCACTAACGGGATAAAGAGGCATGTTCTCGGGGTTGAAGAAGAAGCCATAGGGGTTCTGCATATCGTAAGAGGCGATGATGTCCAACTCGGCGGCGATCTGGTCGCAAAAGCCATCCAGCGGCAAGTCGTTGACGTCTTGCCCAAAAGGGTTCTCAATTTCTCTGCCGATGAAAAGTAGTCCGAGAATAATGTAGGCGGCAGCCAAGGTTGCGGGGATGGTAACCCATTCCACGTAATTGACCAGTTGGAACGGGAGGAGCACCACGTAAAGCCAGGTAATCTGACTGATGGCAATAGAATATGCAATAGGCAGAGGAGTATTGAGCACTCGTTCGCATCCCGTCATGACGTCGTTGAGGACGACGAGGTTGTTGTAGGCCAATGTCTGCTGCATGGATACCTGGAGCTGGTCATGCCTGGCCATTTGGTCGATTGTGACAGCAATGTGATTGAGAATTTCAAGCGGAAGGTTGCCAAGCGGGCGGGTGGCCTTTTTCAGCGTCTTTCGTGGGTTGCTGGCGGCAAACGAGATGCCAAGATATTCCCCTACACCCTTGAAAAAGTTCTTTTTAGGGACAGCAACAGACGATGCATCCTTGTTTGTTGCCTCTTTGGCAAATGTGTCCAAATGCCCTACGAGATTCTGCAAATCAGGGTATGCGGCGTAGGGCTCGAAGCGGAGGGAGTGCTTGAGTGCAACAGCAAAGGCAACAAGCAGGTTCATAGAGCTGAGCTTCTTGAGAAGAGATTCTCGGGGGTCGGTGTCTGGCCGATCCAAGCCGTGGATCCAAAAGACACGTCCTAGGACCTGGGACGCCGTAACCAGGGAGGCCCAGTATTTACGGCCTTCGGCATAACGTTCATAGGCGGTTGAGTTTCTGAAAGAGAGGCCGAGACCTACGACGAAACCAGTTATGGTCAATAAAACAGACTGCACACCAAGGTTATGGACCCTGAGGCTGATGACGGTAATGGCGGTTGACCATCCGGCAATGAACAACAGGGGCAGGATCATCTTGGGAAGGATACTGCCGTGCATCTGGAGAAATATAGGCCATTTTGAGTGTTTCGAGATATCTCGTGGGCCGGTGAAGTAGTCGTCAATGTCGAGGGACGAATGGCGTGGTAACGTGAATGGCATACTGGGAACGACGGGCGAAGTTGGAGAGCGAACGTTTTCCAGCTGTGCTTGCCCGGTTGCGTGCTTCGTCTGCGTGTCCAATGTACGAACGTTTGGCTTGGACGGCTCAAACGTGGTTGCCACCTCTGCTGCACCGCCGTCGGCCATGTTGTCTGAAAAGCACGCCAGATGGAGAATGTGACGGACAGTCAGAACGAAGGGAAGGGACGGGGGAAATGACAAAGTGAGATAACGATGACGCGGAATAATTAGAGAGAAAGGATTGGAAAAGAGGAACCGCGGGGCCGGGCCTTGGGAATTAGGAAAAGACGACGAGGAGCGAAAGGCAAAGAGCCAAGCAAGCAAGCCAAAGGAACAGTGATGGAAAAGGACTGAAGTTGGGATTGGAGGTGAAGGCGACACAAGGACTGGAAAAGGAAGGAGTGGTGGTGACGGGCTGACAGGGCTCGCCTGGACCTGACACACTTATTCCTTCACTCTCAGCCTCAAACTCAAACTCACACTCACCGTGAGCTCGCGCCCATACCTGGGAGTCTGCAGCAGCAGCAGCAGCAAACAACCCATTGAAGGCTGCGCGGCGCACGGCAGTGCCCTCGGTCAAAAAAGACTCCATCATTGGTGCCAGGGGCCCGGCAGTCTGCAACCTATCAATTGGTTCATGACCCCGGTCGGCGCCGCGAGATGATACTCGGACAAAGCAGCCCGCATGCAGGCGGTACGTATTGTTTCCATCTCAAGCCCCGTTTCCATGTTGCCCCTGACCAGACGCCAAGTGTCAACGCCAAGTGCCAACGCCTAATCGTCTGTCTGGCCGACTTGCCGCAACTTAGCTCACGGCTAGGCCCGTCAAGCAAAAGTCAAAACCGCGCCAGAACACGTTTGGCGCGACTCGCGGCCACAGTAATGAAGCACGGCATTGATCGTCATGACCCTATCACCCTGAGCCCCTCGACATTTCCAGTCTCCACTGAATGTCCGCACTACTCGTGACATGGGAGGTTGTGCCCCAACCAACATGGCCACCTCACCATCGAACAGGGTCACTGGCAAAGATCAACAGTGTACTTCATGCGTCCTGCCTGCTTGAGACATCATGATCAACGAATTTATAATGCGACGGCAACATGTGGCTTGTGCCGATGCATGACGAGCAGCGGTACTGCGTGTCGTCGCGCGCGTCGTCTTTGTCTGGCCTCGGCGGAAACATCGTGGCGTCTCCATGTACATGTACTAACATGAAAAGCCTCGCAAAGACGCGCGCCACAACAGCCCATTCAACGACCGTGATACAATAGCCGCAATCGACGCCCCTGACGTCGGCTGGCCGCCGCAGGGCATCTCTATCGCCATGGACATGAAAACGGCTCAGTTTCCACCTAGCTGGATAATGAAAGGAAGAACAAGGGTGGATTTCCACTCTTCCACACCCATAGCAAACTGGTGGACATGTTTCAATCTTTCCACAAGTTTAAGCCGTCGTTCCAACAGCCAGACTCCGAAATACAACAGGCACCCTGAGGACCCTGGCAAAGCCCCTCGTAGCACCATCTCCAGACGCATAGGTCTCGCGACGCACTATAACCGCTGCGACAGTCGACGGGTTCGCCTGGTCCTTGTTGTCCATTGCCGCCATTTTTACACCGCACGAGGTCAGGCGTTCGGATACGCCAGGTTCGCCATGAAGAGCGTTGCAAGCACGACAAATTTCATCTTGGGGGTGAGCTCAGAAGCTGTGATCCAGTAGAAATTTTTTTTAAAAAAAAAACCAAATCAATAATCTGCAGTCACGCTCACTGCTTGTGTGGTCAGCTGTGCAGCTAGGCAGAAACGAAATGTGCCCCGGGAAGACGGCCTTGAAGGGCGAGGGGCCGTGAAGAAGGCATCCATCCATCATGTTCTCGGAAACCGAGAGACAGACTAGACCTTTATATATGCCAACTGCGTCGAGAATGAAGGGGAGTGCTAGCATCGGGTGTGAATCAGGACTCTTTGGACCGTTCGGAGTACAGGGTAGCCACGCAATCGCTTAGGGAGTTGTACTATTCAGGCTATAAAGCATCGTCGTTGAGGCTATGAGACCTTCGGACCTTCGCCAAGCCTGAACGGCCACGGTCGCATACGGAGTAACTACTTGGTAGGATATAAGCTGGCCCTGTTGGAACAAGCGAGTAGTCGCGTGTGGATAGTGCCCGTCTTGTTCTCGAGCCGGACTTGCTTGTAGGCCACGTGATGTTGTCACACCAAAGAAACGGGTGTGGCCACGCCACACACTATTTTGTGTGGTGTGCGACAGATGTCTGGCAATTGAATACCGCAACGACTCACGAGCGTCTGGCCACGTTATTTTTTTGTGTGACGACTGATTGGGACGAGCCAGCTTTCGTGGCTCGCGAGGCCCGCCACAAGCCGCCATGGACAGAATCATGACCATCCATCGACAGAGGTGCGGTTCCAGGCGGCCCAATTTGAAACACAGTCCCAGGGGACACAGGAACGAGTGAAATGCCGCAATCTCTGGAGTGCTTTTCCATCAGGAACTCGTAACTTTGGTCTTTGCCGTGTCGAAGGGGGGTTTGTTGCTAAGTAAGTACGTAAGTACGTAGCTGGAACTTAGCACACGTTAATTGCGCGCACATCGTCAAACCCATAGGTCCGGCACTCGTCTGCTTCGACCGCCCCACCGGCCCCGCCGTCTTGCGCTCGTCAAAGCCTCAACACCCGTCGGACTCAATCACCATCAATCACACTTGCGGTTCCGGCTTCCACGCAGGCCGGCCTGAGCCGCCTCCATCCAATTAATCTCATCATCAAAAACAATGGATCGCTCGCAACCCTCGTCGTCCAATCTGATGGGTTCGTATTCGCCGCCTCCATTCTCCCCCCCGCCGGCCCATGCTAACGCGCCAACAGACAACCACAACCGCCTCGTCGCCGACATCCTCACGCGCTACCGCACCCTCATGATGCTCGCTACCGTCCAGGCAGAGGGCGAGCGGAACAACGCCACGCCCGAGACCATGGCCGTGAGCGGCATTTCCATCAGGATGGAATTCGACTGTCTGGTACGCCGTCCTGCGGCCTGCGGCCCGACATGCCATTCTTCCCCGCAGCCCAGGTGTCCCAGGTGTCCCGCTGACGTGTGTAGAACTCGTCCATCAAGGACCTCCTTTCGCTGTCGCGCAAGATAAAGGAGCTGTGGGTCTTCGGACCGCTTGGCCAAGATGACCCCGAGCGTAAGGCAAAGGACGCTCAGATGGAGGAGCACGTCGCCATGGTCTCTGCCCTGCTCAATAGCCTTGATGGCCGGCGCATGAAGGAGTTGGCCGAGCGGTGTGGTGGATCATGGGAGGTGTTGGCGAAGGACGCAGCAGGTACGACGGCCAAGTGAGTTTGTGGTGGAAATACCCTTTGAAGCTAGGAAACACTACCCTTTTTTTCCTCAACATCTTCAGGCAGGTCAGTCGCGAGCGCAGAGCAATGTGGCGTGACTTCGTGCTCCTCAAACACCACGGCCACGTCGTGTGTGGAATCTACTTGGCCAAAATTTTACCCCTTCAACTTCTTGGGTTGTCTTATTCTGCTCCCAACGGCATGTCTTCCGCGACACGTCCTGTACATGATGCGACACATTTCAACCCTCGCCGCCCTCCGGGTTTTCATCCTCATCGCCCAGTGCCTTGTCCACTTCTGTCTTGTCGCTCTCCTTGTTCAGCTCGGCTACCTTTGTTCCTCCGGCCGACAGCCACAAAAAGTGGTTGGCCTTGAACTGGTCGATCTGGTTATAGAACCCGTGGAACCTGCGTCTCGTTAGCAAACCTCCCGTCTCGGGTGTGTGTCGTGCATTTTTCAGCTGCAGCACGTACGTATTCTCCCTTTCCTCCACTTCAAAGATTCTACTGTAGATGTGCTGCTGCTTAAACGCCTCCAGTCTCTGCTCGTATTTGCCGAAATCAATCGTCTCCTTGCCCAATGTGTCCTTGGCCCTTCTATTGTAGTTTTCAAATACCGGTCTCTCCAACAACAGTCCCAGGCCGGGGGCTTTCGGAATCGCCATCTTTTGCTCCTGGTACGAGTCACCGACCCTGTCCAGCGTGGTTCCGCAACGCACCATGAGGGAAGCCAGGCCGACCATCTTGCGGATCTGGTGCATCATGAAGCTCTGCCCGTGTACCTTGAGGGATAGCCATTCCGTGTCGCCTATGATGATGGGTTTGGGATTCACCGCGAAGGATTTGATGTGACGGCGGGCAGAGGGGTCGGAATAGGCCTTTTGGATGGTAAAGTTGTGAAAGTTATTTGTGCCAGTGTACTTGTCGAGCACCTGCTGCAGGCGCTGCAGGCGTTCGGGCGACACACGGTACCGCCGTTTAGCAGCGATGTACGTGGCTTTGATGTCGCGGAGGGCAAAATCGATGGGAGCGAGGTCGCGATGCTTGGGCTTGTGTGATTCAAGGCTTACCTTCTTGGGTTCTGGCTCTGCTGCAGTCCCGTTCGCTTCGCCTGACTTCTCCGTGACGCCATTTGCCTCGTCCGACTTTTCTGCTTCCGAAGCCGGAGCTTCTTTCTGTTCAGATTCACCGTTCTTCTTCTTCTCGTACTCCTCTGCCTCCTGGGCGTGCACCCGCTCCATCACGACTGCTCTCAACTCGTGGTCCAGCCCAGCGAGAATGGGCTTGATCTCTTTCTCCTCAACATCTGCCCAGAAGTCCTTCACATCGGCCATTACGGCGGCAACTTCCTCTTCCGCACCGTATTCCTTGTTCAGCTCCTCACACTTCTTGGCCAGGTACGTCTGTGGATGAGGCGGCAACAGACAATAGCTAGGCATCAAGTACTCGTAAAAGCGCGAGTCGCAGTACTGGTAGCAGTTGAAGCTATTGTTGGTCCTCTGGATCCCCCAAATGCGGATCTGCTCCGGCAGGTGTGCATTGATCTTCTCCACAATGTCCTCGTCCTCGATGATGAGCTTCAGGCTAATGACGTTGCCCGCGGCGTGCACTCCCTTGTCCGTTCGAGCGCACCGCGCCAGGCTGGACTTGCGAGGATCGTCAGCATTGGCCTTTGAAATGGCCTTGGCGTCGATGAAGGCTCTAAAGAGATCCCGCTCAATGGTGGCCTCGTCGCCATTCACTTGCATGCCCTTGTATCCTGTGCCAGAATACCCGATCATGACGGCAACCTTGCGTTTCGGCCGGCGCTCTTCCGAGGCTATTTCTTCCTTGGAAAAGGGGTTCTTTTTTTCAGGGGCGCCTGGTTCTCCTTTCTTGTCGCTCAGCTTGCGGCGTTTGAATTCGCGCCAGTCATCCTGCTTCTTGCGTTTCTTGTCGTTTTTTAGCTGGCGACTACAGGCTGGTGGTCAGCGTCAGGCCATGTCGCGCGCGATTATGTCTTTTGGTGCATGTTTTTACAATGACACGTGCGACATCATACCTTCGTTCTGCTCGACCCTTTTCTCCTCGCCTCCTTCCGTCGTGATTGTCGACGGATTTCTGGTCGGTTGTGCCCTCGCCGGACTCGGCACCAGTGCCAGTGGCAGGCGCGCCATCAGTCGCAGAGGCATTGCGCTCCACGACAGGGCTGCTGGTCTCGACAGAATGTTCATCGCCGGCCGCCATGACAGTATCGAGACTGGCAGTCCTGTTTTTTAGCGTCGGACGTTTGCTTGCCCGGTGCAGAGTAGCGACGAGGTGAGATTCGACTTGATGTGTCGCCAATGGGTGAGGCATGCCGGAGAAATTTCAATTCAGACAACTGATAGCGTATCGATTGCGGCGATAAGACGAGCCACCCCACCAGCCTGCCAAGATGGGCGACGTGACAAACATGTCGAGTGGAAACCCCTCGCATTCTCATCCCGAAACCGACTTCGACTGAGATGTTGAGGGAGCAGATGCGTCAAAGAACAATAGTAGCACGGTGATGAAATAGGACTGTGTCCGCCTGGCATGACACTGACAAGATGCCAGTTATGTGCTCTTCATCCAGGAAGAAGTCAAGGCAGTCGATGGCAAGTCCCCAAAGCTTCCCTTGGTGAGGGGATCGAAGATGATGAACAAGAAGAACCAAAAAGGAACACAAGTCTCCAACCGGCCTCTGGCCTTTGGTGACGGCCGTGGCGGCTCGTCCGCCCCAGACTCGAGTCTCATTCAGCATGCTTCCATACGACCCGTCTGCCAAGTCGCAGAAACTCACGACTCCCAAATGACACGTACAGATGGCATATTTACAATCCACTCAGGACACGTGAAATCCCGTCACAGCAAACTGGCCTGCCACGCTGGTACAAGATAAAGTCACGAAATATCAAGTCGATGGCCACATTCACGCCATGTTTCCCACTAGCAAGTCCCCAAGCAGATATCCACGTCGCCGGCGAGGACATGTATTGGTACAATTTGCCGTGTGAGCCGGCTCTCAGTCTTTTCGGAACATGCCAGCGCCGATTCCCCCTCGAAAAGAAACCGGCAGTTCTCATCCCTTGGTCACCAGTCAAGACGCAACGACAGCATGAATCCCATGTCAAATACAGAAGCGAAGCTTTCAAGGAGAATTACAAAGAGGCCAACTTGAAAAGAAACCCCACGACCAAAAGACATCCCGACACCACGCAGCCGATTCGTTGGCTACCGACTCCCAAGCTCGGTTCGTGGGCCGCCGTCAGGACAGTCCAGCGAACACCGGTATGCCAAGCCGCCGTCGGGGCCTCTGTACGACGCCCGAGACAGTAAACACCCGTTGAGTCTGTACACCGCCATGTTGAGCACCTGGTCGCCGGTGCCGGCATCGTCAACGACGACGTGGACCTTTCGTCGTCGATTCTTGGGCGTCATCCTGGTAGGAAGGGGGGCAATGTCAGTCACGGGTGTGGCATTCGCAAATGCTCCCATGGACGCACAATCCACCGTCTGTCCAGCCTTTTCGCCGGCCGTGGAGGTCTGTGCCTGTGCTGAAAAGGCACCGACTGTGGTCGTCGTCGTCGCTGGCTGGCGCGATGCATCCGTTGTTGACGCATCTTGCAACGCTGCCTCGGTGGCGGTCACGAGGAGCCGTGCCGAAGAAGGCTTGTTGCTGGACACCACGGTGAAGCTGGTTCCGTTCGTTCTGCCACTGTGTCAGATCTCTCTTCCCAGCCCGTCTGGCCATCGGGCTCTGGGGCTTACTTGTTAGACGCAGTCTCGTTGCTGCTCCAAGCAGGATTGATGTTGCTGTCGTGTATTCTTGCCACGACGGCCGCGACGATGAGAGCCACGAGCACCGTGATGAAGATGGATGTCAGCAGCCGTATGCAGAGCGTTCGCTTGATCTTGCGCCTGGCCTTGATGTCGTCCGGGTCGTCTTCCTCTTGGTACAGCGGCGGTGCTCGCTCGGCACCGTACGCAGGGGGCTGCCGTGGACTGGACGGCACGCTCCCTGCCAGCGTCGAGTCATCGGATGCCCGGAACGCCGAGTCGTTGTCGTTGTTGTCAGTCTCGCTGGTGCTTACGCGGGGCGTTGGGTACCGTATTGGCGGACCAAGAACGTCCATGGCAAACACGGGATGGGTGACTATCTCCAGTGAAGGGAGCGGCACGAGCTTGAAACTTGGTTCTTGTCAAAACGTCTGGTGGTGTAATAAGCGGCCAAGCATGCTGGTGAAGCTCATCATGAAACTTCTGCCCCCGATGCGGTGATGACGGCGACGCAGGGCCGACAGCAAGAATCAGAGGTGCAGGCAGCGACGGACGTTTTTTGTTGATGTTTATATTGTTTTCTGCTGGTCTTCTCTCTCTTGCCTCATGAATCACACATATCTGAGCAGCTTCCTCTCACTTGCTCGTCATCTCCTGACAAAAGAGAGCTCCGTGCCAGCTGTCACGCCCGCATCATCACGCCCTCTGGCTGGTCCTGCACTGGAATGCAACGAGGTCAGGAATGCTGCATGTCTCTCAGGAGCACCAACCACAACGCTTGATCAGAGTCATTCCCTACAGATAGGGCAACGGATGGGCAACGGATGGAAAATTCTGAGCAGCCACTGCCCTTGACTAGGCTGTGTCAAGGGTCGGCTGAGCCTGATGTTCATGCGACTGGTGACGATGGGGGTTGTCAGAGAATCGCCCAGCCCGAGTAGATTCCGAACGAATACGATGGCCACAATCAGTCCGATGCCGTCATGACTTCCATCTCCATTGGGTTCTCTGGGCTGTCCCGTGTTTCATTTTGTCACAGACCCGGCTGTGATTGAGGAGGGGATCGATCCGGCTCTCGACCTGCGTGCGCACTGCCGGGCAGCAGGGCTCATGCCGGCTGACTTGCAACGGGTTTTCGGCACCTGCCGGGCAAGGCGACGACTAGATTCTCCTTGAGATAGATCTATTCCTTGGAGAAGCATGTTTAAGTACTGCTCTGCGGCCATCGCAACAAAGTTATGGGTAACCGGACTGTATCTCTATAAGACCACCGGTCCAAAAATGGGTGTTCAAGACGCATCCAGGGAGACACACGACTCGTCAATCACCCCCGAGTTAGTTTCGCTTGTATCTTTCAATGTTTTTCTCGGCGCCACTGTATGCGCAACAGCTTGTTTGCAGACCACGTAGACAACGGTTTCGCTCGCTCGCCTCTCGCCACAACGACCAATTGGTCATCGCCATGTCTGGAAGCGCATCCTCCCTTGTGGCTAACATGATCAACAGTACGCATGAAGCGTTCTTCGCTCGCCCAGCATCGTGCTATGCTCGGTATTGACGCAGGTTCAGTCGACCCAGTTACGACTCTAACCACGGCGTCGCCAAATAGTGAATGCTCTGCGCGGAAAACGGCTGAAATGCCGTTATTCCTAGCTATATTACGTACATTCACAACTGAGTCATCTTGTCGTGTGGCTTGACGAGTGGCATTAGAGACTTTGTCCGTTTTGATAGCCATTCTAGTCCCTAACTTGAGCTCGATAAGAGAGTTGCCAATATCTACGGTCCTTACATCGTCCGAAGGAGATGAGTTCTACAGCTATCAGAGATGGACCACGAAAGACGTATTGCATTTCAAGCATAGTCACCTGACTTGGCTGATTGAACAACAGGATGCTCTTATCACCACTTTCATGTGCGATTGCACGCCTCTTGAAAGAGTCCCCAGTAGGTGATGCATCGTTTCTCTTCAGCCCAGACCGGCTTGGCGCCGCGAACCGCGTCTCTAGATTATAACGACGACGCAATAGAAGAAATTCGGTCAAAATGTCAGGGACAGCCGCTGCAGACCATATTCTCCAAGGGCCTGGGCTTATAACCAGTATTTGACGCAGGCTTACCGTCGTTCTGGTAACCGTGATTCCGCTAGTATATCCGGGGTCGATGGGTTCAACGTTAATACACTCGCTGCCAACATTCTGCAAAACAAGACTATCGCTCCCCGAATCACAGAAAAAGCGGCAGGCGTGCTGACCACTTGTGACGTAAACCAGGCCTCTCTGGAAGACTGCTGGACAACAACTAAACTCTCAGGTGTAACATGAACTGCACCAGCGGAAGATGCAAAGTTTTGGGAGGACACGCGAGGCGTGGGAGGGACAACAACCCGGGCGTCGCTCGGCATGTCGCTCAGAGATAGCTTCTGCAAAGGTGCCATGAGTAGCTGATGGCCATGCTCGTGTTGCTGCAGCTCAACCCTGAGCCTCTCCGCCACACGAGCTTGGCAAGCTCCCGAGAAGGAGTTGGTTCGCGACTCCATGCTCTTCTGGGTAGTTACTAGTAGGGACGGATGGTGATGGTGCAATGTAAAGTGGTTCGAAACGGCGAGCACCATTTAAAAATACGCTCCCTCGCTGGACTACTCAAGTTGACGGCCTTTCCACCCATGCACCACCCCTAGGCGTCGAGTTTCACGAGCCGTTGGGCATCCATCGTCGAAGCTGCTGGCTGCATCACGATTCATCACGACGCACAACGTTTTTTGAGGGGCAGCGTACTCAAGTGAGCGTGCTCACTGCTCACCCCTTCACCCTTTGATCAGCTCTCCTTTGACCAGTTTTTTCCCCTTCCGTCATCCCCATCACCAGTGACCGGCCAGACCTTCCCTACTCGCAGTCTCGCACGCATCGAATTGCCATGCCCTGGCACGAGCCCTCGTAGCGAGCAGACGCGTTGAGCCTTCGCCTGCGCCAAATGATATCGCTCGCAGCTCGCAATTATCGACATCGGAAAAGAAGAAGCAACCTCACCAAGGAACAAGCATCATGCCGAAATTATCACGGCGAAATGTAAAGGTCACGAAGGCAGAGCGGAACGGTTCAGCCATGCGTCGGGCGACCCCCGGCAAGAGAGCTTCAGCTCGGTACCAACAATCATCGCAGTTGGAGGACAACGCATCCGCCGTCACCACAGGGATCACCACTACGCGAAGCCGTAGGAGGTTAGCAGCGCAGTTGCCAGAGTTTGGCCTGCTTCCATGATGTGCATGCTGCCGACTTGCACCACACGAGGTCTCGCAATACTCAGGGTTCGCTTAGGCGTATTGACAAGCCATGCGTCAAACTCGACATGCTTTGCGTGGCACGGTATTTTTTCCATAATCACATCAAACCAGCCAATATTCTATATGAGCGTGAGCGGGGACCAGTCCTCATCGACTTCGGCCCAGCTACTGCTGCTGGTGATTTGCCTTGCAGGGGAGGCACTCCTTGGTATGTCCCGCCGAACTGCAGCGTAACTCTGCTAGAGGATTTCAAAGCGATACATTTACGTTGTGCGTGACAACATTGTATTTGCTGCGAAAATTTACATTGCCTGAAAGGACTGAGCGTTATCCTGGGTGGCAAATTGCGGAAATTCACGCGAAATCAGGACCAATGGAACTTTGGCTCGAAAACATCACACACATCCGACAGAATCTCGGATCGACGACGCTAGAAAATATAGTCAAAGACACTCTACTTGCCCTGCCGCGCAAAAGGATATCAGCACGAGGGATATTGGACAGATTCAGTGCACCTTCACCGCCTCGCGTCATTTACGAACCGGGCCAGACCCAGGACCGTCAACGGTAAATGAAATACCTGGGTGTTTTCAGGGATGTGCGCGCATTCAGAGATTTGGCCAACGCACAGCAACACGAAATCCAGGACTGTCACACAAATGCGCCAAGCCGAGGAAGATCATCCGGCGATGACAAGACTGGGCAGGTCAACCGCTATGATATGGAACAGAATGCCACGAGATCTAGCCATCGACGACGTTTCACCCATCTTTATGACTAGCAGACAGGCACGTGCCGTAGAGTTGAGCCCGGCGTCCGTCGTGATAGCGGAAGGTTCAACGCAGAGCCTTGGTAACGGTGCCACGGTTCTCCGAGACTCCGGAATGTCATACGCTGGCCCCTGAATGCAACGTCATCATGTCAGGGCGTCGAGAATCGGTTGTCAAGTACGGCGCACTCCGCACGTCTTGCATTAGCTTGATAGCAAGCGTCGCCGAGATGAAATGCTGGCGTGGTAGCCAGCAAAATGGACATGTTGGGATTCTTGGAACCTAGGCCACCAGCATTCTGTCAAATGAAGCAAGCTTCAGCAAGCGTCACTGAATGCCGCCGTGCATCAATCGAAGTCTCAGGGGGAGATGTTTGTGAATCGGGACACGGGAAATGCCAAAGCTCTGTCGCGAGAGACATGATGTCTTTTTTCCTCAGACATGATCCATGGCCGTTTTGAGCTTGCCATGCGCATGTGATTGGTCCAATTTAAACAGCTGCCCCACCTGTGCCCTTTTATAGACTGGCGCGCTGATCTCTTGTTTGCCCATGATGGCGCAATTGTCGTACGGAGATGACAAAGGGACTTGATGAAGCGCATTTGATTTTTCCCGACGCACGCCATCGCTAGCGTGAAGTTGCGGCTTCCGCCACGGCCTGTGCGAGGCTCGGGTGCACACCGCGTGGCACATTAGGACTGACAGTCAAGAGAATCGAGCACGAAAGCGACTGTCAGCGTGCAAGACTTGACTTGATTGACAACACAAGGGGCCGGCGATGAGACTGGCAGATGGATGAGAAAGGGAGAAAGGATAAAGATAAAAAACTTCGAGTCGCGTCTTGTCTGCCCGTGCCGGATCCGGCCCTGGGTCCCTCCCTGACTCTGGGTCGGCGGTCGGTGGGACCCGAGAGCCGCTTGCGAGGCAAGGAAGGCGCGGCAGAGGCTCGCGACTGCCACTTTGGTTTGATTCGCGGGACCCCCGCTATCCGACACCTGTCTGTACAAATGGAAATTGGAACTGGAGCAAGTGGACCCCTCAGGACCCTCACAACCTCGTGGTTCTTGCCGCCGTCACTTTAGCAGCCGAACCGTAATCCAACATTCCGCCTTTCTGCCACCTCGCCTCCTGCTTACAGTGCAGTGCGCCTCTCCTGGAGCACGCCATCACTTTCCTGGCACGCATCACCGACGTGAAACATCCATGGCCTTGCGCGGCCTCGACAGTATTTAGTCTTTTCTGCGCCCAGACCCGGCCCCCGGCCTCTCGCCTCCATGGACACGTCTGCGCACCTCAACGGCCACCGCCAGCATGTGTCTGCGGCGCTGACTCCAAATCATGATCAACACTACCTCTCTTCGTCCAGTACTTGTCGGGACGACACTGCGACGGACCATTCCGCACAATCATTGACAGCCCTCTCGCCCGGCCTTCCTCCTGCCCAACAACCCTCCCGAGACAGCTGCGATCGGTTGAGGCCCCAAGAAGAGGACAATACTCGCCTCAAGAAGATGGCGTCTGAACTCGTCGTCAAGACGGTCAGCCCGTTCCTCAAGGAACACATCCCTGGACTCTACGCGCCGGTTGGAAAAGACAGCACCAAGACTGGCGCAAAAGGCCCGGCAACGTGGACTCGCGTCAAGGATCCCAATACCAGATTCTGTTACCGCCATCGTCCCGACTCAAAGTGTCGCCGGGCAGCGGACGAGACCAAGATGGGCTTCATCCAATCTGTAGGTTGCCCCTTGCGCTTTGGACAAGACGGCATGGAACACATGACTGACTCACTCGCAGGAACTCAACAGCCTTCCCACCGCCGACCAGGAAGCCATTACACATGTTTGGTCGCTCTTCTCCGCGGCGCCGTCGAAACAGCGAGAGCTGATGTTGCAGGGGATCATCACGCAATGTTGCTTCCCCCAGCTGTCCACGGTTTCCCGCGAAGTTCATGAACAACTCAAGATCGACTTTCTCGCCGCCCTACCGACGGAATTATCGTACAAGATCCTGAGTCACCTTGATACCGTGTCGCTGTGCAAAGCTGCCCAGGTCAGTCGACGATGGCGCAGCTTGGCAGATGATGACGTTGTGTGGCACAGGATGTGCGAGCAACACATTGATAGAAAATGCACCAAATGCGGCTGGGGTCTGCCGCTCCTCGAAAAGAAAAAGCTCATGGCGTGGAGCCGACATCAATCTGCCCACCGCCGTCACGACCAAGCAGAGCGCGCGGAGCCCTCCATTGAGACAAACGGCCACGCTGCAGGCTCTCCCGAATCGAACAAGCGACGCAACCCCAGCGCTGACGACGGGCCATCCAAAAGACCGCGGCTTGACGGTCCCAGCAATTCCCGGTCTCATCTCGACAGCGAGCGCAAGTTCCGCCCGTGGAAGGATGTGTACCGTGATCGTTTCAAGGTTGGATTCAACTGGAAGACTGGCCGATGTACCATTAAGACGTTCAGGGGACACGAGAACGGAATCACCTGCCTTCAATTTGACCACAACGTCTTGGCGACGGGCTCCTACGACACTACCATCAAGGTTTGGAACATTGAGACTGGTGAAGTCATTCGGACGCTTCGTGGTCACAACTCGACCGTTCGCTGTCTGCAGTTTGACGATTCCAAGCTGATTAGCGGAAGCTTTGACAAGACCATCAAGATATGGAACTGGCAGACTGGAGAGTGTCTCAGCACTTTACAATGTCACACCGAGGGCGTCCTGTCTGTCCACTTTGACGGATGCACGCTCGCCTCTGGATCGATCGACAGGACGGTCAAGATTTTCAGCTTTGGCAACAAGGAGACCTTCTCGCTGCGTGGCCACACAGACTGGGTCAACCACGTCCGAATTGACTCGCCGTCGAGGACCGTGTTTTCCGCGTCCGACGACATGACCGTCAAGCTGTGGGATCTGGATTCGAAGCAGTGCATCAAGACCCTCCGCGGCCACGTCGGCCAAGTGCAGCAGGTGCTCCTGATGCCACCGGACTTTGAGCCGGACGGAGTCCCCGGCGACGACAAGGCCGACGCCACCTCGGTACACAGCGACGGCAGCGCGACGCCGACACCGACCCCAGAGCAGCCAGTCGACGCGAGAGCATCTTTTGGTTGTAGCTTCACGCACGACGCGTCAAGACCTCTGCCGCCGCGATACATGCTGACGGGTGGTCTGGACAATACGGTCCGACTCTGGGACACAGTCACGGGCAAATGCATCAGGAGCATGTTTGGCCACGTCGAAGGCATCTGGGGTCTGGTGGGCGACACGCTACGTGTCGTCACGGGCGCCAACGACTCCATGACCAAGATTTGGGAGCCTCGGTCGGGAAAGTGCGAGCGAAGTTTCACGGGCCACGCGGGACCAGTCACTTGCGTCGGTCTCAGCGACAGCCGCATGGCCAGTGGCAGCGAAGACGGCGAAGTGCGCATGTACAGCTTTGAAGGCGAGACTTTGGAAGAACGAGGGACGCCGTCATGAATTCTATACGGAGCTGGATCCAATATGGTTGTTCTTTTTTGGTGGGGGGGGGGGGGCTTCATGTCGGATCGCAATTCGTTTTCTTGTTGCCGCAACAGGTATTGCCGGCGTATAGTAGGTGTTTGGTTTGAGATACCACCCGCATGCAGATGCAGTTGCAGATACAGATGCTCTTCGTTACACTGTACATGAATGGACTTGTCCGACCGACGGCGGCATTTTGTCGCGCCTACGAAGCACCCCTTGGGGGATCCAAAATAGACGCAGTCAAGGACAGACAGCGCCTGTGTACGGTGTGACAGATGCTAGTTACTTGGCACCTGACCCGGCGCATGTCAGGCTAGTAGATGAAGTGTCGGGAATACCAGGTGTGCTCAACATGAGACGCGACGTAGGAACGGTTTGGCCCTTGATTTGCGTCGAGGTGTGGTTGCAGTTGCAGTTGCAGTTGCATTCTCTAGATCGCGGTCCAGGGCCAGGGGGTGCGGCCGAGTGTGATCTCGGCGACCGGCGCCACGGCCGAGGAGGAATTCCGAAACAGACGCAGCCTGGGAGCATGGCTGCAGGGCAGCATCTTGAACACGCATCAGGCGCGGGCACGAGCGTGCACTCTATCCAGACAAGACAAGCCGGTCTCGGGGCCGTCGACTCACTGCCACCCGGTGGGCTGAGGCCGACCGCGTGGCTGGACTTGACCTGGCACGAGTCCAGCCGTGCCCTCGGGAAAGGGACCAAAGTCGTCAGTCCAGGCCGAACCGAGTTATCAATCTCCAAGGTCCAAGGGTGGACGGTGGGCAGTGCGCGGAGGCAGACGGACCTCGGTAAAGCACGGCAAGCCGTCTGGCCAATTGGAGGCCGGGGCCGACTGGCCCAAGATCACAAGCTCGGCTGCGCGCGCGGCTGTGGCCCTCCGGCTGGGGAGGCAGGCAGGCGGGCAGCGACGCAACAGCAGCGCTGGCAGCCGTTGGTTGGTTGGAGCAGCGTCGCCCGTCCGTCCGTCCGCCCGGCACTGCAGCAGGGGGGAACCGGCGCCTGGGCCCGACAAAGGAGGAAGAAGAAGAGGCAAAGGACCAGATCGTGGCGCCTGGGCGCGCCGCACTGCCATCGAACCCGATGGCGCCCCGCCACGGCGGCGCAGGCCCGGAATCATATGTCAAAAACCAAGGCGCCCCGACGTCTTGCGCGTGACTCTGGTCGCCTTTGCAGCGGCGACTGTTTTCGTCCTCGTTTCTGTTCTTCTCTCGCTCACCCCTCCTTGCAAGTGTTTCTGAGGCTTTCGTTATTTTCCCCGATTTCAGGGCGAGATTCATCGTCTCTACTGCTCCGGCATTGCTCCCGAGGTATTCTCCATCTCTGCCCCTCGTCGCGCTGCGGGGGGCTCGCTCACGACGGCGGCGTTGACTGACGTGGGCGCAAGCAGAGTCGCAGGTCGCAGGGTCGCAGGGTCGAGCGGCAGGAAAGAAGCAGGGAAGGAAAGAAAGAAACAGAGAGGGAGCGCACGTCGCGATGCCCGCAAGCGACGGCAATCGCAAGCCGCCCACGGCGGCGGTCAACCTCATCGGTTCGTGTGTGGCCGCGACCCCGAGACGCAGCGCAGCGCAGTGCTAACGCGGACGACTTGTCGTCGCGCAGCCGGCGGCGGTGCCGGCATGATGGAGGCGCTCGCCTGCCACCCGCTCGGTACGTCCGGCCGCCTCTGGCCTCGTCTCTGCACTCCTCGGCTGACGGCTGACGGCTGACGGCTGACTCCCGGCTCGCACCCGCGCAGACACCATCAAGGTCCGGATGCAGCTCTCGCGGCGGGCGCGGCAGCCCGGCGCGCCCAAGCGCGGCTTCGTCAAGACCGGGGTCGAAATCGTCCGCAAGGAGACGCCGCTCGGGCTGTACAAGGGCCTGGGCGCGGTGCTGACGGGCATCGTGCCCAAGATGGCCATCCGCTTCACGTCCTTCGAGGCCTACAAGCAGCTGCTGGCCGACGAGGCCACGGGCGGCGTCGTGTCGGGCCGGGCGACCTTCGCGGCGGGGCTGGCGGCGGGCGTCACCGAGGCCGTCGCCGTCGTCACCCCCATGGAGGTCATCAAGATCCGGCTCCAGGCGCAGCACCACTCCATGGCCGACCCGCTCGACGTCCCCAAGTACCGCAACGCCGCGCACGCCCTGTACACCGTCGTCCGCGAGGAGGGCTTCGGCGCCCTCTACCGCGGCGTCAGCCTGACCGCCCTGCGCCAGGGCACCAACCAGGCCGTCAACTTCACCGCCTACAGCTACTTCAAGGCCTGGCTGAAGCAGTGGCAGCCGCAGTACGAGGCCGCCAACCTGCCCAGCTGGCAGACCACCCTCATCGGCCTCGTCTCCGGCGCCATGGGGCCCCTGAGCAACGCCCCCATCGACACCATCAAGACGCGCCTGCAGAAGACGCCTGCCCCGCCGGGCGTCGGCGCCTGGGCGAGGATCACGGCCATTGCCGCCGACATGTTCAAGTGCGCGGGCCCTTTTCTTTTTTCTTTCTTCTTCTTTTTTTTTTATTCCCATAACCAACTTCTTTTTCCCACTGACGGCTGACAATCACCGCGCAGGCAAGAAGGCTTCCACGCCTTCTACAAGGGCATCACCCCCCGCATCATGCGCGTCGCCCCCGGCCAGGCCGTCACCTTTACCGTCTACGAATTCCTGAGACAGCGCATCGAGAAGAGCAACCTGTCTTTTGTCGGCGGCACCTACGAGGAGTGATGAGTGGCCCGTGCTTCACCCCGCGCGCGCACAGCCACAAGTTGTGCTTGGACAAGAAAAAACTTCATAAAATAATCAAGAGAAAAGAAGGAACGAAAGGAAAATCAAAAAAAGACAATAGGGGCAGCCCCCTGGAAGTCGAGACGCGCCGCGCCCGCCCGCCGTCGTGACAGGATGCAGGTTGCAACGTTAGGCATGCTACTGTTCTTCCTTGCCGTCATTTATGTATTTCGTTTCCTGTTTGCACATCTTTTGCGGTCCGTGCCGCTTTCACGTTTGCACAACCGGGGACGTTTGGGAATTTTGCACAGTTGATCACTCGGATGGGAAATGTCCCCGTTGCTCGTAGTAAATTTAGACTTTCTTTCCCTCCTTCTTCTCCTTCTTCCTCTCCTTCTTCCTCTCCTTCCATCGTCATAGTCGTAACCGTCTAAAAGCGCGTGCGCACCGCTTCCGTGGGCTGAATCAGTTACCGGCCAGGCCGCTTCGGCCTGCTGAACCCCGACTTGGTCGTAGTCTTGGGGTGCAAGTCGTCCATGACGGACTGCTCCGTTATTTCACTCGGCTCCTCGACCTCAAACTTCTTCTCCAGAGTCAGGCCGGCCTCCTTGGCGGCGATTTCCAGCACCGCTCGCTTCATCAATGGGTACAGCATGCGGTTCTTGATAGACTTGTTGCCGGGCGTCAGTGGGCATGTGTAGAAGAAGAGAACCGGCGACTGCTCCGTGCCGTCGTGTCTGTGTCTGAATCTGTAAAACGTGAATCGGGGCTCCGTGGTGGAAATCGCCCCGGCCAGCTCGCCAATCGACGTTGGCCGGGGTGATTCGGGGAGCAACTCCACGGATTCGCTGTCGGGGTTGATTGTCTGCGAGCCCGTCGTCAGATCAAGCTTCCCTGGGTTTGGGTTTGGTGCCCTCCCTCCGACTCACCAGCATGGTCACTACACGTCCATCGTCCTGGCCCAACTCTTTCAAAGCGGCGACAGCGTCCTCCGCCATGGGCATGGCAAAGCTCTTGCTCAAATGGATCTCCCTCGTTCCCGTGCCAGATCCCGCCTCCTGCTCCGCGCGCTTGACCTCTCCCAGGGTGCGTTCCTCCTCTGTCAACGGAGCCGCGAGCTGGGCGTGTGCATCGTGCCTCTCGAACCCGTTTTCGCTCAGTTCGTCCGCACTTGTCACGAACATGGTCTCTCTGAAATGCTCCGACCCCAACTCCCGCACGAGCGTCAGTCTCGTGGATGCAAACAGCATCTTCTGTCGTACCTGCGCAGCGTCTGGGACATAAGATATTGCCGTTAGGCGGGGCACGTCATCGTAGCGGCGAAGTAGCATATAGAGGGGGACGTTGGGCTTCAGGTGACTCTGTAAACTCGACAAGTTTTCAAGGAAGGATGACCCCTTGGATGGAAGAGTCGTAATGGGTACCAACGCCTCCTTTTCAATGCCAACAATGACGCCGAAGCTTGACGGCGACGTCAGCAGCGAGTTGAACTCGGCTTGGAGCTCCTCCGAAGCTATAAATTGTGCGTCAGCAGCTTTCCTTGCGCGGCTGGATCAGATCGTGTCTACCTGAAATTCCAGATTGCATCTTGAACTGGTTCTCGGGGGGTCAATGCAAGCTTGAATGGACCGTCGTCACAATTCCCGCTCCGCGAATTAACTACTGATTACGTGGGTTGGGGGAAGGAGGGGCGCGGGGTGGGCAGACCAACCGTTGGTTGCCCCGCTACGCTCGCTGCACGACTGGTGATCAAGGACCGATGTTGGGGCAGACCTGTTGTCTTACCCTGAACAGACAAACGTACGAAGCGTAGTACTTAACACGCTTATTTTGGCGTTTTGCGACTTTAATGTGATAGTTTCAAAGATATCTGGGCGTTGGGGGCTGCTGGTGATCGAAAACATTTCTTCTCTCATTCCGCGGGCCTCACAGACACCAGTGTAAAGTATTTCCTACCTACTGGACACAGAGTCATCCCTATTCTTGAGTACTACTCAGAAGCACGTTCAAGTTAAAGCACAAAACTCACATCAACAACAGGCGCAAAATACAGGACAGGTATATTTTGGCTTTAGGTACAGTTTGTGACGGACATTAGACAGTGGTTTTATAATATATACTTGGTGACCACTCAGAGGTACTACGTGGCTTTCAACTTTCACTCCAGCTATCAACCAACGTCCAAAACTGGCCCAAAAAGAACTAATCGAGATGCTCGCTGCCGCCGCATTGCATGTCGTATATTTGTGGCAAAAGAATGGACATTCTCTTACTTTGCTTACATGATAATTGCCGCAATAAAAGCCAAGCCTCCAATGGTCGCCAGCGGCGGGACCATGCTGTGGGTAGAATCTGAGCCTGGCACTTGAGCTGGAATTGGTGGTTGCCCGGTTGGGTCGGCAACATCTGAAGGATGAGACCAGACAGTGCTTGTTGAAAGCTGGTTTGGATCATCTTGGCTTTGGCCTGGGATGCTGCTAGCTGTGGCCGCAGGATCCTGCTCACTCCCCGAGGTGTATGGATCCGGATATGACTGGGCAGATGCAACAGGCGATGTCACCGGCCCGACTGCCGAAGTAGGGACCTCAGGAGTGCTGGCGTCCGACGTATATATTGGAGGCGAGGCAGTGCTTGCTCCATATGGTGCCGGCACGGCAGAGCTTGCAGTAACACTGGCAGGATCTTCTTCGCAAGTCGTGCTTGGTTGTGCCACAGTTGGTTCTTCAGCCGCTGAGCTTTGTTCTTCGGAGCATGAGGTAGTTAGCTCCGTTGGGCTGGGAGGTATTCCGCTGGAGGTTGCGGGACTGGTAGATAACACGAAAGTGAACGTCGTAGGTATTCCAGGCGCTGTTCCAACAGGGGTGATGAGACCTCCTGGGAGCTGTTCAGTCACTGGAGCCTGGTCAGACGTGGTGCAATCCTCAGAGCTGACCGAAGTGATTGGAAGAGCGAGGGTGGAAGTGGTATGTATGGTCACGACTTGAGGTTGCTGACTGGCTGCCGCCGTCTTCGTGTAGACATTCGCAATTCCGGGACCTTCAGCTGGGCAAATGCTCCCGCACATGCCATGCTTTGGATCTCCCAAGCATGGATTATTGCAGGCTCTTTCGTCAAGGGCCTTGATCACGTTGGCATCATCCCCGCAGCGACAATCACTAGAGGCGTTAGATATGGACAGGTTCTGGAGTGTCGAGTTCGTCAAACTCACGCTGGAAACAGGGCAGCGAATTGATGGCCTTGACAAGCCCGCTGACACATTTCCGGAGTGGTAGGCTCATCATTCAAAAGAACAGGTGGTGTAAAGCATGACATGTCCACAGAAGAGCATCCCTGATATGCGAAGGAGTCGATGGCGTGGTCGGCCTGAGCCAGCACCGTGGCAGCCACGCCCAGGGCAAGAAGCAGCATTGAGGCACCCATCATAGGTTCGTGCAGTGCAACAGTCTGGCGTGGCGAGGGCCTCAAGGAGTGAGGTGAAAGGTTGGCTCAAGTATCGAGGAAAGGGGGCTATGAATAAGGACCTTAATGAGGGACAGAAGTCGGGAAGGTTGGAAAAGATATGAGATGGAGAGAGGATGAGTTTGGAGCACGACATTTATCGAGGTGGAAAAACAAGGAGAAGAATATTGGAACTGGAAAGAGCACTGTATTTCTCCATGAATAACAGGTGCCGTTTGAGCTGTTACTCCAAAGGAAGGAGCAGTGACTCAGCAGGGTCGTGCCATCCGTTGACAGCTGCCAGCATCCTTGTCATCACAGCTGCTGTCAGGCATTTCGAAGACGAGGCTCAACCTCCAGCACTGGATTTCCAGACGCTGAAAATATTTCATGATGAAGAGGATCCCGACCCCTGGGTCGTGAGCCTAGGTCTCCGGTTTACTCATGTGTTAACGTGGCAAACATGAGATAAAGGAGGCGATCCGTTCCGTGCTTGCCCAGCAGGCTCCAGAAAGCATTATGAAAGTGATTGACCATCCAAGGCAGTATACGGCACCCATGTCAACGCACCTGTTGTACTCCGGGCATGGCTCGGCATCGTGGTGTGCGGTGCGTGGTCTGCTTGCCGCGATTGCCGTGCACGTACCACCCACGTGCAATGGCCCGTGACCACACACAAAATTTTGAAGCCCCACCTTTATCAGGGCACGAAAGCCCCAATTTAGCGAACAGCTCGACTCGTGCAAAACTTCTGAACCCGTCTCACCACCAATTACTCCAACCATCATCGCTGTGCACCACCCGTCAAGATGAGCACCCAGGCCCTGAACAAGATCGCCGCCAACAGCCCTTCGCGGCAGAACCCGTCAGAGCTTGAGCAGAGCATTGCTCAAGCTCTCTACGATCTCGAGACCAACACTGCCGACCTCAAGGTTGCCCTGCGACCTTTGCAGTTCGTCTCTGCCCGCGAGGTGAGAACCTGAACACCCAAGAAGATCAGATCCCCGGCCCAGGCGCCTTTCGAGATCCTGTTCCCAAAAGAAAACCATACAATGGCTACGACCGGCATCCTCTGAAGTACTAAAGACGATTGGAGCCATCACTGGCTACGACGGCGTGTTGGAAGATGACGTTGTACCAGGCTAGAAATAGCCTGCCACAAAACTCCTACAAGCTTCATTTGGGGATGCTCGCCGGAACCAGCGTACAATTGGCTTGTGGAACAGGACGGGAAGCGGTCCAAGGCTACGCCCTGGAGCTCGCATGCTGACTTTGGGTCTTGATTAGATCGAAGTCGGCCACGGCAAGAAGGCTGTTGTCATCTTTGTCCCCGTCCCTTCCCTGCAGGGCTTCCACCGTGTTCAGCAGCGGTAAGTTGATCATGATTGTTTTTTTTCCCTTTCCTTTCTGGGCCTCCACAACTGCCGTGAGGAGTAGTGCTAATCTGATACAGCCTGACCCGCGAGCTCGAGAAGAAGTTCTCTGACCGCCACGTCTTGATCCTCGCGTCGCGTCGCATCCTGCCCCGCCCGAAGCGGTCTGCCCGCTCCCGCAACACCCAGAAGCAGAAGCGGCCCCGTTCCCGCACTCTAACCGCCGTCCACGATGCCATCCTGGCCGACCTGTGCTTCCCCGTCGAGATTGTTGGCAAGCGTATCCGCACCAAGGAGGATGGCAGCAAACAGCTCAAGGTTGTTCTTGACGAGAAAGAGCGCGTTGGCGTTGACTACAGACTCGACACCTACGCCGAGGTGTACCGCCGCCTCACTGGTCGCAATGTGACCTTTGAGTTCCCTCAGATCGCCAGCGCTGAGTTCTAAACTGAAGAGTAGTTTTTTTTTTTTTGAAAAAAAAAAAAGGCATTGGCATGGCAATCGTGGTGTCGGGGGTAGGATGCTGGGTGTGCTTTCATCTGTCACAACTTGATGGTTGGTCAACAAAAAAGGGGGCTTTTGGCGTCTTAATGATTATGGTAGCTTGATAATGACACAAGCTGCCTCATGGTACTCATTGATCAATCACCGACCACTCTGTTGTGCCCATGGAAAAAAACAGCCATCTGCTCAATACGGGGTATCAGAATAAATGTGCGCTGTGCCTATTTCATTCGTGACTGATGCGTCCGACGCCGAGAACACACCAATATGCCAGCTCCCTCTTCTCTTTGGCTTCCTTGTCCTTTCCAAGCGCCGGGACTACATCATGCTGGGGATCCGCCTCCCACTCGATGCGTATAAACATGGGTATCTCCAGAACGTCCTCGTCCTCTTTCAAGGGACCATGGTCCACGTCGTCCTTGTCCCTTCCCAGCAGGAACTGATGCTCCGGCCGCAGGGATGCAGGGACGACTTCGAGTATAATGCTTACCCAGTTGCGGCCCCTTTCCCATATTTTGGCCACTTCTCCCTGGGCGGCACCATCGTCTCTCTTGCGGCCCCCGTCCTTGCCTTCGTCTTTCAAAGCGTCGTCCCACATGTCAGTGTTGGCGTCGACTTCGAACTCGGGACACAAAACGGTGACTTTACTGGCAAACCTTCCAGGTGTAGTGTTTGGCGTCGCCAGCGTCACCTTGATGCTTTCAAAGAGCGGGTTTTTAAAGGTCAGGATGTACTGGTGCGGTCTCAGCGGTCTCAGCGGCGCCTCGTCGTTGGTAGCCGGCCGAGATGTGACAGGCACAGGCGCCGCCGTCGGGTGCATGGGACGGATCGTGATGGTGGGGATGTACGATTTGGCCACGAGCCGAATCTTGAACCTCGTGGACGTGACTTTGTTCTCGGGTTTGGAGATGATGTGGCGGCAGACGGGGCAGCGCTTGGAGCGCTTGGTACGCAGCAGATACGGTATGGGCCGCAGCTCATCTTGAAAGCGCCCTGCCAAGACGTGGTGGGCACGCTGCTCTGAGGAAGTAGTGGCTTGCCATCCGCCGCGGGTCAACTTCTCGATCAAGCCTGACTCGTCCAGTTGGGGCAGCTTGAAGCCCTCCTCCGAGCTCTGTGCCTCGCGCATGATCTCCGCCGGGCCCTGCTGCATCCGCCCGGGATGACTGCGGCCGGTGTACAGCGACATTATCCTCGACAGAGCGGCCGGCGAGGAGAACCCCACGCCGCCTTGCAGCGGCATGTTGTTGAGCGACGGATTCGCATTCGCTAGTTGATCTTGATAAAAGGCTCTCAAGGCTGCAAACTGCAGATCGCGGTCGACCTGATGGTCCGGGAGTGGCGCCTCGTCTGGATTCTCTTTCCGCCTCTCCTTGACGTCCCTGATGGTAATCTTTGGGGTGCCGCCGTTGTTCAGCTTGCCGAGCTGCGAGTGGATGCCGCTCGGTCGGTCGAATTGGATTCCGATATCAGTGGAGGACCAGTTGCAGTATTGGCAGAATAGCGCGTAGGGGCCGCTGGTCGAGGCTGGCTGGCCCTCGGGAGGAAGCAGGTTGCTGGCATCAGATGCTGGCTGCATCGCGCTGACCTGCAGCGGCCCGATACATGTTGGACATTGATAGCAGCTCCGAGTGCACCTAGAGTTGCATTGTTAGCTTCTCGACCGGGCACCAAACTCTTTGCTTCGCAGGCTATACCTGTTGCCCTCGCTTCGCAGGTTGCTGCTAGGAACCTCGAACAGGCAGTTCGGACAGTAGTAGGTCACAGTCTCCTCTGTAACACACCTCGGACACCGTATCTGCTGGCAATCTTCGCAGTACAGCAGATGCCCCAGCGGGTACAAACTGTAGTTTGATCGCGGGGCGCGTGGGTCGAAGGTTCGCTCGTCATCGTCAAGATGCTCATTCTCCGAGGCATTGGCGCCGTCGGCGACTGACTGATCTGAACATGGGCACTGGATGAATATGTACGGAGTTGGACACGCCATTTTCGAACATATGTCTATGTTCGTTGTGGGCGTTGACCAGAAATCGATTGCATTTTTTTCGGTTTTGGTACCCAGACGCGTGAGCGCGACACGGGCTGTCAAGTTGTGAACTTGGCTACAGCAACTGAAGCGGCGGCTCCACCGACGAGCCGTCGACACGGATCAAGGCGAGCTCCGCGACTCCGACGAACTCGGACAGGACTCACAGGCCGGCCGTTGTCACGTGACTGAACAGCCGTTGTTCTGGTCCCGATTCCATGGCCACCTGTGTATGGAGCAAGGATGATGACTACAGAGTAGTAGGAAATACTACCTCAAAAGACAGAGGAGCTCGACTAGGAATCGTGGTGACGGTAAAACACCAGCAATCTCTACATTTACCAAGAGCCACATTGCCCTCATCAGCATCAGTCATGATGGTCACTTGGGACGGGGTACCTTGGGACGGGGTACCCAGTGCTCCGGACTCCGGAGGTGATATCAGAATCTCGATCCATTGACCTCGTCACAATGACGGCTTTTTTCTTGGCCCGCCTCAACCCTGGTTTTCAAGCAAGGACTCTCCGACTGGGCGTTTCCCATTCTGGAATGGAACTGGCTCGTTGGCGCCGGATTGAGGCTGCTGCTGGATGTGCGGAGAGTCCATGCAAGAAATCGACATCACGTCATGGCGGCCTGGTCCATTTGGAAAAACATGGCTTGGCTTGACCAATGCCTTCGTTGCCTCTGCAGTCTTTGTTGGGATGCGGTCAATGCCGGGAAAGCAAGCGTAGTGAAGAATATAAATATACCTACTGAAGTACACAAGTACGGAGTACCTACCTAGGTACCTAAGTACCTATGCAAAACACCTGTCCTCAAGTACCTAGGTACTTACGGGGCCATGGCCCGGGGTTGCGGGCGCAACAGTTGGAAAGAGGCAGGCCGAGTCTACCATATGTGCCGAGTACGGGGCACCACACCTACTTGCGCGCCCGAGTACTTAGGCAGGAAGTGAAACAGGAACCTGGGTTACTAGTACGGAGCACTCTGTAGGATGCTTTAATCGAGCTGAGCCAGCGCTATGATTACGTGCCCTACGTACGGAGTACTGCTACTTAAGTAAGCAAGTAAGTTACTCAAGTACTTGGACGGATGCGTCCTGCGAAATAAGGATTAGCGCAGTGCCGCGAGTGGGCTGCTTTCAGCTCCCGTCCTCGCTCGCCGCCAGGAGGCCCCACACGTAGAGGCTGGGAGGCCGGGAGGCTGGTGGCTGGTGGAGGGTGGCCGAGGGACAAATCGTCTCGGTGATGTGCAAGGTGAAGCTTAAAAATGCCCTCCCTGACAGACATGGCAGTGGGCCGCTTTCTGTCCTCTGACGTTTCAAGTCCGCCTGAGCGAAACTCCCCTTTGCCACCGCACAAAGTCGCACAAAGGCGTGCCTGGCGATGCCGAAGACGGCAGGCCGTCCTTGGAGCCGGGGTCCGTTGATGGAGCGCCTGAGCGCCTGCAGTGAGTGAGTGACACGGCCATGACGGAATCCGTACATCGGTTGAGATGATGATTGAATTTAGCATGCATCTGATTCATACTAGCGCCAAACAGCTCACCAGAGACTTAGCCCCAGGCGCTTGTCGCCGTGCCCTGCAATCAGCGCCGGCCGTGGCTGCAACCGGTACTCGGTACTTGAGCGCCTTGTGGGCGCTGTGCGCAATTGCCCGCATGCCCGACCAGCCGATGACATGCTGCAGCTGTACTCCGTACAAGCGAGCACTGGCCACCCGGCGCCATGTCTGCAATCTGCAATCTGCAATCTGCACCTGGCACAATGCACTATGCGTCGACGGCTCAGTGGCTCAACGCTCACTCAACGGGTGGCTCATTTGCCGCCAAGATGCTGTGGGCCGGGCCATGACGGTCCACGGATTTGCATGGGCCGGACATGGGCATCGTGATGGAAATTCCGGCGACCCCATCCATGGACGGGGCGTTGGGCAGTGGCGAGCGTATTCGGCACCACGTTCCTGGAATCCTGACCCGTTCAAGCATGGGAACGCAAATCCCAAGTCGCCCTAATAAGCTGCCGGCCCAGTTGCCGTCCTGCCGTTGCGTCTCGACCTACTTTCTTCCCCAAGCTTCGTGCCTTCTCGGACCACCGCTTCCTTGTCCTTCGTCTCCCAGCCCCACGGGTTGTGCTGTGGCCGGAGGTTTGGCTCGCAATCCTTCCATTGACTTGGTAGGCTCTGCAATCAACGAGTCGATTGCAGACTCGCACGCCTCTTGAGACGGCCAAGCTCTGCTCCCCCTTCTACAATGGCGGCGCGTTGGGAGACGTCCCTGCTCCAGCTTGCCCATTAAGCGTTTGCCTACGGCGGTTCGAATTTGCTTCCCACGAGGAGCCATCACGTCGCCTCGGCCTCATCGCCCAACACGCCATTCCGTTGAACCAGGCAATCCAGGGCCTGGAGTATCATGCCCTCACCGCCGCGACCGACGGCAGACGCTGTCCCAGAACCGGCCAGTCGCCGCCATTGTGCAAGTCATGGCTCTCGTTGTCATGCCACGAACCCCAACGCTTCCACGTCCAGCCCCAGGCTGAAGAAGTGGGACGGAGCAGGATCTTCCTGTACAGCTTGGGACGGGTCACAGAAGGTACGATTGTCCTGCGCCCTCCTACCGGCTCTACTGACCGCGTGTGTGTGACGAGACTACAGGATCGTGAGCTTTGGATCAGCAACAGTAACTGCCTTGTCCATCTCCACAGCAAGGAGGCTACCAAAGACGGGCATGTGACGAAGACGCCCGTGTTCAAATTGCCCTTTTCCCTACTCCTCATGACAAGATGCTATCCCCTGATAGCGCGGTTTTTGGTCATCAACAGCCCTGGCGAGCGCGGGGGGAGAACTCCACGCACCCCGGGTGAGATACACGACTGGTACCGTTCAAATCCGACAGGAATGGTTGAACTTTTCATACCCGCTCCGCCCAACGCGAGTAGGAAACAAGTTGGACGTCACCGGGTGCTGCTGAGGAACTTTTTCGCATGGCTCCTTGGGCGATCGCTTGTGGGAGAGACCCTCGGCGAGGCCTTGATTGGGTTGCTGAGCTGCATGCACGAATATCGATCCGGAGGGAAAGTGGATAACACGGCCGACATGATGGCGTATCTTGATGAAAGGGGCTATCTTTTCCTGGCCGGTCAGCCGGCGCATGCCTTGGCGGTCTTGCAACTTGCCGAGACGTTCCGCATCCGGGACTTGTATCTTCGAGCCCTGGCACACTGCGTGGGAATGAGGGACATGCTCCCCTGCAGACTGGAGTTTCAAGTAAGTCGGCCCTCGATCCGGGGACTTGTCATTCGTCACCTCAATCCGGGCCAATGGCTGGTATGGGAAACCCGCCTGTTGGCAATATTGACTGACGTGTCGCAGCACATCAGCTCGGCTACTCGCAAGCTGATTCTCCAGAGCGAGAATGAGGTGAAGACGCGCCTCCAGAGGACGTCGGACATGCTGGACAATTTCCTCGACCGAGAGCTTTCCGAGGCGCATCTGGGCATCCCACTCGGACTGCGTGCTCACCTGGACCGTTTCAGAAGTTTCTTGCTTTCCTTCTACAGCACGAGGCTGGGCCACTACCCGCCGCGCCCGTTTGACGCAGCAGTATACCGGGTCATGGCCAGGGACTTCAAAGCCCTGTACCAACTCTTGGTCGACGAGGCATACAGCTCGTGCGAAGCCATGCCGTCCGTTGCCGTGGGCGGCATCTGCACCCTGCAGCTCATCCAATCTTTCGACACGCATAGCCACCACGAGCCCATGAAGCACCCGCTCCCCAGACTCCCGCAACTGGATCCGCCGCCTCGACCGAGGCGCTTGGCATGGCTCCCGCGGGGTCCGAAGCAACGTGCAGACGAGCGCCGACTGGGACATGCCGCGCTGGTCAATGCGTCGAATTGGAAGCAAGATGCCTCGGAGAACAGCCTTGTTCGTGCGTACAGGCAGTTTGAAGAGGAGTGCGCCCTTGGCAGGAAAAAGTCGGATAAGAACGAGAGGCTGTCGCTGGTCGACGGACGCAAGGTCCGATGGATCATGATATATGCTGTCCACCAGACGCTTCGGTACGCTACACAGAGACCCGCCGGCGTGCAGGACGATCCAAGCGCGAGATATCCGGTGACTCTTGCCAAGGACACCCTGCCACCGTGGCAGGACAAACACAACAACAATGGCGGCTTGATTCGCAGTCAGACCGAGCCGGCACTGAGCCGCCTCGGGAGGCTGCACAACGGCGACATGGCCACTGCCGTGGAAAGGCCCGAAATCAAGCCAGACATTGACTACTTCGCGTTGACTCACAAGCAAGATGCCTCGCCTCCGCCGCCTCCCCCAAGGTCAAGACGAGCGTCTCTCCCGCCTTCCATGCCGGACACCCCGACCACCCTATCGCGAGCGAGCTCCCTCAAGCAAGCATTGAGCCGCAGCTCCACAATCCGCAGGTCGGTACAAAGACTCAAGCAAAGCGCCGCGCCAGCCCCTGCCCGCCCGCTGTCCCTTGCACTCGGCAAGCCGCTATATCACGAAATCGTGGTCCACGGCTACGGCAACGGGACAAACAAGGTCCGCCTCGAAGCCCGTGCCGCCCCGCCACCGCCGGCCCCTGGAGTCGGCCGAAGCGCGTCTACGGCATCGGGAACAACCTCGAGCAACGTCAGCACGGTACCCAGCTCGGCGAGCTTCGTGGACACGGCAGAGTCCCAGCTCAGCTCCCCGGCCCTTCCCGACCCGCCGGACGAGAGGCCGCCCAAAACCCGCCGATGGAGCACCCAGGACTCTTCCACGCATCACGGCGGCAGCCCGCCCGTGCCCAAGTCCAACTCGCTCAAGCGGCGGCCCATCAGCACCGCCCTCGAAGGCTACACGCACGCCGCGAAAGCGCTCGGGCAGTTGGTCGACCACGAACGCCGCAGCATCTTTGCCGGCGGCCGCCAAAACGGTTCCACCCAACAAGGCCGCTCGATGCCGCTGCCCATTCGCGAAGACGACATTGACGAGGAGCCGTACGTTTTGCCAAGAGACTCGGGCGACTGGACGGCCATGCAGGCCTTCCTCGACGGCAAGGGGGTGGAGGCAGACGCGCCGCACGCGTGGGAGCAGTATGCTGATCTGGGGGGATTAACAGAAGTCCGGTGAGGGGGATACCTCGGTCTCTTTGTTTTGTGTTTTCTCGATTTGCACGTTTGTTTCTTTTCTTGTTTTTTTTTTTTTTTTTTTTTTTTTTTTTTTTCTTGTTACACGTCCAGCGTCTCCACCAATCTCCATTCTCGCCTTTCGCTCCGGCCGGGCTGTCTTTTTTTGATTTCTTTCAACGTCTGATACCCAGTGTGCGGGCATACAATAGCGCAAGGCACACACGCAACTACATACCCGCCCGATTCGGCAACACGACGCATGTATGCATAGGCTAGCAATGGCATGGTTTAGCACATTCTCTCTCGCTCTCTCTTTCTCTCCTTTTAAAGTCAATTCTTGTTGTTTGACACGCGGGACATGCGGCACTTGTGGAGTTTGAGCATGCTTTCACCGACTGGACTGGACGCACGCAAAAAGTCATGTACACTACCACTTAACAAAAAAAAAAGACTAGAAAAAACTCTAACTCATAACAAGACGGGGGTATTCCGTAACGCATAACACATGTTTTCGCACCCAACGAATGCTGTGCCCGCCCTCTCTTTTGCGCAGGCCACGACTGCGTTTTTTTTTTTCCATTTCCTGGACCCCTTTGACGAAGCCCGGCCGGTTCCCCGTCTCCGAGGGGCTTAGTCCTTCGTCGCGGGCGAAGCAGCTTCCAGCCCGTCGAGGATCTCGGCGCCAATGGACCAGATCATGTAGGCGGATCCGACGAGCCAAGCGCCGCTACGGCAGCCATGTTAGTAGGGTCTTCTTTTTTTTGCACGGCCAGGGGTCACGGTTGACGGGACGGGACGGGACGGGCGTACTTGGGGATGATCCAGAGGAAGATGAGACGGACGGGATCGTTGTGGCCGATGTTGCCAAAGTCGGAAAAGTACTCGTGGAGCCCTATCGCAGGGCCGTCAGGTCAACAGGTCAACAGGTCAACAGGTCAAGGGGGGCACGCGCGCACGACGCGACTCACAGTACAGGAGGGTCTTGCTGAGGGTCATGACGGCGGAGCTGAAACCGAGCAGGACGGCGCGGGCGGCCGGGCGGCCGGTGACGAGCCTGGGCCCGTGGGCGGCGGGCTCGCCGCGCGAGTACCACAGCCACAGGTAGGCGGCGTACAGGAGGGTCTCGACGACGTTGAGGAGGCCCTGGGCGGCGGTGAAGCCGTCGCGGGCGTGGAAGGCCTTCCAGCCGTAGACGTGGTCGACCTGGCCGTAGAGCTTGTAGGGCAGCCAGAGGGGCCAGTGGGCGGCGCCGCCGTCCATGGTGTGCGGGCGGCCGAGGACGTAGCCCGTGTCCCAGACGACGAGGGGGAGCGAGACGGCCATCCAGAGCAGCGTCCAGCGGGTCGGGGCGTGCCGGAAGCCGGGGGCGGCGGCGCGGTGGGAGCGGCGGCGCGTGGTGGTGGCCGGCGGCGCTGGGCGTGGGCGTGGGCGTTGACGGGGTCGGCGTCGGCGCGGACGCGGACTCGGGGCCGGCGCTGTCTGCGCGCGAGGACGAGCGCGTGCTGACCATGGCGGTGGGGTCTCGCGGTGCGTGCGTGCTGGGCCGGGCTGGCGGGCGTCTTATCTTTCAGTTGCGTCTTGTCGCGACGGGGAGCACGGGGCCGCGTGGCGAGGCTGTGTGTGTTGTGTTGTTGTCTTTGCGTCGGGTCGCGGCGTGAGGTTGGACGAGGAGAGGGCGAGGTTCGAGCGAGACTGCGGCGTGTGGTGGGTTTGTTTACCGGGGCCGCGGCGGGGGCCGGGGGCGCCAACACAAGCTGGCTGGCAGGACGAGGCTAGAGGCACGATGGCGGGCGGTGGCGGGACACGGTTCGACGGTGATTGATGAAGGCAAATGTCCGTGATGAAGACCAAGGGAGGGAAGCGGAACATTGGTGGCAGTGGGGACGTCCCATCTGGAGACATCGGGAGGTGGAGCCGGCGACGGACCTGGGGAACCAATCAATATCGATTGCGCGCTGGAGTGCCCCCGCGCCTCCTGTTGCCGATGATCAACGGCCGAGGTGCAGGGCCACGCAGGCAGGCAGCACCAGCCGCTCAACTTATGCCCTCCGTTCTGCGTGGTAACGTGCTATTTGACCGGTGAAGCCCCTCGTCCTCGACACACGGCGGCTAGCCAAACGCGTGACCTCTGTTCTCCAGATACTCCCTCTCCGCTGCCGTCGTCTCCCTCGCCAACGCGTCGTTGCGGTGCGGATACCGCCCGAACTTCTTGACAATGTCGTAATGCATCTGCTCAAACTCTAGATTCGTCCTGGCCATCTTGGTTGCCGCCTCGACGTCCCCCCGGACCACCGCTGACGCTCGCGCGTGGTACGCGTCCGCCGTCGACGCCTCGTGCTCGCCCGCCAAGGACTCAACGTCTGCCGCCGCCCGTCGAAACCCGGCCAGGGCCTGCTCGTGATCGGCCAAGTCCTCCGAGTGCATGAGCGGCATGTAGAACCAGCTACGGAACGCAAACTGCCACCGAATCTGCGGGTTGCGGTCCGGCAGCCCGCGCTCAATGGCTGCGCGCGCGACGTGTCGCGCCAGCGGATCGAATTCGTTGAAGGCCACGGCGGACGAGGCACCGCGGTAGCAGTTCCGCGGCATCTGGTCCAGCAGGATGAGGAGGCTCATCCAGCCGCATGGCTCCGTCGGCTCAGCGGCGTCGAGAATCTCGGCGCCCGTCCTGGCGCCCGACTTGCGCAGGGCCTCGAGGGTTGGTAGGAATTTCTCGCTGTGTTGATATTTTTCAAGGCCCAACGGTTAGAGGGCACGAACACGAACGTCATCTGTGGAGAATGCTTGACCGACTCACGCGCATTGCTTGTCGAGGGCTTCGCCACCCATGAACCACCGCTTCACGTTCTCTGGCGGGGATATGACGCGTGCCTCGGCGGTGGAGTTGAGGAACCAGAACTCTTGGATTTCGCTGAAGAGGGCGGGCGTGAGGAGCGACTTTACTGCGCGAGCCATTTTGACCCGGGACCCGACGTCCAAGGGGTCTGGCAGGCGATGTCTGGAGCTGCTTGCAACCGTCTGCTGTGCAGTGGCGAGGCACCGGCGGAAGGGTTCGGGGATGCGCCGAGAGAGCAGGCGAGACGATGTCTGGGTTTAAACATGTGCGCGGGCGGAGGTTCCGGACAGTGGCCATTTGCGTCTACGAATGACCGACCGACAACGCCGGCCCGCCCCACATTCACTCCCCGATCCGGGCCAATTGCGTTTGCGTAGCTTGCCTACCTAGGTAGGTGGCGGGGGGAGGGACCCACCCAGCTGAGGGGTCGACGAGAGGTAGCGGCCACGTCTTGCGCGAGCATCCCGGGCGGACTTGGGGCACACGAATGCCCGAGAGTTGCTGCTCGACGCGCCGCATGACAGGGTCTTCTTTGCCGACAATACAAAGAGGCCTGTTTTGCGTTGGTGTCAGGCCCCGGCGTGCGAGTCCAGCTTCTGCAGCCCAAGGTGCCGTGCGCGGCGTCGCGAAACAAGGGCGCGCGTCAGACACGTCGAGGCAGCGGCTGTACGGGCCCCGCAAGGCGAGATGCAGTCGCCGGTTCGGAGCTGAACGCGATCCATCCATCAGGTCCATGCGAGCGAGAGTCGACGTCGCCAGGCACGGTCCGTTCCAACATCCTTACAGAGGCGGCCGACGCTGAGACGGGCGGCCCGGGCGTCTGACGTGCGTCAAGTTTCAGTCGTGTCACGGCTCCCGGGGCGGCCGGGGCTGCGACGGTTATTATTAGCGCCGCCCTTCGCAGCAGCAGCAGACAAACCCCTTCCGAATCCGGCAGGGGTCCTCCCTCGTCGTCAAGAGCGCCGGGCCCGTCCACGCCTGCGAGCCGTCTTCCTCTGGTGCCCGCAAAGACGGGACGTGATATCTGTGCGGGATCCTGCTGGCAGGACGAGACGGGACTGCCAGGCTCACGCTCCCGCCGCTCCTGTTCCCGCCTCACTTACCTGCTCGACAGCGTAGTGTAGCATCGCCCGTTCCCTTGTCCGCCTCGCTCGCGCTCCTTCGGCTCGTTTCTCAGGATAGTCCAGGAGACAGATGCTCTAGTCGCTCGCGGGAGCCGCTTTGCTCGCTGGCGAGAACAGCTGCCGAACAACTTTGCACTCCTTTGCCGACGAGGACCAAGAGGAACCGAACCGTTCGCCCGTCTCCGAGACGCACGTCACGTCCGCCATCTTTATTTCCAACTAGCCGCCTCGGGCGCCGAGGACCAAGGCAGCATGGGCAACAACAATCCATCGTCAGCCCTGGTCCCCGACACCTCCAAGGTGGTCCTCAGCGCGACGGACCGCTTCGCCGACGTCCTCCTCTTCGCCATATGGGGCATGGTCCTCTACGCCTGCGCCATGATCTTCACCACCTGCGCCCTCGTCGATCGCTGGAGGGGGCCCAAGGACAGGACACGCGTGGGCGCGGGGTCGGTCCTCGTCGCGATATTGCTGTCGGCCCTGTGGCCCGCCGTCATGGCATGTCTCTTGATTCTGGGGTAGCACGACGACGACGGCACGGGCGTGATTGGGGTTGGGCATGGCACATTGACGAATGTCAAGACGTAGCAGGGCCGCGCGTGCATCATGCATCATGCAGCATGCATCATGCATCATGCAGCGTGCGGCGCGGGCGCACGCATGGTTTCTCTTCTACACGTATACACGGTTGAATACGATGCGAATGTCTGTATTTCTGAAGCGGCTTCCCTGCGTGGGCTGTGCATGTGCATGCCGCGCCGTCACACGACTAGCCGACGAGCGTGTTTCTACGACTCTTGTCCGCGCGAGCGTCTTTTCTGCCGACAATGGTCTCGAGCGTCTGTCCCAGGGCCGTGGCGTCGTAGCGGGCGCCGCGGCCAGACTCACCCCTGGGCCCGTAGATTCGCGTCGTGTCGATTCCCAACTGGCCCAGTTTCTGCCTGTCCACTTTTGGCGAAGCCGGGCTCTCGAGGTGGACGAGGTGCGTGACGTAGAGGCCGTACTCGTCCTCGGACGGCCTTGGCCACCCGCGCGAGTCGGCGCAGGCGTTGGCAATGGCGGCGACAAAGTCGAGCGCCGTGAAGGCATTGTCCGGCGGGCCCGTCTCCCGGTCAATCGCGCCGTTTAGGATGAGAATCTTGTTCCTGACCGCGGGGCTGGCAATGGCCTCCCCCACGCCCTTGAGGACCAGGCTCGGGATGATGGACGTGAACAGAGAGCCGATGCAGTAGACGACGGTGCTCGACGCGTTGACGGCCTCGAGGACACGTGGGTTGGCCGGGATGCGGATCTCCTGGCCGTACGGGTTGACGTACCATATCCTGTCGATGCGCGACGGCAGCTCCTCGCCCTCGCCCTTTGAGAATGCGATGGCTGGCCTGCGCAGGGCGGGCAGCGACCCGGGGAGGTTGGCGTCTTCGATCCGGTCGTGCTCTTCGGTGTCGTGGCCCACGGACACGGCTGGCGTCTGCGCGCCCGTGCTCGAGGCGGCGGCACCCGCGCCCGGGACAGCGGCGGTCGGATAGCTGGGGTGCGAAATGTCGTTTTGTCCCGTGATGACGGTCCCGTCCTGCAGGCCGGCGGCGATGTGGTGGGCAAAGTTGGTGTTCAGGGCCGGCAGGACCGAGACGGCGTCGGGGACGGCACATATGGAGCTGAGCAGGTAAATGGCGGCCTCGAAGCTCCCGGCGAAGAGGCGCGCGCCCGTGAGGAACAGGTTCCCGATGCTGGCCTTGGAGAAGTCGAACCGACTGCTGGGCCGCATGCGCTTGACGACCTCGAGATTGAAGCTGTTGAGGTACGAGCGGATCAGCTCTCTCTTGGGAGACGACACGTCGGTCCAGAGTGGGTGCGTGGCGTCTAGGATCTCGAACCACTCGGCCCGCGCGGCCTCGTACGTGCTGGCGAGGCGGTAATTGAAGAGGTGCTTGATGGCAATCGTTTCGGGGGCGTCTTTGTCTGGGATGAGCCTGACGAGTCGCGAGCGCACGTCGCCGATGCCTGTGCACGTTGTCAGACAACATACAGCCTGGTCGAGCGGCCGGTGGACGATGGCTCTCTTGGGATGCGCGTACCTGGTCCGCCAAAGACGCGGATTATCTCGCTCGTGCTGCCGCCGTTGTCTGAGATTGGAATCACGTAGCTGAGCGAGGTCTTGTTGGCCTCGCGCACGCGCTCAAACACGTCGACGAGGCTATTGGCCGCGCTGCCTCCCGAGAAGACGACAATGGCGGTGCGCGCCGCCGCCGTGGGTGCCGACCCTGGCGTCGCAGGGCGTTTTGGAGCAGAGCATGGGTCTGCTTCCGAGGACGGCAGTTGGAGAAGCCCGGGGGGGTTGGTAATGGGAGCCATCGGCGACGTTCGAGACGGATGACGGATGTGGTTGGGCGAAGCTGCGAGAGGGAAAGGCGATTAGCGCAAACGCGGTGGAACGCAGAGTTTACATGCTTCTCAGGAAGCTCGGCATCACTCACCAAGAGATGCTGCATGCGGTCTCTCGGCCCCGTCACCCGTCGTCGACCCGCCAACATTGAACGGTTGAGTCACGCCGCAAAGGGACGGCACTGGCACCTGTTGAGCATGACATGATCTCCAAGACGCACCGTCGACGGTCCTATATTAGTAAGCTCGGCTCCACTCCAGCTTCACCTCGGTTTCATTGGTCCTTGAGCCGCGCTGTTTCCTTCAATCCAAGGCAACAGTGACACGGCTCGGACAATCAGCCTTGACACGATACATCGCACCAGGTGAAGCACCCATACGAAAGACTTGATTCAACGCGCCGTGTACCAGATATACACTACGGACTCCACGGATGCATCTTTCCATCGCATCTACCTCCTGGCATCCACCCTTTAACTCGACTTGTCAGGACCCGTAAACCTTCTCCTCCTCTGCCTCCCCCCCAGAGCTCCGACGCGCATCTAAACAAGAGCAGACAAAACGACAAGCACGACGCCCAGCAAGCCGGAGCCAGCGAGGCCATTGGCCGCGGCGCCAGCCGTAACGGAAGGGCTCAATGCGGTGGGAGCGGCCCGCGTAACGCTGGCGTTCGCAGTCGCGTTCGCAGTCGCCTTCGGGGCGGCAGTCGCGGTGCCAACGGAGCCGGAGCCAGAGCCAGAGCCGGCTGCCGGCGGCGATTCCGTGGCCTCGGCGGCACCCGTCTCCCCCGCGCTCGCGTCGGTTGCCCCGGGAGCGGCGACGGTCGTGATGTCGGAGCCACCCGGGCCCTCGCACGTCTCCCCGGCCACGCAGCAGCCGTACCTGTCGTTGTCCCCCAGCCAGCAGACAGAACCGGCCGGACACCCGCCCGACCCGTCGGGGCAGCACGTGTCCGACGGCTCGATGCAGACGGCGCCGCAAGTCTTGCGGCCGACGTCGGAGCAAGCAACCGCGGCAGAATCCCGCGCGGAAAGGCCGGACGCCTCGAAAAAGGCGGCCAGAGAGCCGCTGACAAACGCGACAACGGCGAGCTTTTTCATGGCGACAAAGGGGACGGTGTGTCTGCGTGAAGTTGGGCGCGGGGCTGGGCCACGGGATGTCGAGAGCAAACGAAATCAACGACTCTGTTGTTTTGCGAGGTGCGTGATTGATTGATGACACTGTTGACTGTTGGGAGCACCGAGTACGCCTACACACAATCTCACACGAGGAAGACTCGACTGTTTTATGCTCGCCGTCGCAACTCTGCGACTCAACAAACGACTTGGACACGACGTCAGCGTTGGCGTTGCCGCCAACTCCGTGGCGCTTCAATAGACACCTTCCATGTATACCATTGTCGCCCGTCGTCGAGGCACCGCCGCAACGCCTCTTGCCAGCCAATATTCCCCAGGCGGCGGTTTGCCTGTGCCTCGAAACCCACCTGGCTGACGGGGACCAGCCTCGGCCGGGGCCGCAGGCGTGAGATTGGCCCCGCGACGCGCCACATTGTATTTCTAAAAAAAACATATAAAGACGGCGGGCTGAAGAGGCGACGCCGCCGCCGAGCTTCTATTTAAAAAGTGCCGAGTGCCGAGTGCCGAGTGCCGATTGATCGACGGGAGCGATGCCCCACGCAGTGCCAGACACATGCCGCCGAATCGATGCTCTGCTGGGGCGGAGGAGGAGCAGCGAGGACACATCCGGAAGATGGATAGACAGATGGCGAGCATTACGCGTCTTCTGGCTCGTCGCTAGTCACTGGCACGTCAGCAAGTTCAGTCAGACGTGCTGCGTGGCGCGGCAAAGAAACGTTCATCCCACGTGTGCGTGTTGCATGTCGTACGTGTACATGGGAGCGGCAATCTATTGCTTTTGCCGACCAACGGTAGATTAATTACTATTTGTAGCAGTCGGAATGCGTGCCCACGCCGCAAGCCAGACCGACTGAATTATACAATTGGGCCATGCTTCCCAGTCATCGCCACCAGCAACGCACGAATCGACCGAAACACACGACATCCGGGAACGCAGGCGGACCTGGGCAAGCGAAATGAAATGGCGAGCCGTGTCCAACAGGCAGCAGCAGCAGAAGAAGAGGTAGACGAAGCGCGCCAGACTAGCACTGCACGTTCCACGAGTTCCAAGTCTGAGGAGAAGAAGCATTGAAGCAGTGGCCTTGCGCCGTCGCCGTCTGGCCAACCGAGCACTTCCCATCTTCGTACAAGAACACTACTCAGCACGGTCAGTACACGCACACACACACACATACACACGCGTGCGCGCACCCGAGGGCAAAACTGACATGTGCAGGGACTGGTGATGTCCACGACAGAGACGGAGCCAACATCCTGCTCCCTCATGTTAGAGCATACGCCAACGTCATCATCCAAGACGGTCCAGATTCCAAGATTGATACTGGAGCAGCCGGGCTGCGAGAATAGACGAAAGTCGCCGACGTGTTTGTTGCGAACGGCCAGCGCGCTCGACGTGGACACGAGGGCGGCGGCGGCGGCAGCGACGGCGACGATGTTGGCATGCATGATGGCGTACGAGGACAAAGCGGTGGAGAAGAAGGGCCAAGAAGGGCCTGGGGAGGAGAAAAAATAATTAAAGAGTGAGGGAAATGATGTGCGTGTCGAGGGAATTCGTGGAAAGTTGCAGGCTGCTGTGCTTCTGTGCTTCTTTTCTCGCGGCAGAGCACACGTTATTTATATGTGGCAGGGCTGCTGTCCAACGTGGACCCAAGAGCAAGAGCAATGGCAAGAGCAAGAGCAAGAAGAGCGTGAGGCTCGCTCGACGCTTTGCAGCACCCGGGTGGCAGAATACGAAGGTCGTGCGGCATACGAGCCGTCAGGGTTCCTGGTGAGGAGGAGCCGTTGCTGCGGCGGCTGCGGCAGCAGGCAGTGGCGCCTGCATCGTCGAAAATACGAGCAAACGGGAGGCGGGAGGCGGGAGGCGAGAGATGTGAAAGGAGAAGTGAGGAACGACAAACGAGAAACGACGGCCTTTGTTCCGCAGAGTTGCTGCGGAGAGGCGGCGACGTCGCCGGTTCCTTGGGCACACCGCGCCAACGCCCAGCCCAGCCGAGTCAGGATTGAACCCATGTGACGAATGTGATGCGTCCGATGGCGGCGGAGAAGCAAGCCCATTGTCGTCACCGGTGGGGGATGGAATCGCGGCCCCCGGATGGATGACGTGACGCATGTTTCACTCGCCCATGCAGTCAGCTTTTCGGTTTCCCATCTTGACACGAGCGTTGGACCTTTGTGCGGGGATGACTTGGCTGCCTGGACGCTGTCGTCTGTGTCGTCTCTCGTGTCCGTGTTCCGTGTTCCATGCCCACGTCCATTACAAGAACGTGTATCCGTACTCCGTAACCATGCCTCAACCCGGCCTGCTGCGCTTCATGTGTTTGTTGTCCCACGTTTCAAGGGCGGTCCCGGTGCTTTGGGAGAGCGCACGTACGTCCTGTACCGTGCGACGTGGTCTAGCATGTTCTCCCAGCATGTCGTGCCACGCGACCTTGGGGACGAGCATGTCTTGGAGTCATTGACCGCGACCGTCGTGTATCCCATTGTCCGTCCAGCTTGCTGCGATGCAATACGACACTTTGTCGTGTCGCGGTGCCGAAGCCGAAGCCGAAGCCGCTGCCGTGCAAGACGCCAAACTACAGCCCCATCGAGGACGGTTTCCAGAAAAAAAGAAAAAGGCGCCGCGCGCACCACCAGCCGTCCGTCACGTCTTCAACTCCATCTTGTGTGCCGCCAGACGCCCCATGGCCGCCGAGTCCTCCGAGTCCTCCGACAACCCCTCTCAGCGCGGCATCCACGCCTCGTGGAACGACAACGCCGAGTGGTGGGACGCCGCCATGGGCCGCCACGGAAACAAGTACTGGCGGCAGCTCCAGGAGCCCTCTCTGGAGCGGCTCGTCCCCGTAGCCCCCGGCTGCAGGAGCCTCGACCTCGCCACCGGCAACGGCCTCGTCGCGCGCTGGCTCGCGTCTAAGGGCGCGTCCGTCGTCGCGTCCGACGGCAGTCCCGACATGGTCAGGCGCGCCGCCCGCAGGAGCTCGCCCGCCGAGGCCGAGCGCATCTCCTACCAGACCCTGGACCTGACGCTCCCCGCGGCCCTCGACGGCTTTGTCGGCTCCGAAGCGGCGGTGAGAATGCCCCGCCTCGTCTCCGTCGTCCGCATGTCCGTCCGTGCTCATCACCGTGTGCTGCCCCCCCGAAGGCCGGCGGATTCGACGTCGTGACGTGCAACATGGCCCTCATGGATATTTCCGATCTCGCCCCGCTCGCGGATGCCTTGCCCAGGCTCCTGAAGACGGGCGGCATGTGCGTTTGTCCTGCTGCCCTTTCCCCTGCTGCCCTGCCCCCGTCCGTCCCTGTCCGAGAGAGTCCGACTGTTGGTCGTGGTGGCAGTTTCGCTGACGCCGAGTGCGAGTGCGCGCCAGCTTCTTCGCGACCCTCCTGCACCCCGTCTTCTTCACGTCTGGCGCCACGCGTTTCGTCCATGTCGTGACCGACGAAGCTACCGGCGAGTACTACAACGTCCGCGGGAAGATCGTCCGCGAGTATCGACGCAAGGCGCCGTGGCGGGGCGTCGCCGCAAATGGCCAACCCGCGTTCCAGGTAAGAACCGCGAGAGTCTGGAATAATCTGAATACACACTCCTCCCCCCCTCCCTCGGCTCGTGGCGCCATGTTTGATGGCTGATGGCCGTCGCGCGCAGCTCTACTTTCACCGTCCGCTCGACGTGTTGCTGGGAACCTTCTTCAGGGCTGGCCTGGTCATGGACAACATGGAGGAGCTGTACTTTGACGACTCGGACGCGGTTCAAGACCGGCCCGAGTCGTCTGCGAATTTTACGCAGATTCCGGCCCTCATGGCTCTGCGCTTCCGCAAGATCCAATGATGGAGCTTGGTCTTGGCTTTGGCCCTTTTTGTCTTTTGGAACCCCGCAAGAGAGATTGACGCTCATGTTTTGAGGCCGGGAACGAATATACCGATATCTACTCGACATATATGCTGTCCATGCTGTCCCCCGTCTGGGCATCGTCTTCGTGCCAGATACAAGCCTGGCTAGTCCTTGATTCGTGACAACTGGTCGAAGTCAGCACGTTGCCCCGCCGCCATGGTCTCCAAGGTGAGCTGGTTACTCCGTACCTCTAGCATCTCGCAAGCCTACAAGAACAACGTGTCCACGTACACGTGTCCAAGACGCAGCCATCTGCGGACCAAGCTCTCGCAATGCCTCCAATATGACAAACCAGCCCAATGTGACAGAAAGCCTTATGCGTCGTCGTCGCCAGTCAAATACATGGTCCACCACCCGTCGCCGGACCAAGTGCGCCATGCTGTCCTTTGGTTGACAAGTAGACAACAAACGTCTGTTTTGAACCTTACTTGTCGTCATTCTCCTCGCTCTTCTTCTTGCCGAGGTTCTCTGCGGGACCACAGTTCAAGACTTGTCCCCGTTCAAGACGGAGGCACCAATTTGCGTCCTCGACAGCCTCGAGCCGGTGAGCTATGGTGATGACTGTACTCTTGGACAGTTCCTCTCGCAAGATTCGTTGCACCGTGGCCGCAGTCCCGCGGTCTATGGACGCTGTTGCTTCATCCAGAATGACGAGCCCGCTCTTGCGCAACACTGCTCGTCCGATGCCAACCAACTGCCGTTGTCCCTGGCTGAGGTTCTTGCCGCCCGCGTCGATTTGCGACGCTAATCCCCATTCCTTCCCAAGAACACTTTGAATCGCATTTTCGCACTCCTGGTCTGAGAATTTACCCTCCGGGTCGATATTATCGCGCAGAGTTCCCGGAAACAGCGTGGGGTCTTGCTGAATGAATGTGACACGATTTCTAAGAGCGGTGCGGTTGACCTTGGCAACATCTACACCGCCGATCTTGACTGTGCCTTCCGACGCCGTGTCCGTCGCCAGGAGCGCGTTGGCTATGGTTGATTTTCCCGACCCCGTTCTTCCAAGCACCGCGCATGTAGCTCCTCCAGGAATCTGAAACGTCACCTTTTCGAGAACATTCGGCAGTCCTTCTGCATATTTGAAGGACATGGACTCAAATTTGACGTCGTCACATGGCCTGGGCCACTCCTCAGGTGGCTCCTCCTCGCCACTCGGCTCCTCCGGGATCTTGTCGAGTACGCTGACACGCTCAAGGGACACGGCGTCAAGTTGAAGCTGGGCAAATTTGTCGCAGAGCTGTTGGATGGATCCCATAGCAACCGTCGTCTGTGTCAACACAAATCCAATAGCACTTGCTGGCGTTCCACGCCAAATCATGAAAAAAACCAGAGCAGCTCGAGTGCCGGCAGACGATATACCGAGGCGAAAGTCGATCCAGAAAGCCATACTCCAGAAAAAGTGGTCCTGCTTCTGAAAGTCATCCACAGCGTCCAAGTGCCTGTCTTGGAAACGACTTTCTACCCGGAGCGCTCTAATAGTGACAAGACCGTCCTGCATCACGCCAATGTTGGCAATGATGGGGGTCAGATATCTCATTTCCATGCGTCGCAAACTGCGTGAAACTGGAACGTAGATTCTGAAAAAGTAAACGAATAGGATAGCCACAGTGCCCAGGATAACGAGCAGTATTGGCTGGTGTGTCGCAATACCGACGATACTCAAAACAAGAGCAATGAAATTGTAGACAAAGCCTTCCAGTGGTGCAAGAATCCCACCGTCAACCATGCCCATGTCAGAGATGAGCCGGTTTTTGAGCTGGCCAGTAGGCGTAGTGTCGTGGTGGCGGAACGTGGCCTTGCTCACTCGGTCGACAGCAGTCTTGAAAATGCCTTGAGCGGCATTGACAGAGATCTGAGCAAGCAGCAATTGAGCCGTACAATGTGCTATAATTTGACCCATTCCAAGACCGCCGAGCACAGCTAGCCAGATTTGCGGAAACCGTTCGGGAGTAGGGAGGTTCCAGTGTACTTCGCCAGAGATGACACCGTCTTTTGCCGTTTCATTTCCCCATGATTCAAGTAACGATGCTGCGGAAACATCGCAATATCTAGAAATTCCGTAGAACAGGGCTAGCAATGCCCACGTATACCATCCACCGGCCCTCATGTAGTTCAAATAGACTGCCAGAGGCACGCTACCCGTCTCTGAAGGCTCTTCCGGTGCCTCGTGCAAATCTGCCCCTTCATCTTCGTGGGTCTCGTGATGTGGTTCATGCTCCTCCACCACAGTATTTTGGGACGTAGCATGATAGGGATGTTCAAGTTCATCTTTGATTTCCGATTGCGACAAAGTCCTAGCGGCCCCATTGTCCATATCAATGACTTGATCAGCAATGCGCAGTACCAAGTCGTCACGGTGAGTGACCATGACAATTGTGCGCTCCTTAGCCAGAGGCCCTTGCAAGAATCGACGTACGATGTTGCTCGCAGTGTCATGATCCAGAGGAGCAAGAGGATCGTCCAAAAGAAGAATCCTGCAAGGACTGTATACGGCTCTGGCCAAAGCAACCCTCGCTTTCTGGCCGCCAGACAACCCAACACCGCCTTCCTCCAACTTTGTGAGATCGCCATCTGGAAAAGCTGCAAGGTCGGGTCCAAGCGCACAGGCATGCAGAACTTGCCGGTATCGGGCGACATCGAAGCGTTGATGAAAGACGATGTTCTCTCGAATTGTTTTATTCTGTAACCATGGAAGCTGTTGCGCATAGCCAACCGGTTCGTCTGGTCGAAGAAGATCACCACCATGCAGCTCCATTTCGTTCAGTGCTGCAAGCAACAGACTGGACTTCCCAGAACCAACCTTCCCGCGAATGACTGTGAGTCCTGTGGTAAATCTAAGATTGAGGCGAGAAAGAACCAAATGGCTCGTAGAGGGCCAAGCGAATGAAGCGCCACGAAACTCGATATCCCTAGTATCGGTAGTTCCGAGATCATTGTCGTCCCGATCTGGCTCTTCCATGTATTTATTGACACGCTCGACGGGTATTACTGCCTTCCAATAAGCAGAAATTAGATCAAAAGCCTCCTTGACGCTCGTCTCCAATTGATGAAAGAGCTGTAAAGATGGCCAAATGACGTCGTTGGGCAGACCTTGTCGAAGAATCAAGGTATACAAACAGATACTGGCAAAGGGGTAGGCCGAGCCTCCAGCGACATTGGTGGTAGATATCGCTGCGGTAACCCGTGCAATCTGCAGTCGCTTCAGCATTTCCATGGCTCGAAATTGGAATATCCTAGCACTCCAAGAAGTTGTCCAGCCATTGAGTTTCAAAGGTCTGCTGGCTTCTACAAAGTGAGCCACAGCTTGCGCGCGCTTGTCAGAGTGTGCGGTCCTAGAACGTTCCAGTTGCACGACTTTGCGAACGAGGAGTGCGTTGATGGTCATGAAGATGATCATGAGTCCAAAGCCAACGCACGACGGCCAACCCATGATGTCGATGAGATAGTAAATTGTCATGATAACCTTGATGGGCTGGGACACAAGCTTTGGGAAATCCCAGAAGCGCTGAGAAATTTCGTAGGTGTCTCCCCGCACAAGGTTGACCACCTTCGCATTGGATGCAGGGGCTGCTGTTGCGAAAGATGATGAAGCTTTTTGCTTGCGTCGGCTGCAGCAACTAAACCACCCTCCTCGTCCAGAATTATCCGTCTCCGTCAGGGAGTCGGCGCCGTCCTCTTGTGGACCTTTCTCAGTGACATCTGATCCTGGAACGGCTCGTGTGAGAAGTTTGCGAAACAGCGCAATGAAAGTCTCACCCCTAGACCTTTCATAGGCCTTCCGAGAGTACCAAGAAGATGTCGTTTTGGAAACCTGTCGGACAAAATCCAGACATAGCATTACCACACACCAAAAGTTGGCTTCGTTTGGGTTCCCATGGTCCAGCGCACTGTAGAGGCGGCTGGTGAGGCGAATGGTGGATACCTCGGAGAATTTCTCAACAACAGCAAGACTGGTGGCAATACTCAAATCCAGGCCATTTGCTTCGATCAGACAGGGGAGAAGTTTTCCCTGAATCTCGCGGAAGGCCAGAAATAGACGTTTGTGTTGGAACTCGAGGGGTAGTTGCCAAACGTCTTCGACCGTGATTTCTTTCTTGCGACAGACGCGGGCGAGTGGATATACCCACGTCACGGTCCAGAATTTGAAGAGTGTAAGATTATCTTCTGGGCTTCGGACATGATGAGATGGTGGCAGCTTTGAGCTTCCAATATCTTGGGAATCCCAGGCTGGGTTTCGGAGCGGCATACTACCAATAGCAATGACGCCGAGAAAAGAAAGAGTTAGTCTTGCGATGCGGAACGGATCAATGGACCGTAGATTGTGTTCCAAGAATTGAGAAGAGTAAGTTCCAATACCGGAGCTGAAGATGAACAAATACTGCAGGAACAGAATCCGAGGTGTGCTGGTAGGCCGGTCCAGGACCGTGATGAGTAGAGCCGACATCCATGGAACAATATCGAGGATGCCTCGGAGCTCATTCGGGGCCAGGCAAACAGGAACAACCGACAAAACCAAGCCAGAAATGCAGATGAAGGCCAGAACCAGAGTCCAATGGGTCCAAGCCTTGCGTTTGTCTGTCCTAGGGTCTTGTTCCACGGCAAAAGGTTGAAGGCATCGAGGAAAGATGCTCCGGAGTTGATGTCGCAGTACATGGAGAAAGAATGTGGCGACTGAGAGTACACTCAGACTGATTAAGATACTAGTATCGGCATCTGACAAGTGCAGATTTGGTGCGAAAGAAATACCACCAAATGTAACTTTGCCAGCACCGCGAAAGCCGGGGGACAAGGTCTCGGAATCGGGCCTGGCATCATTGACGACAGCGTGCATGCTTGAATAGCTGTTAGCAATTCAGTACCAAGGACGTGGCGAGTATCAGAGGCTCCTGAGTTGTGGTAGAGGCAATAGACAGAAGAGTTGGAGATAAGATCAGGACAACACGGCTGATTAGACATTAATATTCTCTGACCGGCATGGGCAGCTCCCACAGCCGCTTCCACCTCGGGGAAAAGGTCTTGCAAGCCTAGTCAAAGTCGACCGTGTTACGACGGCTTGAGCGTTCCTGACCACGGCGTACACTTTGATAAACATTAACCAAGTCAAGACTATGTGGCATAGCCCATCACCAGCGGCCGGGTAGGTCGAGGTGCCGGCGGCGCGCCACGCGCCAATTGACTCGGCAGGTTCTGAGATCCGGCCAAAGAGACAGAGACTGGAAAATTCAGGCCTCAAAAAGTTACCCAAAAGGAAGACTGAAAGCCAGAGCAGCCCGCTTCGCCATTGATGCGAAGGAGAATGCTGGCGACTCCACGATGTTGTCACAGCCGAAGCCGGGTGCTAGTAGGATGGATGCGGAGAAGTTGCTCAGGACGGCGCAATCAGGAACCCGACACCGCAGATCCCCATCGTGTGGAGTTGCGGCATGCACCCATTGGGTTGGGCTCAAGCAGTGTCGGGGCCAGGCCGCGGAGGTGGACAAAAACAAAGACGGCTTAAGCGCAGACAAAGGATCTCGAGGTTTAGTTTGGAGATGGCTTCAACAGGGAAAGTCAAATTTTGGAGCTGCCTTATGAAATGGCCCCTGGTATCGTCTAAGACGGGAAGGCACCGGCGCTGCTCCTGCCAATAGTCAGCCACTAGCATGGCACCTTCTTAGCATGTATGTACCTAGATACTCAAGTAGTGTAGTAAACTTTGGTGCACCGTGTGCAAGTGGGAGTTGCGGGCGGCCGTGATTGAAAACATGCAGGCTCTGTTTGGGGGGCATCATCGCTTGGTCTTGGCTCCCTCACGCGGGGTCACGCTTCGACACGACTTTCAAGTGCAACAAGGAGGCAAAGCAATATCTATTACATCGCTGCATGCTAGGCCATAATGATGGCATACCCGTCCATTTCTGTCCACCTGGTTAAATCATCAAGGCTCCGCCAAGCATTGCCAGGCTCAGCACAGCCAACGCACCACCCCATCCTGCGCCGGTGGTGTACCAACTACGAAGCGACGATGCAGCTCCAGTGTGTGTAGCCGTCGAGGAGGCCGAAGTCTGCGATCCAGAACCCGATGCGGATGTAGCCGTACCTGATGAGCTATTGCCCACGAGCGCAGTGAGCTTGGCATCATCGGTGAAGGAGACCTTGACGCTTGACGAATTCCTGCAGGCCGACGGTTTGTCACCCTTGCCTTGGACAAAGTTGAGGGCAGCGCACTGCAGGACACGGAATATATGGTTAGTGTGTTCTCGGAATAGTACGTGGCCTGCTTGCTCACCTGGAACAGGAGACCATCTGTCGCAGACGAAACGACACTGAGAATGCCCTTCTTGCCGGCGTACTTGGCCGGCACCACGACGTCAGGCTTGCAAAAGTCGCCTAACCCGCTCTGCTGCACAATGGGGGAGGTCTGTTCCCAGCCAGACTCGGCCTTCTCATCAGTGGTGACGCGGAAGAGCCAATTGCCTTGGGCATGGGTGAGCTTCACGGCGATGGCATCACCATCTACGTGAAAGTCTTGCAAGCGCTTGGAAAAATCCGCTTTAAACCCGCCACAGGGACCCTGATCTTCGTTCTTGTCTTCAAAACCGAGGGATTCGGGGTAGTTGAGGAGGAAGTGGGCAGACCCCAAGCCACAAAGGGCCGACAACAATACAAAGGACTTCATGATGGCAGGATCGGCAAACGGCAGCGAAAGCGGAAGCCGGGTGAAGCAGAAGATTGGAAAGATAGGCGACGAGAAGTATGTCGACGACAGGTCTGAAGACGGGACGGGAGCCACAGCCTTATAGCCCAAAGCTTAGGCACGTGCGGAGAAGGCAATTAACATCCTGGACCGAACTCTGACAAGTTGCGGATCACCCACGCAGTGCTACTTTGACAGATGGTTTTGCCCGAGGGCGGAACACGTCGAAAGCGAACCCAGCCCAACAGTCCAGCATTGCGGAACCAAGCCTTACGAGCTGCTGCAGGGAAGCGCCACGATGATCCATGCCAACGGCACAGGTGTTCCGCCGGATGAGCAGAATCACTCAGCGCTTGGCACCCAGAGGCAGGTCAAAGCATTCCACGATGGTTCGGTGTTGAGGGGCAGATTCAGCACACTCCCACGCCGGAGCCAGCGGTGGGTCTGACGTCGTGCCTGGACTAGGGTCCGGATTCGACGTGAATCGGTCCAATCAGAGTCGCCACATCCAATGCAAGTGAGTACGTTTGAGCAAGTTTGTTTCGTGAGGCTGGAGAAAACCAGCGCAGGCCGGGCCAAAGCCCACGCCACATGGCCTGGACCGGGAGGAACGTTTGGACGAGGCAATGACGACGCACAAGTACAAGTATCGGTGGCATGGTGATAAATGTAGCGGCCATGGCCAATTTCTCAACCCAGGCCGACAAGAAGGGCCCCGTCACGTCACTGTGAAAGAAAGATGCCTCGATATGCTGCGCTACATGGCTGATGGATCGACGGCGCTCTTGCACTCCACTCCTTCCCGGGTCCCTGCTCGACCGCTATCAGACCTCTTTCCACCTCCAACTGGCTCAAACGGCGACCTAATTTCATCTTCAGCCAATGGGCCCCGGGAGGCGACTCACGATTGTACAATTCGCGGCGCGAACAGATGAGCTAGCTCCCGACAGTCTGTGAAGGAAGGCTTACGGCATACCGCCGACGCTCCACCACGCCGCAGACTCCGACCTGGAGCCTTCCCGTTCTCTCCTCCATCATCCTCGACAAAATCAAGCTTACAGGCTATTCGATCTCTGGTATCGTAAACCAGAATCCCCCTTGGTCATGGACATGGGAGACATGCACATGCATGATGCGGGCTTGGGCATGGACTACAACTACGCCCTTGCCAGGGACTACTGGTATATTCTTGCCGTCGTGGTTGGCGGCCTAACTGCGCTCCGGGGAATCGAGATATACGCAGGCAAACAAAGGTATAGCGCAACGTGCCGTCTCTTTTCTTCTTCGTCTTCACACTATGTGCGTGCTAAGGCTTCGAGACAGGTTAAAGGCTTGCAAGGAAACCTCGGTAGAACATGCCACGAGACCGAATAATCACATCAGCCAAGCGTGGGCCACCGCAGCCGCCATCACTCGCGAGATAAGCCATCCCCAGTTTTACGTCTCGAGAGTCGGCTTTCGATGGGCTACCCCTCCGCCGTTGGGAAGAATATTCATTCTGCTGTGCTACTGGGCCATGATCATCTACTTCATGTCCTGGAATGCCGTCAAGGACGATGTCTATTTCTGGGAGCGTATCGGCTACCGCAACGCTTGGGTCACCATAATGCAGCTGCCGTTTCTATTCCTCCTGTCCATGAAATTCAACATAGTCGGCTTTCTGATTGGAAGCAGTCACGAGCGGCTAAATTGGCTTCACCGGTGGGTTGCACGAACCATGCTCATCACTGCGACAGTTCACGGCTGGCATTTTTGGACTGAGTGGGTGCGGGCAGACTTTCTCGAGTACGAATTGTCCATCATGCCTCTGGTCAAGTATGGACTCGGGGCGTGGGGAGTACTGCTCTTCAATGTGGTCGTTGGGTTTGTGCCCATCCGGAGGATGATGTACGAAATTTGGCTCATACAACACGTGCTATCATCTGTCGCCATGCTGGTGCTTCTGAGTTATCACATCCCAGACAGCGCAAAGCACCTCCTGTGGATGTCGGTGTCGTTCCTGGTGTTGGACAGAGCGGCGAGGGTGGCCTTGACGGCCTGGCAGAATACCAGGTGGAGGCCAAACAAGTCGGCTTGCCAAGGCATGAGGCGGTGGGGACACAACATCTCTTTGCGAGCCATTGGCAACTCGGTTACCGTGCTGACCATAAAGGACGTTCACTTCAAGTGGCATGCCGGTCAGCACATCTACCTTTGGGTTCCTAGGCTCGGCTTGCTGGAATCCCACCCTTATACCATTGCATGTGCCCATCAGATCAAGGGAACGTGCTGCTGCAACAGTGTCCAGCTCATCATCCGGTCTCACGGGGGGTTTTCGAAGCGTGTTCATAATTTTGCAGTCAGAAATCCGACCAAGACGCTTGCTGGATTCGTCCTGGGGCCGTTCGGAGTAACCACCAAGTGGGAAGCGTTTGAGACGCTTGTCTTGATCGGGGCCTCGACGGGGGCAAGCTTCACGGTGCCCATCATGGAGAGTGTGGCCTACTCAGAACACGCGTCGTGTGTGCGAAGGTTGGAAATGGCACTGACGGCGAGGACGGCGGAGGAGATGGAATATTACGTGGAAAGGGCTAGAGATGCTGCCAGAAGCGCGCAAGAAAAGGGTATCGAGGTGAGGTTGCACGTTTCCATCACGGGCAGCTATTCAGACGCGGATTCCGGAGTGCCGCTAGTGCGATTCGGACAGGGAAGCAGGGACGAAGCAACAAGTGGCTCGACAAAGGAAGAGGCAACCGACGTGTACTCTGGCAGGTCCGTAGAAGACGGGCTACGACCCAGAAGGAGGACCTCGAGCTCCAGCGCGTCTCGCAACAGCGCAGGCAGCATCCACATGGTGCGCGAGTACACCTCCCGGCCGGACATTGAGGCCCTGCTCCGCGAACCTGTGGAACAGGCATGGGGGGAGACGGCGGTGGTGGTTTGCGGAGGAAAGGAAATCGTGGCGAGGACGCGAAACTGCGTTGGCAAATTGAGCGATGAGCGGGCGGTGCACAAGGGAACAGGCGCACAGGGCATATACCTGCATGTTGAAGAGTATGCATTTTGACTGGAGTTTTGACGCTTGGGCAGCGCCTGATGTATTTATTGAATGTTGTCGATGTCACGTTTTTTTTTTCTTTTTTTTTTTGCGTCTCCCGTGCCTCTTTCAGCAGCCGCCGCGTCAGGACCGCCCGCAGTGGCTCACCACGCACCACACGGGCAGACGGGCAGACGGGCAGACCGTGTCGCTGCAGTTCTTTCGCCGTCGTCGACGTTGCGCGGCGGTTGCAGTTCCGTGATGACGGCAAAAGTTCGGACTCGACGCCTCGTGCGGCTCCCAGCCGATAGGCTTGAATTTATTCATCGACTTCCCAGACCCATGATCGGCCCGCCCTGCCCCGCCTGGGACAGGACGTACCGCTCGCCCTTACTAATCACCTCGTGTGGGCGGGGATTGCCCTGGCTCACGTTGTCGCCGCCAAGCCAGCCGGAACAAAAACGCACGACGCTCGCCAATGGGCTCCCAGGCTCGTGCCTTGCCAAGGCCCAAGGCCTTCGGCCAACGTGTAGCATGCCAACATCCCTGCCGTGGCTGGTTTCCAGCGAAGAAGCAAGACGAGCAAGACGAGCAGGACAGCTAACAAGCCCGTCTGTCCATCCCGGAAGCACAATTCACGTGCGGCCAACGCGCCAAGCAAAACCGGCCGACTGTCTGCGCGGGCGGAGAAAACAGGGAGCAGGAAGCAGGCAGAGGGGGGACGGGGAAACAGGAAAACAATGATGAATCCTGTTTGCTGTACCGAGTACGGAGCACCGAGTTCGGGACGGCGTACGGAGTACAGACGTCCAAAGCCACAAGAGGGGACGAGTCGCACGCAGACTCGCAGTCACAGCCCGAACCGTCTGGCAACACCGTGACGACTGACCACGGGCCAACCGCGTCGGGCGCGCTCCGACAGAAACCACACCAGCCGAGACGACTGAATGAATGGTGACGCGGGCACGACAACGAAAGGGCTTGGTGCTGGTGCTTGGTGCTTCGTCGTAACTCATGGCGGAATGGCACCTCCCGAGCTGGCCGTGGCCGACGCTCGCGCGGACACTCGCCCGAGGGCTCGCCTGGACCACGGACATTGCGGCCATTGTCGTGCTCTGCTTCGTCGCGCAGACGTGGACGGCGACGTGCGGCGCCGTCGCCCCGGGAATCATTGGCGTGAGTGACACTCGTCCCCTTGGTGCTGCTTCGAGCGAGCGAGCAAGCCGGGCTGACGACGTGGGGAGCCCGCAGGCCGTCGTGGCCCTGCTCAACGATAGCTGGCAGATGGTTGCGTTTGCGGACGGCTCGCTCGGCTTCGCGTCCACGAGGCCCCATCGGACGCTCATGTACGACGTCTTCTCGCTGGCCGTCACGCTCGGCGGCATCGTGCTCATGATTGTTTCCAACGTGCAGGGCGGAGGGGCCGTCGACGGGGGCGGAATCGACTTGCACAAGTCTACCATGGCCTGGTTGGGCATGTGGCTCCTGACGGTCGTCATGTAAGTCTCGTCTTTGAGTCCCGTCTTGAGTCCCGTCCTGCGCCCGGGTCGACGTCGCTTGCCGAGAGACAAGGTGCTGACCGCCAGCAGAGTCTTCAGGGCTGGGTTTGCCTTGTGGGCATGCGCCGACTGTTACAAGGAGTATCAGCGAGATGCGAGACGGTATTCGGGGCGGACGGAGTTTGAGCAGGCCGAGATGTGAAGTGGCGACACGGCTTTCTTGATGGTTATTTTGTACATGTTGGGAACCGCTACTAGCATAGCAGCCTGTGCCTTTTATCGAATGCAATACCGTTTCTTTCGCGGAGAGGCTTTGCCTTTGGTCCGTCTCTGACGTCTTGCGTCTGGCGTGCTTGTCGATGCCACATGCCATGTCGACTTGGGCTGCAAACACTGCGCATCCAAGAAGCTCGGCGGGCGGCTCTACGTGAGGATACGGGACGATACGATGCTACCGGCTGTCCTGCCCTCTCTTGCGGCCGTCACTTGCCACAGGTTCAGTTTCGTGGAGCGACACAGGACGATTTGGGCTTTCGCCCGCAGACAATGGTCCGGATTTGTATCCCGTCTCGGCTGCGGAGCCCCGTCTGGCCACCGGACAACCGCCGACCTGGGCGGCCTCCCAAAGCTTAAAATAAAAGCCAGTTCCCTGCTCGTGCTCGCTGTGTTTGCGAAACACGGCCCGACATGACTCATCATCGCACCAGTAGTCCTTGTCCTTGCTAGCATCACTCACTCGCCATCGGGGCCCTCTTGATTCGCAGCAGACGACGCTGTACAGACTTGGCGCCGCATCCCCGACGCCCAGCTTGCAAATTATGCCCGTTGAACTCTAACAAGTAGGCTGACCGGAAGACTGGTCAGGGGAGTATCCGAAAATAATGATGCAGCGGAAATGATCATGTCAGATAACAGGGTACCTGCTCGGATTTTTTCTTTCTTTTTTTTCCTTTTTTCCCCCGCAGACGAGTACTCCACAGACGCCAAAAAAAAAAACACAAAGCAAAGCCTCGACAACATTGCGCAGCCACGTGCACGAAACGTAGTGGCTGCCCGGACGGGGCGGTAGGAGGCGGGAGCATAGAGTTGATGGCGGCAGGAACCAAGGCGCCAGCTGATGCGTGACGATGCCGGCAGCGGCTGATGAATCATACCTCGACGTTATATCTCCTGGCCATGTCGGTCAGCCCAGAAGAATGAGGGGGGGCACGACCGCATCTTGGAAGCTGATGGCGAGGTCGCCGATAAGGAGCAGCAACGCTCTTCTCTTGCTGTTCTTGTCCTCACCCCACCCGGCATCAACCTGCCAGGCGTATTCGCGGCGAGAAAACATCTCGTACCTGACAGACGAGCATTTTTGGGTCGTGGCGGGCAGGAAAAGTCGGGTCGCTCAGCAAACGTTTCAGGGACTTCTTTCGCCTTGACCTCCTTCTCCTTGGTTTCGAGACGTCCTCATGACGAACAATTCACCTCTCCGAAGACGAGGCGAGCCGGCAGAGGAGAGGAGGATCGAAACACGACGGCACACACGGCTCGGTGCCAAATCTTAGTCCGCGATAGAGTTTCGCAGGCCTTGCCCCTGCCCCGGCTCGCGTCACGCAGCCCAGCCCGAGACAGTATCGAGCCGGACGACAGAACAAGCTAAACTGTCGCGCTCTCTCGCGCCCGGCTCCCATTCGCCACAGCTGTGCGCCGCAAAGGCCGGCGTCGTCGTTCAGGACTCGTCATGAGTCAATGATGCCGGCTAGCTGGCCGCTGCAAAACGAAGCCAGGTTCGCGCAAAAGCATCCTTGGTGGACAGCCACGTTTCCCTGTCGGGAAAGAGACGAATTCGAGAGATCAACCAGGGCCGGGCATGAACTGGCCAAACTGGTGCAACTGGTGCGCTCCTGACGCCCCTGACGCTCCATTCCGACTGGCTAGCCCCTGCCGGCCGTGTAGACGAATGGAGGAGCTGCGAGGGGATGATGACGCCTACTGGCGGCGGGCAGACGACGAGCCAGACAGGTGCCGAGGGACAAAGAGATTGTTGGTTGCACCGGAGGGCCCTGATCAGCCTTCTCCTCCAAGGGTGTTGACAGGGGTCTTGAACCTGAGAAAGCTGCGTGACATGCAGAGGCTTGCCCACATTGGCCGTTGCTTCTCCGACGCGTGGAGTAGCAGGCCGTAGATCGTCTCTGATAATCTCGACGATTCCTCGTCCGAAGCCACGGACGGGGCGACCAACCCGGCCAGCGTGCGGAGCGAAAGCTTAATACGTAGACTACAAGGGGACCAGCTAGCGGGCCACTCCCCTTTTCCCCATCTCTTGGTCTGTGGGACAGACTGACTGACATGTTTCCCCCGCGCCGAGGCCATTTGTAGTCGAGATACCTACCGAGAGACTAGTTGTGTTTGCCGTCCCATCTCGTCTCGCCTCTGGCATGGTTCGCTCGCCGTACTCCGTACTTGGGCTTGCTCCCTGAGCACCAGCCCGACTCACGGACAGACCTTGTGCCGCTCGACACTCGTCACATCTTCATCCCCGGACAGGCTTTCTCCCCGGCACCGCCGTGCCGAGCTGTGAGCCCATCGACTCACGTCTGGCCCTGCCAACCATCCCATCACCAGCAGCTTGCATGTACATGTCACCAAGGAAACGTGAAGAGGTGAGGTCTGGTGCAGCTACCCGAGCGCTTGCTCTGCCTTGTCCCCGGCTCAGTCCCCCCACCTCGTGTGCAGCATCTGAACCCTCCCAGTAGACTTGTAGTCTATATATTTGTCTCGCCCATCCTCGTCCTTGTCTCGCCTGCGTCATCTGTAGCCGCCCACCCTGTGCTGCGGCGTCCGTGGATAACCTCGCCTGCGTACCCGGGTCCAAGTCGGCCTCGCGAGCACCAGACACACCTGCTCCCGGCTCAAGTGACGAGCCACGCCATATTGGCGCTCCTTTGCGAGGACAAGCTCGACGGGCGGGCATCTCTCTTGGCCCCAAGGCGACTCCTGACTTCCGACTCGCTCTGTTCGGGCGGCAAAGTTGGCCGACTCCGCGCCGTCATCCGGGGCACACAGACGCATCCGACGCCTCCGACACCATGGGCAACGGGCAGAGCTCTCCGTTGCAGCAGTGTCTGAACACGGTCTGCAGCGGCCGCGGCGGCTGTGCTGGGTATCCCAGTGACCCCCTCTATCAGACCTCGTGGGTCAAGCCCTACAACGCGGCTATCAAAGTGACGCCCATCGCCGTCATTCGGCCCAACACCGCCGACGAGGTGGCCGCGGCGGTCAAGTGTGCGGTGCAGTGCAATGTCCACGTCCAAGCCAAGTCTGGCGGACACTCGTACGGGTGAGTGTGTCCACGAGTCCACGGAGAGACAAGAGACGGGCGGCACCGTAGGCGAGGCGGACTGACATGCTGCTGTCGCGCAGCAACTTTGGCCAGGGAGGCCAGGACGGCTCCCTCATGATCGACATGGCCAACTTTAAAAACTTCAGCATGGACACCACGACCTGGCAGGCCACGTTCGGCGCCGGCATCAGGCTCGGCGAGCTCGACAAGCATCTACAAAAGAACGGCGGCCGGGCCATGGCCCACGGGACGTGTCCCGGCGTCGGCGCCGGCGGCCACGCCACCATTGTAAGTACTAGGCACCCGATGGCAGCAGAGCAGAGCAGACCAGGCCAGACCAGACCACGTCCCCCGTGCTGACACGTGCGAAACCGCAACCCCAGGGAGGCATCGGCCCGTCGTCCAGGATGTGGGGGACCGCGCTCGACCATGTGCTCGCCGTCGAGGTCGTCACGGCCGACGGCCGGGTGCTCACGGCCAGCGAGCGTGAAAACTCCGACCTGTTCTGGGCCGTGCGAGGCGCCGGCGCCAGCTTCGGCGTCGTCACCCGCTTCACCGTCCGCACCCAGCCCGCGCCCGGAAACGTCGTCGAGCACACGTACAGCTTCAGCTTCGGGAAGCAGCACGAGATGGCACCCGTGTACGCGGCCTGGCAGGCGCTCGTCAACGACCCCGGCCTCGACCGGCGCTTCTCCACGCTCTTCATCGCGCAGCCCCTGGGCGCCGTCATCACCGCCACCTTCTTCGGCACCAAGCACGAGTACGAGGCCACGGGCATCCCCGCCAAGATGCCCGCCGGCGGCTCCGTGCACGTCAAGCTCGTCGACTGGCTCGGCTCGCTCGCCCACATTGCCGAAAAGGCCGCCCTGGGCCTCGCCGACACCCCGACGCCCTTCTATAGCAAGTCGCTCGCGCTGCGCCAGCAGGACGCCCTCAGCCCCGACACCATCGCCCGGCTCTTCAACTACACCGGCAGCGCTGACGCCGGGACCCCCCTGTGGACCATCATCTTCGACTCCGAGGGCGGCGCCATCAACCAGGTCCCCGTCGATTCTACCTCGTACCCGCACCGCGACAAGCTCATCATGTACCAGTCCTACGTCATCAGCCTTTCGCTCAGCGACAAGAACAAGAAGTTTGCCCAGGACATCCACCAAATCATCCAGAATGGCTCGTCTCAGGCCGTTACTCGATATGCCGGCTACGTCGACCCCGAACTTGGACGTGCCGAGGCCCAGCAGACGTACTGGGGTGCCAGACTCCCCCGACTTCGCCAGATCAAACAAAAGTGGGATCCCGACAATGTGTTCCAAAACCCTCAGAGCGTCGATCCAGCCGAAAAGTACTAGTAGACGGCCGACAAGACCAGGTCCAGAGTCACCGACACCAACGACAAGTCGGCTGCTGGGCTCTGAGCTGCCAGGGGAGAGCCGGTAGCGGGCCACGACCTGCGCAGTAGCCGGCCCGTTTGTTCACTGCCGCACTGCGCTTGCCTCAGGCGAATTCATCATGGGAGTCGTGGCCAATGGTGTTGCGCAGCTTGTGTGGGAGTTCTTGGTCCTGATAGGTAGTCATTGTAACTAACGTTACATACCGTCTCTTTCGAGGGTGCAGATACTTGTTTCAACTTTGCAGATGTGTAGTAGTATTCTCGGCATTGCATGGGGTTTCAAACCCCTGGCGTCTCCTCCCGATGCCGAGTACTAGTCCGTAACTACCCAGACAGTTACACCAAGCTGTTCATCGGCTGATCTGCGTCCCTATCCAGGAACATGTGGGCCGTTGGGTACGACCCGATGTAGGACCACATCTACCCGACTTTGTTCTCCGCAGACGTTCATCATGTTGCTTCCCACTCCACTGGTGACGGACCGGCCGCAGCCCGGCTGCGGCGGCGGCGGCAGCGTCCAAGCTATAAATTTGACGCTCGCTCGCTCCCTGTTGATATTCTCCACCTTGCACTCGATTTTGCCTCTCACCGACTCGACTTGTAAATTCCAAGACGCGCCTTGTTGAGAGTACCAAATCGTCCCGCCAGCGGCCCAGAGTCCCCGTGCTCGGCGAGAGCATCCGGAGCGTGCGTGAATATCCTTCTTCCAAGGGCTTGCTGCGCACGACACCCCCGACGCCAAGTCTCCCACGCAGACCGGCCCCTAGAGCTAGCTCTGCAAGGCCCCAATCGGAAACTTGGCAGCAAGGCCTCGAGATGAGCACCGCCAATGTTGCCAAGCCGATGCTAAAGGGGACGGGGACGTCTTCGGCCGCCATGACGGATCCGAATGACGTGTACACGGCCTCGTCGGCCTTTTTTGAGGCCATCTGGGAAGCTGGCATCACTCACTGCTTCGTGAATCTGGGCTCGGATCACCCCAGCCTCATAGAGGCCATGGTTAAAGGGCAGAGGGATGCCGAGGGCAAGTTTCCCCGGATTATAACGTGTCCGCATGAGGTGAGACGCGGCTGCTGTGGGCCCGCGAGGCCAATTCATTCTCTCCCACTCTCACTGCCCGTCGTCAGTTGCCTGCTGATGACGGTTCTTAGATGGTGGCCATGTCCATGGCAGACGGCTACGCTCGACTCACCGGCAAGCCGCAGTGTGTCATTGTCCACGTCGACGTCGGGACGCAGGGGCTCGGGGCGGCCGTCCACAACGCATCTACGGGCCGCGCCCCCGTGTTTGTTTTCGCCGGCCTGTCCCCTCTGACCGTCGACGGCGAGCACAGGGGCAGCCGGACCGAGTACATCCACTGGATGCAGGACGTGCCGGACCAGAAGCAGATCCTGGGGCAGTACTGCCGATATGCCGGCGAGGTCAAAACCGGCGCCAACATCAAGCAAATGGTCAACCGGGCGCTGCAGTTTGCAAGGTCCGCCCCCCAGGGCTCCGTATACCTATGCGGCGCTCGTGAGATCATGGAGATGGACATTAGGCCGTACCGCCTTAAGCAGGAGAACTGGGAGCCGATCCAACTCGGGGGTCTTCCCGAGAGCGGCGTCGGCAAGATTGCCCGTGCGCTCGCCGGCGCCGAGAGGCCGCTCGTGGTCACTGGGTACTCGGGGAGGAACCACGCGTTCCCTGCCTCGCTTGTCGAGCTTGCCGATGCGGTTCCCGGGCTGCAAGTCTTGGACACTGGTGGTAGCGACATGTGCTTCCCGGCTGATCATCCGGCCTGGCTGGGGCTGCGATACGGGGTCAGCGAGGCGGTGTCGCGGGCCGATGTTATAGTCGTTGTGGACTGCGACGTGCCGTGGATCCCTACGACGTGCAGGCCCAAGGACGATGCCGTGGTATTTCATGTAGATGTTGATCCGTTGAAACAGCTCATGCCTGTGTTTTACCTCGAGGCCAGGGAACGCTACAGGGCCGATGCTAGGACCGCAATTGACCAGATCACGACGGCTCTCAAGACGGGCGACGCTGCTGCAAAACTCGAATCAATGGACAGAAGCGGAGCGGCCAAAAGGGTGCAGGACGAGTACAAGAAACTGCTGGCGAGTATCGAAGACAAGGCGAGGCCGAACCCAGACGGGGGCTTTGGCACAGGTCACTTGTGTCGTACGCTCAAGTCTCTGTGCCCGGAGGACACCATCTACGCCGTCGAGGCCGTGACAAATACATACTTTGTCCACGACAACATCCGGCCCACGACGCCGGGCTCCTGGATTAATTGTGGCGGAGGCGGACTCGGTTGGTCTGGCGGCGCTGCGCTGGGCATCAAGCTGGCCGCCGAGGCAGAGAAGCCGGGCAAGGGCGCGTTTGTGGTGCAGATAGTCGGCGATGGGTCGTATCTGTTTAGCGTTCCAGCGACTGTCTACTGGATTTCGAAGCGCTACGGCATCCCGGTTCTTACGATTGTGTTGAACAACAATGGTGAGGGTGGCCAACGATGCAGGTTGGGCGTTGCAGGAGAATACCGGCTAATGGTGCTACAGGCTGGCAAGCGCCCCGAAGGTCCCTGTTGCAGGTACATCCTGATGGTCTTGGCTCCAGGGTTTCGAATGAAGAGATGAATATCTCTTTCCGCCCCGTGCCTGATTACTCGGGCATCGCCAAGGCGGCGGCAGACGGTGATATTCATGCCGCGCGGGTTTCGCAAGCATCTGAGCTGGAGGGCTCGCTGAGAGAGGCAATTGACAAGGTCAAGGGTGGCCAGACGGCAGTACTGGACTGCAAGGTCGTCACGGGATGCTGAGCGAGGTGCAGGGGGGTCAAGGCGTCGCAACTCGCAAGGAGGGAGGACTTGGAGATGAAGATGAACATGGAGACGGACGTGGACGTGGACGTTGGACGTGGAGTCGTGGACAATGGATCGAGCTGTTGGATGTATCTGGCTATCGGGCGCCCCGCTCCGATGTACGGCGCCATGTTAGTGCATACTTGACAGCATCACCATGCCACACATCAGCCGATCGGAGCCGGGTTTTTTGCCTCGCTGTGGACAGAACACCCCACGACTTCTCGGTAAAAGTGCTTTCCGCATCCAGAGCGGGGTTGCTCCATGTTTTCTGTTTCGTTCGGCTCTCTTGTCCCGAGTTTGGCGCTTTTGTTTTCTTTTTTGTCCTTTCTCGCCCTTCATGGCCCGCTCGACACTAGACAATTTTAGGATGCCCTCGTGACGATCCCCATCCCATCCCCATCAACGACGTGCGCCCACCTTATTTTCAATGACCAGAGCAACTTGACACATGTTTTTTTACCCCCTTGTCAATCTGTCCGTCTGCGATATAATACGTTTGTGACAAATATATCATGAATAAGCGTCAGACATCGTTTTCACCCCGTCTGTATCATCTCGGGCGTCACTTGCGCATTCGCGACGTCGTGTCGTGATCGCGACCATTGTCTTCCTTTCGCTGCCCCATGTCGCCATCTCCTGTCGACCATCTTTTGCGGTTCGAATCAACCATGACCGACACGACTCAGCAGACTGTTGTCGCGGATGACGCGCCCATGCCCCAAGGCGCTTCCGATGCTGCACCCGGAGCCTCGATCCCTCCGTCTCCTCCGGTTCCGCCGTCCGATCCCAGTACCGCCGCAGTAGCCGACAACCAAGACAGCGTCACCGACGAAAACGACCTCTTCAAACTACCCGCCGAGGAAGCATTGCGCCTCCTCAGCGCCAGCGTGGAACTCCTAGTCCGGATGACTGGTGATTTCCCCCCTACGCCGCCCCCCAAAACGCCCACGGATCCCCAAATGACCGGCATGCTCGTCGAAAAGGACAACATTGTACGCTCGCATTCCCAGCAGAGTCTGACGCGGATGAGACGACAAGCTGAACGCGCCGCTGTCCACCGGCAAGGCCACCATGCGAATCCCTCACACCGAGGTGACGGCGGCGTGAACAGACTGCAGGCGTACAGCGCCTCAATGTCTGCCCACTTTGCTGCCCAACAACACGGCGCATCGTCGATACCAACCACGTCACCAGAGCCCGTAGACGGCGTCAAGCTACGTCAACACTCGGAAACCGAGATGGCGCCGTACATCGTCGTCGGCGCCGACTCCCAGCCCGTAAACCTCCAACATGGCGCAATGACGCGCAAGTTCTACAGCAAAAGGGAGCCGCCGATCCCTCTGGGCCAGTATCTACTGCGCTTACACAAGTTCTGCCCCATGAGCACTGCCGTCTATCTCGCCACGTCGCTTTACATCCACCGCCTGGCTGTCAAGGAACGTGCCATTCCAGTGACGAGACGCAACGCCCACAGGCTACTCCTGGCCGGGCTACGAGTAGCCATGAAAGCACTCGAGGACCTGTCGTACCCGCACGCCAGGGTCGCCAAGGTCGGCGGCGTCAGTGAAGTCGAGTTGGCACGGTTGGAGATTAGTTTCTGCTTTCTGGCTGGCTTTGAGCTGGTCGTCGGCGAAGAGCCGCTGCGGAAACATTGGCAGGAGCTGCGTGGCGGCAGTGCACAGCAGATTCTTAACGGGACGGATGTTCCGACTTTGAAGCTGACCAAGAGGCCTAGAGAGCTGGCGCACACGGGTGGATGACGACTTGCATATTGGACGAAATGTGGATAGGACACGTCTGGGGTGGCGTCTCGGTGTTTGACTGGCGTATACAGAGTTGCCTTGTCTTGGGTAGCGAATGGGTTGCACTTTGGACCGCGTGGGCATTTGCAACGGCGTCAATTTCGTACTGAGCGGGTAGCGGGTTTGCTTGAATATACGTGGCTGCAAAGCGACTCGCTGTACGAGGTCCTTTGCCTCTTGACTAGTTCTTGACCTTGACGTTGATGCAGGCTATGCCCGATGCCCGATGTGTGCTGCCACCAACTCTGAATACAACTGAAATATGAAGACGGATCTACGGCGGCCCGTGAAGCCGTGGACGAGTGCTGTGCCCGCCATCGGACAAGAATACGACATGGCCATGTTGGCGCTTTGGTCCCCCTTCCGCCCACCTAACTAGCAACCACAGATGTACGGCGCCGGCATCTTATCCAACGTCCTCATGCGCAGACTGGGCTTCCGTCCGCCAGCGATTTGACTCGGCTGCGGCCATGGCGTGCTCCACATACTCATCACGACATGCACATGGACGTGTCCCCTCCCCCCGGCGGGAGGCGGGTGGTTGTGTGATTCCCGTCATTCCGCTGCCTACTCTGTTCAGTGGTAAGGTTCTGGTCGGCGGCCTTGGTGTCACGGCGAACAATGATCAACACGGCAAGCACTGGGTGATTGGTCGGTGCGAGGTAAGAGCATAACAAGGCATGAATTAAGACTATATAGTTGCAATCTCAGCTCCAGGAACTGACATTAAAGAGCGAGTCGTGAGCAAGGATGATGAGAACCATGTTTGAGCAGCGCAATCTTCCAGGTTCCATTCCTCGCCGGGCTGATTCAAACACCACCAAATGTTAACGACTGGTAGAGAATACCAATCTACTCATCACCGACTAGGGAGGTCGAGGGCCAAAAATTCGTGTGTATCGTGAGAGTCCCGACAGGAGACTACTTAGTTGATAGTGATGCGGCGAGCCTCGGGCTTCTTGGCCTTGGGCACGGTGACGGTGAGGATGCCGTCCTTGAAGGAGGCAGAGACGGCGTCGTGCTGGACGGGGGTCGGGAAGTTGAAGACGCGCGAGAACTCGCCCACGCTGCGCTCGGTGAGCCAGTACTTGTACTTGGAGGGCTGGCCCTTGCCCTGGCCGGCCTCCGACTTGTCGACGGCGTTTTCGGCGCCCTCGTCTTGGGCGGTGGCCTTGTGCGAGCCCTCGCCGGTCTGGGTGATGGCGGGCTTGTCGGTCACGTCCTCGATCTGGCCGGCCGAGGGGTCTCCCTCGGTGTAGGTCCTCTCGGACCGGCCGCGGATGGACATTGTCTGCGGCTCGGTGAATTCGATCTGGACGGCATCCTTGTTGATGCCGGGCAGCTCGCCGTGCAGCTCGTACGCCTCTTCCGTCTCGCGGACGTCGAACTTGGGCTGCCAGATGGTGCCTCTGCGCCGGCCACCGACATCGTGGCCGGACGCCTGCCGGGTGTAGCTGTCAAAGTCGTCGAGGAGGCGGAAGAGGGGGGTGAAGGAGGAAGCGTCAGCTTCGTAGAGGCCTCGTGGGAAGAAGGACATTTTGCGGTGTGGTGTGGCGATGGCGGGGACTATGTTGCGCTGGAGAGTTCGTAGAATGCCTGTGGGCCGCGATGCTCTAAAGCACTGCATGCAATGGTGTTGGTGTTGGTGTAGGAGATGGCCGAGTGTTTGAGAGGTTGTGTGCTGATGGTGAGAGGGGGGAGGCGAGGCATCGTGCGAGGACGGTCGCCTTTTATAATGCAAACGGAGGGCGAAGGAAGTGCCGCGATGAATCGTCTGCTTTCTGGAAATGTCTAGAAATCAACCACGCAACATTGAGGTCACTGAGATACATGGGCGGCGGTCGCGTAATATTGAGGTCACCGAGGTGCATGGGCGGTGCCCCGCTGCGCGACGATTGGAAGGTTTTGGGTGCTAGTTGAAGCTTCTCGGGCCGTGGCGATGCTTCCAGAACCTGCTGTGCCCAATTTGGCAGGTGGAGGGGTGGGCTATTTGTGCGAAGTTGTCGTGCCGCCGCTCACTGCTGATTCGTGCTGCCGCCCCACATTGATTTTCGGCCCACCTGGCACCTGCCACGCCCTACCGTCAACTTCACATACGTTGCCCCGGCGACAAGGGGTTTATCACGAAGATGCCTTGCAAAAGAACAGGCGGCCTTTCTGTTACAACTTGATAATATGACTCAATTGTACGATTTTCATTCAAACCTCGTCACTACGCTTAAACACGACTTTTTCTTCTTCTGTGTAACAGAAAAATAGTTATATACTTGAATTCAAAAGCTTTACTATTCTCCCCAAAGAGTAATTTAAACTCTTTTTCAACTCTTTTTGTGACGGACTAGCTCAACGAGCCATGGCGGCAGCGGGTGCTAGCTGCAGTCATCCCAGTGGTTTGCCGGACCGTCCGGCCGTTGGGCCAAAAGGGCATGTGCGTATTGAACAAGTCCCTCGTTCGCGCGCCGCGCATCATTCAATGCTGGGCACACAACCCAGACCCTTACATTACAACCAACTAGACTTCAAAATATATGGTTCAAAGATTGACCACTATTCCGAGGATTACAGCCTGAATCTAGGTAAGCCCAGCGAACTAGTGCAAGGGGGACTTGAAGAGTTGCAAAAGAATATAAAAGAGGTAGCATTTTATAGACGCAACTGCAACGACACGACTAGTTTGTTTTCTACTACCCAGCCGCGGCGCCATCGACAAGCTCATCGATCCGGCTAGAAAACCCCCGCAAAAGTCTTTCCGTCTCCGCCTTTGCGGCCTTTACAGCCTCATTGTCCGATTTCTGGTGTCTGCCCGCAATCAGCAGCTGAAGCTTGGAGTGCTTCTTGGCGAGGTCAACTAGCCCGTCAAGTACGGCCGAGTAGACTCCATCGTACAAGGTTCCGTTGATACGCCGTACTGCCTCGGCGTCGTCCTTCTCCAGCTTCAACACATGGTCCCTCTCGTTTTGGACTTCCTCAAGCTGCTCCCGCACCTCTTGCGTCTTGCCGTCCATGCTGCTCTTCGGGTCGCCATTCAGGTAGGGCACGCCGAGTCGCGAGTAGACTTCTTCATCAACAATGCCCGACTCCATGGCGGCCTTTTTGGCGTCAGAGAAGCGGGATCCCATCTGCCGGTATTTCTCCTCGCAGGTCCCCATGTCCCTGGACGCGTCCTCCTCGGATTCGCGTCCCACTGTGGTCAGTTTCTTCTTCAACTCGTCGTAGCACCTGATGGTCGCGTCGACGGAGACGGAGAGGTCCTTGACTTTGCCCCAGTAGGGTCGCAGCTGCCCGGCCTGCTTCTCAGTGACCTCCGCCTTGGCCAGGCCTTGATTGAGGTCGTCGAGTCGTTCCTGCAGCTGTTTTGTGTTTGGGCCCTGCTCGCTCTTGCGGTCGTCCCGCAAGTCTGGCAGATTTTGCGCCAGCAGGAACGAGCTCGAGGGAAAACCAGGCTCTCTGACTAGCGCGCGAGCCTTTTGGAGCAGGGAAACGACGTCGGCGTATAGCGCATGGCACTTCTTGATGCGGCCTGGGTCTTCAATGGCCCGGCCGTCCTCACTCCGGTACTTCTCGTAGCACTCTATGCCGCTGGTCAACACTTCCGTGAGGTTCTTTATCAGGCTGCTATGTCGCTGCAGATAATCCGCGTCCCGGAGGGCTGTTTTCGCAATCTCTTCTGCCTTCTTGAGGTCTTGCTCTGGAACCGTTTTACTATTCATGATGACCGATTCCGCGCGCTTCTCGGCTCTGGGTGATTGCCCAAGCCCAGATTCACGAGTGACTGCCGCGCGAGGCTGCTCCCCACGGCCCGGAAGCACCATATCAGACAGGGACCAAAGGCGAACGCCGTTTGTGGCGACTGTGAGGAGAGAGACGGCAAGCATAGGGCGCATTGTGCCGGATGGATGCGAGCACGAGACGGGGCGTGTGTAATATGTGAATATTCGTGAGAGCAAGTGGCTTTCGAGGGGGGGAGGGAATCGGTCAAGTGAGGACGAGGAGTCACGTCAACGCAGTGACTGATGCATGAATCCTGGTGTGTCTCGCCCTTTATATACGGCAGCGAAGGGGGACCAAAAAGGAAAAAGAAAAGAAAAGAAAAGGGCCTCATCATCAATGCGGATGTGCGGTCGCGGATCGAGTGCTCGCCTACTCCGGGGACAACTCCGTGGCAACAGAGAGGCTGCCGATAGTTCGCCGGCTCCTGGCGACTTGCCAGTCTGGCTGCACAGGAGTGACGGGGGTGAGTCTTCCATTGATTCCTTGGCATTGCAAAGCTGTGATCCACAGAATCAAGGTCAAGGTTAATCTTTGCAGCTAAAAATCAAGGTCGGTCGATTCTGCTCATCCTTGATAAAGAAACGTCTCTTGCCAGCTCGATACGTTGCGAGTAGGGTTCTGACAGAGATGGACGGAGATTTATGCGAATTGTAGCGGCTTCACTCAGAGGACGCGTTTGCCTTGAGCCTGGCGCCTATCTGTGCATTGACGATTACGCCAGAAAGCAAATGGGGCAAGCAACGGCTTCTGCCCGAGGTCTGGCGGCCATGGGCCGTGGCCCTTGTAAGTTGTCACCAGATTCCCCGACAACAGCAAGCCTTGAGCCAGCGAAACCGGAGGAAAACTGCCCCGCAGTGCACAGGATTCTGTTGGATTTGCACACGTGTAATAAATGTACTTGCTACGGGCAATGACACGTGGCTCAGCCGGATAACACAGTTTGGGACGGGCTTTGGGCTCATGCTGGGCATTGACATTGACAGACGCGGACCTGGATATGCGGTTTCCGTCGTGAGATATATATATATATATATATATATGTATATACATATATATATATATACACGGCGCTTGCCCCGACACTAGACTGTCGATATAGATTCCTCAGCATTGCTCCTATAGCTACGCAGAAAAGCTTGGTTCGTTTAGCTGCAAGGCACTTGAAGCTGCAGCACCAGCCCATTCATCCATCACATTCGCCACGGAAAACCAAAAGCAAGAACAAGAGCAAGAGCAAGAGCAAGAGCACCATGGTCCATCTGCGCCGCACCAAGTGTGTCCTACTCCTGCACCTGTTGCTTTGGATAAGCCATATCAGTTCTGCATCACCAGGGCAGTCATATTCGGGCCCCGAAAAGCCCGATGCCAAGCCGTATTATTACGTACCCGCGTCTGAGCGAGCCAGTGTTCACCGAGTCGGGATTCCTGATCGCGTTGTCTGGCACAGCACACTGTCGAGGGCATTAAGGGCTGCTTCAGCTCTGGGCAGTGATGTGAAATGGGACCCGGACAATATGCGATTCGCGTACTCTGCCCTTTTCCTAGCTGAGACAGAGTCGGTTGTCGCTTCAGTGCCTAGGGATCAAATAGCTTGGGAAGCTTACTTGCCTGACGTGGACGGCCTCAACCCGACCCAGGCTGAACTACGAGCAATGTCTCGTGAAGATTTAAAAACATACAGTAAGCGTGCTCAATGGGAAAGATTCGGAATAGGGGACAAGAAAAGGGCGAATGAAATTTATAAGGAAAGAAGGCTTCGACGCTGGAGGCTCTGCGGAAAGCGCATCACCCAAACCCTCCAGCGATTTCGGCACCAATTCCGGAACTGGCGCCAGGGTATGGTTGCCGCAAGCCGGAATGCTATTTGCGACCGGAACCCGGGCTGTTCACGAGCCGTGGGAAGGGTGTTGGACATCATTCCGGGTAACCAGATTGCCGGGTACATCAATGATGGAAGTGCCGGAAGGGACGTGTGCCGTGAACTGGACCGGCAGAACCGGCCGAACCAGGGCCTCGGCGACATCAGCATCGACGAAATCCTCAGCGAGGGCCATCAGGGCCAGCCGGGCTCCGAGCAACGCCTATACGTCGACGAATTCGACCTCTCGCTGCTCCCCGGCGGGGACGAGCAGGGCCAACATGGCGAGCAGAACCAGCAGAACCAGCAGAACCAGGGCCAGCGCCAGCAGGACCAGCTGAGCCGGCAGGGCCACTCGGTCCACTCGGCCCAGCCGGGCCCCGAGGACCTCACAGATCCAAGGCTCCCCGGCGAGGACGAGCCGGACATGGAGGAGTGGTACATGTTCGTCGACACCATCTGTCGTGAGCAACACATGGACGAGTGGCAACTCTCCCACCATATCAACCAAGGTGGCCGCGATGCCCTACAGCAAACAGGTGACCCGGTATATGAGACCTTGCGACGCTTTCCCGGTGCCCTAAGCCTTCTGCAAAGCTGGTACGACATTGAAGAGCCACCCCTCAGATGCGAGCACGTAAATCTCATGGCCCGAGGGGCAGACCGAGGTCAAGGCACGGATACCTCGGCGCCAGACCAGAACCTCGTTGACTTTTGCAAGCATGTGCAGGCCGCTGCACGCGGATCCAAAAACTGCGCCAAGGCAGACGATAAAGACGGCAAGGCGGACAGGGGGGACAAGGACAAGGACAAGGACCACCAGGGCTCGCCTTCCGTCTCGCCGCCCAACCAGCTGGCTGCGCACGACTCCAGACATGACAAGCTGACGGCAGAGATCCTCGGCGCCATCGGCTTGGGCGCCATTGCCTCCTTGGCCACCTTCGTCGCAACGCCGGCCGGCGAGGCGCTGTTCGCCTCCCTCGCTGCCTCCCTCGGCATCGGCGCCGAAATAGAGTCCCCCGCGGCCGCGACGTCTCAGGCGCTATCCCATACCATCGGGTATCTTACCCACGTGTCCCGCCTAGCCGTCCAGAGGGCTGTTGCGCCCTTCACGCGTCTGAACCGTCAAGTGGCGCACCCGCTCTTGAGACGAATCGTCAGCCGTGCCGTGCGGGCCGCAACAGAACGAGCGGCCGAGCATATCCCGTTGCTGTCAACCATCTAGCCTTGCCGGGTGGGGGACGGGGACGGCGTGAAATGGCAAAGAGGCCCCCTTGCGAGTCGCGACTGACGAGTGTGTGTGGTGAGGGCCTTGTGACGTGGTCTACTATACTCCACGGTGCGAGGGTCTCTGGCGTATTACGCTACTTGAGTATTGGGCTTGTCGTCAATGTCAAGTTGAACATGTTCGAGGTGTACGCTTAATCATCATCAGAGTCTAGAGTTTTACCAATGTGAGCCTTGTGTAATGTAAGAGCTTTGTGACGTCTCGCCCATCCAGCAGACAGATATAATCAGAGGACACAATGGAATATGACATGTCACAAGAGCAATAGATCAAAATTCATGGCATGTGGCAACCTTCGTGTTGAAATCGACTCATAGCGGTATACTTTGGGCTCCCACAAAGGGTCCGTTGTTTGTATCGACGAAGCTTCGTGGTCCGCGCAGGCACGATGCACTACTGTACATGGGCAATAGCCGTTGGGGGCGAGGGCCCCGGCCGCCGAATGGTCACCGCGGCCAAAGTCTCAGAACAAGACCGCTTGCCATGTAGATTGATGTCAGCCAGATTTCGCAGCCAGCAAAGCACCAGCCCCGTTTCGGATGGGCAAGCGGCGCCGCTCCTTGAATGACTTTCGCCCAGGGTGGGCCGTGGCGCCTTAGGATAAGGAGGAACAGCTGGACAGCGACGCCGCGAGTATCAGTTAGCATGGACTGCTGCCTCGGGGCATGCGACCGACACGAGAAAGGTGGGCGGGTGTACGCACCGTTTCTGCCACGTCTGCCACGGCCGCGGCCATGTAAAACAGCAAGACCGGACTGCCAATGTGCACGTGGGCGTCGAGCAAGTTGTACGCGACGATGGAAAGGCACGAGGCGCTCGTGCCATAGGACCTCGTCAGAAAGAGGTCCAGGATGGCGGTGACAACCAGTAATGTCAGGAGATAGGAGAACCAGCGCGCGTAAAAGTCCAGCATGCCGCGCCAGGAGAACAAGAGCGAGATGAACTTTTGGCCGCGGTCCCGGCGCCGACGGAATACCAGGCAGCGATGCGGGGCTTCGAGAACGATGCCTACGGTGCAAGGCTCGATATCTTGCCTCTGGGACCGAGTTAGGATTCATGACTCTGCTCCGTATGTTCGAACATGTTGCAGGGGGCTGCCGTTCTCTACTCACGTCTTGTCTGATGGACTCCAAGACGCCCACGACCTCAAATGCCACGCAGCAGTGAACGAAGCTACTAGGCTGCATGCTTCCAGCAGATGACATGCGGAAATATCGAGAAAGAGATCCCAAGGCGACTAGGAGGACACTGGAAGCGACGTAGTAAAGGCGTGGCCATGGTTGGGGAGACGGCCCCTGCACGACGAGGGTGACGAAGAAGACCAGAAGAGGGACCAGGAGCGCCTGTAGAACAGCCTCAGGAACCCCCAGTATCAGGGTCGAGGCCCGGTAGATGATGTCCGCCGTGCAGGCAACGGCCCAGTAGGCCAAGTGGTATTTCACTGAGCGCATTCTGTCGTCTCTCGCAAGCGCGGCGTCGTGCCATGTCCTCTCCAACGGGGCATTTGCTGCGTTTCCGCCTGGGAAGAACAGAGAGAGTGTGTGCGGAAAAGTCTTGTTTTCTAGGGCGGGAGATGGAGTGGTTTAAAAACCAAGAGGGCGTCAATGACATGACATGACGGTCACTCGTCCAGCCCACCCACCCCTCCTTCTGAACCCCTTGCCGGTTCATGTCCCAACCCCACTTTTAGCCGGCGCTACGATCCACACAACTTGATGCTCTACAGTGTTGATTATGAGTTGGAGCTTGACAGAAGCCTTCCCACACCCCCGGACAAGGGCATTGGCCCGAAGACTTGTTTGAGGAGATTTTGATGCCATCTAGATGTTCGCGGGGGCTCTCAGAGCTGCGCATACCATGGCAGGTTGCCATACGAGGCCAGCCTGGGGTCGGTTGACCTCTTTTCCTGGGTGTGCTTTGGAGCACTGCGGCGCGGCACCTCCTTCCTGCCAAAGACGATCGAGTGTACGGAAGGAAAGCGCGGCCTTTGGGATGCTTGGGATATCAACCCAGTGCCCTCCATTTGCCTTCTTCTTCTTTTCTCTTCTCCTTCAAATCGACCTACTTTGTCAAAATGCATGTACTTCGCTATTTTTTTAGTCCCCAGCCCTGTCGCGCCGTACAATTGGCTTCATCGGCATTGTTGTGGAACTTCGTCAGTTCCAAGTACCCACTGGCCGCAGCAGTGGCTGGCATTTTATGCGTCTGGCTCATCGAGACCAGATTTCTGTACTTGACGACGGGTCCGAGCATTGCTGATGCCGAGGACGAGCCCCGTCTCCTTGAGCAGCTTCGCCGGCTCGAAAGCGGCGTGTAAGTCTGCTGCCAGATAAGGTCCAGGTCCTTTTGACTGGGGTAACGCCAGGTACCAGGCGCCTTTGACAATAGGGAGGGCATCGTTAGACAATCAACAATAGGTCGGCCAGGGCTGGGAGGGTCGATTTGACAACCCTGGTACCTTCGGGTCCAGCCGGGGAACCCCCTTATCGGTTCATGCCCCGCCCCCCTTTCCTGGGAAGAGTAAAACTACGACGATGTTTTCCACATTGTATGTACGTATTTATCTCAAAGGCATGTGTTCTTTCCCACCTGCCTCAATGCTGACGTCAAGCCGAGCGCAGAAACTTGTCATGTGTACTCCGTAAGGCAACGGACCGCTAGCCATGGTCTACATACCATCGAATTAACATATGTGTGGCACTTTGACCCCCGCCACTGTGCGACGTTGAATGCGGCGTCTCTTCCCACGTTGTACATACAGGGTATGGTTGAAGACATTGTTACTATTTGGGATAATCCCTTGTCATGGACTAACGGGAGCAGCCATCATCGACTTGTCGCTTCCCAAGGCGGACCATGACTCAACCCACCACTTGTACGCCACTAGAGTCAGTCCCTCACGGCAATAGTATTAGGGGCATAACTTCAGTTCATTGTTACTGGTGAAGATCAGGATGGAGCTTGCTCGTCCTGCAGGGCCCTGTTGGACTTGTCGAGCTTCGAAGCAGCCGATAATGGGACATTGGCGTTTGAGCACGCGGTTGTGCAATACAATGGAACTACAAGCTAAGCAATGGTAAAGATGTCAGCCGAATCTACAAGAAAGGATAGGTGTTATGATGACTGGCTAAGGAATTGGATAGGAGGATTGGTACCTGCCTCGCAGCTGTAGCTAGCTAGCTAGCTTGTTGAATGTCGAATCCGCTGAAGCTCGCTCGCCCGCATGACCCAATCTATGTCGGCACCATGACATCATGTTACATGTCCCACAGCGGATAAGGCAGTGCCAAGGTTTTGACTATCCGTGTTTTGAACTTGCGTGGGCGCCCATCGTTTGCCTGATGATAGAGATAGTAAGCGCCTGGCGGACGAGAAAATCATGGCAGAGGTTTGCATCGCGTGGGTGCAGCGCCATTAGAAGCCTGGAAGCATGAGAGCCAGAAGTAACGTCACAATGCTATCACCCTTGGCCTCGGAAGGTCTAAATATGCTTGACATGTGTAGAGGTGGCCCGAAAAGAGTGCATCTGTCAATGCATGCGCACCTTAAACTTCCTTGGCCGCTCCTGGGTTACCCCTGCATCGTCCAGAAGTCATGTGCAGTCGGTGAACGGACTGTTCAAGGTCCTTGCGGCCACGGGCTTCTATTTATGCAGCAGCCTCCTGCCCTAGGTCTTGTGACTGTAGCCCCCGTGTCGCCAACGTCCCTGTGACATGGAATGAATGAAGCCATTCCAACCCCAGTGAGTCCTGCCCTCGTCATACCTGTGGGAAACCAAGGACATTTAGGACTAGAGCGCGGTGTTGCAATGAAATGTATTTGACCGCACTAAATTATATACCTCTATTTAATTAAGCGTTCCCAGCTACTATCTATCTTTGACTTTTCTTTGTTTGCAGCCTTTCCTCCAATTGTGAGGACCAAGGCCTTTTCCCTCCTTGCCTGAATAATTAAGTCTTAGTAAAGCACCCCTTGGGCTTAGCGCCAGAAAGTACTCCGTAGACCATCCCTTGCTTTATAGCACGACAGTCGGGAATAGCGGGGTGACAGGGGTCACGGGCCAATCCTGCAAGGGTCGAATCTAGATTGCGAGCACATTCCCGCGGCCGAGACTCCGAGGGCTGCCCTGCCTCATTCGGCCTAGTCTGCCCTGTCGACGAACCTCCCTGCAAAATTGGAACAGCAATCAACACGACGCGGAGTCACGGGGGCGAAAAGGGGCCCTGCATTATCCGTACAAACACAAGACGATCCCATCACCGCCGTACATGGACTCCCTCGCATGATCTGCTTTTTTTTAAAAAAAAAAAAGGAAAACGAAAAGATTAGACAAAGAAAATCAAACCAACCTCTCCTGATCGCATCATCGTTTGAACCTCGCACTCTAGCCGGCGCCGCCCCCCCCCTCGGCACCAGTCGCAACGCGGATAAGGTCTCCCTAGTGGCGTTGCAGATTACGCTCAAACAAGAAGGTCGTCGACATAGGATGTAGGATGCAGCCCCGGCACGGGACACACGGGACACCGATCACGGAAAACACGGCAAGGCCCGCCTGTATAAAGATGCGTGTCGGCAGCGCGCCCAGCCATCAGGTGCCGCCGCGAGCAGAACGCTTCTCGGAAACCAGTCGTCGAAACGCCCATGTCTCTCAGAACGCTGCTGCTCCTGGCTGCCGCGCACCTCGCGCAGGCTGGCGATTTCTCCCACGCCCTCTTCTACAAAAATGTCGACTCGGAGACGGCCCGACGCGTAGCCTCGATCAAGGGCCTCGCGGCGGCGGGCAACGACGGCCCCCTCGTAAACGACCAGGTATGTAGCACGTAAACGCGCCCCGCCTCGAGAGCCTCGCGGTGGCAGTGGCAGTGACAGTGGACGAGATCTGACCGCCGGAACCGCCCGCAACCCAGGGCTTTTGGTTCGCCCACTTCGCCGTCGGGGCGAGTCCCGACCTCGAGATGCTCGTCGACACGGGGTCGTCCGACGTCATCCTCAACCCGGGCTCGTACAAGCCGTCGCCGGAGTCCGTCGACGCGAAGCGCACATTCAGAATCTCCTACGCCACCACGAACCCCGACGGATCGGGGACCCTGACGGTAAGTCGCCGGGACCACCACGCGCCGCATTCGCATGACCTGAAGCTGAAGGGGTACGCGACGAAATAATAAAGACCTCGGGCAGCGTCTACCGAGACGTCGTCACGCAGCTGTCGGCAAATCTCAGCGTGGCCGACCAAACGCTCGGCGAGGCGCGCTATCCAGCCTCGCCACCCGTGTTCCCGCACGACGGCCTCATCGGGTACGCAGGCCAGGACGGCAGCGCCCTCCGCGGCGCCCCCTTCATCGACAGCCTCTGCAGCGGAGGGGCCCTGTCGTCGTGCCGCTTCGGCATCGCCCTCGACGCCAACAAGACGGGCGCTCTGTACTACGGCGCCGTGGCGACCCACGCGCTCGCCGGGGCGCTGACCACGGTCCCGATCCAGCGCGAGTGGGTGGTCGTCGGCGCCGTGACGGCCGGCGGGAGGGCGGTGCAGTCCGGCGCCAGCATCGTCACCGACTCCGGCACGACCGTCATCTTCGGACCCACCGACCAGGTCGGCAACCTCTTCCGGCAGGCCGGCATCCGGGCCGTGCAGACGAGCGCCGGCTTGACGGGCCACTACAACTGCAGCGCCCCGCCGGCCATTGGCTTCTCGTTTGGCGGCAAAAACTTCGACCTTCTCCCCGCGGCGCTGGCGTTTGCCAAGGACGGCGACGACTGCACCGCCGCGGTGCACGGGTCCGATGCCTTTGGGGGCAGATGGCTTGTTGGCCAGGCCTTCTTCCAGGGCAGGTATATCGACCACAATATCGCCGATGCGACCATGGGCTTTGCCGATTTGAAGTAGGGCCCGCGAGTGAGGGCACATCGGAGCACTGTGCTGCAACACGGGCATGACACGACGCCTGCGCTGCCCAAGGGGGGCCAGACGGGCGTAAGATACAACATAGTCTGATACAATAACCCCGCGAGGGAGGTCTGTAGTCATAAGTCATACTACACACTCGTGTCGTGCAAGAGCATCCAAAGAGGCGCACCCGACGTGGCACGCCTGCTGCTTCCATGGCCATCTATTCAACAGCGCCTTCCACTTCTCCTCCCTCCCCCCGGCCCACAAACACACAGAACAAGACAAGACATCTGCCGCGTGCCGAAAGACGTACGCCTCTCAAGACATCCCCCAGGGCTTCATATTCTATACTTCTTCCGTCTCCACAGCCTCGTAGCCGCCGCGCGTTCTTATTCCCGTCAGACTCATCAGTGTAGGGCTCTCGTACATGGTCGTGTAGTCCACTTTGCCCCCTCCCAGGACAGCCGTCCCGTTTTCTCGTTGGCCAAAGATTGGTGCCGGATCGCACCAAAAGTCCTTACAGTTGGAGACACATCCGCGGCTGTAGGGGTTCTTCTTCTTTCGTCTGTTGCTGCCGGTGGCCGCACCACGACCGGTGATTGTCTCGATGAAGGGGTCGACTCCGAGAATGCGGCTCCATTGCTTGAGCATGCCTCCTCTGTGTCTGCTTGCGTGGCCAGTGGGCGAGGTGGTGGATGCCGCAGCGGCTGCGAGGGCCGGATCCAGGGGCGTGCCTGTTGAAGTGAGCGCCGTGGCTGCCTCGCGAGTGTGAATGCCCGTCATGTTTTCAAACGTCGTCATGGCGCGCGACACTTGAACGAGCTGGGTGAACACCAGCATAGTGACCCATATGAGCTGAATACTGACCCAGACCGACAGGAGAAGGGTGTAGGCGTCCGAGTTGATGAGCTTGCAGAGGCCGCCACCAAAGACGTTGCAAGACCCAGACGCGTCTGCAGAAACGACACCAAAATCTAGATCAAGTTAGCCACGTTTCGCTGCATCTCCAGTGCAGGTCAAAACCCACAATAATACACTAGCCAGTCATAGGCGAGAATGCCAAACGTGAGATTAACGAGGTATAAGAAAAAGTGTCTATGGTTATTGATTCCAACGCAATTGTAGACCCAGGGACAATGACTATGTGCAATGTTAGCGGAAAACTTCCATCCACAGACAACGTGCTGCACGCACGTACTGATCATGCTTTGCTACACAACGCTGGCAGCGTCTGCAGTGTTTGCTCCGGAGCGGTGTGCGAATCATGCAGGTAACACAGAAATTGGCCTCGTCAAACTTCCAGCTCGCCAAAAGTTCATCGATCACGGCCCTCTGTTCTGCGATGCCATTCAACCTCGGTACGAATCCTGGATCATACCGCATGCTCGCTGCGTAGAAGAACGTGGTCAAACCGAAGAGAAGGCCAAACGCCAGATTCAGAATCACGTGTGAGCTCCCGCCTCGAATTGTGCGCCACATTACAGTGGTGAGCCAGCTCACCCCCACGAGGAACAGGGAGCCGGCAAAAATGCCAGCCATCCAGGGCTAGAGAGATTTGTTAGTTGACCAGGGAGTACGGAATCCACCACGCGACAGAACGTACGGTTTTGTGGAAGTGTCTCATGTCAGATGGCGCGTACTCCAACACCTGCGTCGCGCACCAATGCGCGCAATACACGATGCCGGCCGCCAACGGAAGACCCAAGAACACGGGCGAATACGAAAGGACAATGAGCACACCCCAGATCATAACCCACGGCCAGAAAAAGAGGAACTTGCAGGTGAAGGCCCTCCTGTCTTTCAGGAAGTAGTTGGCTCCGGGCCACGGAGGAGTCACAGGATTACCATCGCGGTCGTAACCGCATTCCCTCAAGGCTCGATACCACGCGGGCTGCGTATTCAGTTCCGTGGCCGTCACCGAAGGTGTCTTGCCGGTGTCAGTCTTTGCAAATCGGTCGGCGCCGTACTCGATAAGCTTCTGGATACATCCCGGGTTCCCTTTCACCAAGGCCCAATGGAGAGCTGTGAATCCCTGCTCGTCCGCCGCATGGACGCTGGCGCCCCAGCGCAGAAAGACGTCTACGCAAGAGGGGAAGCCCTTGTATGCTGCCCACATGAGCGAAGTGTGTCCATAGGTGTCGAGAACGTCGACGGGAATGCCTTGGTGCAAGAGCAGCACGATCAGCAGGGTATTGCCGTTAAAGGTAGAGATGTGAAGCGTGTTGTAGCCTTGCGCGTCGGTGACGAGAGGGTCGGCGCCGTGTTGGAGAAGCAGATTGACGGTATAGTAATGGCATCGTTGGGCTGCCCACTGGAGGGGGGTCGCAACAGACTCGCCACCTTTGCGGTTGATTTCGGCTCCGTGTTCGATCAGAAACTTGCACATGGCATACTGATTGTTTATGGCAGCCCACTGGGTTTGTCAGGACCAAATTTCCGGGGGCGATGGAGGACTGCTGGCTGGCGTGCGTGCTTACATGTAGGGGCGTAATGCCCTCGTCATCAGTGTACGTGGCATCGAACTCGCCCGTCGCGAACAGCTTCTCCATGGCAACAATATCACCTATCCGCGCCAACTGCATGATGTCCTTCTCGCGGCTGATGGCGGCGGCAGCATCGTCATCGACGGCCTGACCGTCACTAGCAAGGCTGCCCATCTCCATTTCGTTGTGAAGCTTTGGAGGCGCAATAGAAGACTTGGTAGCAAATTGGATGGGGCGCGCGCTGCCACCACTCGCGGACGCAGCGGATTTGCTGCTCAGTCTAGCAGGACTGCTCATGTAACAGGAGGAACAGCAGGCTGCAGGTTGGCGCAGCGTCCCCGTGGAAGAGGGGAAGCCAAAGGTGAGGTCGGGCGTTGGTTGAGATGGGCAACCGGCTGGGGGGCTGCGCCTCGAAGCGTCGTGACTGACAAAAAGTGAGCGCTGGAGAGCAAAAATGAATGCGGCCAGGGCTAGCAGTGCTGAATTTAGCAGCTAGTGCTGTAGAATAAAGGCCGGAGAAGAAAAAAAAAGAGTCAAGAGAACATGGCAGCCGCACACAGAAGAAGCTCTACGAGAAAAGACCAAACAGAACCTCTTTGTATCCGAGGCGGCGTGTGCCTGTTAGGATGGAACATGGAAATTATCTCCCACGGGGATGATGGGACCCGCGGAACTGCTAGCCAGTCAGAAGCAGTGCTCAGCAGGGCTGAACGAGGCTGAGCCTGGCCGTAGCGCAGGAGCCAATTGACCTATCGCCTCGAGTCCAGCCGTGTGCTGGTATTTGATCTGAAGAATAAGCAGTTGATAGAACCATGCGGAGTGCAAAGCGGGCAGTCCTCCGAGCGCATCTTGAATCTCTATCGAAAAACAAAAATCGTTTCACACAATCATATTGATGATGCTTACTCCGTACTTTTCGTGTTCCAAGACAAACCCAACCCCCACACGCGCGGGAAAGACGAGGCCGAAGCCCCAGCCGGCTTGTCAGGACTCGGACCACTCGCTATGGTGCTCAACCACAGTCGACCCTTCTTCCTGTGGCTCGTGTACATCGACCTGTGGCGCAACTGGACCACTCGACACCACCACAGCTTTATGCGATACCGTTACCACTGAGCCTCGTCAACTTCCCTCCACAGCTATAAACCCCCCGGGGGCTCCCTGCTCATCGCTCTCGGCCCTCCCCCGCCCGTGATCACCACCGTCACCATGCCGACCGTCACGCAGATGGCCGAGGCGCTCCTCACGCCGTCCATCCCCGTCATCCTCCTCGGCCTCGTCATCGTCGTCGGCGGCCCCATCCTGCTACACTTGATCCTCGCCTCGTCCGCCACGTACACCATCGCCCCGACGGTCCTCCTCGTCGGCCCCGAAAACGCCGGCAAGACGTCCCTCCTCACCCTCCTCGAGCGCGGCACGAGGCCCGCCGACACGCACACCACCCAGCGAACCCAGTCCGTCGAATTAAACGCCACCACCGACGCCAGGACCAAAGGCTCCTTCAGGAACCACGACGACTCAACCGGCACATACACCAAGTTCCTGCTCATCGACACACCGGGACACGGAAAGCTGCGCAACCTGGCAATGGCCAAGCTCGCCGACGCCGACAAGTTACGCGCCGTAGTGTTCATGGTCGATGCCGCCGCGCTGGGCGAGCAGGAGACGCTCGCCCCCACCGCCGCCTACCTCTACGACGTGTTGCTGCATCTGCAGCGCAAGGCGAGCCAAAAGGGGACGACGGGGGGCGCGATTCCGGTCCTGATTGCCGCCAACAAGATGGATTTGTTCACGGCGCTGCCGGCCAGCCTGGTCAAGAGCCAGCTGGAGAATGAACTGACGCGGATCCGGGCTTCCAAGAGCAAGGCGCTCCTGGATTCGGGGGTTGGGGTCGACGAGATTGGATCAGAGGAGCACGATTCATGGTTGGGAGAGTATGACTCCGAAAAGTTTTCCTTTCAGCAGATGAGCGAGTTTGACGTTAGCGTCGACGTCGTCCCTGGGAGTGTTACTACGACAGTGGCAGACGTTGACAAGTGGTGGTGGTGGATGGCGCAGCGCGTGTGAAGAAATAAAATCCTCCTCGAGTCAACGACTGGAGTGGGCTAGGCATATGTCCTTTTGCATTGTAGACATTATCTTCACCGGCCCCGGGAACCAGGCGTATCATAGCATCCGAATTGGTAAACAAATGCATTCATCTAATGTGTTTAAATCCATCTGTGTAGATGTTGAGTCTACCACCATAACCTAGTTGATCATTCAATGGAACCATCACCTCATGCCTCCCCAGTCGCAAAGAAAACGCCAAATCATGCCAGCCAAAAAAATAAAAAAAATAAAAAAAATCCATGGCCCGGATTTATTTCTTGCTGACCATCCAAGTCAGCAAGTCGACCTTTGTAACGACACCAATGGGCTTGGACAACGACACATTGTCACCACTGCGTGCTGTCACGACTGCCGCGCTGTTCCACTCAAAGAACTTGCTGAGGGTGGACAGTGGCGTATCCAGGGTAATTTCGACAAATTTTCGCTTGGGCCCCGAGGTCTTGGTCACGGAAGCGCCCTGTCGGGGATCGGTGACGATTTCATCCAGACGGCTGAAATTGAACATGACGTCCTTGACGGGGCTCTGGGGCGTAGCACGGCCACGCGAGATGTACGACAGTAAGTTGCCGAGGGTGACGAGACCGACAAGCTTGGACGATGCAGACAGCACCGGGAGCTGATCGAAGCCTTTGTCACGCATAGTCTCAATAGCTTCGGAGCATGGGGCAGTATCGACGACAGAAGTCACAGGTTTCAGACGGAGCGAGGCAATGGTGGCACCGGCGTAGGGATCGGAACCATCGCCGCCGGTGGTGTTTTTGGCGAGGGAAGATTCGGCGCTGCCAGTAGTCAAGAGACCATTGGCGGCAAGCCAGTCGTCGTCGGCAAACTTGGACAAGTAGCTGCGGATGCTGTCGGGCAACACAACAACCACAACATCCCCCTTCTTGAAGCCGTAGTCACTGACGGCCCGGACCATTGCAGCCATGGCCGATCCAGATGAACCACCGACGAGGAGGCCCTCTTCGGCTATCAAGCGTCTCGCAAGTACGAAGGACTCCTCATCATCCGTCTTGTACCACTTATCCACAATTTCACGGTCCAACACATCTGGGATGAAGTCGTATCCGATGCCCTCGACCTTGTACGGCTCGTTGACATGCTCCTGGTTCAGAGATTCCGGCAGAGCGAGAATACTACCCTGGGGATCGGCGGCAATGACCTTGATGTCCCGGTTGTGCCTCTTCAAGCCACGGGCAATGCCAGTAACGGTGCCGCCAGTGCCGGCACCAGCAACAATAGCAGTGATCTTGCCACCTGTCTGTTCCCATATCTCCTCAGCGGTTCCGTGCTCGTGGGCCAAAGGGTTGTCGGGATTGCCATACTGGTCGAGGATGTGGGCGTTGGGTATTTCCTTTTCAAGACGGCGCGCGACTCCGATGTGCGATTCGGGGGAGTCCCAGGCGGCTTGGGTGGGAGTACGGATGATGGTGGCGCCGAGGGCTCGAAGAACAGAGACTTTTTCAGCGGACATCTTTTCGGGCATGGTAATGATGGTTTTGTAGCCTTTGATGGCAGCAACGAGGGCCAGACCGATGCCGCTGTCGACGCGGTGTCAGTCTTATTCATCAAGTATGGTTGGTGAAGCCATAACAAACATACGTGTTGCCGCTGGTGGGCTCAATCAAAGTATCGCCCGGCTTTATCCTACCACTCTTCTCGGCCTGCTCAACCATTCGCAAAGCAATCCTGTCCTTGACACTGCCACCTGCATTGAACAGCTCGGTCTTTGCGTAGACGTGGCATTCTATGCCAAGCGACTGCGGTACCTTGTTGAGCCGGACCAGGGGGGTGTTTCCAATGAGTTCGGTGGCAGACAGGACAGTGGCAGGCTTGCGCCCAGTATGAGGCAGTGCGCTAGCCATGGCAGAGAATTGTCGATTCAGATATAGAAGGGGAAAGAAAATGGCGGCGGTGAGGAAGGAGAGGAAGAGACGGCAAAAGAGGGCGAGGGGGGAGAAAAGGTATCCACCAATGAATGCTTCTGGAAGGGATGCAAAGAAACGGCGGACGCAGGTGGTGGTGAACCATCTGCAGCAGGCAACTCGTTTTCTGCCCCGCGGCGGGGCCTTCCAAATATTGACAATGTGGTGGCGGCGGTGTCACTGGTGCCGAATGTACCCGCTGAGCCGCACGCAGGCGTGGCACAGTCACTTGACGATGATCACATCGCGATTCAGGGTGCATCTTGGCGTGTTCAGTTGGCGAGTTGGGCGCCTAGCGATGATTGGTCGGGAAATGCCCCGGCAAAAAATGGCAACATGCCGTGTCGCGCCCGCCCGTATGCCAGTCAGCAGGCCGTCATGACCCCAACTCGAGACCGACTTCTCGACCCCGACCGGCGCGGCGGCCCATTCCTTGACCACGAAAAGCCTTTGCACGATTAAAGGGATATGACAAACTCAACTAGAGTTTTAAACCAGACAGTAATGTCCTTTGTCTTGTCCAGCAGATGCGAGCTCGTTAGACGGCTGATCGCGCCAATGTAAAAGGTGTCGTCGCCTCTCGGCTCGCAGTCGGGCTTTCAAACCATCCATGCCCGCGTCGAAGCCTCGCCAAGTTGCTTGAACTTGTTCTGGGTCTGAGCGCTCAAAAACGCCAACTGTGTCGAGCTGAACAGGTGAAGATGGTGGTTGCACAATCCGGGCTCATAACCAGATGATCTACCACTAGATCAGAAAATGGGAATCCATACGTCTGGTGTACTGTGGGAAGGAAGGCAGCAATCGACTATATATATATATATATATATATATATATATATATATATATACAGCATTGTACGCCTGCGATATGCACAAGTACTCCTACCGACCAATCTGACACAACTACTTCTCAACTCAAGTTGTCACTCTGCTTTAGTGACATCAACCACCACAAAGCTGCTCAAATTCTTTTATGGCCCAATGGGGAAGTTCGCAGGCAGATGTCCACAGATTAGGCGAACTGCCAGAGCCGCTGAACTTGACCAGGTACTCCGTAATGCGACCACGTCCTCGCCTGCGAACGCGCTTCTCTAACAACTTGTCCACTGGCAAATATCGGCTTCCTAGGTCGCTGGGGAAGCGGGATCCGCCTCCTGCTAAGGAAATTCCTCGTTCCGGACGCAAGGCCCAAAGCCGAGAGCTGCGACGTAGTCCTTGGGTTATTTGCTGAGACGGCACGTTACGCACAGGCACCCGGCCGCTGGAACCTGTGTCTCGTTCCTTCTGATGTTGATCTAGTCGTTGAGTCATGCCCGTCGTGCCAGCTGCGCCCTGGCCCCGAGAGCTTGGCTTCAGTCTTGTGGGCCCCGACTGCACGAGGGGGTCATCTTTAAATGTGACCCTTTTCCTCTTTCGTGAAGTACCCTTTGGGGTCACAGGTTCGGGCTCGGGTTCAGGCACTTGCTCCGCCGCCCGTTGGATCAGTCCGTTTTGGCCAGGATATGTGTCATTCGTGTCATGGCTATGGCTTCGACGAGATTGTCGATTAATGTCCGTTGATGGACGACTTCGGCTGCGTAAAACTCTTCCATGTGCCTCAACAACTGCTTCATTGCTTAGATGTGGACCATGTTTGCGACCGTTTAGCCTCTGCCTCTTGGAGTTTGACTGCACTAAGCCGACATCTTCAGTTGGTGCTTGCCTCCTCTTCCGGGAGTTGCAGTCCGAGGTTGCACCTGTCACCTCAGCGTCGATTGCGTCTAGCTCTGCCAAAGCCCATTCTAGTATATTCGTCAGGTAGGCCACATCTTCCGTAGCGTCTACATATAATTCAGTGCTTTCAACGAAGTGGCAGATCTGGTTACTCCGTTGTATAAGAAAGTCGAGCTCTTTTTGTGACGCTTGTAAATTTTCCCTAGCCTTAACCAGCATTTCTGCACGCTGTTGCGCTGGAATGCTAAGGCGACTAGGGTCTAGTTGCGTCTTCTGGTAAACCCTTTTTGCTTTAGATTCTGCATCTTGTAAAGCCTCCCTTGCGTCGTCTATATCGCGTTGACAACCTAAAGCTGATTCCTCGGTACGGACGAATTCTGGAGTCTCGTCGTCCTGGACCATCCCTTCTCTTTTCAGCTTCTCCCAAGCTTCATCGTGAATTGGCTTAAGGCGCTCAAACGTTGCAGTATGTCGGTCAAGCCACCAGTACTCAAAGCCTAGGTATTCAATCCATGTCGTCAGCTGATCCTGCTGCTTTGGGTCCTCTGCTAGATGAAATGTTCGCTTAAAGCCATGTCGGGCTAGACGCGCTTTCATTGCTTTTTCGTAATCCAATATACCCTCACATCCGCGCTCCCGCTGGTGTTGTCGCTGCCAGTCACGATGTCTCTGAGTGAAATACCATAATCCTCCTGGCTCCTTTAATTGTGTCGGATTAGCTTCAAGCTCGTCCGCATACTTATCCCAGCCCACCTTCCTGTAATTACGCTTTACTCTCTCGGCGAATTCCAGAAAGTCTTTTTCGTCCTTATCGTCTTCAATCCGTCTGTTCACAACTTGCCACATGCGGAAATTCTGCCACCTAAGCCTTTGTCTTTGAAACACTTGTTCTTCGTCCAGCTCGTCATTCTCTGATATTTTCCAGTGTCGAAAGCCCCGCCAGAAAGGGCGCAACATGTCACGATACGCATGGGGGTCCTGTGAAACCGACTCTAAAAGGTCAATTGGGTATAGTGCACGACCGCCATCACGGATTAAATCGTTGTACGCTTTCGTCTCTCTTCGCTGGTACACCTCGAGAAGGGTTTCTTCTGGCGACTCAGTTTGCCTTTCACTCCGAGGCAGTCGATCTTGTGAAAAGGAATCGCGTCGGGGAGAGGTATTTCGCAAAAGCGCGTCGAGTTTGTCCAGGTCAAGCTGATGGGAACCAGCTGTAGCGTGGTTGATCGATGCTCGCTGGATCGATCTAGGCAGGTGTAAGCGTGTGAAATTCCGCAGGGATAAATTCCGCAGGGACAAACAAGGGAGCATACTGCAGTCTCTCAGCAAGGCGCTCTCGCTCTTCTTTAGACAACCTGTCCCAGCCATCAACAGGAAGCTGGATCGAGCCATCGTGGTGGCGGTGCTTCTCCATAAACTCGCCGAGCTGTGCATCGCTCAAGGCGACTAGATCGTCAATGGCCATCGGCCGTGGGGAAGACATGCTGCGTGTGTCATGGGTTGTATTGCCCGCCCTTGTGTAGTTCCAAGAGTCCGGGGGGAATTGCGATTGTTTTAAATCCCCGTGGTTTGGAAGTGCAGTGCCATCTGGCGGCCTGAGGCATCAATGCGTCGGGCGGCTGGTGGAACCCTGGCGTCTCGGCCCGAGCCCGAGACTCCCGGGCTCCTCTTTGTACTCCGTAGTTCAAACAACATGCAACGCATTTGATGCCCAATGAAAAACGATTGGACAGGATTTGACAAAGGAATAACGGTGCAAGCTGCGCTTGTTGTTCCCCGCTCATGCCATTAAAGCGCCCCAAGGTCCCAGAGCAAGCAGTCGCAAATTGTCCATTCGCTCCCCACCAGACGCCAACCGCACTATGGACGACACAGACCTCATTGCTCGTGTATATCCCTTTGTTCCGATTGACGAGGAAAATAATTCTGAAAATCATGCTGTTAAGGCGACCACAGGCAGTCGCTTATGTGTTCTGCCCCTGCTTCAAAAGCCGCGGCAAGAGGTTCGGTATGGACGTGACGATCGCGAGAGAACCGTATCACCAGATGAGGCTGGTGATAGAACGCTTTCCGGACTTGATTTACTTCCCTGCATTGAGGTTAGATTTAGCAAAACCCCACGATCCTCACATGGGGTCCTGTTTGGATGCAGCAGACGGTGTGACGTTGTTCTACCTGATGTTGGTGGTCTTAGCAATTTTCAATTCAGCTTGACGTTCGACGACAAGGGGCGCTTTATAGTGAAAGATATGGGTTCTCGTCTTGGGACTGAGGTCACTTATAATAGGCAAGGGGCCGGTCATCGACGAAACTTCCAATGGATAGTTGGCGGGGATCGCAACGCAAAGCGAAAAGTGCGGAAAATTATCAAATTACAGGGGTTAGTCAAGTTCCAGATTGTCGTTGCTGAGCATGAATCACATGGGTCGGAATCATATAAAGACAAAGTCCGAAAATTCCGTCAGGGCGCTGGCACAACAGAAGATTTCTTCAGCGACCTGGATCTTCCACTTCGGCCTGACGCAGAAAAACCCACAGGGGCACACACGCCGTGGGATACTCCTATATACCTAAAAAAGGAACTTGGAAGAGGAGGCTTTGGCGTTGTGACTCACCACTGGAATGTGAGCACTGGAGAAGAGTCTGCCGTGAAAGAGGCGTTACAAAAGGACGAAATAAACCTTGACGAGTGGCTGAAGGAGGGGACACTATTGCGTCGATTATCACATGTTAGTACAACCTCTTTTGTTTTCTGTTTTAAGGCTTTAATTCTGACATCAATGATAGAAGAATATTGTCAAAGTCCAAAATGTTATTACAGATCCTCCACAACTATGGCTTGAGTATGCTTCAAAGGGCTCTCTGCGCAACTGCGAAAACATCACTGTTGCCGAGAGCGTATCTATCCTTCGCCAAATTCTTTCAGCTTTAGTATACCTACATGAATCAATGCCACAGATTGTGCATCGAGATATTAAGCCTGATAATATCTTAGTCCGCCGGCGTACTTCTGATGAAATTACAGTTGTTCTTGGGGATTTCGGTCTCTATAAAGAGGGCGAAAGCTTAAACACGGCTTGTGGCACGAAAGCTTACGCCCCACCGGAAATTTGGGAATCGCTCAACAACTACCTCAGTCAACAAAAGCATTATTCGCCGGCTGTGGATATCTGGTCTCTTGGTATGGTTATGTATGCGCTTCTGTTTGGCTTACCGAGATATCGGCCGTACTGGGCTCACGCCACTCGGGAAATGACCTGGTGTGAATGGATCGTCCATTGCCTCAGGGAGGAAGACCGCAAGAAAACCGATGATCTCAAACAATTACTGCTTAATAGCATGCTGCAACTGTCTCCAAATGACAGAGATTCTGCCAGAGAATGCTATCTCAAGGTCATGGCGCTTCAACGGACGATTGTTGATTGTAAAGAAGTTGCATACAGAGGCATACCGGCGCGAAAAGACAAGACTGTTGTCATTTCCGGCACCTACACCAAGGAGAAGCCAACTGTACGGAATTTGCAATTGCGCGGTAAACATTCAACTGGCCAAGACGAATACCAGACTAGACTCGAAGATGTGCTGCCTACAACAGAATCGCCGGAGTCTGATGAAGTCCCGCATCCTCGTCACTCACTCCAGACTGTACATGCGGAAGCAGTCGGAGAAGAGGAAGTCGAAAACCAGGCCAGACAGAGATATGACACGCCCTCATCATGCTATTCAAAAGCCAGGGCAAACTTGAAGCGATCGAGCGAAGAAATTGCTCTACAAGGCCCTGGTTCGAAGCGCCGAAGCCAACGCTCGATCTCGAAAGCATTGGACGACGAGCTTGACGAAGCGAAGGCAGTAGAAGCTTTGCTGCGGTGTTTTCCTAACGGAGCGCCCCCGTATGTTTACTTCTTTCTCTGGACTCGGGTTCAGTTGCTGATGCGTCTAGATAAGGGGGGACAATATATTTGATCCGCCATCAGCCAACATTCCACCACGGCACCCATGTGATGGACCATTTAGCCCGAGCGGCTCGTCCCGAAGCGTTGCCCTGAACGGCGGTGCGCGCGGGCCGCCCGAGACAAATGGAGCCGGTGTTGCCGGTCCTCGTCCCCAGAGCCGCCATGAGGGCCGGAGCAGATTCAGCCACAACAAGCACATATATAGACTTGACAATTACCAGTAACGATGACTCTGGCTGGACCAAAAACGCCCCGACTCGATGTTGGCATGTTGTGGTCCGTGGAACTCTCATTAGGCAAGCCCATAAACACGAGACTTTACAAGGCAGTCGTTTCACCCTGGTCGTGACGGTCATACAAGGCAAGCAGCCCTCAACGAAATCAAGAGCGTGCCCAAGCCGAAAGAAATGTAGGTTCGGAATAACAGTGCCCGTGCTTTACGCAACCACATCAGCTGCCTGCTCACCACGTAAATTGGTCGCACAGCAGGAGTATTGGTGCCCAAAACACTTCAGCTTTAGCTGATGTTCCGTCCGGAACTCAACGCCCTTCTCCCAGCCGCATGCGTTCCCTTGAACACAACACGACTGGCCAACCCCTGGCTCGTACGCAGAGTGCCATGCGGAGGATTCTTTGTCTGCCGCGGTATCTGGCGGCTCGAGAATCCCGGTCCGTCCCGCGATAATCACCCGCCAATCGGCTGTAAGCAGGCGAGGTACTCCGTAGGCATGGAAGCCTTGACTAGTGAGCTATAAATAGCACAGAAGTCCTTCAGTGAAGTGCTTCCACGCAATGTTGCGATTCCCACTCTGCACCGCGGCCAACAGGACCTCCGCTTTCTCTGCCCCTTTGTCTCTTCTCTCCCTTTGTCCTCTCTCTCTCGCTCATCATCATAGGTGGAACATCTGCCCGACTACTCCGTATCACTTTGCAAAATTTTCATGTGTGTCACACGGAACTAGCGGCCAGAGTCTCGACCACATCACTTGCATCAATGCACAAAGGCTGGAGCCCCCGTGATGTCTCCACGGGCCGCCCGAGGGTCCGGGCATCTAGGCCCAAAGACCCAACAAGGCTCTGACGCAACTCTTTGATGGCTCAGCATCCCGGTTAGGTGGCACAAAGGCATCTTGTTGTAATTCAGCCCCCGCTGGTCAGGTTGAGACACCAAGCACCTTCAAGCCCGTACCATATTACACGTAAATCTAGTACTCCAGGCTCTCGTAATCCTCACCATCGTGATGGAGCCCTCGTTACGATGAGACTGTTTGGGCGGGGTCGTTCACTCTGAGTCTATAGCCTCTTCAATAGCTAAAGATAATACAGACATTGAAAAGAGAGAGCGTTGAGAAGAGTCCAATTATGCTGATGGAGCCTCGCTCAAGCCTTCAGAGCGATGCTGCAATATCAGCAACGTAACGACATCTGCCGTCGTGCCTCGAGAAGCCTAAAACATAGTCTTCTTCTCGCCGGTATCTTGCGTTGGGCCCAATGGATATAGGCGAGCTTCGCCAACGCAGTACCTGTTGCACGGAATAGCCTCAACCACATGACTAGCTGCAATGCACGAAGGTTGCAGCTATCACAATAGCCTTATTAGCCACTACCAGGCTTAGGCACTAAGGCATTAAGACAATAAGACATAAAGGGCGTGACCCCCTTTTATTGCCTAGTTAGGTTATATATATAGGCTCTATCTTATACATAATGTCCTTACTACTTAAGTCTTTTAGACTAGAGAACTGAGGACCTTAATACTATACAGTACGTAAATATAAGTTATTTGCTCCAAGCCCTGATCACACAGACTAGCCCTTGTTACAGCACCGATGTCTATCTGCAATACGCAAACAGGCAAATGACTGCCTTGTCTCTCTTCGTTTTGCAAAAAAGCAATCACTGCCAAGGCTGTGAGGTCTAATGAGGGATAGAAGTAATGTTCAACAAAGCACTCCTACTGCAGCATCACATCTGTCCCGGATATCGTCATTTGGAGCTTACTGAAGGGATGCTGTGTAGCTGAGGTCCTCTGGAAATTGGAAGGCCAGACAGGCCGTCCAAAAGGCGTCTGATTTTTACTCAATATCATGTGCGTGAATTTCTTTACAAAGCTGGACTAAGATAGGTGACGTTAAGAGGCTTGTATTTGGCAAACTTGATATTTCGGCCAAGTTGTGCAAGAAAATGGATTGGCGATTGGGTAACGGTGCGTTATGCAGGAACTTTGTTGATATCGGACCAACGACTTTGTCACTATCCAAAGGTATGGAAATCAGAAGTCCCAAACCCGAACGCGACAGTATGCTTCGATAGCAACATTGCCTCCAATGCTCCAACTATTTATTCCTCTATTTCTGTCACGTGGTCCGGCACCTCAACTCCCAAGGTCGGCCAAGCATTTTGGCTGCTTTCTATACTTATACCGGCGCTTATGCATATTTATGCATGTTTAGTTGTGCCTCGGAATCCCTGAAGCCGGATTCGATTGAGTACGAAGAAACCTACGGAGTATTACAAGCCAAGTTATCACTGTCCTTGTCACAAAATTATCACTACGTTCTCACGTTTGTTTCAGTTTCGATTGACTAATGGAGAAACTTGCTCACGCCCTCTGTGTACAGAGATGAGCTGCAGCAAACGGAGACGTAGGACTGGGTGATGGCTCCGGTACCTTGAGGCTCCCCCCCCCCCCCTTTTTTTTTTTAGCTTTTTTTTTTCCGCTGTCGATGGTTTCCTTGGACAATTTCAAGCGTCGCCAGAGTCAAATGGTTGGCACAGCTCAGCTGTTGTCTTTGCTCCTTCTCTACCACTTTGCTCCTCATTCGTCGTGTCCTGCAGCTCGCCATGGGGGCTTCACAGGATGCTGCTGCCAACAATGCTGCAGGGGATGTTGATTCTCACGACGGGATTGCCTCCCATGACCGCTTTACTATTTTCCAGCAACCGAAGATGACGGAGGTTGTCCAGGAAGACTGCGCAGTGTTAATCGGCGGTGTTGACGGCCCTGTATTTGCAGGAAAGCAGCTAGGAGTCTCCGATGTTGGTTGCTACTTGATGGCCAGAAACGAGGCTGACAAGTCCGCGTGGTTGGGCTTCAGCATCCATTTCCCCGTCGGCCACGACAACGAGGACAATGGATTCGGCATGTGCTATAGCTGTAAGTACAGGCTTGTATAATCCTCCTCTTGCCAGCTCACGGCCGGACACTTAGCTTTTCACGAACAGGGTCCGAGTCGCATGGCAAACCTCTGCCAGCTAAAACGCACGGGGTCACGGCCAAGTTTCCTCGGACCAATGTCCTGCGCGTCATAACGCCCGCAGATGCCGGCGTAAGAAGCCGGTTTCCAGACGAGAAGCGAGACCTTTCTCTCGTTGAGGTTTTTCTTGAGGAAAACGTCCAGGTTGTCGTTGAAGGCTACGGGTTACCTTTCGCCAATAAAGGCCACATTGCCGAGAAGTGGCTGCATGAGAACGCGCCCATTGTCAGTGAACTCACTCTCATGGGACTCTTGGAGCAACGGAGCTTCCACTTTGTCGTCGCGTCCGAGCACGACAGACTCCGTCAAAACTGGGACTTTGGCCTCCTCCCACCGCGTTTCAGCTATCCGTACGGGACGGATCATGGCTGGAAAGGCTCCGGGACGTACGAAAAGATGCTGACGGAGCACAGGGGTCGTCAGTTCGCCCCCCGCAGGTCCTTCGACACCATGGACGAATTGCTCACGGTCATGTCTCAGTCGCAGGTCCAAGACATCATGTGGGTGGAATGGGCGGCTGAGAAGATTCGCGCAACGGGCTTGTCAGCCTACTTTATACCTGCGACAAATGGCATGGCAGAAGAGGAAGAGGTGTACTTTGCAATCGTTGCCGCTCCCCAAGAGTTCCGAAATACCTTCAAGAGCGCCTGGCATCGCCTCGCGAGGGATGGAAGGCTCAAAATTCTACTCCACGACAAGATAAATACCACCGTCTCACCCGGAGACTCAATCGGCCGTTGGGACGCAGTCATCGTTGAAAGATCGAGCTTGGGAGACAGCTTAAGGGCACACCCTACCAAGGCCCACGAACTGGTTCTGCACGTTCGAAAGCGACGGCATGCGAGAGAGCGCGGACCAATTCCCAACATTAGCAAGTTTCGTGATCGGCACACTGCGGACAGAGCGTTTCGAGGAGGCAGGGAGCAATAGAATTGCATTTCCTTGGATTTCAACACCAACCTCGGGGACTTTGCGCGCAAAGTAGATGAAGGGGTTCGTCTACTCCAAAATGGCGCAGAGCCATTCAATCCCACCGTCTTTGGTCTGACGAGCGAGCTACGCGAGTCCGAGCCGGCAGCAGCGAGGAGAGTCGTCAACCGCCTGAGATTCCGCATGCAGGTTCAGAGAGATCTTCTTCTTGGCACTGGATTTTACGACACACTCCGAGGCAAGCCGGCAGGAGGTGAACTTGCCGCCGCACTGGCAGAGCTTTCCCTTGACAGTGCCCTCAGCAGGGTACCTAGGCCGTTGCCAACGGTGAAGCTCTTGGATGTGCGAAAGGGCGACTTCGTGCGTGCCTTGATGCAAGAAGTCCTTCCCCCTGACCGCCATCGGTTCATCGAGTATCTGCGCAGTCGACCGCTTGGACTGGGCATCATAACTGCCGTGAGTGCCCGCTCTCCTTCTAAAACCTGTCATTGTGGACATTGATCATGGGAATGCTGACCAGCCTTTCCACCTAGCCGCCGGGGTTTGGCAAAACGACAGCCCTTGCCGTTGGAGCCGTTGCAATGGCCGATGCTCTGGGCAAGTTGTATTTGTCTGGACCTACCCACGTTTCCGTAGACAATGCTGCAGCACGACTGGATGTGGTTTGTGGTCGAGTGACGAAACGACTCAACGACAAGCTCGGACAACAACAAGACGGCTCACCCAGGTATCATCGCAAGCTCATTATCCGCGCTTACAAGATGGAGGATGAGCTCAAGGCGTTCAAGACCCTCCTTCGGAACCCCCGTGCCGGCGACAACGCGGCTCCTCAATCGAAATGGAAACCCGACTCCAAGTGGAAGCTGAACTTGTCGTTGGCCTACTGGGCTCTAGTGATGCTCGGAGCTCCAACGGTGCGGCAACTCGGTCCCGACGACAAACAAGCCTTGCATGCCATCCGCGACAGGTAAAATCAGAACAAGACGTTTGCAAGGCTCCGGCACGTGGCAACAGGCGCCATCGGCTGGGACCAGTATAGTCGTAATGGCCGGATGGCGACGGATGACGAGATCAGGGGCATCATGGAGGCGGTTATCCACGTCGCGGACGTCTTGGCAACGACGCCGGCCCTGGCATGCAGAGAGCCCTTTTGTGCCTGGAAGAATGATCGAGCGCAGGGTTTCGTAATCGACGAGGCTGCCGGCATGAATTGGCCCGACCTGCTGTGCGTCTGGGGAAACACTTGCATGCCCAATCTCCTTGCGGGCGACGAGAAGCAGCTGCCGCCAGCCGTCATGACGAAGAACGAACGGGACGGAGAGGGCAACTTCTTCAATAGGTTCGCCCGGGATGGGGCGCTCTCGCCCATACACCACCTCAAGTCGATGGGTTGGCCGATCTACCGGCTTCGAGTCCAGCTGCGTATGGCCGCCGGCCAGTTTGACCTCACATGGAACGAGGTCTACCAAGATGTTCCCTTTACCTACGGCCCGGGATGCGAAATTGATCTCCCTCAACATAAAGACGGTCGCCAGCTCGAGATATATCTCAGGAGCAAGTTTTCAGACATCAAGGCTTGTCCGCCTGGCGAGCTTCGTCCTGTGTTTATCCATTGCGAGGGCTCCAGGTCCCTCCGTGATGAATTCTCTAGGTCGATTAAAAACCCTGACCAGGTGGCAGTAGCACTGAGGCTGCTGGTGGAATTCGTCAAGATCTGCGGCGCAAGGCCAGAAGATCTAGTCGTCATCTCGCCTTATTCTGCCAACATAAACACCATTGAGCAACTCCGAAAGAGACGAGAATTTGCTGGCCTGCAGCCCATGCGCCCAGCCGCGACCGTGGACTCGTTCCAGGGCCAAGAAGGCACCATCGTGATGGTCATCATGGGTACCACGGTCTCCTCAGGCCCCGGGCACACCTGTGACGAGCAAAGGCTCAACGTGTTGCTGAGTCGTCACAAGTCTGGCCTCATCATCGTGGGCGACGTCAATGTCACCGGCGACGTGACAAGCAAGATACCCCCCAAGGACATGCTAATCATTAGTGAAAGCGGCGAGGAGAGCTATGAGAAGCGCAATATGCTCCGAAATATTCACTTTGCCTTGCAGGCCGCGGGAAGGGTCGCTAAGGTTCGCGTGTCTGGGAACTAATGGCGGCGAGTTGAAAAGTTTGGACAGTGTTGAGTCGGCACAGGATTTGCATGAATAGAAGGATTGCGGGGATCCTTTCTCATCCAGTGACTCTTCTTTTAATTGATTTCTCTTCGTCTTCTATGCCGGCCTCCTTGCCACTTTTGCTTTTAAGCGCCCCAACACTTGGAATGCCACGGCATGCGCAATGGCAGAGTACTGAATATGTGAAAAAGGAGCATACGGCTAGCACAGCCTCTTCAAAATGGCACGAAATTCTTTGCGAACATTTCTGTGCAAGCGTACCTCTAGAAGATACATAGAGTGAAAACGTCAACGAAGGCGCGTGTTAGTCGTGATGACTAGCTGCATGGCGATTGGCCAAGGCCATTCTTTTATAAGAAACCTACGGCCATGTATAACTCGCTCGGTCAATAATGATACACACTACCTTTATTTCAGAGCACATCGTCTTCAGTGCGTTCCTCGCCCACCAAGCCCGTCATCCTTCTCCCCATCAGTGGCGGCGACGACTTCTCTCGTCTTCCCCCACTTGAAGTCATCAGCGTAAAACAAAGAATAGAACAAGATAACAATGTTCATAAACGGCGAGGTCAGAAAATGGATAAAAAACCCAACGAAATACTGAAGCCTCTCCAAGTTGTTTCTTGGGAGCCAGAACCCGATGCAGAAAGAGTACAGCTAGATAGACGCCGCTGGTGTCAGTGAAGATTGCGGTAACCCTAACCCCGAGCCTCATGCTCCGGTGCCGACGAGTGGGGGAAACTCACGTATCTGACCCAGAGGACGGAGATTAAGCCGACGAATATCCCATCCTCAAACACTTTGGCGCCCTTGCTCGCAAACAGGGCGATCAGCTGCGCCACGGCGGAGATGATGAAGGGCGTAATGGCCCACGTCATGACCGCGATGACGCTTTGCAGCCGCTCAACCAGGATGATGCCCGGCCGGAAGATCATGACGAACTCGTTGGAGATGCTCCCCAGCGCCCAGCGCTTGCGCTGAGACAGAAACACCTTCCACGTCTGCGGGACAATGGTGAAGGCTTTGGAGCGGAGCGCCTGCGCCGTCTGCTTCTTGGGAAACAGGCTGAATATGATGGACGCGTGGATGCTGTCCTCGGAGTAGTTGCCCATGATTTGCTGCGTCATGACGTCGTTGGGCTTGGGGCAGTAGCCGAAGCGCTCGCGCAGGACGGCGTCCCCAAACGTAGCCTCGTCGACCTTGATGAGTTGACAGCACCCGGGGAGGCAGTTGACTTTGCCCGTGATCCTCGACTGGAACATCCTCCTCAGGCCCTGGGTCTGGGAGTACTCGACCGACTGGTAGAGCGACCACAGACCAAAGTTGCGCCCGTCAAAGTCGACGCAGACGTGGCCGCAGACGCCGACGAGCTTGGGGTTCTTCCGGATCGTCTCGACCATTTCGACGACGCAGAACTCGTCAAAGACGGTGTCGGCGTCCATGCCGACCAGGTAGTCGACGTCGGCGAGGCCGCTGTCCAGCAGACAGTTGCCGAGGTGCTCGAACAGCTCCTTGTTGAAGATTGTCACGGCGGTGCCGGACCGCCTCTTGAAGTGGTACAGGAAGGACCGCGCAAAGCACAAGCTGTCGCGTTTGCCCTGGTTGTACCGCTTCCCTACAAACACAAACGGCACGTCTTTGTACCGGCCTACTCGGGTCTTGACCGGCATGAACAGCCCGTCTCTCGCGCGGTACCCGTTCTCGAAGTGCTTCGAGGTCCCGGGCTCCAGTATGTCCTCCAGGAAGTAGTCCTGCGTTGTCTTTTCCATCCCCGGCCCGCGTACGTTTCCGTCGACGACGATGAAGACCAGCCGCGGATGCTGCTCGATTCCCTTCTGGGCAATCAACGAGTCCAGCGACCTGGCTATCTCCTCTTTGGTCTCGTTGTAGCACGGCAGCAGGAGGACCATTTTTTCCGGGACTGCAGGCGTCGTGTTCTGCTTGCTTCGACAGCCGCAGACAAGTTTGGTCCATGCCACGTTGGCCACGATGCACACAACCATGCCGGCTTGGAGTATGGTGTTGCAGCTCAGCAGAGCCAGGAACAGGTACACTGCTTGCGGTAGGAGGAGGCTGATGGTGATGAGGGCCGAGTTGAGGACCACGAGGCCGGTGATTAGTGCCCATTTTTGAAGCCGGAGCAGCTCCTTGGATACCCTCTTGAGCTCTTCTTCTGCATCCCACCGCAGCTTGGCTTCTTCCTGTCGCACGTCTCCCCAGAGGGAAACATTGGACGTGTGAAACTGGGAATCGACCGACGTTGCCGATTCCAGGGAGCGCGGTGTCTGCCAACCGGTTGCGAGTGGCGTTGCGCGAGCAAGCGTCTGGATACCATTAGCAGTGTCCGGGACACAGGACGGACGGGATTTACAGATTCGCTCGAATCCCGCAGCCTCGAGCCTGGCCGTCGAAATGACACCGGTGGTGGTGGCAGTCCGTGCTGTGACGCCGGCACGCCTCTTACATTGTTGGGTAGGGGCCAGTCGAGGGTGCAACTATCCATCGTGGGCAGATGCCACCTCGCAAACGCGACGAGATATCCGGGCCGTCTATGGACTGAAACTGTTGTTCATGAATCAGCGGCATGGGCTATGTCGTCGCCAGATGGGACGTGTTGGACGGTCCAACTCAACGTAGTGCTGCTCCGAGATTGCCGATTCAGCGAGTTTGTAAATGAAACTTCTGGTACATTGGGCCCCGGTGATAATCATACCGCTCTATAAACAATCCGCCGGCGGGGTATGGCTCAAGTTCCAAGCGTCGTCTGTACATGCCATGCATCCCCAGGTTCGAGGCGGCGAGCCCGATGCATGCCCAAGATGGCGGCCATCAAGACGGTCGTGCTAAATGCTGGCATGAAAGCGGCGCCAGGTCATGATACGAAGTTCAAAGTGCACTCATCTACTTGAACACCATCTTCTTGTGCACCTCCACGCTTGAGACCCCTAGACCTTGCTTGCTAGTACCACGATAGCCCTCGCAGCAGCGGCCCGGTTGCTAAACACCGCGGACGCGTATTTTGAGGGTCGGCACAGAGATGATGCGAGTTCAACTCAAACCGTGCTGAATATGCGGGCAGCTTTGAGCGAGGGCGGCACAAACTTGGCCATAAAGTCGGGGCCATGTTGTTGAGTTCCGGACAAGGGTTGGCATTGTGACCGCCAACGTGGTGTGCCGGCATGGGGAAGCATTTCGTTGCCAATCATTGCTGATTGATAGCTGGAACATGAAACAGTCCCATGATCTGTAGAAGCTGTTGAGGGAAAGCCACCTTGCATCTCAAGACAACCAGGCTTGCTGCGTTATCCGGCTGTGGGTGGCTTGGTGCTCTCGTTGATGCACGTGAAATTCATCCTCGTCGCCCCCGCAGCATGCGAGACGCAAAAGAAAGAAAGAAATAGATAAAAGAAACATACACCGCGATGTGATTTCCACGCAAGCATGGTTCTCCCGGCGTGACGGTGTGGCCGGGTGCCGTGTGTGCGACGTGGGAATTCCGGCATAGCACAAAAGGCATGCTTGGCTACACGGCAGAAGTTATTCCCAGCACTAGCACTGGAGAAGCTCGTGTCCAAAGGCCTCTGGTTGTACTAGTGCTACGGCGTGAGTTAGATTCCCGAGTTCGGCCTGCAAACGATCCAGTTAAACAGACGGCGGGCACTTGTGCTCGGTTACGTGTTGCTACTGCAAAGCAACCCGAGTCTTATTTCGGATCCCGTTTCATACAACCTCGCCAGTGACGGCAGCCAAGAACTGACACAGCGTGTATCGGCACATTGGCCTTGTGTCTGCATCGAACTGGTACCACGAGCGAAACTCGGATGCCGGCGGCTTTCTCCGCAGTCGATTGCAAACCAGATTATCGCTGCCGGGTCATGACTCATGGCTCGATGGGAGAAGATTTCTGATTTTCACAATGTTTGGCGAACCAAGTCGGGGCTTCAATGGGAAGTGGCTCAAATTCGCAGCTCCAGTCCCCTGGCAGACCAAGCCGGATGCTTCCTGATTTCAGAACAGCGTGTCAAAGGAAGCTAGCAAAAGCGTAAATGTAAATTCTGTCAAACTACATCCGCCAGATTCACATTTCATGTCCATTGTCGACCACCATGTACCGCCGTTTAATCACATTGACCGTATTTCTCCTGACATCCCTTGCCACAGTACTCACTCTCATTCCCACTACTCGCATCGTCAGAAGACCAATAAACTTGATGCGAAGAAGCAACACCTACCAATATCCGTATCTCGAGCAACACCTCTTCCCTGGAAAGTTGAGGCACGTTGCAGAGGAGCGAGCGCCACAAAGGCCATTCGTGGTATCCCAAATACCTGGCGGAGATGGGTTGCAGTCTCCAAAGTCGTTGTCGCATCCCGTACCACAGAACTCGGGAGTTGATCCACTGGTATCACAAGGTTAGTCCAAGCAACGGAGTCTCGCCGGCGACTGGTGTGCCTTTGGAGGGGCCCAAAGCCAGATCCTGGACAGACATATCCCGTACTTCCACCGCAACGTTGGTTGGGCGATATTTTGGTGCCTGTATTCCGGGAAGATGGAACAGGTGCGACGTACGGTCTGTCTGGCTCGGAGCAAGAGAGTCCCTTCCCAACGGTCCTGGCAATCTTCGAAGAGCCCCCTGCCGGACGGTACCAGTTCTCTTCGGGGTCCCCCAGGCATTCGCCCACCGTTACGAGCTTGTAGCCTCTTTCTTTTGCAAGGTTTACCATGAATTCGGTCAGATTGAACACCGTCTGCTCATGGACATCATGGGCCAGCACAATATACGAGTTCTCCTTCGAGTTCCGGGACAGCGTGCTGGAGTAGCGGTCCTTTGCCCTCTGTATGAGAGCCGGATCGTCATACATGTAGTCTTTGGTGTCCAAGTTGGCTGAAATGGAGTGGTATACCAAGTCACTCATGGTATCTTCGCATTGCGATCCGGCAGAGCATTCTAGGAATGGAGGCCTGATATAGGTAGGCATCCAGCCAAGCACGTTGCGGATGGCCATTTCGTTGTGGATAATCTCTGCTCGCCGGACAGTCTCGTTGACCTTGTTCAAATCACGATGTGTCCACGTGTGACTAGCAATCTGGTGGCCGGCGCGGTACATGCGGCGCAAGATAGCAGGCCATTCGGTCGCCGGGTCATCGATATGCCCCTTGGCCCGGTTGTCTCCCGTGATGAAGAACGTGGCCCTGACCTTGAGCTGACTGAGAAGACTCAAAATCTTCTCCGTATAGATGTATGGGCCGTCGTCAAAGGTCAAGGCCACCATCCCCGGCTGCTTGCACGACGTGATCATAGGCCCTAGCGGCGTGTTAGTTCAACCTGTCCGGTTGTCAACAGAGCCGCCAACAACTACCATATGGGACATTTCCAACCCGTCTCCGGGGTGTTTCTGAAGTTTCACTACCGCTGGGAGGGACTCTAAGCTCAATTGGTCAGCAGAGGACATCAAAGTCTTGCAAAGCTCAGGTTGATGCTCACAGCGTGTCGCAAGTATGACTGTAGTCCAATTGACACTGCGAGCCTGAGCAATACGCGGCTGTGGTGCCGCAAAACCCCATTTCTGAGCAGCAGGAACCCATTTCGCATGATCCCTCGCCGGGGCCGCACATTCTTTCCTCATTGGGCGCTGGTTGCCGATTGAGCCGGGAGGCTCCCAGGCTGTGGAAGCACGTGGCAAGTAGGAGGGCGAATTTCGATGCCATAGTGGCAAGGATGATGATGATGATGATGATGATGATGATGATGGTTCTTAGCCTGAAAAGCGAGACCCTTGATCGGTAGTCTTTGGTTCCAGGTTTGGGGGCAATTGTACTTTTACGGCCTCACCCTGAGTAAGGGAAGTGAGTCGAGTCAGTCTGCTTCGTCACAAACGTGGCTCGGCGTTTGACTCTGGTAGATAGACAGGCCCTAGTATAGAAGTGCTATGCTGTGGCACAGCATACAATCCGACATTAGCACCACGTAGCAGTGTGAACATTCTTTCCGTCGCTTTGAGCTCCTCCTCGGTGTGGGAGTGACAGGGCTGACCAAGGGCGGTATCAGCACCATACGTCTACGAGATCCAGCTTAGCCGTGTCAGCAAATGAAGATGCAAAAATTAAACTTCATCGTTTACGCGTCTGAAACTACTCCAATATGTCTCCGAAGTCTCGTCAAACACCTTCGTTCACAGCTACGTTCTCGGCGGAGGTGCAATTGCACCCAGTCCGCAGCTCGGCCGATGTACAGATAATTCAGCTGTAGGCGCGAACTGATGGATACACACGCAAGCCTAATGCTAGAACAGGCTTGTTTACATTCCAATGTGAGTTGTTCAAACATCTAAAAACGGAACCGACGGCATGTCCCGGGCCGGCTGCGACAACTTACAATCCGGAGTTGGCTGCATGTCGTGCTCTGCTTGGATGCAGCCCGGGAAAAGAGAAGGCGATAACTCCCCGCCGAGAACAAGCCAAACGTTGAAATGAGTGGACCTGCCCAAAGGAGGAAGCACAGCTGCTTTGTGTATCCTCTTTTGCTATACTCGTATGGGACTTCCGCAGGTCAACGGCGACTCACAAAATGAGCATTTAGTGTGCTGAGTCACTGTACTACACGGCCCTCAATGGCCCTCGTGAGAACCGTTGAGTGTTTCGTTAATATATAATTGAAAATCCAGTCTATACGAGCCATCAATGCATCTCACGACACATCGCATCGTTTGCAAGGGGATGGCAGAGATGATACGCCTTCCGTTTGGCCGAGCCCGGGACACCATCGGAATCATGCCGATCGACTGACAGCTCGAGCACTCCTTGACGGCTCACCGAGCCTCTGCACGACGTATGAAACTATATTTGGACTGTAAAACTCTACATCCCGGATCTCGGATGCAACCAACTTTCAACCCCAGCCCTAGTCAAACGGAAGCCATCCTGCAGCATTCTTCGTAATCTTCAAGCTTGGAGGAAGGACCAAGATTCTTCTCTTGTGCCTTGTCCAACCCACGTAGCCTTTTCTGAAGTGCCTTCTCCATGGTTTCAAGGACCGGCTGGATGTTTCTGTGCGAGCCAAGAAGTGAACATGACACGGCGACAACAAGCCAGCCAAACTCTCTCGCTTCTCCATGCACCGCGAGGCCGAGATTAGTAGATATAACATGTATATGTGTGCCGATGACGCAAAATAATAACAATCTGTATCATGTTCATGAGCCAAAGTTGACTGTTACTCAGATCATGGTGAATAGTGCTCTCATTTCACAACTTGAGCTGGAAAGCTCTTCCTTCCACGTCCCAGCGACCGTCGTGTCCGAAGAATGCGCCAATTCATTCAACTTTGAGAATCGCGCTCACTATGACCTGACCCCTCCCAGCGAAGAAGCCGAGTTTGGCCAAGATGTGTGCCCTGTCACGGATCCAATCTCCGCATCAGCTCAACCTCTAGTCGCCGTCATTGGTGTCGGCTACGTTGGCCAGCATCTCGTCGAGGTCTTTTCCAGGGCATACGATGTTCTTGGATACGACATTTCCGAGTCCCGGGTGGACGAGCTCAAGAAGACCGTGAAGACGAACGGCAGAGTAAGATTCTCAGCTTCACCATCCGAGATGGGCCAGGCCACGCATTTTCTTATATCAGTGCCGACGCTGCTCCTGCCCGACAAGCGGATCGACTCATCTTTCCTTCGCAGTGCCCTAGCCACAGTCGCCAGGGCCGCGAGGCCAGGGTCAACGGTCGTCATCGAGAGCTCCGTCGCCGTCGGCATGACCCGTGAATATCTCGGGCCGCTCGCCCGGAGCAAGGGGCTCTTTGCCGGCATGTCGCCCGAGCGGGTCGATCCCGGCCGGATAGAGCCTCCTGCACACGCGATACCCAAGATCATCTCCGGCCTGGACGACGAGGCACCTGGCTCCCTGGCCGCCGTGCACAAGCTCTACTCAAAGGTCTTTGACGAGGTGACTCCCGTGTCGAGCCCGGAGGTGGCCGAGATGACGAAGCTATACGAGAACTGCCAGCGCATGGTGTGCATAGCGTATGTCAACGAGATGGCGGATGCCTGCGTTTCGCACGGCATCGACCCGTTCGAGGTGTGCAAAGCGGCGGCGACCAAGCCCTTTGGCTACATTCCCTTTGTGCCCGGGCTTGGAGTAGGGGGTCACTGCATCCCCGTCAATCCCTACTACCTGCTGTCCAACAACAGCTTTCCCATTCTCCAAGCGGCATCTGAAAAGATGACACGCCGGCCGAGGGAAATCGCAGAGCGAGTCGTGACGAGGTTGTGCAAGCGGATTCCCCTTTGCCGGCCGCGAGTCTTGGTGGTTGGGATGGGTTTCAAGCCCGGACAAGCTCATCTGATAAACTCCCCGGGGTTAGAGTTGGCAAAAAGCTTGGTCTTGACGAACAAGCTTGAGGTTAGTTGGGCCGATCCGCTTGTGTCCCAGGATTGCATCCCTCAGATTCGCAGGTTCGATGACAGAGACTGGTCCGTTGCGTCGTTAGAGGTGTGCTTTGAGTTGGTGATAGTGGCATTCAGACAGACTGGTTTGGACTTTGACCTGCTGGGGGAGCTGCGAAATGCCGAAGTTGACATGTGGTGTCTCTGAGGCCATGGATAGATCAACCGATGTTGCTGGCGATATTCGGTACAGACAGGCATTAGAGGATTGAAACTTCATCCATTGGACATGTCTAGCTGTAGCAAAGTTGATCCTTTCTGTTTCTTGGCCTTTCTCCCACTGTAGGCTCTTGAACCGTTTCGTAGTCGCCCTCGGCGGTTATTGCTTCATTCTACGTTGTCGTCTGACGTAGACGACCCAAAAATGGCGTTGTCGAGACTGAACGATCCCCATGTGGGAAACCTGTCCATTGGCTCTGAGCCTTGGACGACTCGAATGAGTGACGGTATTGATCTCTGGGTCTCATTGCCCTTCGCAGGATTTCTGTTGATCTGGGTAGCTAGCTCGAAAGCTACCACAGATATCTGATACACAAGTCAAAATATCAAGCTACCACATAGCCATCACACATTGATGATCCCTGTCAAGGGTGCTCTCACACTTACCAGCCCGACAGAGAGAGAGTTGGCTCTAGCACGGCACTTCTCGGGCAGAACCATGACACATGCGTTTTGCCCCCGATAGTGGAGTGCTTAGACACATTGGCTGTGCAGACGACGACGAAATCAGAAGTGTGAATGCGCCCCCCTGGTTATATCTCGTGGCAGGGCTGGTAATTAAGTTGGTTGTAGTTTTTCATCAAGTCAGGAGACCCGGGCTGGGGTCCAATGCCAGCCAAGTGCTTAGTCAGCCGCTGTTTTACTCCGCACAAGGCTACTACTCGCTCGCCAATGCTGCGTGGACTTCTTTGAAGCTGATAGACCTTCAACCCGTTCAACCCCCACTAAAGAAAGATGCAGCTCACAAGACATGATAAGCCGTTACAGCTTCTGTTTCAAATGCGACACTCACAAAGCCCTTGTGGGCCTATTGATTACAAAAGCCTCACATTGATCGGCCTTCGTCCACGAACAACCTTCTGAAACAGATATTTCGACGAAACGACGAGGGCATCGCCGCACCACCATCCAACGCCGCGCATTCGATCGATCTGAAAAGACTGCGAGGCGCTGCCGAGGGGCCACGACATATACCCAAGAGGGGAATTGTACACGCCGATTTTAGCTGCACAAACATGGTAGCGGTCGAGGATCGCGTGAAAGCTCTTGATCTTGGAGGATGCAGCGTTGATGCTAGCGGAGCACTTGCGGGCTGTAGCTGGTACAAGTTGCCGCGGATCGGCGTGTCCGAACTTCGAAACCTTGGCCGGCAACCATTGCCCAGGGCGGCATGAGATGATGCGGCAGCCAAGAGCGTTTCCCTGCCGTCGAGCAACTGGCACTTGGCGACTTGATGCTCGGTTGTCGGCAAAGCACCGTCAGCTTCATGGACCAAGTTGCGCGGTTGCTTGACAGCCGCCCAACATGTGCAAGAACTTGGCAGAACGCCGTCTGTTATTGCGTATTCGATCAGCAGGTTGAGCAATCGCTTCTGATCAATGCTTGCTTGGGTGGCATTGTAGCGGTTCAAGTCTCGCGGGAAACCACCCGGGAAGGTAGTTTTGACAATTGGTCAATCCTTTTGTGGCGGAGATTTACAAACAAATCCACACAAACAAGAATTCATCTCATAGAAAAACAGTGTCAGGCTGCATGACTTTTTATGCGTTCAACACCCCAATTATACTGCGGCACAAATTGTTCGATTCATACAGATCTAGCATAGATTTATGCTGTGGCGCGTGGCTGTGCGGGGATTGTGAAGCGGCTCGGCGCCCGTCAGTCTCCGTCAAGTTCGTCCACACGAGCAGGCTTGGCGCTGCAAGTTTGTGGACACGATGCGATCCCAGGTCAGTGACTCAGCAGTGGGCACTGCCTCTCCGCTGCAAGGGACAGATAAACACGGCTGCACTCTTTGACGTGTGCCAGGAATCACCTCTTGACTACTGCGGTCTCCGACAGATTCGTCAGCCCTGACGGCAAAAAGACCACGGCGAAAACCAGCACACTCTATTGCCATCTACGGGCTGTGGTCGTGCGTCGGAGAACGCGTGATGACGATGACGAAAATCCTACACGCCCGCCCTAGTCGCTCACACTTTAGAATCACCAGTGCAGCCAGTCTACTCCGTAGGACGACTCTGCAGGAACAGGCCGTTGACAAAACCTGCCTTGCGGCGCCCGGTGGCTGGAGGGCTGAGAGGACTGCGGACGAAGCCGTCTGACGGACTCAAGAGCCAGGACCATGCGCGGGAGGCAGCCCGGTGCCTTGGGTTGATCGTATTGACCATGGGGGGATTGGTGCTTGCCGCATTGCAGTCCGTAAATTCGGGTTGAACGAACGGAGATGGACCTACTTTATGGGGGAAAAACGACTTGTCATCAGAAAGTGCAACAGGACACTCCACAACTACTAACTAGATGGTACCTTTTATTCCATCTGCTCAGGGTTTCAGAGATATCGCTGTCCTTGCTCAGCCAAGACATGTCAACTTTGGCAGCGTCAACATGTCAATTCGCCACCTACAGGCCGATGCGTCCCGAGATGGGAATTCAGACCTACTGACTAGCCTATCTAGCTAGGCACATAGGCACTCAGAGCACCGACATCCATGTTCCACGCTAGGCATTGACATCTGACGGCGCCGACGAAAAGGAAAAGCCCGGAAAATCAGGGTTCAAAGGCGCGCTGAGACCCTGGAGTACGCCTCGATTCTAGGCAACTCCAGCCAATTCCAGCCCGAGAGGAAAGACAGCTTGGTGTGATGGTGCGAAGGTGGTGCGCCACGAACACTACGGCGTTGACACTCTGCGTAAGTGGCGATGAATAAAAAATCAAGCGTACCTGGAAATGACGTCTCTGGGCAAGGAGCACTTGGAACAATGAAAAAAATGCGGCACGTTCATACGATGATCAAGACGAGGCAACGGCTGAATGGGCCGCAAGTCCTCTTTAACGATGATGTTGGTGGCTTCTCGGCCTTGCTGCGCCGCGCAAGCAGTCAAGTGCTCAAGCGGTCTTGTGGTCTCGTGGGCAGTTGGTTTTGGTGGTCAATTTGGGGGTTTTCCTCTCTCCAGACCACGACTGCGGATCTCTGTGGACTTTACGGAGTACTAGGCAAGCACTGCCCTCAAGGCTGAATGAAGGCTGAATGCTGAAGGCGGATGGCACATGGCATGGGAATTTTCCACTCCACCAGTCAGACGGCGAGTGAACCATCGTTGGTATCCACCACTTCAGCCTACACGCCCTTGCCTTTTTTCGAACCGGATGCACGTGGGCTGCGAATCACGTCTTGGCCTTTGTCCCCGCCAACCGACGGGGACCAATGGCCCGTCGCAACGGCTCGGCAGCGAGCCTCTCCGCACTTTTGACAGGAACAATGGGACACTGGAAGGCGCTGTAGACTGCGCGGCATCCAGGAGCTGCAGGCTGCGGCATGCACGGCTTCGTCTTCGCTGCATTCTGGCCTCAGTCCGTCGCGTTCCCACAGGCCACATCGCCATTGACGGGCCGGGCTGTCTTGCCGACGTGAGTCAATTCCTGAGCTGCATGATGCTCGGCAAATGAACATTTTGAAGGCTTGGCTACGCCATGGGCTCACAGCCATGTGCGGTCTTCTCTGACGACGGGACGTGGCCACGAAAGGGGTCCGTCATGCTTGAGGAAGCGCCCGGCAAAGGCCTTCAGCATCGAGACACACATGTCGACGCGCAGAGGGCCTTGGATTCTGACCAGCGCCATGCTCAACAGAAATGCGGCCTCCCAATCGACGCGATGGAAGAGACGGCGCCGCCCCCAAATCAGGCTGTCCCTTTTTTCGTCCACACAGCCGCCCACGGCCTCAGCCTGGAAGCTTCTGAAGGACCCAGGCGTTTGCGCCTGTTCCCAAGGCCAGCAGCGAATTGGACACCATTTGCCAGCTTACATAGACCCTGTGTGCCTTGCATGTCTGCGCCGGGCGTCCTGCAAAGACGAGTCGAAGACGATGCCGAGAACAAGGCCAGCGCCATTGGACAGTTGAGCGGTCATCACCGCTCCACTTCGGACAAGGGAGTCACGATCAAAGCCACCATGGACCCAGGACAGCCTTACAGACATCAATGGATCTGTCTAGGACAAGACCCGGGGGGTGTGCGAGGGCGAGCCAGACAGCCTAACCGTTGATCCCTGTCAAAGGCAAGGCGACCGACCATGACCCTTGTCGGATTTTGGTGCCGTCTGCGACTTACACGCACCTCAAAGTCCTCCATTTTTATAAACATGTGCCATGCCGCCCACCATGGATTCCAGGCAGCTACGGTTTTCTTCCTCACGCTACATCCTCAGCCATCTCGCCCAGTTCCAAACATCCTTCCCTCCCAATAACATTCGGCACCACCAAGTCCACAGGACGAGGGAGGCACAATCTCTTTTCCCAACTCGGCCCCTATTCACTAGTATTCAGCTGGCCCACATCGACTCGTCAGCCCGACACGAGCAAAACATCCGCCGCACACGCGCCAGACAACATATATCCCGAGTCGACTGCTTCTCTGTCCGAGGAGACTCTTCTTTCTCTCTTCACATCGTCCTCCGAAATCACTGATCAAAGACAGCCACTATTCAATCATACCCAAAACTGCCTTTGTCCCACCTCATCACAGACACTGGGGCATCAACGACCCCCTGCCCAAGGAACAAATAGTAGCCCATCAAAGGAGCCTTTCATTCGTTCAACAACAGGCCGCGGCGAACTTGCGCAAGCCGTCGCCCCTGCGCGTTACGAAAAACACAATGTGCACAACCGATCACTATACATACGTTTACCCAGATGGCCACAAAGAGACTGTGAGAAAGCCGGCGCTGTGCCCGTCTTCCCGCCACGGCCGGCCGTGCTCCCAGAACGTTGTGTTCAAGCACGGTACGAGGTCTGCTTCCCACAGCCATGCAGTTGCTCCCACCTATATGATGGCCTCGGGTGCCGCCTACGCTCCTCCATATTATGGTGCCTACCCCCCAACTCCTTTTTATACTCCACGCATTTGCACCCCAACATATCGCTCGGGTGACGACTCGGACCGATCATACCACAGCACATCCAGCTGCTGCAGACGGAGAAGCGTATACATGGACCCGAGAATGGAATCCAGCTCCAGCTCCAGCCGCCACGGACAAGGCGGACGAACCGTACTTGTCCACAACCCACCCACCCAGTCAACGCCGCCTCCAGCGTTTACATTTCCCCGGACCGCCCCTTCATCGCCCAGCTTTGCGAATGCCGCGCCGTTCATTGTGGACACGTCCCTCGGAGGATACTCGTCCAGACGACCCATGATTGTGGACGAGCGGCCTCGCCGCAACCGTGAGCCTGCCCACATTCATATCGAAGTCCATGACGATGGACGAAAGAAGAGACACCGTCGTCGGACGTCTTCCACCAGCTCATACAGCAGCCGACGCTCGTATCTTGGCGCCTCGGAAGAGGACGAGACGCGCCGGCGTCGCCACGACGCCGAGGCGCTTCGTACTGAAACCCGGCGGCTGGCACAAGAAGACGAGATTCGCCAGCAGAGGCTCCGTGATCGGATCGCCAGAGACAACGCGGAAATCGCCAGGCGGGAGCCAGTTCCCCTGCCACCGACCCTGAGGCGGTCCACGACGGCCGCCAAGGCCACGCACCACGTTGGAGACCGAGAGGATGAGCTGCTGGAGAGGGTCCAGCGGCTCGACATTGAGGAGGAGGAGCTTCGAAAGGACCGAGGGCGGGCCGCCAGGCGAGACGAGGAGGATTACCAACGAATGCTGCCGCGGCGCCGGGCCACCGTCGGACCTGGCAGCCGACGAGCCCGCGCCGAGTACAGCGACGGAGTGTATCGGTGGGAGTGAGCTACGGACATGGACATGTTCCACCTCGTTCACCACGTTCACCTCGTACAATTTGTATTCTTGGCCATGGACAGCGGCGATGGAAAAGTCGGGACAACAGACTGTAAAAGCGGGCATTTAGAGATTCGGGATTAGCTAGATGCAGGCAGGAAAGGCGCAGCACAGATTTGAGAATCAATTGTCCTGATTTCTGGTCACGAGTCTTGACGGCCCAAAAGGCCGGTGCGGCAGGACGCGTGACTGTGTGCGTCTGCTGTCTGCAGCAAACAGCAAGGAACCAACAGAACCAACCGATGAAGAAGGAAACGCGGCATCAACCAACCATTCTGGCACCAGGGCGTCCATCCCCAACCGGCACGGCATCCCCGCGCCGCGCCGCTGACTCACAGCCGGCAGACGGGTCACCTTGAATCTTGATTCGACAGGCCGCGGGGCCCTGCTGCCTGGCCGGCAGACGCAAAGACAACGCAAGGAAAAGGCAATAGGCAGCAGGCAACAGGCTGCCCCGATTTTTGTCCTGGGATGTCGGGCACTGTTTGTTTTTGTTGGTTTTATTTTTCCTTTTCCTTCTTTCATTTCTTTTTTATCTTTTTTTTTTTTTGTGTTTTCCCTTGTTCGCGGGGCGTGCATTGTACACTGGCAAGACGGCAACCTTGTCACGGGTACACGAATGACCTGACCTGTGGACCGTTTGTGGTTGACCCTAGGCTGATTAAAGATGTGCGGAGGGGATCGTACTTTTCTTCTTCTTTTTCTTCTTTTTCTTCTTTTTGTTGTTTTGCTGTTTTTTTTTTTTTTTTTTTTTGCGCGCAGACGCTCTGGATGCCGTGACACCATTGAGACTCGAGACGAGCCGACTGCATTGCCGTCTTGGGGTGGTGTGAGGGAGGCGAGGCGGGCGCAGCACGGCGCCTGGAGTCGTGCATGTATGAATTTGTAATTCGTACCGTCTTGTGCGGACGCAGAGAGAGTGGTAGTGACCGTTGGCGTGTGAATCGCTGGGTTGATGATTCTGCGGGCGTGCCGAGACGTCGTCTGGAGTCTCAGTCGCTGCTTTTTATGGTACTAATTTAAACTTGAACTTTTTTTTCTGCTTTTGCCAAGAGCCCAAGACGTACTCGTCCAGCTAGATGGTAGCACGCTGGTGCCGTTCCATCTCCTATCCCGCATCCTGCATCCTGCATCCTGCATCCCAGACAGGAACACTGGTAGCTTTGGCGACCGGACCAACTCTGCGCAGGCCCTACGAACGGTCAACTGTTCGCGTGGACTGCCGGCCCAGCATGTCGGTTGCGGCACCGCGAGATAACGCCAGCTCCGGCTTCCTGTTCCTGTTCCCAATGCCATGTGCCCCGTATCCAAGTGCCTTTCTCACGCGCCGCACGGCTGCCAGATCACAGACCTTGCAAGTTCTGCATCCTAGCCCCTCGAGCTGAGCAGACAACGACGAAAGCTGCTTGGCCCGTCCAGTACAGCCGCTCCGCGCCAGCAACCGCCTACTTCCTGCCCGTGAGCTCCAGGAAGTGGTCGACGACAGAAACAACCTGCTCCTCAAACGTCTTGAACTGGATCCCCAGGACCCTCGTCGCCTTGGCACTGTCCACCCTGGCCGGAGGCGACGGGGTGGCCTGGTCTGCGACGCCGTCGAAATTGAACACGCCGTCCGCGTACTCCTTTGGATAGCGCCGCTTGACAATCTCAAACGTCTCTGTCCAGTCGACTCCCCCGAGGCCCGGCGAGGCAGCCAGAAAATCCTGATTCCCGGCGACTTGGGGATCCAGGGCCAACACGTGCATCCTTGCCACGTCGTCGACGTGCACGCCCTCCCCGCTGACGAGGCGGTCGCGCGCGTGGCCGAGGAGCGGGCCCATGATAAGGCTGTTGCTTCCCTTGGCGATGGAACTTGCTTCCGTGACGGTCTCGTCGCGGCCAAAGACGTATATGGGCATGATGTTGACGACGTCAAACGGCGGGTTGTTGGCGGCGACAAAGTCCTTGGTCGCTCGGTACGCAAGCGCCTTGGAGGCGGCGTAGGCGGCGAAGTCGTCCGCGAACGGGGGCTCCGTCGCGACGTCGAACGTGTTTTCTTTTGTGCGCATCCCATCGTCAGCGTGGGGAGGAGGAAGGGGCGGGGGGCAGACGGGGACAGGCATCAAGCACGGGGTGCGACTTGCCGTCGATGACTTTACCGGCGGCGAGTCGCGCGGGGCTCACAATCGACACCACGCTGGCCGTGATGACGACGCGTCGGGTCCCCGTCGTCCTGAGAGCCGACTCGAGTATCCCCACGGTGCCTTGGACGGCGGGCCGGATGAGGCACGCCCCGTGGGCTTGTGGTCCGATGACGGCGGCGGGTATCGGGGACGCAGCGTGCACAATGTACTCGGCTCCCTTGACGGCTTCGTCGTACGCCCCCGGGACGGTAATGTCCGGAACGATGAAGCTGGTGAGCTGCGGCTTGTATTTTTGCACCGGGGGCAGGGAGGAGATCCTGTCGAAGCCGGCCTGGTTGCGGACGGCCGCGCGGACCGTGTATCCGCTCTCGAGGAGCTCGACGAGGGTTTTGAAGCCGATCATGCCGGTGGCACCGGTTAGCTGGGGGGAGGGTAGGGAGTTGTTAGGGACTTTTTTCGAGCGTGGCCGGGCGCGAGCAGGACATGCTTACCAGGACGAGGTTTCCGGTCATTATGTTTCTGTGCTTGGTGCTTGACGGTGAGGGCCAGCGAGTGGTGATTTCTGGGTGGGAGCAAGACTGGTCTGGGATGGATCGGGTTCTATTTGGGGCGATGGATGGGTTGCTTGCTAGATGGTGATCTTGTCGTGCTGACGGCGCTGGGGCCGTATGAAGCTTGCTTCTTATTGATGCTGGCCCGAGCCTTGTACGCGTCTTCAGAGACGGGATTCCGTGCTCACCGCCGCTGGTCTATTTATAAGCATCGCGACATTGCTGCTCCGTGGTATTCCATACTTGCTCTCCGGAGTTGAGACGTTTTATCTCCGCGATGGGGCATCACAGCTGACGAGGCAGGCGGCTTACCCTTCGTTGTGACACTTGCTCTGTGTGATAATGCCAACGTGTGTCGGAGCAATGCACGATGAGCGGGGTGGCTGAGCAACATAAGCAATCGCCGCCATTTGACCGCATCAACACCTTGCTGTCGAGTCGTATCAATAACTGGGTGCCGCACAAGAACGTACCAAGGTACACTGCATGTTTCCACGATTTCACACAACTCCACTTGTTCGTGCCTTGAAAGCCCGCAATCCTTGGTCTCGGCATCTGCTCGTCGTGCCCAGCATGTCGCGAGGCCAGGCGGAGATGCTCGCGATGGCGCCGCTCATCCGGGGTGCACGCTCTGCGCACAGTAAGCAACCTCCCGCGAAGCTGCCGAGGCGGCCTTTACGTTCTGACCTTCCGATCCGACACGCACGGAAATAACATCCCGTGTCCGTGTTCCCGTGGCCGGAAGCGCCGGGAACTGCGAAACCCTTCTGCAGCATCACGGCCGGCCGCCGCGAGCAAAGCAGCCGGCCCGGAATCTCTCGCCCTGCTCGAACCGTGAGTGCTGTGGTATCAGCAAAGGCCGCCACTTTGCTTGCCGAGCGGTTCACCGGCGTCTCGTGTCACTGGCGACGTGGAAGCCTTGGCTGGAGATGTGCGCGACATACAGGCCACGGCTCAAGTCTTCTTCGACACGGCGCACGCCTTGATGCCCGTCCCCCCCAAGGCTGGGTGCTCGCAGTCCAGCGGGCGGAATCGTCTCTCGGCAGACGGCAGGACCAAGAAGAGGAGGCCCTTTGACGGGTGAGTCGATGGAATGCAGGAGCCGGCGTTGCTGAACGTCTTGTGACGGCAGGCCCCGGACTCGGCGTGCTATTCAACAGCCCAATGGCGACGAGGAATGGGACTCGGCCTTTCTGACATGAGACTCTTGCGCTCGGGCCGTGGGCATCGGCAGGACACAAGGTGCCGACGTCGGTCGATTCTGCAAGCCGCGCCGGACATATTGCTTCGTGTCCCCAACGCCTCTGTCGCGTCCTGCAAAGATTTTGAGTTGCAACGGCGATTTAGCTTAGCTCAGCCGGGGACCAAAGAGCTTTCCACGTGTGGATGGTGGGGACGGAGGGTCTAGCGCGTGTGTTTTAGTGAGAGGGTCCCCTAACCTTGGTGCCAAGGGATAGGGAAGATGCAACGATTCAACCGTATTTATTTGCTTGGTCAGGTTACGAGCCTAGGTCACTTTACATGTGGATTGGGAAAAAAAAGCAAGATGAAATGGCGATAACATAGTATAAAGTCACGTTTCTACCTCCTCTTGTTCGAGGCTGCGTATAACTTACCAACAGGGGTTTTATGAATTCCATCCGCAGGCTGGCGGCCTCAGGCAGATAGATGCTGGGTCATGGATAGATCACAGACGCAACGTGGGATAGCGGGCCTTTGCCTTGTGACACCACATCAACTTGTTGAGAACGTCAAAGTCGAGCGCCGCGCCCAAATATAGCTCGGGGGTTGCTGCTCACGTACCGTCGGTCAGGGGGGAAACTTGGCTTTTTCCGCCCCGTCTCGTGCCGCTGCCCGCCGGGTTTGCAGGGCCGAGGCTGTCATGCAGGCAAACGCCAGCCTTGCATATCGAAACAACCAATACGACCGTCTGGTTGTCGTCGCAACGCGGAATCCGACCATGTCTCACCACGGGACGGCAAAATCTATCCCAGTTCAGATCCTTTTCTTGGCTCCGTCAACTCTCTAGACACAAGAGATTCAAACAAACCCTGACGGACAAGCCCAGGCCGCTACCTCTGCTGGACATGACCTGGTGCCGTCGCCGTCGCCGTCGCCGTCCACGTAGTATCTGACCGAGACTCTGGCACTCGTGATCGATGCCTCTGGGCCACGCGGCCAGGTTGCAGGCAAGCCTTGCCATCAGCTGCTGAGCCCCCCCCACCGCCTTGCATCATGGCCGGGTATGGGTATACAATTGCCTCGAGGATCCTCCGTCAGGCAGAGGTCCAACTTCCATCTTGGACTCGAGTCCGCATGCGCATTCGCATCCTCACCGCCGGCGACATGTCAAAGTCAACGCAGTGGAAGGCCATGACGGTCATGGCCGTCGATGGTTTTGGCTATGCTCTGGCCAAGTCGGCCCAGACCTTTCTCATCGAGCAAGCTCTATGTCGAACATTCTACGCCATCAGCGACCCCGCCGTGATCCGGCCCGACGGCAGCGTGCCCGAGGACAGGTGCAAGACCGAACACTTGCAATCCCAGGTCGCCTTCTTGTCCAGCACCCTCAACTTGACCCTCCTGATGGCCAGTACGAGACCGTGTTCCCTTATTTTCCTTGCTTCCCCCTTGTTTCCAACGTTCCTGATCCCCCCAGGTTGACCGTCGTGTTTCCCAGGCTTCCTGGCCACACCCGTCTTTTCTCGCTTGGCCCTGACCGCCGGAAAGAGGACTGTTCTTCTCATCAACGCCGCAAGCTACATGTTGCGCATGATCCTGTTCACGGCCGTGGGTAAGTGAATTCGCAGCCCCCGTCCTGCGGCTCGCATACCGGTACCGGGACCTGCGTCTCGACCAACTGACAAACCGCACATCCAAGTCTACTTTCATACCTTGGCCGATGTCTGGTGGGTGCTTGGGCTGTGGCTTTTGGAGCTGGTTGGAGGCGGGATTCCCGTCCGGGAGGTCCTGTTGTGGATGTACATGGCAGAGAGCGTCCCGGAAGACGGACTGTAAGCAGCACCATGCCTATCTGTGCCCGACTGCCCTTTTTTGATACAAACTGACATTCTGCGTGACACCAGAACCGGCGCTTTCAATATTCTGAGCGCTATTCTAATTGGCATGATGTCCGTCGGGACCTTTATCGGCGCTCTGCTTCTCCGGCACCACGTCTGGCTGCTGTGCTCGATAGTCATTGCCATCTGCGCCCTTGTCGTCCTCTTGATCTGCCTGCTTCCAAACCATCACAAGTCCCTCTATGCCGAGCAAGAAAACATCTTGGATGACGAGCAGAGTCCTCGCTCATCCCTCTCACACTCATCGTCACCCACCACTTCGCTTCTCGACGGGGCGGCGGGTTCTCACCTCGCCTCGCATGGCCCCCCGGCAGCCCTGTGGCGGTCCGTTCTCCGTGCTGCCTCAGTCGATCTGTTCCTGTCTCTACAGCTCGTCCTACAGGCGCTCCGGAATCCCCTAACCCTCAGGGTCATGAGCATATTCTTCACTTACACGCTGGCCGGCACCGTCTCGGGCACCTCGCAGCAATGGGCCTCGAGCACCTTCCGCACGACCTTGGCAAACGTCGACAAGATCACGTCCATGGAGCAGGTCATCTCGGCCGTCGTTCTCTTCGCCCTGCCAGCCGTCTCGCAGCAACTGCTCCGGCCACGCCTCCGCGGCAAACAGGACACGGACCTTTGCGTCATCACCGCCAGCTTGGTGCTGGCCGTGTTTGGGGCCCTCATCATGGCCGTGGCGCCGTCCATTGGCGTGTACGCTTCGGGCGTGGCCGTCTCCGCGCTGGGCGTCGGCCTGGCCGACTCGTTGCGATCGTTTGCCACGAGCGCACTGTCCGACACCGAGACCCTGCAGAGCCTCTACATGAGCATCCGGACCATGCAGTCGCTGGCGGCTATTGTCGGAACCCCGCTGTGGGCAGGCATTTTCCTGTTCATCCTCAAAAGCGACGGCGGATTGCCGCCAGGCCTCCTCTTCTTCGCCACTTGCCTCGTCTTGCTGGTCTCGCTGTATTCGACGATGCCCTTGCGCGTGTATAGATAGGTGGACTGTGGTATAACGTGACACTTTTACCCGCGAGCGGACAGCGACGCTCTCGTGGCTTTTGATGCGGAGGAATCAGAGGATAACGTGTTGCTGGAATTACCGCTGCCCGCTTCCGGCAACACATGGGCGTGCGTAGACCTGGATCATTGGGACGCGTGGGAGCGACACATGGCATTTCTCGACATTGATATGCGACAATATAGAGTATACAGCGGCTATTCTACAACGACCTTGAGCTTTGGACCAATCATGTCGAATGTGACACACTTGCACTTGTCATCCGGCCAGATCTTTGGACAGGAAACAGACGAGGCCCAACTTGGATTGAAGCACGTGTGAGACCTTGGACTTTCTGGCAGTCATCAGATCCCCCCCTGCTAGGACGCATCAGATATTCGCGCCATGTGACTCGTAACCATATGAGCCAGTGTGAGAGACGGCGGGAGTGGTGCCCGGGGAAGCGAAACCATGGTGCGGAGTAGACATTTGCAGGTCGTAGGACGGTCCATGTAACGACTTTGAATTTTGGACGTTGGGTTCAAGGTCGAATTCAGGCGGCCAGTTACCCCGCGCGGGCCGCCGATGCAAACCGTTGCATTCCTGCTATGTATACGGCTGGGGGCGAGGATAGTAGCCATTCACCCCGCCTGCTGCCCTGTTGAGACGTAACTGCGTGCAATATGGATTTCGGATACAACGATGGGTGACCACTGACGGGGATGACGGGCATGACGGGATGATGGTCACCGAGGTCGCACGCATTCCTTTGAACGTACCAAGGTCTGGTGCGTCTCCGTATCGGACATGCCAGGATGATAATGATAAGTAATGGAACGCGTTGCTTGACAAGATAAGCAAGACACCTGGTCCCAATCGAAAATAATATACGGATAACAAACCATGCCACGAACAAACGCGTCGCAAATCTCGCAACCAGGCGACACTTTCACGTCATTTTGTTTTCCAAGTATCCATTTGAGATGCTCCCAGAATGGGGTAGTCACCTTGGCTCATGCAAAAAGGGATACGCCCAATAGACTGCCGTCGTCACCCTTGCGAGCAGTGTGACAGCTCTGCATGACGGGTGGTGGCGCCACATGTCTCGGAAGACGGAGTTGGGATGACGGCTATCTAAGAAAAGCCCAGTACATATATGCACTCGGTACGGAGTATACCGTTGAAGTTATGTCTCAAAATGGCGTTCGTTGGTGTCTCGCACAAACCCGCTCGCTGGGTCTCCCCGATCTTGTTCCACACCCGAGCTCCATCCATATCAGTTCTGCACCGGTCGCTTCGAAAATATAGCTTATCTACCAGGGGATTCATCTGATGCCATGGAATACGCGGCTGCAGACCAGACGGCCCTCTCGACAAGCCATCTCTCCTCCCCTCACGCCCGCCCGGACTAGGGGCAGTGTTTCCAAGACATGGGCGACCTACTGACTGACTGCCGCCGGACTGTGCGTACATTGAACTTTGCCGACTTCCTCCACGGTGATTTGAGCAGGCAGGACCTCTTTTGCCGGCATCTCGTGGAATGCCTCAGCACCGTGGGATTCGTGAAGCTCGTCAATCACGGACTCAGCGACGAGGAGCTGCGTCAAGCGTTTGAATGGGTAACTCATCTCTCTCCGCCCCCATTTTCAGTCTCGGTCAACAGAATGCTCACCGGGCCCGTCGTCCACGTACTCTAGAACAGGCGATTCTTCTCGCTCCCCCTCTCGGCCAAGGCCAAAGCCGCGCATCCCCACGGGCCAAACCCGCACCGCGGCTACAGCTACGTCGGGCAGGAGAAGCTGTCCAAGGTCAAGGACTACGAGAAGGGCAGCCGAGACGCCGTCGAGGTGCATGACGTAAAGGTACCCGTCTCGGCCCGACGTCCCGGCTCGACGTCACGAGCTGCACACCATCGGACTGACGGCGTTTCTGCAGGAATCCTTTGACCAGGGCCCCGCGCGCGACGAGCTCTACCCAAACAGGTGGCCAGACGAAGAGGATATCCCGAATTTCCGAGCATTCATGGAGTCTCTTTACGAGCGCTTCCACCACATCCACCAGGAGATCCTCCGGGCCCTAGGACTCGGACTCGGTCTTGGCCCAGCATTCTTCAGCGACATATGCGACCAGAACGCGTCAGAGGTGCGCCTCAACCACTACCCCGGGTGCGAGGAGTCGGTCCTGCGGCACGGCGCGAGGCGGATATCGGAACACACCGACTTCGGGACCGTCACGCTGCTGTTCCAGGACGCCGTCGGCGGCCTGGAGATTGAGGACCAGGACGCGCCGGGGCAGTACTTGCCCGTGCCGTTTGAGGGCGCGTCCGAGATGATTGTCAACATTGGTGACTGCCTCCAGCGCTGGTCCAACGACAAGTTCCGCGCCACGAGCCACCGCGTCGTCCTGCCCCCGGGGTCCGGCGGCGCCTGGGTCCGGGACAGGTACTCGGTGGCTTATTTCGGGAAGCCGAACCGCTCGCAGCACGTAGGCACGCTGCCCGAGCTGCTGCCGCGCGGCGCAGAGCCCAAGTACGCCAGCATCACGGCGTGGGAGTACAATCAAAAGAAGCTCAAGTTGACGTACTAGTACGTAGTCTAGTTATCGGGGGGGGGATACACTTGTTTCTCTCGTCTCGCTGGCTTACTTGCCGTCAAAACACGTTACATTCTTTGTGAACAAACACGTCGAGGTTGTTGTGCGCAAGCAGGGCAACACCATAGCTCCAACCATGGTGACAATCACCGCAGGTCATACACGTAGAATGCTGCTTTTTCATTCGCCCTGGGAACCTTTCCCAGACAGCTAGCCGTGTGCTACATGGCATTGCTTCAATCCATCCAGGGTAGACATCGGCCACCGTTGGCCTTCAAGGGTGACGGCACAACTTCCACCCGTGCAAGATTGAGTCCCCGGACACGGGTCACGCGTGGTCTCCAAGGCTTGTGCGACGGCTCACGGCCTCGCTTGCCGGCATGCTAGCCCGCTGGACGATATGGCCCCGAGATAGACGGGGGCCCCCTGATTTGGTTTCTACGAACACGGCCCCGTGATGCCGTGTACTCGTCGAGAAAATGCCACTGCGACAGCTTCAACCAGCCCCGTCAGCATAGCTACATGCCTGCCTACGCCCCGTCTGTTACAAGAGCGAGCTTGTCCAAGTCGCGGCTTGGACTCCCCGCTCCAGGGCCTGGTTGATGCGCCGCAGAGCCTCCTCCAAGTAGGCTCGGGGATGCGCAAACACGATGCGAAACATGCCGGGCGATTCGCTGTCAAAGTTGCCCCCCCAGGCCAAGTAGACCTTGTGCGCCCACAAAGCCTGCTTCAGCTCCTCGACCACGCCCGGCTCCTCCGCCCGGTCCGGGTGCCGATCACGATACGCCTGGCCGAGATCAACCCACAGGAAGAAGGCGGCGTGGACGCCGGGCGCGTAGGGGATCCCGTGCCGCCGCAGGAAGTCGGTCGCAAAGGCGTACATGGACGCCAGGCGGCGCCGATTTTCGGCCAGGTAGCCGTCGACGAAGCCGTCGTCCTCCATCATCTGCGTCACGACGTGGTCGGTTATGGACGAGACGTACGAGTATATGGCGACCGAGTTCATGGCCGTGTGGAAGGCCCGGTTGGAGAGGGAGATGATGCATCCCAGACGCCAGCCGTTGGCGCCAAAGTCCTTGGAGACTCCCCAGAGAACGTGGACCAGGGCGGGATCGATGAACTGTTCGAGACGGAGCGCAATCACCGAGGTGAAAGGGGCCCCGGCCCACACGGACAGGGCGTAGATCTCGTCGCAGACGAGATGGATCCGGTGCCTGTCGCACAGCTTGAGGAACGCCTCGAGGACATGGGGGGAGTAGCACTGGCCCAGCGGATTGTGCGGCGAGCACAGCAACAGCCCCCTGACGGCGGTGCCCTGCTGCCGCGCGGCGACGATGGCTTCCTCGTAGCACGCGACGGCCTCCAAGCTCAGCGGGTCTACCTGGCCGAACGCGACGGGCAGCGTGAGCATCTGCGGCCGGAGCGCGAGGTTGACGGCCCCGTAGTACGGGCGGCCCAGGACGAAGGCGTCCCCGGGGTTGGCAAAGGCCCACGACGTGTGCTCGAGGGCGTTGGACACGCCGTTGGTGACGATGATTTGGGACGCGTCCAGCGCGCGGTACGGACGCAGCTGGCGGTTGAGGAAGCGTGCCAGCGCGGCTCGCAGCCGGCGACTGCCCATGGGCCCGTCCTGGTAGGTCAGGACGGAGCCGCGCATGTCGACGTGTTGAGAGAGATAGTCGTCCAGCTCGGCCTGCATCAGGTGATTCTCCGCTACGCCCACATTCACGTATCCGGAGGGGTTCTCGTACGCATCCCACGGGTCCTTCATGACTTCCCACATGACATTGAATGCGGACGGGGGAATTTGTTCTCGGGCCCGACGGGAGAGCATGCCGGAAGAAAATCTACTTCTAATTATTTACTTGTTCCCCACCTGGTCAGGAAGGAAAATCGATGACCCACTACTATATATGTATTGGATGTGTCGGCCAGATGATTTCTCTCTCTCCGGGTGCTGTTTTTGAAAAAGTGTCCCGCTGCTCTTGGAACACCAAAGAGCCTTCCTCGGCACACGATTTGCTTCTTATAGCCATCGTGGGCGACCCGTGTACGCTGCAGTCCCCAAGACTGACGGCAGCATACGAGTCTTGTAGGCAACCCGTGGATAGATGGACTGTTAACATCGGTGCATGTGCCACATGATCGGATGTAATGCTGCAGTCCGAAATGTCATCACGCATCAAGGAGTCAGGACAACAGGGGATGGGTGTGAGATTAGTCGGCCGAGGGTCGTCGGCTGGTCTGTTGAATCCAAGGCCTCGACCTGAACAAACTTGGGACAAACCGGACATAATTTCGGGGTGCAAAAAGTCTGCTGTTTCTGATTGAATCCAGAGCTCGTGATAGACAAGAGCCTAGAGTCTAGACGCTGATCTGTTTGTTGGTGCTCGGCACGTTGGCTCCGTTTCCGTTAGCTGCATACAAGCACATGTCAGAATCCGTCTTGTTGCATAAGCCAAGCTTTGCTGCCCCACCCTGCGACCGGCGGGGGAGGCGGGGCTCCCGGGCCTCGAGCCGTCCCGTGAGCTAATCACCGAGGTGAGGACCCGCCGCGACTCCACCTTCCGAATCCCCTCGTCTGCACCGGTGGCGGCGCAGAGCGTCGATGGGATCCCCGTCGTCGCAAATCCCCAGCATCTTGTCCGTGACATAGCCCGCCAGCCTCTGCGCCTCCACAGACCACTTCTCCACCTCCTGCTCAGTCCACCACGCAAACTCATTCGCCTGCGGAGCAAGGTCCTGGTCAGCGGCCGGACCCAGAACGCACGACGGGCAGGGGACACCTACCTCGGGGCGGACCCACGAGCGGCAGAAGAAGATCGCATGCAGCAGCCGCGGGCTGCGAGTGGAATTGGCCCCTCCCCCATGGAGCGCTGAGCCCAGGAAAAGGAAAGCCTCGCCCGGCTGCATCTCCACGGCCCGGACTTGGTCATCAGTGACGGTGCGCGCGTCGGCCCAGAGGTGGGATCCGGGGACAAACTAGAGAACCAGAATGAGTGGTTGTTTGGTTTGTTTGTTTGGATTTTTTTTCTTTTTTTCTGGCCCCCTTTCATCAGTCAAAATGCGGAATCCCGAGCAAGAGACTTACCAACGTGGCTCCGTTCGCACGAGTCGTCGGAACCCCTGGCACCAATAGCGCAAGCCCCAGGTCCGATCCCAAGCAGTAGCCCGTCGCCTCTTGGCCGGGGTGTACTTTCTGCCAGATGCTGTCGTCGCGGTGCAAGGCCTGTCCAGCACCCCCTGGCAGGGTGAGGATGCTGTTGGCTTGCGAGAGAATGGCATCCGTGCTGCGGCCTGGCGCGCTATTCCTGTCCACCCCGGGGGGGTTCACGGTACGGAGGAAGTGATTGACGATCGACTGGAGATTGGGGTCCAGAACCCATTCTTCCCGTGCCGTTTCGCTGAGTCCGTACAGGAGACCGCAGTAGATCCGTCCGTTGAAGGAGGCTTTGAATGCCTGGCAGCACGGGGCTTGATTAGCCTACCCAAAGATGGCTGTGGCGGGGGTGCAGGGACACACGTCTTCGGTACCTCGTCATTCTTTCTGCTCGTCAGTATTTCGTCGACATCTCGGTTCACTTGCTCGACTTGGCTTGCCGAAGCGAAGCCCGTGAGGATGACTCCTCCGTCCTCCTTGATCACTTGGACAGCTTCCTCTGGAAGGTCGAGAGGCACGCGGCGCGCCATCACGAGGCAAGTTGGGTCGAGGCAGCGGCGAGAAATAATCGAGCGTACAGGGGAACAGGGCGATATCGGGCAACAGCGGAGCCTTTTCGGCGTCTGTCTTGGTTATCCAGGCCCTCATATATAGTTGAGCTTGTGCCCTTGATAACATATACGTAGGGTTGCATTGAATCTCTGCGTGTGTCGCCACTTGCTAGCAAGCGCGAGTAGATAGTTTCAGACTAGGTATTGAAAAGCCACAAGAATATAATCACAACGTACAATAGCATCGAGTCACGATAGTCTCTTCAATATCGCCAGGCGAGGTGCTGGATGCTGACTACACACCAACTCCGTTTGCCCTTGATGTAACACGCCCGCAGATATGTCAGATTCTCAAAACGTTGAATCCGATGCATCTAGTCCTCTTTATTTGGAGATGCGGTATAAAGAGCACTGATCATTAACGGTGGAAGAAAAAGAAAATCCAAATAGCACACGGCATGGTCACAAGTACCACTTGCGAGTCTGGGCGTCATTCTCACGACAAAGCTACCCCTGCTACATAAGTTATTTCATGTGATTGAGGGTCCGGAGTCCTGCGGATCCAGACTACATGCGCTTTCCCCGCGTCTGAGAAACTCGGGTCAAACGAAATGCATTCACGCACCGTCGTAAATTCCAGCAAAGAGCTGGGCAGACGAACCGTACCTTCTTCATGAGGTACTTTTGCCATCCGGCCTACTCTCGCTGCATGTACTAATGTTGGTAAACCAACGGGGCAGTGTTTTTTTGCCCATCACACCGGTAAACTACATCATCCTTAGACACGCCTCGTAGACGTCTAGGTAAGCGCACATACAATCGCATACTAGGTGAGTCGTGTACAGACGGAGAATCAAAGGAGCGTTTTATTAGCAGCACAGTCGAGATGGGCTCTCGCTGGCAGCAGGCCGTCAATGGAGACGCGGCAGAGAGTCATGTTGCCGAAGCCGATATCAGTGACATCAAGCAACTACAACAGTGGAATGGCAAAGGCGTCCTCCGGGACGATACTCTGCGCGTGCACGACTTGATCCAGACGCGTTTCGACGTTCAACCGTCTGCCCCCAGCGTCTGCTCTTGGGACGGTGATTTGACCTACTATGAGCTGGATCAACTGTCCTCCGGTCTGGCCGACGAGCTGGTGGCCCGAGGAGTTGGCTGTGAGATGATTGTGCCCTTGTACTTTCAAAAATCGAAATGGACTGCCGTGGCTATTCTTGCCGTCATCAGAGCCGGAGCAGCCTTTGTGCTGCTGGATGACTCGCACCCTTTGCCGCGTCTGCGCGAGATCTGCCAGGAGGCGCGTGCGAGGATTGTGCTGGCCGCTAGCGGGCTTCAGGACGAGGCGCGACGACTGGTAGACGAAGCCGTCGTCGTCTTGGTTGGGGAGACGCAGTCGCAGCAATGGCCTCGGGGCAGCGTTGAGGCGTGGAGGGCGTCGCCCGTAACGGGTTCCAGTGCGTTATATGTCGTGTTCACTTCTGGGTCCACGGGGAAACCGAAAGGCGCGGTGAACGAGCATGCCTCCCTCTGCGCGGCAGCTGAGGCATCGGGGCGGGCTCTGGCCATGAGCTCCCGGACAAGGGCCTTCCAATTTGCTTCGTTTGCGTTCGACCCGACAATCATGGACTTCCTCCGGACTTGGATCTTCGGCGGATGCGTGTGTATCCCGTCTCGAGACCAGACAAGAAACGATATTGCTGCTGCCGTCGCCCAGTACGGAGCCAATCTCGCAAGCTTGACGCCTTCCGTGGCCCGGCTCCTGGACGTCGACGCGCTGCCGGGCCTGCGAGCACTCGAGTTCGCCGGCGAGCCAATGCTGCAGAGTGACCTTGAGAAATGGGCCGGCCGGTTGTTGCTGGTCAACGCGTACGGCACCGCCGAGTGCTCCGTGTACTCGGTGGTTTGCTCTCCCGTGCGTCGCGATGGACACCCGCACAACATCGGCTTCGCGGCCGCGTGTGTCGCCTGGATCGTGGATCAGGCCGACCACAACATTCTGCTCCCCATCGGCCACGTCGGAGAGCTCGTGCTGGAGGGCGCCGGTGTAGGGCGAGGCTATCTGAGCAACAAGGAGCTGACGGCAGCCTCCTTTGTGCCTGGCCCGCCTTGGCTGCATCAGTTCCGAGGCGAGCAATCCCGTCATATTCGCCTGTACAAGACGGGCGATCTGGCACAATACCAGCCTGATGGATCTCTTCAGTGTCTGGGCCGCAAAGACACCCAGGCCAAGATTCGCGGGCAGCGCATTGAGCTGAGCGAAGTGGAATGGCATATTGCGGAGCTGCTTCACGAGCAAGACCAGGTGGTTGTGGACGTGGTCCAGGCAGACCGTGGTGTTTCTTCGCAGCCCGTCCTTGTAGCATTCGTGCGCCTCCAGGATGCTGTGGTCGACGAGGCGTCGCCGGTCTCTGAGCTCTTGGCCACGCCCACAGACGCTTTTCGTCTCCAGATGGAGAAGGTCGAGATGGAGCTGAAAGGGCGAGTGCCCGCGTACATGATTCCCGGCGCCTTTGTCGCGCTGAACCATGTTCCCCTGTCCGTATCAGGCAAGACAGATCGTAGGCGACTTCGAGAGGAGGCTTCTGGACGGCCATGGGCTGCTATTGAGGTGTACATGATACACCAGAAGGACACGCCTTATTCTCCGAAAACAGACGTCGAAAGGACGCTCCAAGCATCGTTTGCTCACATACTAGGACTGCAGGCCGAGGAGCTCGGTCTGCATGATTCCTTTTTCCGCAGAGGAGGCGATTCCATCTCGGCCATGCAGCTCAGCGCCCATTGTCGACGTCGGGGCCTGTCTATCACGACCCAGGAGATTTTCCAATACCCTTCAATTGCTGGCTTGAACGCTAGAATCCTCACCGAGTTGGGTTCCCGGGCCGCCTCTACAGCTCTCCCTTTTCCCCTTTCCCCCGTACAGCATGAGCTGTTTGAGCACAAGAGCTTACTCATACGGAGTCTTCTCCTACGCCTGGCGAGCCCCATCACTCTGATGGCGTTGGAATCCGGGCTGCAAACTGTCATCCGCCGCCAACCCAGCTTGTCCACTAGGTTTACCTCTCGAGAAGACGGCCAACCAATGCAGACTGTGACTTCTCTGATCCAGGGCTCGTATCAATGTTCTCACTTTCAAACTCATGCTGCCGCTATAGACACACTTGATCTTCGCCCAGGGCGTATTAATTTGGAAACCGGACCGATTCTTTTGGCTGATTTAATCACTGTCGAGAAAGACGATAATCAACATCTGCTCTTGGTGGTTCCACAGATCGTTGTTGACGCCCCTTCATGGCGGATCATCCTCAACGAGCTAAGTAGCTGTTTGAGTGGCGGCGGCGAATCGTCCTCTTCCATCGCCACGGGATCGTTCCAGTCGTGGTGTGAGGGCATGAAGCCGAAGCCCCGAGTAAGCGGGCAACCTAATGGACAACCCGTTGTGCGGTGCCCGTCCAATTTTTGGGCATCCGTCGATTCAAGTAGTACGAAAACAAGCGGGACTGTTTCCATCGAGTTTCACGTAAATTCCTCCAGAACCGCCTTGTTAGCCCAGAGGGGCAAACAGGCCCTTCGCGCTGAGCTGGCTGAGTTGCTCTTGGGCGTCGTTTTACACGCTTTCAGGGCTACCTTCCCCGAACGAGACGGGCTGCAAACCTTTGTCGAACGCGATGGACGAACGGCAGACACTTCCCAAGTTGTTGGCCAGTTTACCACCTACGCGCCCATTATACTGCAAGAGGGTCAGGACGGCGATGTGTTGGACATGGTGCGCCGAACGAAGCATGCTTATCGCAAAGCCTCCAAGGAACATGCCATCTATTCCGGACAGACATTCCCGATGGAGGCGATTTTTCGCTGGAAACAGGAGGAGCAGCAAGTCCTCGATCCGAGATCTGAGACGGGAGAACCTTTTCTGCGGAGGGTATCATCTCCTCTAGATGACGGCGAAGCGCATCCGCCAGCCCTATTTGACCTTACTGTGTTGAAATCCAGCGGCTCCCTCATTGTTTCCCTGGTCTATTCGGAACATGTGCTGCACCAAGGCGCCATTAGCCAGTGGATCCGGCTCTCTCAAGACACATTGGACGAGCTTCTGCGGCGAGTGGAAAATCTCGCGTTTCGGCCGGCACTCAGCGACTTCCCGCAGCTGTCCGTCTCCCCGGAGGAGCTCGAGACCCTGACCTCGGACATTTTATCCCGACAAGGTATCCTCAATGTGTCTGACATAGAAGACATTTATCCAGTCTCTTTCATTCAACAAGGAATGTTATTGAGTCAAGCCAAGGATCCCAAGGCCTACTGGTCCCGTACCTCATGGGAGGCACGTTCTCGCGATGGGACTCCAGTCGGGCTGCGCAGACTTCAGGACGCATGGCGGCAGGTGGCGATGAGCCATTCTATACTGCGGACTCTGTTTGTACAGAGCCAAGACGGCTCCCATTACCAAGCTCTGTTAACGAGTCCGCCCCTTCCCATCAACATCGTGTCCCAGGATGGCCCAGAGGAAATCGAAGTCGGCACGAACCAGGCTCTTGGTGTCTTGGGAGGGAGCACGTTACTCCCCTGGAGTCTTGCCCTGACACCTCTGAGTAACGGCAATGTGACATGCGAGATTCAGATAAGCCATGCTCTTATGGACGGCGAGTCAATGCAATTGCTGCTCCGGGATATTCAACGCGCTTATGGTAAAGAGCAGTTGCACGGGCACTCTCCGCTGTATAGCCAATACGTGGACTATCTGAACCACGTCCCCCGTGATACGGTGCTTGAATATTGGAAAACCTACCTCGAGGGCACTGAGCCGTGCCACTTCCCTTCGTTTCCGGCTCCACAGTCTGCTCCGGCGGTCGATAAGCTTGTGGATCTTGATGTTGCTATCGACAACGTTGACCAAGTATTTGCTTTCTGCAAGGAAGAGGGTGTTACACTCTTCAACGTGGTGCAGCTGGCCTGGGCCATCGTGCTCCAATGTTACACGGGCAATGAGACGGTTTCCTTTGGCTACTTGACATCTGGGCGAGACGTTCCCATAGATGGGGTAGAGGATATGGTCGGCCCTCTAATCAATATGCTGATCGCCCGAATCGATCTCCAGGGCGACCTGAGCATTCGGCAGCATTTGCACGAGTGCCGGAATCGGTACATGCAGAGTCTTCCTAACCAACACTGCTCTTTGGCCGATATTTATCGTGCCCTGGGGAACCGTGGTACACCAATGTTCAACACCATCATCACTTACCAAAAGCAGATCCCCACTAGTGCCAGTGCAAACATAGAGTTCAACGAGATCCTTGATCAACAACCTACCGAGGTTAGCTGTCGTTACCGCTCGAGAGAAGCACACGTGAACTGACCGATTCCATTACATTAGTTCGATATAGTCTTGAGCGTCAAGGCTGGACGCAGTGATGCGGCCGTCTCGCTCACCTACTGGGGACATAAGATACCGCCCGAGTTGACGTGCAGCATTACACACACTTTCAGCGCTGTGCTTGGGGAGATTACGACCCGGGCGGATGTGGCCGTGTCCGAGATGAACCTAGTCAGCGCCGCAGACCTGGACCAGATTATGGACTGGAATAGTCGACCCGTTGCCACGTTGAAAGCCTGTATCCACGACCTGGTCAAGGCAGAGTGCGTCGCGCACCCGGACCGGCTGGCGATTGACGCATGGGACGGAAGCCTCACATATCAACAGTTGTGGGACCATTCCTCCTCGCTGGCTAAACATCTAACAGACCAGGGAGTTGGGCCGGAGATGGCCGTCCCGATTTGTCTCGAGAGGTCTGTCTGGGTGCCTGTTTCTAAGCTGGCTGTCCTGAGAGCAGGGGGCATATGTGTGCCCCTGGATCCCAGTGCCCCCGTCGAGCGTATGCAGGCCGTGCTTGATGAGGCAGAGCCAGAAGTCATCCTCGTCTCATCAACAACCGTGGACATCGACTTTCAATCCTCGGCAAAAAAAGTTGTGATTTCCCCAGAAATCTTTGAGCACTCTGCCACACAACTCCAGGATCCGGCTTCACCTGCACAGCCCAGCAACGGTGCATACATCCTCTACACTTCCGGCAGCGCTGGGCGTCCCAAGGGCATCATCCTTCAACACGATGGACTCTGCACGAGCTTGCGTGATCAGAGTCACAGCTTGTCCATGAATTGGGAGACTCGAGCGCTGCAGTTCGCCTCGTACACTTTTGACGTTAGTGTTTGGGAAATATTTGCCGTTCTGGCCTCGGGGGGGTGTGTCTGTATCCCGTCCCAAACAGCCAGAATGAACGAGCTGGCTTCATTCGTTTCCGATGCAAAAGTCAACTGGGTGGCCTTCACGCCGTCCTTCGTTCGTCTTTTCCAGCCCAAGGACTTCCCTGGCGTGCGGACCATGGTTCTGACGGGGGAGAGCCTGCCCCAAGACATCGCCGACACGTGGTCCAGCAAAGTCAGGCTTGTCAACGCGTACGGGCCTACCGAGTGCACAATCTGCGCCGTACAGCCTGTACATCCCGGTCGATGGACTATGGGCACAGTTGGACGGGCGGTCGGCGGTGCTGGCTGGGTCGTTGATCCATCCAACATCCACCGGCCCATGCCTATCGGCGCGATAGGAGAACTCATGTTCGAAGGTCCTGTCGTAGCTCGCGAGTACTTTCGTCGGCCTGATGCCACCAAGACGTCTTTTGTTTCTGCTCGACCATCCTGGCTACCCACGCCTTCTCCCTACGCCGGTTGTCGGTTGTACCGAACAGGCGACTTGGTGCATTATAATCCGGACGGTTCGCTGCGATATTTGGGTCGCAAGGACAGCCAAATAAAGCTTCGGGGTCACAGAATCGAACTGGAAGAGGCAGAGTTCCACATTCGGCGTCATCTCCCCCCGGGATATAATGTCGTTGTCGACGTAATCCATCCGATCGATCAAGTCAGCTCCAGCATCATGATTGCATTTATCAACGATGAGACGGACACAAGCCAGGCTGACCGGCAGCGGTTGTTCTTGATGCCAGTCAATGACAACTTCCGTTCGCTGTCGCAAGAAGTCCAGAAAAAGCTACCTGTTTCAATCCCCAACTACATGATACCTCAACTCTTGATTCAGATCTCCAGGATTCCGAGAACCAAGTCTGGAAAGACTGACCGTCGATTCATTCGAGTAGCTGCCTCGCGGTTATCTCGCGGCGAACTCGAGGCCCTGGTGGACTTCGGGGGAGCTAACGGAAAGATGCAGCCTACAACGTCAAATGAGGAGCTCATGCAGGGCCTCTGGGCTACAGCGCTTGACCTGTCGACGGAAAGGATAGGCGTGAGTGATAATGTCTTCCAGCTCGGGGGTGACTCCATCACGGCCATGAAGATTGTCCGCCTCACTCGCGCAGCAGGTTACAGCCTGGTGGTTTCCGACATATTCACTAGGCCAACCCTATCAAGTCTTGCCAAGGAGCTGCGGCGTCTGCCCCGATCATCCGCTCAAGGTGCTGCTCCATTCAGCCTGATACCCCCCGAAGAGAAGCTCGGAACGCTCAGGAAGATGGCGATGACCGAGTGCCAGGCATCCTTCGACGAGATAGAGGACATTTATCCCTGCACAGCGCTTCAGGAAGGCCTTATGAGTCTCACTATCAAACAGCAAGGCTCCTATGTGGCGCAGTACCAGCATCGTATCGATCCCGGCGTCGACCTTCCTCGTCTCGCAGCCGCATGGGACATGGTTGTTGCTGCCAACCCAATCTTGCGCACACGGATCATCCAGTCTCAGTCCGTCCGTGGGTTTCAGGTGGTTTTGAAGCATGGCCCTACCTGCATCATACAGTCCTGCGGTTTCGAGGAGTCCATGAATGCCATAAAGGAGACCAGAATCGCACTCGGAAGCCCGCTGCTGCAGTGTTTGATCGTCTCGAGTGAGTCTGAGGCCTTTTTCGTCCTCAACATTCACCATGCCGTATATGACGGCTGGTCCATGACGCTTCTCCTTGAGCAGTTGGAGTCGGCTTATACTGGCCAGAGTTTGAAGTCCCGGCCGTTCACAGGCTTTATTGAATATCTGAACCATGTGGATCGATCGGCATGTAGCAAATTTTGGCGCTCCCAGTTCGCAGATTTGAACTGCGGCGTGTTTCCTGCGCCCTCGGTTCAGCTCAACCGTACCGACAAAGCGACTACTCTGCAGCTTGTAGAGCACAGGCTGGAAACTCCAACCATGAGCTCGAAGTTCACCCTTTCCACCATAGTCCGCCTCGCCTGGGCCGTGGTGCTGTCCAAGCACACCGATTCAGGTGATGTCGTCTTTGGGGCGACTGTTGCCGGACGTAGCGCGCCTGTCGGAGACATTGAGCAGATGACGGGCCCTACCATGGCGACAGTCCCCTTTCGAGTGCGTGTAAATCCTGAGGAGTCTGTGCAGGCGTCATTGGAGAACGTACAGGCCCGAACCATTGACATGATCCCGTACGAAGCAACTGGTCTACACAACATCAAGGCTCTAGGAGCAGACGCTGCCGCCGCCTGTCAATTCCAGAACCTTCTCGTCATCCAACAGCAGCAAAGCTTCTACCAGCCAAAGCTTCTGCATGAGGTTCAGCGGTTTACGGAAAACATCGCCGCTATCAACACGTATCCTTTGACTCTTCTCTGCAATCTGAACGGAGACCATATTTTGATCCAGGCATCCTTCGATTCGGAAGTACTGAGTAGAGCAGAGACCGAAACTTTATCCTATCATCTGGGACGGGCGATCCTACAAATAGCGGAAGAGCAATGCCTGAAAGTTTCTGATATTGACATGGTCGGGCCGGAGACCATCTATCAGCTCCAGGTTTGGAACAAATATATCCCTCAGCAGGTTGATGGCATGGTGCACGGGGTGATAGGAGATTATTTCAAAAGCCGGTCGCAGGCACCCGCCGTGTGTTCATGGGATGGTAACCTGTCCTACGGCGAGCTGGGCAGCTTGTCCTCTCAGCTCGCTGAGTTTCTAGTCCAGCAAGGAGTAGGGCCAGATGTCCTCGTCCCCGTGTATCTGGAGAAGTGCATGTGGACGCCTATTGCCATGCTCGCAATCATGCTCGCCGGCGGCGCATTTGTGTTAATGGATCCTGCGCATCCTCTCGATCGTCTGAAACGTATCTATAGTCAGCTGGATGCTCCTGTTCTGCTCACGTCTACCTCGCTTTCCAATGGTGCGATGAACATGACCAAGGCAGTCATCCTCCTGGATCGTGCGGAATGGGAAAAGACGGCGGATCGTAAATCAACAAAAGCCGAACTATGGACGTCGTCTGATGTCAAGCCGAGTAACACGGCCTATGCAGTTTTCACCAGCGGTACCACTGGCACTCCCAAAGGTGTCGTTATTGAGCATGCGGCATTGCTTACGAGTATGCAAGCCCTCATAGGGCCTATGGGCATCAATAGTACTACACGAGCTCTCCAAGTGGCTTCGTATGCCTTTGACGTTAGTGTCTCCGACCATCTAGCGACTCTTCTTGCTGGCGGCTGTGTCTGCATTCCACATTCTTCGCAGCGGGAAAACAACCTTGCTTTGGCCGTGAAAGAGCTCCAAGCCAACTACATGCATATCACACCGTCGCTAGCTGAGCTTCTGCAGCCGAGAGATGTTCCTGGCTTGCATACTCTTGTGCTTAGCGGAGAACCGATGACGGCAGGTCTGGTGAGCACCTGGGCTGACTCGGTGAAGCTGATCAACGCGTATGGACCTGCGGAATGCTCCGTTGACTGCTTCGTCAATGCCTCCATCACGAATGCAACGGACCATTCCAACATAGGTACTGCTACCGGAAGCATTGGCTGGATCGTCGACCAGAGGGACCACGACAAGCTGGCCCCAATTGGCACAGTTGGTGAACTATTAGTTGAGGGCCCAATCTTGAGTCGAGGGTATTTGAAGAATGAACAGAAAACTTCTGCTGCCTTTATCCAGGACCCCGCGTGGGTTCGCAGGTTTCCACCCCAATCCGGTCCACGGAGGTTTTACAAAACAGGGGATCTGGTTCAGTATCACCCGGATGACGGATCGATGCGCTATGTCGGCCGCAAAGACACGCAGGTCAAAGTTAGAGGCCAGCGACTTGAGTTGGGGGAAATCGAGTATCATTTGAAGGAGTGTTTCCCGCAGGCTACGCGACTGATGGTGGATCTGATTGTTCCCATGAGTAATGATGAAAAACCCGTCTTGATGGCCTTCATCGAAATTATCAGCGACTATCATGATCTGAAGGGAGAAATCCTTCAGCACAAACTCTTCAGCCGGCCTAATGATGCGTTCAGAGCCGAGGTTCAGGCTGTAGTAACTCAACTGCGCAGGAAGCTTCCATCCGCCATGGTGCCGTCAATCTTTATCCCCATGGTGAAAATTCCTCTATCGTCTTCTTGTAAAACGGAACGAGAAATTGTACGGCAAGCTGCCTCGCGTCTTGTGCGAGAAGAAAAAAGATTCTTCATGGCGGCAAGCAGAGTCAAACGAGCCCCGGCCACCGAGATGGAGCGCCTTGTCCAATCCATTTCCGGCCGCGTATTGAAGGTGCCGCTTGAGGATATCGGAATGGACGATACCTTTTTCGAGCATGGAGGAGACTCAATCTCAGCTATCCGGTTTGTTGGAGACGCCCGTCAAAGCGGTTGGTCTGTGGATGTCGTAGACATCTTCAACGAGTCGACCCTCGCAGCGCTGGCCCAAAAGATGAAGCGTAGTGAAGAGGATTCCACAGAATGGACAGTCTCTCCATTTTCTCTCCTGCCGAGTGAGAAGGAAACAGCTCGGCTTCTCTCCCTCGCGGCCAGCTCTTGTTCCATTTCCCTTGAACGGATCCAAGACATCTATCCCGCGACCGCCCTCCAGGCTGGGTTGCTGGCGTTAAGCTTGAAGCAAAGGAGGGCGTACCAGGGATTTTTTCCTGTGCGGCTGCCGTCTAATGTCGACCTCATCAGCCTGAAGAGGGCTTGGGAGTCGACCGTGGAAGCCAATGTCATTCTACGTACTCGACTCATCCAAGATGCCGATGGAAGACTGTACCAAGCCGTACTAGATTCTGAAGTCGAGTGGAACGAAGCAGCTGACTTAGACGAGTACCTCGGAGCAGGAGCTCCTCTATCAATAGGTCTGGGAGGGCCTTTAGCCAAAGCTTCCATTGCGCAAGATTCTAAGCAAGGCGGGTGGTGGCTAGTGTTGACATTGCACCACGCCTTGTATGACGGATGGTCTATCCCTCTCCTTGTCCAGGATCTGCAAACAGCCTACCTTGGCCTGACGTTATCTCCCCGTCCGTTCAATGGGTTCGTGAATTATGTTTGCCGCGCCGATGATGGCATTAGTTCCGAGTTCTGGAGAAGAGAGTTTGAGGGCCTTTCCTGTGGACAATTCCCGCCACTGCCATCAGCTCACTGTGTTCCATCCATAGATGGCTTCCTCGAACACACGCTCCTCCTCCGCGGGCTGTCCTGACTTCACCATTTCCACCATTGTTCGCCTAGCTTGGGCAACGGTGATCTCTAGCTACAGCAGCTCGGACGAGGTAGTTTTTGGCGCCACCGTCGCTGGACGCAGCGCTCCAGTCCCAGGCATTGAGAGCATGACAGGTCCAACCATTGCCACGGTGCCCATTCGCGTTCACGTCGATCCCAACATGCGTACAAAAGATGCGCTGGCAGACCTTCGAGCACGTGGAACCCAAATGATAGGATTCGAGCAGGCTGGGCTCCAGTCCATTCGCTCCCTCAGTCCTGAGGCTGCCTTGGCATGCCAGTTCCAAAGTTTGCTCGTCATTCAGTGGATGAATGAAGAAAATTCTGAACCGTCAGACTTCTCCGTGGCCTATGAGTATGCTTACGACGAGAGGGCATTTTCCTCGTACGCCATCAATCTCACTTGCGACCTGGCTCCATCTTCAATCAAGTTCCGAGCCGCGTTTGATAGCCGTATCACTGACCCTGCGGTCATGCAAATGATGCTGTTCCAGATGTCCGAAGCTATTTCACGAGTCATGGATAACGCCATGTTTCTGAGGGACCTCAAGGAGATTAGTTCACACGGCATGCAATCTCTCCTAGAATGGAATGCCCATCTCCCGCCACGTATTCATTCTTGCATACATGATTTCATTTTATCCCACAGCGAGAACACACCAGACGCCGTTGCCGTGGACGCGTGGGATGGGATGCTAACATACCGCGAGCTGGACTCCCTTTCTCATTGCTTATCAGCTCATCTGCTCTCATCGGGCCGAGTGAAGCCAGAGATTATTGTCCCTATTTTGTTGGAGAAGTCCATGAACACAGCGATTGCGCTACTTGGTGTGATGCGAGCTGGATGTGCATTTCTTCTGCTGGACCCTGCGCAGCCAGCCGCCCGCCTGAGATCGATCTGCGATGCTGTTGAGCCACAAGCCATTGTAGTCTCGGCGGAACATGCGGATCTGGTACCTACACTGGCCCCAAAGGCACAAGTAGTGATCTTCTCAAGGCAAAGTCTTCCCTCGTCTGGTCTCTCCAACGGAGCGATTCTCCCAATTGCAGTTTCTCATCCCAGGCAAGTTGCCTTCTGCGTCTTCACTAGTGGATCTACGGGAACACCAAAGTGTATTCTCATCGAGCACTCTTCATTTTGTACCAGCGGCATGGCGGCTGGGCGACTTGTGGGTATGGACCAGAACACACGGGTCTTCCAATTCGCATCCTATGCCTTCGATGTCAGCATCACCGATCATCTACTTCCTTTGATGCACGGAGGATCCATCTTCATTCCCCATAGCGAGCGTGTAAGGAATGACCTCCCGGCTTCATTGAGAGAATCAGGTGCAAACTTTGCGGAACTTACACCCTCTGTGGCGAGAATGCTTGATGTCGGCGATGTATCTCGTCTACAGACTCTCGTCATGAGCGGTGAGGTCATGACCCGAGCAGATGTTAGGAAATGGCAAGACAAAGTTCGTCTCATTAATTTGTACGGGCCTGCCGAATGCTCCTGTACCGCAACTGGACAAAATCCGGTGAACCTAGATCATGACCCTCAGGTGCTCGGTGAGGGCACGGGAGGCGTTTGTTGGGTTGTAGATCCTGCTGACGAGCAGCGACTCGTTCCGATTGGCGCGACGGGCGAGCTCATCATCGAGGGCCCAATTGTCGGACGAGGATACCTCAACGCCCCAGAGCAGACTGCATCTGTGTTTGTCCCATCGATGCGATGGCTCCAGAGACTTCGCGGCGAAGAAGGTCTTGTGTATAAAACCGGCGACCTCGTGCAGCTGCTACCGACGGGAAATCTGAGATACATCGGCCGCAAGGATTTTCAGGTCAAAGTTCACGGTCAACGGATTGAACTGGGCGAAGTCGAACACCATGTGCGTCGGTTGTTCCCCGAGGCGACCAAGGTTGCGGCGGAAGTTCTCCATCTCGATGAACAACAGGGCAAGCCCATTCTTACGGCCTTCTTGGAAGTCTCGCATTTGCAGGAGTCCTGTAACGGTCACTTACCATCACTGGAGATGAGCCTGCTTCCGCCAACAGCCGCATTTCTTGCCGATGTTCAGACGACCCAGTCCAAGCTGCGCGACACGATTCCGCCATACATGATCCCCAGCCTTTTCTTGCCCGTGAATCGCATTGCGCTGTCTCTATCGGGAAAGGTAAACCGTGAGATGCTGAAGGACCTGGGCAGAAGTTTGAGTCGAAAGGACATCGAAACATTCGCCAACGCTCGCAGTACCAAGCGAGCACCGGAAACAAATATGCAGCGGGCTTTGCAGATGTTGTGCGCCAAGGTTTTGAACACAACTGTTGACGAGATCAGCATTGACGACAGCTTTCTCGCACTCGGAGTTGATTCCATCAGCGCCATGTCGCTCGTGGCGCGTGCGAGTGCGCTTCAGATTGCCATCTCTGTTGAAGACGTCCTGACCCAAAACACTATTGAGAAACTGGCGTTGCGAGCCAAGAGTACCACAGTTCAGGTCCCGCGACAATGTGAGCGGATAGATGTATCGTTTGCCCTGTCTCCGATCCAAGAGATGTTTTTTGAGGTTGTGCCGCAGGAATGCCATAGCCACTACAATCAAAGTTTCTTCCTCTCTCTTCAAAGACATGTTTCTGTGGGGGACTTGGAGGCGGCGGTCCGTGAGGTGGTGAGACATCACGTGATGCTACGCGCTCGATTCAGTCAAGACGCATGTGGCCGGTGGACGCAGAGCATAACGTCCGAGTCGTCCCCGTCCTCGTCCTTTTCATTCAAGTCCCACGAAGTGGCTAATACGGCGTCCATTGAGCCCTGTGCAGTGAAGAGCCAGCAAAGCCTGGATATCGTGAGTGGTCCTTTGCTAGCAGTTGACCTCTTTCAGGTCCACGGTCAAGGACAATACCTTCTTCTAGTAGCACACCACCTCGTGGTAGACCATGTCTCGTGGCGAATTATCCTCGGCGACCTGGAGGAGCTCTTGGAAGCATCGCCCGCCCCTGCTATTCATGGGCTCCGTGACATTGAATCATCCCTGTCATTTCAGTCGTGGTGCCATCTCCAGGCCCAGCATGTCCGTGAACAGCTGCCTCCTCGAAAAACATACCCAACACCCACCGAGGACCATGTCTGCCCTTCAACGACCTTCTCATGTATGGATTATTGGGGCTTGACGAATCGATCCAACAATTGCTCGGATGCTGTCTCTGTCGGCTTTACTTTGGACGCAGAGGTGACCGCGAATCTTCTGGGCAACGCTAATGATGCGTTGCGGACAAGGCCCGTGGAGATCATTCAGGCTGCGCTCGTCTTCTCATTCATGAAACAGTTTCCAGATCGACCACCTCCTGTCATCCATAGTGAAGGCCATGGAAGAAAAGCATGGGATTCTTCTATCGACTTGTCACGAACGGTAGGATGGTTCACCACCATATGGCCCACGCCAGCCACCATTCGGCCCACGCATAGCCTTATCGAGGTCGTGAAACGTACCAAAGATGGGAGACGCGAACTCCGGAACAATGGATGGGCCTATTTTGCATCCCAATTCCTACATCCAGAAGGACGTAACCAACTTCCGCTAGAGTTGCCCTTTGAGATGGTATTCAACTATGCTGGATCATTCCAACAGCTGGAACAGCACCAGGGACTTTTCCGCGTAGCTGACAGCCAGTACACGCGATTTGACGCGGCAGCTACTGCTACACGGTTTGAACTGTTTGAAATCTCTGCTGTAGTACAGCGTGGACAGTTGCAGGTGGAGACCTTTTATCACCAAGCTATTCCCCAAGATCGCATTCGGCAGTGGAGTTTATTGTTTGAAGCTACATTGCATGAGGCGTGCGCGACGCTTCAGTCTATACAGAGGCAGCTCACACTTGCCGACTTCCCTCTCCTACAAATCAGCTACAGTGGTCTGGAGTATCTAGTCGATAAGCTCGCTGCCGTGGCGGGGGTACACGACATAACAGAGATCGAGGATGCTTTCCCGTGTTCGAGCATTCAACAGGGCATGCTCCTTAGTCAAGCCAAGAATGCAGCGCAATACATTACCAGTACTACATGGGAAGTTCGAAGTACGAAGGGAATCGATGTTGAGCGCTTCATACACTCATGGCACAGGGTTGTTGATCAAAATCCCATTCTCCGCACCATCTTTGTGGAGAGCCATTCAGGCCAGCTATGGGACCAAGTGGTGCTGAGTCATTCAGCCGGCGATGTCATACTTTTCGAATCTGGTGGTATAAACTCTCCAGTCCCTCGGGGGCTCTGTGGCATCACAGCATCCCATCCGTGGCAGTTCATTGTGTCTCGTGAAATCGACTCGCTCCTGTGTGAGCTTCGCATTTTTCATGCTCTGGTGGATGGTTTTTCAACGAGTTTGCTTGAGCAGCAACTTGCCTATGCTTATGAAGACCGAAATTTCTCCGGCCCTGTAGCAACACTGAGAGATTACATCTCTTATGTTCACGATCTTCCCGACGGAGCAGCCACCCAATACTGGGCTACCTACCTAAAGGGGTCAGATCACTGTACCCTTCCCACCTCGAACCATACTTCAAATCCAAATCATCAGAATTCGGTGGACTATGTCACCCGGAAACTTGAAAATATCCGCACACTGCAAGTCTTCTGTGAATTGAATGGAGCCACCCTGTTTAACCTGGTCCAGCTGGCTTGGGGCTTGGTTCTGAGAGCCTACACCGCATCCGATGCCGTCTGCTTCGGCTATTTAGTGACCGGACGAAACATGCCGATAGATGGAATAGATGAGGCTATCGGTCCCTTCATCAATATCCTTGTAAGCAAAATGGACCTGGAGGGCGGCAACTCTATTTCGGATATGCTTCAGACGATTCGCTCGGATTTTCTACAAGGGCTGGTCCATCAGCACACCTCGCTGGCTGAAATATATCATTCACTGGGCATTCATGGTCGTGGTTTATTCAATACGGTAGTGTCACTCCAAACCAGATCCGAGAAACAGCCAAGTCACCACAATTCGGGACTTTCAATGCACACAATCAACAGTAATGATCCGACAGAGGTAACTTTTCATATCTACACACTTCGCATCACAAGTAGACTCAAAGCTAATTTATGTTGTAGTATGATCTTACGTTAAATGTTGCTGTATCAAAAAACGAGCTTGAATTTGCACTCTGGTACCACAAGCATTCATTCACACGAAGCCAAGTGGATAATCTGGCAGTTGCATTTGAAAGAGCTTTACTGAGTTCTGTAGCCGTTGCGGATGCAAAAGTCCGGGATATTGATCTACTGAGCGAATATCATCTTCAGTGGTTAAATTTGCGGAACAAGGTTGTCCCCGAGGCACGACAGCAGTGCATACATGAAGCTATCGAGCCGTTCTTCCTCTCTACCCCCTCAGCTCAGGCAGTTTGTGCGTGGGACGGCGATTTCTCATATGCCGAGTTGGACCAACTGTCATTATGCCTATCTAAAGTTTTAGCCCACCGGGGTGTTCAACCGGAGGTGTATGTGACCATACATTGCGAAAAATCCAGATGGACGCCTGTGGCCATGCTCGCCGTCCTCCGTGCTGGCGGCGCTTTTACCCTGCTTGATCCCTCTCTCCCTCTAGCCCACAAGCAAACCATCTGTGCAGATCTCAGGTCTCAGATTATGATATCATCTAACCTCGCCGTGGATGCCTCGTCGTTCGTCAGAGAGGTCATAATGATTGGCGATGATGAATATAAGAAGTGGATCATGCCAACCTCAGAGCCCACACGATCATTGCAGGCCCAGCCCGCACATGCAGCATACGCGGTTTTTACATCTGGTTCTACTGGGAAGCCCAAGGGCGTTGTTATTGATCATTCTTCGTTTTGTACCAGCGCGACAGCCCAACATAGATCCTTATCTATTGACCGTTCTACTCGCGTGCTACAATTTTCCGCCTACACCTGGGACGTGAGCATCATGGACCAGCTAGCAACGTTCATGGCGGGTGGCTGCGTCTGCATTCCTTCGGAATCTCAGCGAGTCAACGCGCTGGCCGAGGCGATTCAACAGTACCGTGCTACCTGGATTCAGACAACGCCGCCGGTAGTTCGTCTCCTCGAACCTGAACAGGTCTCGTCGCTACAAACCGTGATTCTCATTGGTGAAACTCCATCATATGATGATATAAAGATGTGGCGCCGTCGAGTATCTCTTCGGGAGACGTTTGGTCCGACCGAGTGTTCGGTTCTGGCCTTGGTTAACCCAGACTTGTCGTCTGATCCGAGAAACATTGGCCGTGAGAGCGGTTGTGTCTGCTGGATTGTTGACCCAGACAACCACCATAAGCTGGTAGCTGTTGGTGCTATCGGAGAGCTACTCATTGAAGGCCCAATTCTCGGCCGTGGTTATTTGAATGATCCCGTGAAGACGTCAGCAGCCTTTATCGAAAACCCAGCCTGGGCAAGGAAGTTCCGCCCCAAGCGGACTGTGCGACTCTACAAGACGGGAGATTTGGTTCATTATTGCGCAGATGGGTCCATCCGTTTCTTCCGCCGCAAAGATACTCAAATCAAACTCAGGGGCCAACGCATTGAGCCTGGGGAGGTTGAGCATCATATATCAAACAGCTTCGACGGCGCGGAACGTGTCGTAGTCGATGTCCTCGCGTTGGAATCGGAAACATCTCGCTCATTTCTGATTGCTTTTGTCAAGTCGCCTAGTATATGTGGGAGCAACGACGTTGACGTTGGTGATGAACTATTCGCTCCCCCGAGTATGGCATTCTCCAAACAGGTTGACCTCACTCAAGCGCGCCTGCAAAGCCAGCTGCCTAAGCACATGGTGCCCACGGTCTTTCTGCCTCTAAACTGGGTCCCTATGACAAGCTCTTGCAAGACGGATCGTCGACTTCTGAAACGAAAAGCAGCAGCACTGACTCGTTGTGAGCTAGAAAAATACATGAACGCGGGTGCGTCAGCCAAGGAGACTCCCAAGACCGAAATAGAAAACAAGTTACATCCACTCTGGGCCAAGGTGCTGGACCTAGATTCAGGGACAATCGGAATCAACGACGACTTTTTCCGCCTGGGAGGGGATTCCATTTCTGCTATGCAGCTGATTGTTCAGTGTCGCCGTATCGGTATTTCTATTGGCATGGAAGATTTCTTTCGTCACCGCACCCTTGCTGGAATTTCCAGCCATGCTCGGAACGAACGTAGTAATACTACTCCGTTGGCTGTGGAAAAGATGGACAATCACTTCCCCTTATCTCTAAGCCAACAATTCTTCCTCCGGTATTCCTCACAGGGCTGTGACTACTGCAATAATGGCGTTGTCATCAAGATCACTCGACGAATTGAAACTGACCGTCTGCGACAAGCGTTCAGGGCCATCATTGAGCGTCACTCCATGCTTCGAGCTCGGTTTAGCCAAGACTCTGAGGGCTCCTGGACGCAGCGCATCACATCCGAAACAGAAGAATCGCATCTGTTCCAGCAATTAACCATTTCTAGTCAGAACGAATTCACTCGGGTACTCCAGGATGCGCAGGCGTGTGTCAACATCCAGCACGGTCCGCTTTTTGTTACAGATTATGTGCAAGTGGATGGACAGGTAGACGATTATCTCGTTCTTGTTGCACATCGTCTCGTCGTCGATGCGATTTCTTGGCGCATTATACTTGGGGATCTGGAGGTTATATTAAGCGGGAAGAACCTTCTCTCTGAATTGAGTACGGTGTCAATGTCCTTCCAGGCTTGTTGCAATCTACAGACCAGTGCCACCTCCAGACATACTCCAACAAGAACCAGAGTCCTTCCTCGTCCAGGAAAACAAATCCCAAAGCTCTCCCCGCTTGAGCTTTGGGGTATGGTAGGACGCCCGAATCAGGTCAAACACTCCAAGACTATTACGTTTACAATTGATAATTCCACTACCAATCTGCTGTTGGGACGTGCCAACCAGGCATTTCGGACAAAGCCAGCCGAGATCCTACATGCGGCGTTGATTCATTCTTTCCTGCAGATCTTCACGGAGTGGACTCCCCCAGTCATGTATAATGAACGCTACAATCGTGACCCTTTAGACGAGTCCATCCATATTTCGCAGACGGTGGGTTCGTTTACTACAATCGATCCCATCTTCGTCGAGGTCGACAACCGTCAAGGTCTCACGGAGATAATACGTCGCACGAAAGATGCCCAGCGCTCGGTTCTTGCAAACGCATGGACTCATCTAGGATCGAGCTCCAAAGATTTGCCAGACTTGGAGCGCTCATTGCCGAAGCCGTTCGAAATTGTCCTCAATTATGAGGAACTGAAAGAGCAGCCCGAGCATGAAAACTCGATCCTGCAAATTATCAGATGGTCACATGCTCAATGTCAAATAGTCGATATAAACCCAGAAGCGCTGCGCCTCGCGCTTATCAATGTCTCGGCAACCATTGTCAAAGGGGAGCTAGTGACGTATTTTACCTTCAACCAGCAAATGAAACATGGTGATTCGCTGAGACTCTGGGTTGATGAGTACCGAAAGTCGATCATCAGAGCAGTTGATGATCTCTCTCACGCATCCCCAGCGTACACACTTGGTGACTTCCCCTTACTCGCAACTACATACGAGGATCTTGACTCCTTTATTGCCAGCGTCCGGGGTCAAATTGGCCAGCATGATGGAGAAATCAGCGCCATTATACATGATGCATATCCGTGCTCTCCCATCCAGCGCGGTATCCTACTCAGCAAGTCCAAGGATAATGATCTTTATAGCCCTCGATTTACGTGGAAACTTCGGGTCGCTGGTCATGATTCTGTTGATATGATTCGGCTCCAAAAAGCATGGGAAATGGTCCTCCAGCGACACCCGGTTTTTCGAACAGTTTTTGTCCAGAGTAGCTTGCATATGGAGTACTACAACCAAGCAGTCATGAAATCAATACCGGACAACATCACCATAGTCGAGTGTGAGGACGGAGATACGATGAAACTGATAAATGCTCATCGTTCCACGCCTGCGCACCGAGATCGGAATGCTCTCTGGCACCTCATTTTATGCCAGGGCAAGACGGGCGACACCTTTTGCGACTTGAAAGTCAGCCACGCCTTGATTGATGGAACGTCCATAGCCATTCTTACACGCCAAGTGCAGCTAGCATATGACGACGTACTCCCTGCAGGCCTTGGACCCCCCTACAGTGACTATATCCGATATCTACAATCTACCCCGAAAGATGCCATCATTCATTACTGGAAGGAGAGGCTCTCCACCATGTCGCCGTGTATATTCCCCAGAATTAGCAACTATAAAAGACCGTTCTCTGTCAATAGCAACAGGCGAGAACTACACTCTGTCGGGCTAGACATCGAGGATGCCTCAATCATCTACCAATTTTGCAGGAAATATGGATTTACCATCTCCAACGTCTTACAGGTGGCTTGGGCTCTTATCTTGCAGTGCTTTACCACCTCCGAATCCGTTTGTTTTGCATACGTCGCTTCTGGTCGCGACGCCCCTTTGCCCAACATTGAAGAAGCCGTGGGTCCTTTTATCAACGTTTTGATCAGCCACATGTCGCCAAGTCCTGACACACCGTTGCTCGAAGTGTTGCGGGCTAATCAAGACGCTAACATTGACAACCTGAAATATCAAAACTGCTCCCTTGCAGAGATATTCCATGCTATGTCCTTGGGCGCAGGGGAACTGTTCAACTCCAGCATGTCAGTGCAAAACAGAACTTCAGACCACGATTCCTCCAATTCATCCTTGGCATTCTCAGTAGTTGATGGGGAGGACCAAACAGAGGTAGAGTACCAGAAGGCCTTAGCTTACTGCCTTGTAAATGTAGTTCTAACGTGTGATGATCTAGTACGCCATCGCGATACACGCCCTCGTAGACAAGGTGGGCATCTCCCTTTCTCTTGATCACTGGAAGGACGAACTCCTTTCGACGGAGCAGGCCCAGCAGCTACTTCGTACAATGGAAGCGGTAGTTGTGAACATCGCCACATGTCCCAACGTCAACGTTGGACAGGTAGGATTGCTAAGCCCCGAGGAGCATGCACAACTACACAAGTGGAAAAAGGAAAGCCCTGCGGCCCTCAGTTCCTGCGTACACGACCTCGTGGAGCGACATTTTGAACGCTGTCCCTCCTCCCTGGCAGTCCACTCTTGGGAAGGCGATCTCTCATATCGGGATCTGGACTGCCTGTCGTCCAGACTTGCCGCTCAACTTCTGGACTTGGGTGTCCGACAAGGCACATTTGTTGCCTTGCTTTTCGAAAGGTCTATGTGGGCCGTCGTTTCGGTCCTTGCTGTGATGAGATCTGGTGCTGCATTCGTTCTCCTGGACCCGACTAGCCCTGCAAATCGCCAGGAGCAAGTGTGTGCGGATGCGGGCATCAAAATCATTCTCAGCTCAAAAGCTAATCGAGTTATGGTGAACGACCTTCCGGTTCATGTTGTCGTAGTGGGCAGAGAAACAGCGTGCCTCTGGAGTTCTGGCGCAGTCCTGCCATCTGTTGCAACGCCTCAGAGTGCTCTGTCCGCTGTGTTCACCCCCGAGTCCTCAGGGAAGCTGAACAGGCTCGTTATCGACCATGTCTCGTTCTGTTCGGCCGTGGAAGCAGTGAAAGGGCCTATGGGGATGGACAACAACACCCGAATGTTCCAATTTGCTTCATATGCATCTCAAATGAGCATTGGCGATCAGTTGATGGCGCTATCACAAGGAGGCTGTGTGTGCATCCCTTCTGAATCCCAGCTGGAGGACATGGAAAGTGCGATTGGTGATCTGGATGCGAATTGGGCAAATCTCACTCCCTCCATAGCTCGGAGCATCAATCCTTCCAGCGTGCCATCCCTCAAGACGATATGTATCGGCGGTGAGCCCACGACTGGCTCGGATGTGGCACGCTGGCAGGGTTCTGTCCGGTTGGTCAAAGGCTATAGACCGGCCGACTTCCCATTCCATGGTACGATACAACCCAACGCTCTGGACGCATTAGACCCGCGCAATGTCGGCGTGGGAGTGGGTGTCTCGTGTTGGATTGTAGATTCTTCGAATCATCAAAGACTCCTCCCTCTAGGTGCCGTTGGAGAGCTCGTTCTTCAAGGCCCGATTCTTGGCCTCGGCTGTGTTGCGAGCCAGAGTCAAAATTCTGCCTCTTTTATTGAACCTCCACCTTGGTTACAACAGTTTGAACCAATTGGTCCTGGCCGGCTTTACAAGACCGGTGACCTAGCTCGATACCAATCCGATGGGTCGATCCTCTATATGGGGCGCAAGGACGCACAAGTCAAGATCCAAGGTCAGCGACTGGAACTTGAAGAAATTGCAGCTCATATCCGGCAATATTTCTCCCAGGCCAAGGACGTGGTTGTCGACGTGATTAGGCCTGATAACGGGAGTGCGAAACCAATCTTAGTCGCATTCATCAGCCACTCCTTCAACGCCACTGTTGATGACTCTTACAACGTTGCTTTTATTGAAGCTTCAGCTGATTTCCATATGGAAGTCCTCAAGGCTCAAACCGAACTCCCAGACCTGTTACCGCCTTCCATGGTTCCTGCGGCATTTCTCCCTGTGGATAGGATTCCGCTTAGTCTCTCGGGCACAGTGCACCGGAAGCTTCTTCAAGAGGCCGCCTCACATCTTTCACCGAGCCAAATATACGCATACGCCGAGACTAATGGCCTAAATGATCAAAATGGAATTCCAGCAAGCGAACTTGAGAAATCATTGCAAGCTTGCATTGCACGTGTGCTCAACAAGAACTCTAGCCACGTAGGTTTGGACGAGAACTTCTTCCGCTGCGGAGGAGACTCTATCAGCGCCATGATTCTTGTTTCTCAGTGTCGTCAACGAGGAATGGTCATGACTGTTGCAGACGTCTTCCGGCACAAAACGATTCGACGATTGGCTTCCCATATTCAGTCAGCCAAGGCAACAGCAGCGGGAGAGGAAGAGACTGTGGGAACAGTATTTCACCTCTCCCCAATTCAACAGGCGTTATTTGATCGTATCCCAGAGGGCCTAAACAATTACAGTCAGAGCTTTTTAGTCAGGCTCAGACGACCAAGGAAATCTATCGAGACTGCGATAGCAATTATAGTGAAAAGACACGCAATGCTCCGCGCTCGTTTCAAGAAACAAGCCGGGGTCTGGGTACAAATGGTCACTGATGATATTGAGCATTCATATCGTTATCGTAGCCTAGCGATCTCTGTTGCGGAGACTACTAGGTGCTTCGTGGAAAGCCAACGAGCCCTTGACTTCATGCAAGGCCCCTTGTTAGTGGCAGACCATATGACTGTCGGAGAGAACCAGTATCTCTTCCTCGCTGCGCACCATCTCGTCATTGACCTTGTCTCATGGCGGACCCTTTTGAACGACCTCGAAACGCTACTGGCAGGAGAGTCGCTCCCGCCTCTATGCTCCTTGCCGTTCCAGGTCTGGTGTAATTCACAAGCCGAATATGCGAAAAATCATCTCAGGCCATCAAAGACGCTTCCATTGCTATCGACTTTTGCCGATTTTGAGCTCAATGTTGAAGAATACTGGGGTCTGCCAAAAGGATCCAATATCCACGCAGACGTGACGTCTACCAAATTCACTGTTGATCCATGTGTCACGAAGCTGCTTCTCGGGCCTGCAAATGAGGTACTGCAGACTAAGATTGTTGAGCTTCTGCACGCCGCAATTCTGCTCTCCTTTGTCAAGTCATTCCCAGACCGTCCGCCCCCAGTTATATACCAGGAAGGTCATGGAAGGGAACCATGGAACAGCTCGGTGGATGTCTCGGGAACTGTTGGTTGGTTCACAACGATATGGCCTGCCCTTATTCGCGTGTCGGCGGACTCGACCTTTACTGAAGTGGTACAATTAACAAGAGAAATTCTACGCCAGACACAAGCCAACGGTTGGAGCTACTTTACTGCCCGGTATTTGCATCCCGAGGGAAGTAAGCGGCTTACCCTCGCAGAACCAATGGAAATTCTTATGAATTACCATGGAGGTTACCACAATCTGGAGAGCAAAGATACTATCCTCCAAGTCTCACACGATATTGTGGATATTCCGCCAGGCATAGATCCGCAAATGCCAAGGGGTGAGGTCTTTGATATCGAAATTTGGGTATCTGGGGATGCTTTGCAATTTGATTTCACTTATAGCAAAAATTCTCTGCGCCAAACGTCCATCCGTGCCTGGATATCGGCATGCCAGATTCTCCTCCAACATGCGGCCGAGGAGCTGTGTACCGCCTCTCACCAACATAACTTGAGAAATTTCCTGCAGTTGCCACTGGCCTCTCCTGACCACCAGTCTTCAGACCTTGCTTGTCCTATTGGCGTTAACCCAGCGTCGGTGCAGGACGCCTTTCCTTGCTCGCCCGTACAACAAGGCATATTGTTGAGCCAGGGACGAAATCATAAATTATACACTACCAGGACGGTCTGGAAGATATCGAATCCAGATTCACATCGGCCCATCTCAATTGATCAAATTCAACAGGCGTGGGCCCAGATCGTGATGAGACACCCAGCGCTTCGGACAATCATCACCGAGAGTCCCTCCCGCGACAGGGTCTACGATCAATGGGTCATTGATCACGGAGCCGGTAAAGTCATAGTTCTGGATTCAACCGACTCTCCGTATGAGCCCCTAGGGACTTCTCCCTGGCAATTCATCATCAAGCGAGCATGTGATGCAGAGATCCTTTGTGAGCTCGCCATCAGCCACGCGCTAGTCGATGGTGTCTCAGTTCGTATTCTTGGCACCGAGTTGAGCCGCACGATCGATGGAAAGCCCGTTGGCTATCCGGCTATGCCTTACAAAGATTACATTTCTTACCTGAAGTCTGTTCCCCGGCAGCAGATTACTGACTATTGGGGGGGTTACCTCAGTGACGTCACTCCAACCCTGTTCCCCATCTTGAACGACAATTCAAAGGACCAGTTACACTTTGTGACTCGCTGCATTGACGCACAGCGTATCAGAAAGTTCTGCAAGACGTATGGATCGACGATATTCAACGTGATACAGGTAGCCTGGGCACTCGTCTTACGCTGCTACGCAGGCACAGACGATGTTTGCTTTGGCTACCTAGCATCCGGGCGAGATATTCCGCTCTCCGGTGTTGAGCACGCGGTTGGTCTGTTTATCAACATGTTGGTGTGTCGCCTGCAGTTGGATGGCAACCTCCCCATGCTGGCAGTTTTGCAAGAAAACGAGACCAACTTCATTCGCAGTCTCGACCACCAACATTGCTCACTGGCGGAAATCCAGCATGACTTGGGTCTTAACAAGGAGCCGCTTTTCAATTCTATCATCTCTTACCAAGCTTCTTCTCCCATGCAAGAAGAAGTGCAGGACCTGGCACATAGCAAACCGCCGCCAGCCTTGTTAGAGACGGTGGGAGGAGAAGACCCTACTGAGGTACGGATTTGTTTATTTTTGTCCCTTGTCGAAGACATGTTTTTCCCTTGTTGAAGACCCATTCCAACAATACAAAACATATGTACAAGAGCAGAGAAATTCCCATAAGCTAACATGCAACCTAGTACGGATTGGTGATCAACGTGGATGCCGACAGCAGCCAGGTCAGCCTTTCCCTGAGTTTCTGGGACACCTTCCTCACTCCCGAGCAAGGATCTAGACTGTGTGATAGATTAGTGCATGCTATTTCCAGCATCGCCGACAGTCCCTCCACAACCGTTGGCGACCTCGATCTAGTTACTCAGGAGGAGCTGAACATTATTCACTCGTGGAACACGCATTTGCCGCAGACGGAAGAGGTGTGTGTCCACGATCTGATCATTGACCAATGCCGGGCCCGTCCCGAGGCACCAGCCGTCTGCGCATGGGATGGAAACTTGGACTACAAGAATCTTTATCTGCTCTCCACAGGGCTGGCGGCGCAGCTTCAGCTACTCGGGGTTGGACCCGACGTCTTTGTGCCGCTACTCTTCGAGAGGTCGAAATGGGTCTCCGTGGCGATGTGGGCGGTTATGAGAGCCGGTGGCGCATTCATTTTGCTGGATGACTCTTATCCAGAAGCCCGTTTGCGTGAAATTTGTGAGACTTCACGTTGCCCTCTTGTTATTTCCTCGTCCTTGAACTATGGGAAGGCTGCACTGCTCACTGAGCGAGTGGTTGTGGTCTCGCCGAGCGAGGCCGTGCAATGGGAGTCAGATCTAGGGACAACTTCCCTCCAGCAAAATGTCCTCCCTCACCATGCTCTCTACTGCGTCTTTACCTCTGGTTCGACCGGTAAATCAAAAGGGGTCGTCATCGAGCATTCGAGCTACGCGACAAGCGGCCTATCGCTCCAAAAACGACTGAGAGTTGGGAACCAATTTCGAGTATTCCAGTTTGCCTCGCACGCGTTCGACGTGAGCATCAGCGACTACCTGACAACGTTCATGGCAGGAGGTTGTGTATGCGTTCCCTCTGAAGCAGACCGAATAAATGATATCCCACACGCGGTGCAAAAGCTTGCCGCGAATTGGATGCATATCACCCCGTCCGTCGCGCAAACTATCGACCCGTCGCAAGTAGAAGGGATCAAGATCTTGGTCTTGAGCGGCGAAGCTATCAAGACAGACAACATCAAGACTTGGGGACAGTCGGTTCATCTCATCAATGCATACGGGCCAGCCGAGTGCTCCGTAGACTGCGTCGTCAACGACCAGGTGGCTTCGAGTCCTTCAAGCATTGGATACGCAAGCGGCGCGAGGTGTTGGGTCACCGACAGAAACAATCCCGCTCGACTACTTCCCATCGGCGTTGTTGGGGAGTTGCTCGTCGAGGGTCCCGTCGTCGGTCGCGGATATCTACATAATGAAGGCCAAACTCGGCAAAACTTTATCGAGCCGCCTCTTTGGCTCGAGGACTTTAGAGGCCAAGCTTCCTCTCCACGGCACGTGTACAGGACAGGGGATCTCGTCCAGTATCTACCCGACGGCTCCCTCAAATACGTTGGACGCCGGGACGGCCAAGTCAAGATACACGGCCAGCGTGTCGAACTAGGGGAAATTGAATCTCATCTGCTTCGTTTCTTCCCCGGGGCCCAAGACGTCGGCGTGGAGGTTCTCCAACGACCAGACGTTGCGTCCCAAAAGGCATTGACAGCGTTTATAAGACAGCGAACACTTGATTCCAAGGGAGACGAGTTTTCGACGCTCGAGCCCAGCCAAGAGTTTTACACAGACGTCCACATTGCAGAATCGCGACTCCTTCAGAGCGTGCCTCGGCACATGGTTCCGACAATGTTTGTTGCTGTCAATTACATTCCATTGACTAGGTCGGGCAAGATTGATCGTTCCAAGCTGCGTAGCCAAGCAACGAAGATCACATGGTCCGACGGGGGATCTGGTGTTCAGCGCAACTCGCAGCGACCATTGACCGAGACTGAGCGCACAATACAATTGACGGTTGCCCGGGTGCTGGAGCTTAGACCAGATGTGATCAACATTGACGCGGACTTTTTCCAGATGGGCGGGGACTCCATCACGGCCATGCAGCTGGTATCCCTCGCTCGTCATGAGGGTCTCACGCTGACAGTAAGACAAATATTCGTCTCTCCAGTGCTGGCAGATCTTGCCAGATATGCCCAGCAGTCCACGGCTGTGTCGATTCCGGCGGCACCTGTCGCGGAACCTTCAGACAAGACGGAGGACGGATTGTCGATAGATTTGCCTTGGGCAGACCTGCCCTTCGGAGAAGATGATGTGGTCGATGTTGTTCCTACAACAGATGTCCAGGCCTTTTCTGCAACGCGGCCGCAAAACTACTGGTTCCTGCAGTTCTCTGGACCACTGGACACGGCTCAGCTGAGGCGGGCTTGCTCAGAGCTGGTCGAGAAACACTCGATTCTCAGAACAGTATTTGTTCCGCACGCTGGCCGCATCCTGCAAGTCATCCTCCGCCGCATATCCCTGGACGTGACCGAGTGCGACACGGATCTGAAGGACTTGAGGGCATTTGCTGAAGCATACGGCCGTCAAGATTTCCCTTCTCAGACTCTATACGGGGCAGTGCCACTGGCCTTGACTCTTGTGAAGGGCAGCGACGGGCGTCACCTACTCATAGTGCGGATGACACACGCGCAATACGACGGTCTCTCCATACCCAAGTTGGCGGCGAACCTTGTTGATTTGTATCACCAACGAGCCGTCTCCATCGCCGCGGACTTTGCGACATATGTACGACACTGCAATGAGATTCAAACGGCGGCATCATTTGACTTTTGGAGACGTCTGCTCGATGGATCATCCATGACTTCACTATTTGGTCAGGCAGCAGCAACACGTGCACTGAGTGGTTCCCGCTCCTCGAGCCTCGTCGAGTCAATAGCAAGCGTGCCCCTGCCAACGCCTCCTCGCGGAAACACACTGGCCACGGTGGTGAAGACGGCTTGGGCGCTGGTTCAGTCCAAACTACTAGGGCGGTCCGACATCGTCTTCGGCCAACTAGTCAGCGGCCGCAACACGGGCGTCCCCGAGCTGGAGGACGTCATCGGGCCCTGCATCAACATCATCCCCGTCCGGGCTCGAATACAGCCAGCACAGAGAATCAGCCATCTCCTGGAGCAAGTCCAGGCCCAGCACGCGGCTACGATGCCGTTTGAGACGACGGGACTGCGCGCCATCGTCAAGAACAGCACCCCGTGGCCGGCAGACACCGACTTCGGGTCCATTGTCCACCACCGGTTCTCTCGGGACCAAAGCGCGCTGGAATCCGACGAGCTGTCGTGCCAGATAGACGCGTGGTCGCCGCTCTCCCTGCCCGCGATGAACGTGTGGGTGTCCACGGTGGCGGAGGACGACCGGCTGAGCATCAACATCTTCTCCCGCAGCGAGGTCGCGTCGCAAGCGCAGATGGATCGGCTGATGGCGGAAATGTCTGCCATGTTGGCAACGTGCACAGAAGGCGTGTACGTGCCCGTTGAGGACAGCCACGATGATTGGGTCCGTTTGTAGCGTCTGCCGCGCATCGTGAGCAATCGTCGTGCCAGAGAGATGAGGGGCAAAAGTTGGTGGAATATTGAGTTGATTTCTTCACACGCCTACGATTTTCTACAGAGGTTGTGACTTTTTTTCTTTTTCTTCTTCTTTTTTATTTGGGAATTGCTACACGGGCATGACACTTTGGCTACACGGGCATGACTCTTACACGGGCATGACTTTTACCACTTCTGATTGGTCGCATTGTCTCTGTTAACGACGCTGGATTCTGCCACCTCAGCCGCAAGTACCTGGGCCATTTTAACCTTGCTTCTGTGTAAATTACTTCATTTCGGCTAAGCTACTACGCAGCAACCCAGTGGTCGCGCAGTCGGGGCGACCCCCTCGAGCTTGCTTTCTTCATTTTCGTAGCTTTTAATAAACCATAATACGGCACCCTATGCTGTAGAGATAGCGACCAATTCTTTCACTACAATCTTGTTCTCTTCTCAAGACGTCAATGTCTTTGCCTCGCACACCTCCTCGCAGGTCGCGGAGCCCTAGTCCCAGTGATCAATCACAAAGAGGAAAGCGACACAAATCCAGTCGGCGACGCAGATCTAGTCCTTCCACAGTTGAAGACCGACCACAATCCGCGAGTAGCTCTGCTACGAGTATCGGTCAGTTCTACGGCCTCGGGGACGAAAATGCACTCGATAACCTGTTCGCCTCTTTCCCGCAAACACTTTCAAGTCTCCCACACCCCCATGGTTCACAGGGCCGCCATGAGCCTGCATGGGGCCTTCGATCTGACTATGAGATATATCTTCAAAATGACTTCTTCCGTGGAAAAAGATGGAGCCAGCGAGTCAGAGCGCTTATACCAGGCCCAGAATTTGATCCATTCGCCTCTGAACCTCCCGAATCACCCCCATCCGCCCAGCATCTCCCAACAAGGACAAGAGCCGAGTTCGAGTCCGCAATGCGCATAGTACGAGAGGTTACCGGCGAAGGTCGAAGGCTAACTGTAGACCTTGCTCGATCATACGAACGTGTACAAGCTTGGCGAGAGAGATGGGGATGGTCACCATTAAGTTTCGAAGCATATGACTCTCCTCCACCGTACTCTCCACCTCGTAGGTCACCCACACAACCTCCTCGAATATCACCGACGCCCGAAAATATTAGTTCCTCGCCTATGCGACAGTCTCTATCTCCCGCCCCGGAGCCAATTCCGAACCCAATAATCCCTGGCGACCCAGCGCCCTCGGCCGAAGTTCTTTTTAAAACAACCAACGCATTTGCAAAGGAGAACGGATTTGGTATTATTCGGCGGAATAAATATTCCTATAAGGGACGGTTGATTAGGTACTCCATTCAATGCGACCGGTTTGGACAATCTCGGGCCTCGGGGGGTTCTGGTCTTCGAACCCGAAGGTCTCGGAAGTGTGATTGCAAATGGATGATAATTGCTGAAGCCCTAGAGGAAGGCAAGTGGCTTCTTCGACAACATAGAGACCCGAAACATCACCAGCATAACCATGAACGGAGTATTACGCCATCTGCGCATGTTTCCCACCGCCGCCTTACTACACCAGTTAAAGCAACCATCGAGTCAGCAAGCCGTCGCGCGGGTATTCGAGCCAGTGATGTAGCTGCTATGGTTGAGGAGCAATTCCCCGATACAACACTCCTGCGGAAGGATATCTATAATGCCCGTTCGTTCATTAACCGAGAGAAGCTAAATGGCTATACACCTACTGCGGCATTGATCAAACTCTTTGATGAGAAGAAGATCCCATACATCGCGAAATGGGCCGATGATGATCCAGATAGACTGCTTGGTCTTGTCTGGACCTTTCCGTACTGTCTACAGATGTGGAAGCGCTTCCCCGAGGTTATTAGCTTTGATAACACATATAACACTAATCGCTTCAAGCTTCCTTTATTCCAGGCTACTGGCCAAACCTGTCTTGGAACTGTGTTCAATGCTGCATTTGGCTTAATAGATAACGAGAGGAGGGAGGGGTTCCAATTCCTTGCAGAGAGTGTTCGCAAGCTCATTACAAAACACTCACTCAGGGAACCAGATGTCATCATCACAGACTTCGACAAGGCTATGAAAGCTGCCGTTAATGATCAGTTTCCAAATGCACAGCAACAGCTTTGTATTCATCATATCCTTTCAAACGTTTTGCTTAAATCGAAGACTAGGTGGACGGGCCAACGTGAGGACAGTACTACTAGCCCTAGCGCTAGTGACAGTGAAGACATTCCCTCACAGGCGGATGGCGGGTTGAGCACTACAGATAAGCATCTGATCGAAGATCGGTCGAGTAGTGATAAGATTCCTCATACTTACCAAGGCGTTGTTTTAATGTGGAAAAAGGTTCTCTATGCCGAGACTGAGGAAGCGTTTGAGCAGGCATGGAGAGATCTTTGTAAAGAGTTCGACGACCAACGAGCGATCTTACAATACCTCTACTCGACTTATATGCCTGTTAGTGCTCAATGGGCACGTTGCTTTATCCGTCGTTATCGTAACTTCGGAATCCGAGTTACGTCCGGCACAGAAGCAAGCAACAATAATATCAAAAGCTATCTATTAAATGGCATGAGCCACCTCTACCGACTCGTCGAGGCAATGCAGGATATGATACATGACCAAGAACGTGCCTTTAAGGATGCCTGTGGACAGGATGATGTCCTGACTGCTCCACAATACCTAGGTTCGATGGGAAACTATCTTGGTGAACTACGAACAACCATGTCATCGAAAGGACTTGGGTTAATCAACAAGCAATACTGTATTGCTCGCAAATTTCTGCCGACGGGGAAGAATCCCTTCCCCGACTCTATTGGACTTTGCGACGACGACTGTACGGTCTCTATTGAGCTGGGAATCCCATGCTATCATAAAGTCTACGCAAAGCTAGATTCTGACACACGTTTCACTAAATGGGAGGTCCACCCACGCTGGCGACTACGGGAATCGGCATCTCAAGATCCATACCGACGAATTCTTGACCCGAAAGTTGCCACTGCACTACGTGGAAGGCCAAAGAATACAGCGCAGGTTATCCCAGAAAGCCTAGCTATTACATCAAGTAGCCGATCTGATAATCAACCAAGTGGGCGACGAGGTCGACCGCCAGGAAGTCTCAATAAGCCAACTCTTGCTAGGAGAGTGCATAAAGCTACTCGAGAAACCATCACACAAACTGGTGGCCAAATTGGCATCTCAGCCCAGCAAGGGCCAGGTAGACCTTCTAAAGTCCTAAATGCTGGGAATACGACAGGCGTGCGGTACAGTGGACGGAGGACGCAACGAAACATTCGCAGGACAAGGAGTCAATGGGAACTGGCTAAGAGTGATGACGAAGATCCAGATTGTATCGTTGTGAGGCAATAAATTAAGTAGACCACATCACGTCTTTTGCCAGTATTTGACAGTTACTGGCTAACAGTACAAGGACGGTAGTTTAATCCGAAATGCAGGCTTGCAAGATAGCAGAAGACCAATCGCGCCCACAACGATAAGTGACTGCAATTCATGGTGATGTAGGAGCTTGTTAGTGAAGTTGGCTACACCGCCTTTCCGAGGAAGTATCTGTGGGGCCAAGAAAGTATGCGACCAATCAGAAGTGGTAAAAGTCATGCCCGTGTAAGAGTCATGCCCGTGTAGCCAAAGTGTCATGCCCGTGTAGCAATTCCCTTTTATTTTCTCTTGCGAAAAATGGGATCCCTGTATCTAGACAGCCATCAGGATATAGGTCTTCCGGGCTCCAACTACTCCGTACGCAATAAACACGTAGATGAGAGTCGGAGACTCAGAAATTAGAACGGCCATGTCGACCCTGCAGATGCGTCACCCCAGTGCCGGGCAGCCTCTCAATGACGCAGTGACACAGACGCGCAGCAGGCTGAGTTGACGCGGCGAGACATTCAATGATTCAGCCGGCAAGGCCGCCGCCGTGGCTCGCCGCCTCGACAAAAGTTGAGCCGGCTGGCGCTGGTGCCGAGGCCCGTCGGTCCAATGAGGTCCTCGGCAACGACCACAGGGTCGCACAGGACACAGCACACCGCAAGAGATGGCCGGCACGGCTCAGAATCTTACCTGTCACCAGTGGCGGACTGCGGGCCGTTGCGGAGGCCTCGAATCCAAACGTCGCGGTTGGTCCGTTGGACGCCGAGCGCCAGCCCGAGGGCGGCTGAACAGGGGCCGCCATGCGATGGCAGGCAATAATGCTACCGTGATATCGAGCCCCAGCCACGGACATGCATGCGTACGAAGATGTGTGCGCATGTTGCGGCCGACGACCAAGGAGGCGGTGACGGGCGTCGGGAGTCGGGACGCGACTGCGAGAGACGGGGCACATGGGGTTATAGATATGAGGAGGCCGCGTCTCGCCCCGTCAGTCGCGTCCGCGCCGGCCCTGCCACCAGCCCAGAGATTGACTTTTTGAGTCCAGACGACCATGGGCATGGGCGCCAGCGAGCACAGCCACGGGGCGGACGGCGAAAGCAACGGCGGGGGGCGAGTCGACGGCGCGGCGGGGGCGACGCTGCGGCGCGCCGAGGAGACGGACGACTTGGTGGACGCGGTCAGGGCCCTGATCATCCCCTACATCCGGGCGGCGGACGAGGCGGCGGGCGAGAGAGCA